GCCCGTGCTGCCTTCATCCACGCGCGCGGCAGGGCCCCCCGCTCTGCGAGGCTGCGCGCGGGGGAAGGGCGCGGGGGGCACCAAGGCGCGCAGGGGCAACCGGGGCACAAAGGCAGGCGGCACGAACGGGCCACGCCGCAAACGCGCGGGCATGGCGTCACGCGCCAACGCCTCGCATGGCGCGGACTGTTCCCCTGCTTCCTCCCCCCGTCCACTGGCGCCCGCCCGCTGCCGCGCTTTGCGTTGTTGCCTGGGCCTAAGGCTTGCCGCCACGCAAATGCACGCCCATGCGGGTGGGGTCCTAGCGCTCGCGCAGAGACTGGAACCACGGGCGCCATGGCGCTCCGCCTACGTTCTGGCAGCAAGAAGCGGCGCAGATGCCTGGCCCCGCCCTGCATCAAAAATTTTTTCCCTTGCCCACCCTCTGGCGTTTTTGTTTCCCCCCTGTCCACTCGTTCACCCTCCCACTACGCGACATAAGCTGCGGCCTTGTAATAGAGGAAAGCGATGGCGTCGCACTAGAGGAGATGAACAAAAGCAGCGGTACACCACATAACCTGTGGAGGTCTCCGCCACGGGCGGGGCGGGAAGGTAGTGCAGTTGTACCGGCGTCCGCGCCCTCCGGCAATGAAGGAGTTGCGAATAGTAAAGCTGCAGGTAGGTCTTCCTCATCTCCAGGCCGGGATGAAGGCGGCAGGCTGGCGTCTCTTGCAAGGATTTTTCGCAGCACCTACCAAGACATCCGAAGTCATTCTAATTCGACGAAGACGCTGCACCGGAACATCAAGAAGTGCGGCACGTTGAACTTTTTTCAGACCGGTGAAAAACAGAAGGGAAATGTGCTACATTTGGCCACTTTGGACCCCCCGGTCGGTGGTGTTTTGCTGACGAAAGCGACGAATGACGATTGGGTGCAGCCGGAGGAGAGTTCGTGGCTGGGGGAACTCCAGGGGGGCAGGCGGGATGATGGGATGCTGGATATTACGGGGACTACCGGCGCGGATAAAATAAAGGAAAATCCTGAGCTGCAGCAGCTAGCACACCAACGTCTTCAAGATGACACAACCAGCGCCAGCGCCGTGGCAGATGAAAGCGAAGAGACACCATTCTCATCTTCCCTCACTTTTACGGTGTCCGCGTCGCAAAACCACAACTTCACCGGCAAGGTGTTGCAAAACAGCAACGCCAAGACTCAGGAAGACTACAAGCACAACAAAAATCTTCACTCCCTAAAGCCGGTGGAGCAAACGGGGAAGTTTTGGACGAAAGACCTCGCCGGCTACCGGAAACTACACGAGAAAGGGAAGCTGTTTATGTACCATTCCAAAAACGGGCACAACTACCTCGACGAAAAGGAGAAGCTGCTGGTGGTGCTACCGTTTCTGGCGAACGATCCAGAATTTCACGCAAAAATGAACACGTTGAGCGGCCCGGGGGGGAGAGCGGACCCGGAACTGCCGGAAAAAGATCGTCTGTACAAATTCGACCTCACCGACGCGCGCTTGGGTACTAGTAGACTCACGAGGACGTTCTTCTCTTCGTCGCGGTTTCTAGTACTTAGCTGCCGCTGCTGTGAAGATCAAGATCTGTGCAGATGTCGCAGAGGCCGCAACTTTATCTGCAACGGCACATGATAAAAATCAATTTGTCTTCGGGTCTGTACGAAAGAGGAACAGAAACCTTCAAAGACAGTCTAGAAAATGTCGAAGAGTACTAGCACAGCTGCAGAAAGCTAAAGCTGAGGTAGCTGACCTAGTTGCACGACCTGGAATTGTTCATAGTATATATAAGTAAAAGTTCGAGGATCTTCCATTATACGGGCTGTAGTTGCAACGCAGTGACAGTTTTTGAAACGCAAGCGCCTCGGAATTTATTTCCCTCACCAGGTCCTTCCAAGTGGAAGCTTGCCATGGACTGCAGCGGGTCTGAGTCCCGGTTTCTGAAGTGTTTCCGCCCCTTTACGGCGAACGACCCCACGAAGGGCTACGTGGACTTCGCGGAGGGCTGGAACCGGAAGCAGGACTTGATCAGGACCATTCCGCCGAAAGCCGGGTCCACCTCGGTGAAACCCCGAGTCGAAATCTCCTTCTCCACCGGGCCGCCCACCCCGAAGGGTCGCCCGGCGATCCGGATCACGAGCGAGAAGGCCTTCGGCCCGGGGTCGCTGTTCGTCGTCGACGTGGAACGGATCCCGGTGGGGGACGGGACCTGGCCCGCATACTGGACGACGATCCGGGGAGGGGTGGACGGCTGCGGCTGGCCGGCGGGGGGAGAGATCGACATGTTCGAACACGTGCAGGTACATGTAGTAATAGTTAGAAGGAAAGTTGCAGCTTCACCTGTTGTAAGTATCCTACTTCGACGAGGACGAGAGGTTTGTATCCTTAACACCAGCATATACACCGTAGATTGAACAATTTCAATTTGATTAAAACTGTTTTGCAATGTTCATGAGCATGTGCATGACATACTGGGACAAACACAAAGAACAGCACGCGCACGTGGTCAGCGACGGGAAGAAACTACTTACGACCATGCAAGTATATACAAGTGAGAATAATCAGCACCGTGGTACTGTTTGCAGGGAAGCCATTTTCTGAGCTGCACTTCTAATATAAAAAAACAGGGATGGGGCATGGAGAACATGGTTTCTACGTTGCACACCACGGCCGGCTGCACCATGCCCGTTCCGGGCATCACCAACGGTGGTAACTGCGAGGGAAATAACGGGTGCGGCGTCACTGCGCAGTCGGTTCCCTCATATCAAACAAAAAAGGTTCCTTGTCACGTTCACTCATGCGCATTTTTCCAATACAAAACTGTCTGTCATGCGTAAAATAAATGCATCACAGCCAAACTCCATAAGGGATTTTCCTAGTGTTTTTGCAGTACAAGAAAAACCTGTGATGCTGGAAAAATTTCTCATACAAAACCTGCACGTTAGAGTTAGTGACTGACAAACTTTTTTCTTTCCATACCTCAGGACACAAATTCAATGAGCAGGGCGGGGGCATTCATCTGATGGAATGGTCGAGGAACCCCCCGGCGATAAAAATGTACTGGCTAGACCGCGTTGTCGCCGAGACCCTGGACGAAGAGAGCATGAACGACGGCTCGTTCTGGGAACACATTACCAGCACGAATCAGCCTTATGTGGTACTAGTATTTTTTAACGTGTTGAACTAGTACGGTGTAGTAGTTGTAGCATAAGAACCGCTCTTGCTTGTTTCGATGACAGACAAACACAGAGGCATCTCACATGATAATTTGCATTTGGGCTTCTGCTCACATTCTACATTTCATTTTTTGCTTACACGCATCAGAGCCTCATTGGCAAACGAAAAATTACGCTTTCGACAGACATTTCCGCTCGAAGGCAACTGCCCGATGGCCAACTAGTATGAGTGGGAAGGCTTGCATAGCTTCGAGTCAAAACAAAAATCACAATGGTACACTGTCATGCACAAACCGCTACCCCTAGCCCTACCTCACGTCACGTCTTGGTCTTGCAGCATTGCCGCCAACTCGAAGTTACTTACAGCGGTGTCTGCTACTGCTTTCGCTTTTGACTCAAAGAGGTGTTTTTCTTCCCTTGTCCATACCCATTTTTCGCCCCAAACCTTTATCGTCGACACCACGTTCTGCGGCGAGTGGGCGGGCTCCATCTTCGCCCCCCCGGGGGGACCCTACGGCCCGGAGGGGTGCATTCAGACGGTGCAGGATCCGAGTTACGGGGAGAACTGGGAAACGCCCGCGCACCCGGATCTGTCGCGCCGGTTTATTTTTCGGGGCGTTCGCATTTTCTCCGAGGACGGAGAAGGTATGGATTGGGAGGGGTAAGTCAACGGAACAAGAAGAGAGTGAAGCTTGAGGAAGGACGAGATCTGTTTGTATGAATGTATTGTCATTGTGAATTTTGAATTTTTATTTTTTAGGACGTCCCAGAGCCTTGAGATTCTGTTTCTGACTACAGAGAAAATCACCGAATGTATGTAAATAACATTTTGCCTAAGTCCTTTCTTGGGGGTCCAGCACCATTCGCTACTCGACGGAGCACTCTATCTCGAACGAAAATCTGAATCATCTGTTGAAACGCTTGAGAATACTTACTACGCTTCTTCGCAAATGTTAACCTGCGTAGCATGCAATTTTTGTGTCCACGACGGTACTAGTAGTTTACATGATTTACGTTCCGCAAGACGTTATCTCTCGTCTCGACTCGTCAACCGAAAATGACACCCAGGGTGATGAAGCGGTATTTAGACAGACTGCGCTTGAGCAGCAGGTGCGGTTGTTTTTATTGGACCTAAAACTAAAGAATAAAGTCTGACCTCAGCTTGGGTATATGTACCTCAAGTTGTGGAATGCTGAGTACATAACATGATAATTTGCGAAACCACGACGAAAAACTACGGGTAGTTTATTGTAGACTAGTTGCATTGCACCCCTACACAGTGCGCCCGGGGCTATGTTCCACTAATCGCAAGGATCATAACTAAGTCGATGCTCTTTACTTCAGCAGAATTTTATTTCTACGACCCTAGACTTCTTGTTCTTACAGGAGTCGATTCAACGTTATTTCGGTTTGTCCTCGCCGTCGTCCCGTTGCATCCGCAGCAGTGTTTCGTCTTCTTCAGACATGTCGTGTTTCGTCTTCTTCAGACAGTCACTTCTAGGTTTTTAGTTCAGCTTTTCCACTTAGAAGTCAATCTCAGTATATCCCCGTCCGTTGGAGGTCGTCAAGGAAACCGTTTTCGTCCATCACGACAAAAAAGGTCTAATTGACTATCGTTCCTCTCCGAGGAGGTCGAGGTCCAGGTCCTCCATGTGTGTCGTTGTTCTCCGTAATGGGTTCTTCGCCGTCCTCCTATTTTCCGTCCGAGAGGGCTTGGTCCTCTGCGTCCATAGCTTATCGTCTTACTATTGGTCTTTCGTCATCTGGTCGTGCACCTCACGAATTAAGTACGAGTGCGAATGGCTCGAATTCTAATTGTTGTACTAGCAACGCCAACAGGCTACTTGATTCTTGTTCGGCTTCCGATGTCCGGATCATCTTCTGTTTTACTCTTTTTCAGCAGTCTTGCCCGACAGACCATTTCCATTTGAGCGCATAAAGCATTCATCACCAATGGTTTAGTATTGTCGACACTTCTATTTCGAACCCTTCAGCATCTTCTTCTTCTAGGAAGGTCCAAAATCAAAAGACATCGACGCAACCAGGACTATGTCGCCGCACTGCAACTGCAAGAGCTGCAGCGCAAAAATGTCGCTGGGCGCGAGGAGCCGCGGTGGAAAGATTGCATCTGTGGCAGTTGGTTCTGCTGCGTTACTCCACCAAGATAATCTCCTTCCGGTACACCCTGGCATGAAAATACTACAAGTAGATGCAGCTTCTGCGCATGAAGATTTTTCTACCACCCCGGCCAAGAACAGCAAGAAGCAAAAAACGCTTCTCGCCAAGAAAAATAATATCTCCTCCGCGTCCAGCACGACCACGAAGATCACGACAACCTGGAGCAGACTGAAAGCGAGCTTTTTGGCGAAGAAAGTACAAAAGCACAAGCAGCGTTGCAGCGGCGAGGACGAAGATCATAGCGCGACACGCGGCACCACAGGAGGAGCCTCTACTAGCACCACCGTGGCGAAAGTGGCGCCCCCGATTTTCGACGCGCCTCCTTCTTTGTACTACTCCAGCAATCTCGCGTGCACGGCCGCGGACGGCGGGGACACGCGGAAGTGCACGCCGAAGGGCAACATCCAGTGCCACCAGGGGACGACCGAGGGGGCGTGGTGCGACGAGAGTGAAAAGGCGTCGTGCAACGAAATGGGCGCCGCGTCCGACCGGGCAACGGACGCCGACTCGGCCGACACGGGCTTCGGCTTCATGTGCCCGCACATGATGATCGGCAGCTCCGAGTTGATCGCGGCGGCGCAGGCGGACGGGCTGGACCCGAGCGTGCACGCCTATGGCGTTGCGACCTTCGACAAACTGAAGTGCGGGCAGTGCATCGAAGTGCGGAACCGGTTGGCCGGCCAGGAGCCGCGCACCATCAACGCCCTGAAGCGCGCGCCCGTTCTCACGGTCCAGATTTTCAACTCGGTGGCGGAGGCGGTGGACATTTACATGAGTGTTGGGGGCCTTGGCGCCCACAACGGCTGCCACGCGGTGGGGGGCTACACCCAGAAGGCCTCGCAGTACCACGCCTACCCCGTGGGGGCGAACCAGGAGTGGCTGCAGTATCTGCACGAACACCACGGCTACAAGGAAGCGAACGTCGATCTTCAGCCCACGGTGATGGACGCCGTCATCGCCAATCAGGGGGGCATCCGGGGCGGCAGGTCCTACGCCGAGTGCGCGGACGCGGCCCTGCAGAGCGGGAAGGATTGGAACCACGTGCTGAACCAGTGCTGCCCGGACGGCAACGGCTGCAACGGGGGCGGGGGCATCTGCATCCGCGACAAGGCCGCCTGCGACGTCATGTTTCAGGGGAAAAGCGTATCAAATGTAAAAATGTCTGGGTCTGGAAGAATCCAAACTTGTGATGCTGCATTTGGATTCCAAAAAAATCTGTATTGCATGACCAGCAAAGGGAATGCAATTTTGGCTACGCGGAGAGGGCGTTTGTCATGCGGAATAGGTATCACGAAGCCCTCAAAAAGTCTGTGATGCTAGGGCATGCATCACAGACATCATGGCCCATGCAAAACTAGGGCAGATCACAATACAGGGCCACCCTCGTTTTCACCTCCAGGGGGGGCGCGGGGACCTCGCTTGCCATCTAGCTTGTTTCCACGCATGAGTTTTTGCATGTTCCAAGTCCTAGGACTTTCATGGGCTCACGCACATCCGAGATCGGGGGGGTAGGAGGGGGTCTCCAAGCCAAAAAAAAACCTCCCGAGCGGAAATAGGGAATTATAAGGTGCAAAACGTGCATGACAAGTCTCAGAATCTTCCAGACCCAGACATTTTTACATTTGATAAAGCGACCACACGCACCTGAAAGCGTTGGAATCCTGCCGGTGGACCTTCGACCACGACCTGCATTGGAACCGCCCCATTCAGTACGCTCGCGACATGACTTGCGCTTGCCAAGGAGTTGTTTTGGACGCGTAGAAGTATCACTTTCTCAAGTATAGTTTGCATTCATTTATTCTTTTTTTTTATTTCGTAGTGTGAGCGTGAGGGTAGCGTTACCGTTAGTGTCACCAGTACTCACAACTTCCAGCGAACCAGCAGGAGCATAAAACATGCTAATTCTATGTGGGGGGGCAGCTCACACTTGTATGAAGACGCCTATAGCTTTTGCAGCAACGCCAACAACTACCTAGCGATCGCAGGCTTCTTGTCTAGACTTGCATACCGTGTACCGCATCGTCCCCTGTCCGGCGTCCCTCGTGCGGGTGACCGGCTTGATGCCGTCCCACAGTCCGCCCATGCCCGCTGGACCAGAAGATGGGTGGCAGGACTCGAGAACGACCACGATGGAGGACTGCTCGCTTCCCACCTGCTCCAGGTCTCCAAACACCAACAACACGCCCGACCCGCCAGGCTACCAGAAGTGGCACAACGCGATGTACAGCTGCGACGTTTTCGGCGAAGTGCTGACCATGAAAAACCGGAAAACCAATCTCGACACCTGCGTGGACACCAGTGACGCGTTTTCCGCATGAGGATGTGGAGAGGTAGCTTGTTTTCTATCTGTGAGCAGTTTTGAATTCATTTGTGAATGTACCAGTTTCAGTTTCATCACCTGCATCATCACTTTTTCATCTTGTATCGATCTGTGTCTCGCTTCCCATAATACGAGAAAATGAACAATCTTCGACGAGGTGAAAATTTCTACACCTCGCAAAAGAATGCGAAAATGAAAAAACTACATCCAGTTTGACAAAGCTAGCACATGTTGAATATCAATACTTCGATTTCCATTCCATGGCATCAATGGGAACCTGGGTTCGGTTGTTGCCCATGCTTACCATCACACAATCATCTGCAGTCTCAAGCTACTAGTATCGCAATCATTTTTAACGCAATAATTTTTTCGAATCTGTGTACTACTACTAACCGAAAAGAGCGACCACAAGAGCTATCGGCCCCCAGTAAATTGCAGCGCCGTCGTCCCACGTTTAACTACATTCGGATTCGGTCGTCAGCATCGCAATAACTTCCATTTCCATCAATGACGGAACTTGTTCTTTCAGCCATTCACTATCGGTGTTTCACAAGAAATATTGTGACACGCAAGCCCCCCGCAAAGTTTGCTCTTGAATGATTTAGTTCGATTATGATTTCCTGTATCGTCGCGAGCAGACGCAGATGCAGCTCCGAGACGCCGCTTCCAGAAGTGTTCGCCTCCGCTGCATAAAAAAACCCAGGAAGCGCTCCTTTTTCTACAAAGATATAGATATGCAGAATTATGCAAGTACTTCCTCGCACCCGCACGCGCAACTGATGACCAAAAAAACTTGCAGTGCGGTCATGACTCTCGATCCATGAAGATGTTCTTTTTTCTCATTGCTGCTGTTCCTGCTGTTTCCTTGTATCCGCGATCTATCAGCACCAAGAGCTCCCGTTGCGCTTGCCTCGTCGTGTGGTCATCGTGATTGAAGGAAGATCCTGTGAAGCTTGATGACATCCCTTCTCTTGTTGATTTTGGTCCGATGGTTCTCGATATGTTTAAGTATCTCGCGGCGAATGCGGAATACACGGGAAGAAGGACTGCAACAAGCGAAAAAACAGTTCTGATCTAATATTTGTAGTTGGTGTCTTCCTAGGTGGTGGTCAAGGTCCGTCGATTTCTAATTTCTACATAATCCACTTCTAGTTCACTTCATCCATCGTGTAGTTCTCCTATTTTCAGGGTTCTGAGACACTTAAAAGACGCGCCTACTTCAAAAACTTACCGTCGTTCTTTCATAGTCATCATGAATCCAACCGCGGCTAAGGCTCATAGAAGTATGAGTGCGGGACCGTCGCCCGATACTACAGAACAAGTAAAGCAAACCAAAAGTAACAAACTACCTGATGGGTGTATCTTCAAAATGAACTTGATGGGCATAGTTCAACTACGTAAGTTACACACAATCACTGTTAATGTTATTTTTCACACATAATAACTTCGCTTCCTTGTTTCGTCTACTTTTTAGTTTAGAGATTGATGATTTCAAGCAGTCCACATTTAATTTAGAATCGTACTATTTCTACAAAAGATGTTCGACGAATCAGAAGAAGAGGAGGGACGAGCGCGGGGCTTCGCGCTTGCCTCACACGACGAGAAGACACGACCTGGAGTTCCTGACAAAGAAATTGAAAATTCCCCATTCCACCCCGAGTCGGTCCACGAGGTGTACGACCTCGAGGCAAAAGAAAACCCGAACCGCCCCGTTGCCGAATCCGTGGATTGGGTCCTCACCTTTTCCCAGCTCCGGAACTTCTCCTTGGTGATAGCCGCCGAATTGGTGAAATTGCACGACAAAGCAGAAACCGATGAACTTGTCGCGTCTACTACTTCGCGACAGGCTCAAGAAGGTGAAGGACGACTACAGCGCCGAACGGGGAAAGTAGAAGGACATCATGATGAACACCAGCAGCCGCTGCAGCTCCGCCAGCCGATCTTCGGCGTTGATGTGTCTCGGGATAGCGTCTTTTTTCTCCCCCTGCTCCTCGCAGTCTCGCGGCTGGGCGGCATGGCGGTCTTTTTTCTCCGCGCAGAGAGCGAAAGCTTGTCCCGGAAGGAACGAGACATGTACCGGAAGAGGAACGAACAGGTAGCCGCGTTGGCAGTATGAGAGTGCACTAGTATAATCCTCTTTTTTCCCCTTCATTCTTTCGGCATGCAAAATAATGCCTAGCGCTCCTGTCTGTGCGTTTGCCTCTGGTGGGCACTGTTGATCTTGATGCATTACAAAGATTCCTAAATGGACCCGAGTTTCTTGTTGCTATGAATTTGTTGTAGTTGCTGTGGGCGGCGCTCAGGCTCACGCTCCTCTGCTGCAAATGAGCGGGAGAAGGGGGAGTCGTGCACTTCCATAAGCAGATTTTCGCGTGGATGAGACCTTGTGGATGAATGAGAACTGCGAAACAGAGATTTTGCGGGAGGATGCGGATGTTGCTGTTGATTCACCTTCATCAACAACCCATCACGACGTCGAAATAGTAAACGATTACCGCTGTCGTGGTCCTCGAGCTGCCCCGGGCTTCCGCTGTGTGCTGTCAAAAGCACGGGAAACCGACCTGGAAAAGGTCGCAGTGGACTTTCGGGCAAAGACGATACAGAAAATAGTGGGCCGCAGTAAAAATTATTCAGCAACTAGAAATACGACCACGGCGAGAAGTGTCCAAGAATTAGCAAATAAGACTGATACCATCAGCAGCAAATCGACCGGCGAAGGTGCTTCTGGTTCTGGGATGCCGCAACTGGAGCTGCCCGAAGATGAAAGCCGCACCGTGGTGCAGGATCTGAACGTACCTGGGAAGAAGGTCAAAAATTTGGGCGGGAAAATATTAAATGCACATCATGCACTCGTTGAGAAGAAAAACCTGATCTTCCTGCTAATGTACACGGGTGGAACTGTGAAGGAGAAAGTCGCAACGGTCACGCACGCCATGTTTTTGCACGAGTACTGGAATTACGCGAAAATTGTGCCGCAGGAGTTGTTACTCGGATCATTAAAAACGGAAACGAAGGAGGACAACAACAGCATCTTCACAAGTTCAAGTGAGATGAACTACACGACAAAGAGCCGCGTGAACAAGCACAGAGAAGATGAACAAAGAGAAACAAGAAAGCAAAATAAAGTGTTCTGCAACACGTCGCTCTACTGGGCCGCGTCCACGATTGGGCAGATCTCGATTGCTATAGCCCTCAATGCGACGATCTTCTTCACGAAGGAATCCGGGATCGATTTCGAAGACCAGCGGGAGATCTTGCAAAAGTATCGGTGCAACATCCTCGGCGTCGCCCCGACGGTGTTGAAGTCGCTCTGTCCGAGTTTTGACGTGCGGAGGGACTTGGGCATATCAAATGCAAAAATGTCTGGGTCTAGAACAAAACAAGTTGTCATGCTCAATCTGAGTCATGTAAAAATCTGTGTTGCATGAATTCCAAAAGCTGTCCACTTTTGACCTAGTCGAGAGACAGTCTGTTCTCATGCAGGATACGCATGGTATTGGTAGAATTCATCTCACAGAATGAGAATCTGTCATGCCATGTCCTACATACCAGACCCTATGGGTCATGGAAAACCTGCATGACAAGTCTGGCACTCTGCCAGACCGAGACTCTCTTGCAGTTGATAGGGCAAAGACAACGTGGATTTGATCTTCACGTGGGGCGAAAAGCTATGCACTGCAAAAGTATCGTACTCGTAGTAATTGCAATGATGCATTACAAATCTTTCTCTGAAGCAAAACCCGCATTACAAATTTCATTTTTCATGCTGAAACAGCCTAGGGCCAACACGAAACAGCCTACATCTGTCCGAAACAGCCTAGGGCCAACACGAGCCATACATCTGTCCGAAACAGCCTAGGGCCAAGACGACGCCGTGAGGACGACCACAGGGGGTCCGTCTCAATGATGATGATGATGATGCTGAGGAAACTTGTAATGCATTTCTACGAATGATAATGCGATACTTTTGCAGTGCATAAAAGCTCCCCGACCACTTGGCCGAGAAGTTTCGGGGTGTGTGTGCGATCCGCGAACTGCTGATCGCGACGGAGTATTGGCTGTGTCTGTACCGGGACCCGTTTGATGAGATGCCCCTTGCAAGTACTGAAACGGGACAACTACAGTCGCAAGGCAGCACATCAGCCCTTCGCTTCGTCCCATCGCTGAACCTAGGTGTGAAAGTCGTGCCGCAGACGCCGTTGGATTTCAGCGAAGATGAGGAGCCACAACAAGTTGCTCGTCTGAACGATGAGCAAGGAAAAGGAAGAACCGCGCGGCCAACATCAGCATCAACTACAGCCATTGCGAAGTCGTCATCCTCTTTGACGCTAGCGGATATCGTGAAACAAGCTTCACATCAAGCGGATCTACATGGTACAAAACACAATGACTCGGCAACAGCACTACAGACCCATCGCGGAGTGTTGCATTTCCAGGGTGACTTCGTCACGCCAGGGTATTTCGACCCGGTGAAAAAAGAAGTCATTGCGAACATTTCTTCAGAAAGCAGGAAAGGCGAGGAACTGCGGGATTGTACGTCACAATCAGAAGTAGGAGGAATTTCTGATGGAGAAGATGCAATAAACAGACCGCGAGAAAAGCCTTCCACGACTGCGTGCTGGTGGAACACTTCAGACACAGTGGAGCTCGTTTGGTCTTCAAATAAATCGGCAAAAGAACCAGATCAAGATCCTTACTCCCAGGTCCGGCTGAAATTCATCGGGCGGTCGGACTTCCGGGTGAAGATTAACGGCGAAATGACCGACTTGGGGCAGGTGAAAGAAAATATTGCGAAGTATCTGGCAGAGACTGAGCAAGCACAATCAGCAGCAGGAGTTGCGAGCACCACGACGACGAGCAATTCCAATCGTTCCTCTGGTCGTCAAGAACGGGCTGCAGAAGAGCCACTTGCTGCGAAGATGATCTCGAATTCCGAGGTGGAGCTACTCCGTTTCACCGAGGTGTGGCAGCGGTACCCAGTCACTTTTCACCTGTTTGTCGCTTTGGGACGCCCGAGCAACGCGGGCGGGGAGAGAGGTGAAAATCACCACAACAAGCCTAGCGCAACTTCTTCCGCAGCTGCGCTACCAACATCCTCGCCGACAAACGTGAAAGAGATCCTCGCTATCAAGAAGCTCGTTCCTTCCGCGCCGCACATCAAGCTGCACTTCCTGCCGAGCACAGGCCTTCCACGGCACCCGGTTACTGGGAAGGTAGATCGGAAGGCGCTCAACGCGCAATTTAACGCACCGATGTTCGGGTTCCCGTTCCAGGATGCGAGGGTCAGGTGCGGAAGGCAAGAAGCGGCAGTGGGGTCCCTGCGTGAGCCTGAGCTGCCCGTTGTTGACGTCGCGGCTGTTTCGTCCCTTGCGAAGAACATGGACGCCAGCAGCGAAAAGATGTTCTCCACGACGAGGGCCCATCAGATGGGAGGTTTGCACTACAAACTGCGGGACGATGTTGAAGAAATGTGCATCAATGGCTCCGCGACAGGGGAGCGAGTTGAGCAAACATCAGCAGCCACATTAAGTGTTGAATCCGCAACAAAGACGAAGCAGGAGGAGCCGACATCGCAACACCTTCAAAATGCGACGCCACAAGAGAGAACAACGGAGAGCAGCAACTCTTACACTAGAACGTGCACCTCATCGCTACTTCCCTCCGCAAAAACGCGGTGGACAGCCATAAGAAATTGGCTTCGTGAGCTAAGCGACGAGTATTCTGACGTCTACCGGGGTGACCATCCGGTGGAGATTCCGGATTTTGTCGATCTTGTATTCGGAAAAGAAGTTGCTCAGCCACGCACTGAACAGACAGCTGTTTTCAGTGACGAGGAGGCCTGCTGTGGCGACCACCACGCCCCCCAAGATGAAATGGAAAGCGCTTCTCTCTTTCACTCCGCCAGCGTCACACACCCCGACTACCGATTGCCTTTACCGGTTCCCTGTCTCAACGCGAGGGGTTTCCAGGCCCTGGACGATCACGCGCGGCTGAATTGGGCCATCCGGCTGGAAGCCTGCTGGCGTCTCGGGCTCGGGCTTTGCTTAATACTCCTCGTGTTGACCAACGCGATCCTTGCGGTGGTTTCTGAGGAAGGTGATGTTGAGTTTTATCGACATACGAGTAGTACTAGTCCCAGCGCAACATCAAGCCCTCTCAACAACATCTTCCCCGCATCACTTCTCGCCCTGATCACAACTTTCCTATTGCGAAGGTTGTTCGGCTTTTTGCTCCTGGCTTACTGGGTCAGTTTCATGCACGCGGCGCTGCTGCAACTGCTCCAGTTCCGCACGGCCGTCAGCGTGGTTTCCCAGAGCAAGAACTATTGGCGACAGCGGTTGGACCTGGTCCGCGCCTGGTTGCGGGAGGACATCTGTCGCGAGTTTCTACTCCGAGAGCTCGGCGTGTGTTTTTTTTTCATCGCGATGGCGCTCTGCGTTCAGATGTGGGACGAGATGGAAGAACAGGAAGGAAAACTCATTCGTGCTGAAAGACTTCTACAGGGCACTGCATCTACTTCATCACAAAAATCCTCTCGAGACGACATATACGAAAATTTTTACGACACCCCGCCGGTGAATTTTAATTTTCCTTCGGTACAACTACAACTATGTGCCTCATCTCTCCTCCACCTCCCCTTGTTCACATTTCTGAAACTCTTCCTGAAACTCCTCCCAGTCCTTCTCGGGGTCCTTGGTATCCTCTCCCACGCGCTACTCATCCGGCACCCGAGCAGGCTTTTTTTTTGGCCGGTGGTGTATTGGCAGGCCATCCTGCTTATCAAATGTAAAAATGTCTGGGTTTGGAAGATTGCCAGGCTTGTCATGCACATTTTGCATGACTCCTGATGTCTGTGATGCATGCCCTAGCATCACAGATTTTGTGAGGCCTTCCTGATGCCTATACCGCATGACAAATGCTCTTTCCGTGTAGCAAAACTTGGACTCTCTTTGCTGCTCATGCAATACAGATTTTTTTAGAATCCAAAATCAGCATGACAAGATGGATTCTTCCAGACCCAGACATTTTTACATTTGATACTGCTGCAACTGGTTTCGCCGACGGACGGGTGCGCGTGGCAACTGCAGGCATCCGGATTGTTCCAGCTCGGGTGGAAGCATTTGAGGTACCTGGAAATGCTTGGGATGGCGGGTGATGCGATTCTGCAAATGATTCGGAAGTCATACTCACGCTCAACAGCAGCTACATGGCTAGGATTTATTTCTGAGGACAAGACAGGGGACGTCGGTGCACAGTGTAGCTTGTTCGACAAGAGAAGTAGACAAGAGGATGATCATGATACTACGACGCATGATGTCGAGGATGAGCGGCGCGCTGCTGGACGCGCTTCACCAGAACGAGACACGGCGGACAATTACTCACGTGGCAGAACTAAATTTTACGAGCGAAACCAAACCGAATCCCCACGTAGTTCCTCGTCCCAGCAAAGCCAAAGCTCCGCAGATGAACAAAAGTCGAAGGCTTGGTACTGCAAAACCCCGGGCTGCAACCGCCTTCAGTACAAGGACAGGTATTTCAATCCCGAGTTCACTGACCCGCTTTACAAGCAGGACGAAGGGTCGGTGCTGCAGGCTGTGGCTGGAAGTAGTAGAACGTCGGGTGATCATCAGAATGGCCACGGTAGTAGTTGTACAAAAATGCAAAGTAGCAGCTCGTCCGCGACAGAAGACGAGAAGGAAAAAGACTACCAGAAATCCCGGCGGTGGTTGGGGTACTGTAGTATGTGCTGGAACGAGAAGAGGTTGACGTATTTGCAATACAGCGTCAACTGTGTCGGGGAGCTGCAGAGGTTTCTCGCATCTTCAAATAACGCAGCTTGTAGTTCCTCGTCAGGAAACGATGAAGAAAAAGACGGCGAAAAAATTCGTGCCCAAATCCTACTCAGGGACGACGATGACTCGTCATCTTCAGACCTGTTCACTGCAAAGCTGGCTACCTGCACAGACGCGATAGAGTTGCCCAGTGCCGTTTTTCAAAAAGCGAAGGAGCAGACGCAAGGTCAAATGCTTGTTGGTCATCATCTCGAGGACGCGTCGTCGAAGCAGGATAATTGTAATTTTTATTCTGCCGCCACCGCCTGGACGAAGGAAGACGAGGAGTTTTGGAGCCGGAAAAAAGTGGTTGACGGTAGTGAAAATAATCTCAAAGGGACGTCTATCCTGAGTAAAAACGTACCCACACCAGAGTCAGGATGGGGAATCTGCTAGACAAATCAGCCAGCTTTGGTTGTTTGGCATGACAAGTTTGTCCGCGTAGTTCTGGTGTGGGTAATCTGCTAGACAAATCAGCCAGCTTTGGTTGTTTGGCATGACAAGTTTGTCCGCGTAGTGTAGTGCTGTTTGAGCTAGTTTAGCAGCATTACAGATCTAGTATCTCGTGCTGATTGGAGCATGACAAATTTCAAAACCGCATTAGAAAATGCGGGGCTCCGCATGAGAAACATTTTAAGCATGCAGAGTTGCATGACAACTATGGTGTGGGTACGTTTTTACTCAGGATAGCCTCGAGATTTTACGACGACGATGAGGATGACGAGGCGAGGTGGAAATTGCCGGTCTTGAAGGAAGAGGATCTTGGATTTTTCTCTAAGTTTTGTCTCTCCTTCAGCGGCAAACTCGAGAACCTGTTCCAGGAGTCGTACTCATTTACGTCAGGCAAGGACGACAATTCACCTGCAGACGAGGATAAAACTGCAAGCGAGAATAAAGCAAAAATCAACCTGTGGAGTTGCTTTCGAGACGTGTTCTGGAGCTTCTGCGTGGACCTCCCGGTGACTGGAGCGCTTTTTCTCGCAGGATTACAACTTTTGGGCTTCGTTTGGGTAGCTGGTTTTGTCGCAGAGAGGGCGTTTGCTTGGATAGTTTCTACGGACAACGACGGAGATGAAGACGCAGAGGCTCCTGCTGGTGTTCAGATAAATCCTGGGAAAATAGTAAAGCACCGACAAGAATTTCATGAGAAGTACTGGAATTGCGAGTCCTGGATTAAAACGTGCGACTCACTGCTCGCGTCAATTCAAGTCGAGTTTGCGCAAGCTTGTGCGGCGCTCAACGCTGCTCCTGCTGAAAGCGGTACATCAACTAGGGTTACCAGTGCACCAACGTCCGAAATTTTGAACCAGTTCGTGCACTCTAACCGAGGGTTCGGAAGCGTCGCGGCTTCTTCATCGTCATTCTGGCGCACGACCAAACACCTACCTGCTCAAGGCAACGCGGAGCGCGCCTCCCGCGATGGTATATTACTAGCGACCTCGTCCTCCACGTCGAAGAAGCAGACAAGCCAGGAACTTATCGATCCGACAGAAGAACGCACGACGATTACTCCGACAACCTCAACGGAGAGCAGCAATAAGCGCCCGGTTTTGTTGCAGGAGGACCTGATCCTGGCCCACAGGACCACAGAACAAAAGCAGAAACGCGAGGATCAAGATGGGTCTAGCAACCTACAGCAAGAGCGTGCAGCTGATCGCCACGGCAGCTCAAGCAGCTCACATGAACAAGATCCGGCGGCATCAATAAACAACTGGTCCAGTTGTAACTATGTCGATGTAGATCTTGTCAAGAATGGCGATAATTATGCAAAACTCCAGAATTGTGGACAGTGAAGAAGGACAAACACACAGATCCGGTGTGGTTACAGTAAGGGCTTGGCTATTCCTCTTCTAGTGCAGTAAAGTTCCTGTTGAAAGTTCCTTTCTGTTTTGGATATTGTGTTGTTGGTGAGATATGATCTCATGTTCCTGCCACTAGAAGAGACTTGTATGTGTAGAGACAGCATGCATTAGCTGCCTCGAGTCTGGCTACTCCATCTGCAAGATGATTGAAAACTACGCCAGGTAGAACCAAGGATGACAAACGCTAAAGCGGCCCTCGTACGGTTGGAAACTCCCACGCAGTTTGTTGCGTGCTGATGAAACTCAGTGAAGACCTTGCAGGCCATGCTTGACAAAGGTACCTTTCCTCTCAGTTGTTGCAGGCAGGTAGTGCTGCTACCTGTGCTCTCTTCGGAGCCCACAGTTAGTAGTGCCCCCTGTCAGTTGTTGTTTCATTCCATGCTCCACATAAGCGATACGAAGTAGAGGCTGTAAATGATGGAGATCCGCATGTGTGCGAAAAAACAGATCTGCATGAGAAAAATGATTAGCGTATTTGGTGCACAATCTGGAACTATATCCCCGACACTCGCCTCACAACATACAGTGCCCAGTTTCCAAAAATGCCTTTCGCATGCAGCTGTAGTTAAAAAGCTATCACCTCCTCGTGTCGTTAGACTCCACCTGCGCTGTAAGTATCGCCCTGGAAAAATGCCCCCAGCCCCGATCCGCACATGCGCGAAGTGCGCAGAGAAGGAAGCTGATAATCAAGCTCTCCTTCGTGAGCGCTCTGAAAAGAATGAAGAAATCGCGGGATGGGAAAAGCGCTGGAAAAATGACTCTGTATCCATGGAGAACCAGCAGGAGCTCGCCTCTGTTCGCTTACGCCTGCGTGATGCGATCAAAGGCAAAAACAAAGCCATTATTGAGAAGAATGCCTTGAAAGAGGAGAAAAAAGAACTAGAAGAAAAGTATGAGGAATTGGAGAAAGAGTGCCAATTAGCTAATGCGCATGCGTTCCTTGGCGCGGAATGTGTGAAAAAAGCGCTGTGGCTGCGCGGTCAATGTAAGAGACACGAATTTAAGGACCTCTTAATTTGTGATCTCCCGCATAAGAAGACCCCATTCACAAACGAGCACCTAATCGCACAGATGCTCCCGAGTGATGAAGTTGCTGGCCCCCTGCCAGATCGTGAATCCTTAGAGAAGATGACTGATGCGGTGCTCGACCAGATGTCCGATTTTCTCGGTCGCTGGTCGACCGATGAGCACTCGTTAAAAAAGAAGGAAGCCTCTAGCTCTAGTAAGAAGAAATAAGAAAACGTTAAGAAGATTCCTGATTACATTCGAGAAACATCTATGTCGTCACTAGAGCGAATTGAACTAGCTGCCTTGCACTAGAGCGAGTTGTACTACGTATCTATTTTCTCTTCTATTCATCATCACTTATCGAGGGACACGGAGGAGTATCTACGTACCAGTTTTTAAGATGTACACAACTTCACATTTACAAATGCATTTGATAAAAATATAGAGCCAAGCTATCGTCATCATTCAGAAAACTAGCACCGCCACCCGTCACCTCCACAAGATGCTGACAGTGCTAGTCACAGCAGTGGCGACATTGTTCGTCACTCCTGCAAGCTACATCATGCCGGTGGTAGCCGCAACGTGGTCGTCGTGCACTACTCGTGGCGGTCACTTCAGAATGCTCATGTTCTTTTACGGGACATCTGAAGTATTTACTTGATATGTGATGCCCTCTTAGCACCTTCCATGAATGCACAAGTCTGTCATGACAAATTGCATATGTGAACTAATCCAACAATCAAATATTCCCAGGTCCGGATCTTGCTCGCCATGGCCGCATTTTCTTGGATGTTGGGAAACGAGGGCAGGATTCTCACCTACGAAGGATGCATTGTCGGATGCCTCCAATATCTACTGTGGCAGATGGCAGAAATTGCGCGTAGTTACTACTTTATATTTGATATGATGACGATGACCATTTACAAATGCATGGCATGGAGCATGACAAATTGATGCGATGGTACGAAAATGCTAATCGAAATGTATCCAAACTTGACAAAACAGGTTGCTGCCGAGGAATAATGAGCAACACCCGCAGGATCCGTTTCATGCTCCAACAAAATAATCACGGTGAAGCTGTGGTAGTGCAAAATGACTTGCAAGTCATTAACAACGATGACTAGAGTGAGTGGTGTATCTCCACCTGCTCTCGAAGACCTTTTTTTTGTCCTCAAGATGAATGAATCATTCCTCAGCTGAAAAGTGCTTCTTTTCATCAGCAGGAATCAAACAATCGAGCACTCCCAGCCCTGCACTTGTGCAGTATTACCTGTAAACAGCATAGCAGCCAAAGCCATGCTGTTAGCCATCATTGTGTTTGTTCGTTCCTATGACGCAAATTAGCATTGCAAGCCAGTACAGGATGAAAAACAACATCACGAAAATGTGACAGAGACTGGCATCACAGACTAGCACCAGAGAGCCGTACCATCTACATCACAAAGTAGAATATAAATACCTATCTGCAGCATTACAGGTCTACCCGCAACTGCCGAGTGATTACAGAGTGAAGCAGAGAAAAACCACAAGAGAGATAGAGTGTAGAAATCGAGAATCAGCTGCACGAGGGGAGATGGAAGAAATAGAGAGATACAAACAGATGCGTCTTCCATTTCTTCTTTCCAAAAAACACTGTAGGGCTGAAACTTTTTCGTGATCATAGACAGAAACCTTGAAAATGAAGTTTTGGTCCTCCGAATAGCTGGATTTCTCCCCAGTGAAGATGACAGGACGTAAAAGCAGTACCGCTGAGAAGCGGAAATCTGCCGTAAAGGTATGCCCTTTCTCTAATGATTACTTTGGTTTATTGTTTTGATTTTTGCTTCCGACAGTATACAGAAGTTGATGTCTTATCACCATGACAAAACCAAATTAGCATAACAAATTCCATATTTGATCATGAGTCCTTGAATTATTATCAGGACGAAGCCCAGCATAAGCCGAGCCCCACGCCGAAAGCCAAAGCCGCTGTTGCGAAAGCTAGATCGAGGTCAGCATCGAGAGAGAAGGATGAAGGACGTGACACAGACCACGCTATCGACAAGAACGTGACGCAGCCCGCGACATCGCCAGAGGACAAGCCCCTGACACAGTCCACGACAGCATCGCAGGTGAAGACCGTGTCGCAGTCCTCGTCCACGACAGAGGTGAAGAGCGTGTCGCAGTCCTCTACGACACAGGAGATGAAGGGCATGTCGCAGTCCGTGACGCACGACGAGCAACCCGCAGCAAGCAGTGTAGCGACACCCGCCCGAGCAGCTGGGAGTAGCACAGCTGCAACCATCCCGGCGTCAGCAGCAAAGCCGTCACGTACAGCAGGCGATGAACTGCAACAGGCGGCAAAAGCACCACCTCCCGCCCCCTTGCCAGCAAACGGCTCACTTGCACCGCTACAAGTGATGCTTACGCAAGACTCGACCCTCGGCTTCTCCCTGAAGCCGGTGCCGACCACCGTGGCGGCGCCACAGCCACAAACGGTGCCATCGATCGATGACAGGCTAGTCATCGACACTGCAGAATTTGGCGAGATGAACACGCTGGTGCAGCAGTTTGAAGAGGAGGGAGCGCTCGCTCCGCTCCCCCCGGGCGTCTGCGATGACGATGAAGCAGAACCTAGCGTCGTCAACCCCACCACCCCCAAGGTAAGTGATATGGTGTTGAGCAGCACCAATAGTAAAGGGGTAAAACTCTTTGACCTGGGACAGGTCAAAAAGGCAAGTTTAGCCTCGGGTGAGCCAGTGGAGAAGAAGCAAAGGAGAGCTTCCTTTGCAGGAAGCGACCAAGATGTGCAGTCACAGCAGCAGACGAAGGAACCCTCCCCCCTGGACCCGAAGCCGTCAACTAGTTGCATCGCCTCACACGTCAAGTCGGTAGACGTTGCAGGGCTACGCAGCATCGGTGCTTCTGACGGGGAGATCCAGATGTTCCTCTGTGACACCCACGCTCAAACGCTGCTCGCCGAGTTCCAGGAAATTGCTGATAAGACAGGATCAGTGCTGTCTGACCAGGCATACCTGGACCTGTTGCCTCCGCCCGGATACATCAGTTCCGGTAGGCAGGTAAAAGTAGCTTTCGAGTCGGGCCCCACGCGGATAGGAGGTGCAGGTGTGTACGCAAGATTGAGCGACCCCCGCGGGTCACTAGCACCGCTGTGGGCCGCAGAGCTGGACAACTGTGACTTCTCCTTCAGGCAGACAGCAGCATATTTGTGGAGAATCGCTAACGCAATTGCACACGACCTGGACCAGAAAATAGTGCTTGAAAGAAGTACGCAATTCTTGCGCCTCATGGTGTACGACTTGAACATCGCGCCGTGTCCGCAAAAGCCCGTGTCCGCAAAGAAATTGTGGCGAGAGGAGATCCTCTGCCAATTTGCTGCGAAGGATCCGGTGACGTTCGCGATCTACGTCTTGACCGGCCGGCTATTCGACGTGAACACCTTCACAGCGAAGTACGGGAAAGAGAAAGCGAAGAGCCAGAAGATAAAGCTGGAGACGCAGCGAGACTTCCGGCTAGGAGTCACAGTCACAAAAGTGGCGACCACGGGCTGCCAAGACACCGAGAAACTCTCGATCTCCGATGTCGACCGCCTGTGGAGAAAAGACCTCGACGTCAACGGTCAGCTCCTGCCGATTGGAGATGTGGTGAAACAGTACGTCCTTTCAGGAGCTTTTCTCCGCCGCGCGTGGCCAGTGCTCGTAGCCAGCGACTGGTACAACGTTGCTGCGCTAGCCGAGCTCCTGGGCGAGAAACTACACACCATCCTGTATGCGCACCAACTGTCGTTCGAGACGCTAAAATTGTACAACATCCTTCCTGTTTCCGTGGTATCGGAAATATTCGAGCTATCGAGTATTACGTGGGTCAAGTTGCTGTACCCGCACATGTCCGACCTCGGAATGGTGCCCTTTAATGTGGTGATGGACAAGTTCCCGGTCGTGCATCCGACCGCGACCAACGTAGCGATGCACATGATCATGTACACCTCGCAGTTTTGGAAGAAAGATGGTGTGCGCATCACGACAGCCAACGCGGTAGAGAAGAGATTCCCGCACGTCGGTGGCAGCACAGATCCAGCCCGTGTCTGGAATGATCATATTGAGGATATGTTGGTGATGTGCATGAGCAATCACTTCATGGAGGGTCTCAGCCCGCTCTTGCACTACCAAGACATTCTCCCGCGCGGCCGGCACATGTACCACAAAAATCTGACGTACCAGAATTCCGCTGCAGTGAGCACATATCTGGACCCTGTCACCCTCCTGCCCACGACCGCACTCGACGACCGCACCACGCGGCCGAACAATAAAGTGTTCAAGAGCATCTGCCAGGAGAATGCGTACTTTGAGTCCAACCCGCGCTCGCGCACCGAGCACATGTACATGGGCCGGTTCGCCCGGTCGCAGGCCCTGTGTCTCACCATCACCAAGCACATCATCGATGACATCGGAAACTGCCACAGCAATGACACCTTCGCGCCGACCACAGCGTCCAGGATGTCAGTGCAGCAGCCTCTTTTGCCTGAGGTGCGAACAAGATCTGCTGTACAAGCCCCGATGCTTGACGAACAGATAGCGGATGACACGCCGGACGACGCAGCAGAAGCGACGAGAATTCAAGAGCAGTTAGCCGCTGGTGCAATCGATGCTGATATGCACCTCGAAGAATCGGAAGAGGAGTTTCTCTTTCATGACTCCATCCAGGAGCAAGAGATGTTGCTGTCAGATGCGATGCAAAACAGTCGCAAAGGGGTGAAACGGAGCAGGCCCGCGAGCTCCGCCCCTGCAGCCGCACCTGCGGCATTCGCGTCGTCCTCGGCATCGTCTTCCTCGTCCGCCCAGCCGAAAATGGACCCCTTGGAATTGTTCAAGTCGAAGTGCAATTCGGCATTTGGGAAAGGGAAAGGAATGAAAGGTAAATCCGCAGGCAAGAGCAAAGGGAACTTCCATCACACTCCGACCGGTACAGGCCTGTTCCAGAATGAGATCACCCCCGCTACAGCAGGAGTAGATGACGATGAGGAGTACGAGCCAGAAGCGGAGCCTCCCGCGCCAACATGGGACTGGCAGAATGCCACGGAAGAGGATCTCTTCCCGGCGGCACAGCGCAAAGGCAAAGGCGGGAAGGCACCGATGGGATCCATGTCGGGCAAGAAAGGAGCACGGTCGCACCCGTACTCCTCCCCGTCGGCGCCAGCAGCACCGAAACTGCACCCCAGTGTCTGGCACTATGGAATTCCATCCCAGGGTGCGTGCAACATGCACCCGTCAGCAGCCATGTACCAGCCATACGCGTTTCAAGATCCCTTTGCTCCCCACCACGCCGACAACTTTCACCTGCTGCCACCACCAGTAGAACCATCCACCGCGAATGCGTATGGTCGGTGCACTCGTCGCGCAGGACGAGTTGCGATCGACGAGTGGGGGTATCCACTTATTGAAGATGCAGAATCCCCAGCAAACTGGGATTATACATCTTCTATGCATTACAAATTTCCTCCCACTGCTCTTTTCTCCCGAATTATAGTGTTTAGCATAGGATATTCTGGCTAGGGTGTATTCTTGTTGTCTAGTATTACAACAAGCCTGGTGATGACCATCTTATGATGTAGCCAAGTGCAGACTAGCGCTCGGTGTAGGGCACGCCTAAATTGTGCCGGCGCGCCTAAATAGTGCCAGTCGGTAGCATGGTGACAGACAGCAGAATTCCCAGGAACTTGATCTGACGCAGGCTATTTTGTATTTTCCATTTGTGAAGAAATACAAATATTTGCCCGAATCAAGTATTTAGCATACCGTATTCTGGCTAGGGTGGTCTCCACTTCCTCACGTCACCAGAACAGCTGCGTGATGAGAGCAACCGAAAGGATTTGATCCGTCCTGTGACAGACTAGCGCTCGGTGTAAGGCACGCCTAAATAGTGCCGGCACGCCTAATTAGTGCCAGTTGGTAGCATGGTAACTGATAGATGGGAACCAAACTCTGACCAAAGCTGGTTTTTGGTCCCCCCTCGTCCGTTGCACAAGCTGCGCTGTAGCGCGCGCACAAGAGAATCGCTGCGAGCTCAGAGCCTAAATTTCATGTCGCCATCAGCCTGCAGGCTCGTCTGCAGTGTGGTGTAGCACTAGTTCTCATCATCTCAGCAATTTGTCGTGCCCACTTCGGGCATCACCTCTATAGGTAGCCAGAATATGTCATGCTAAACACAGAATTAGCAAAAGAAAAGAGCCTCTCCTCCGCCTGCATACCAGTTGAAGATCAGGAAGCCTTCATCGCCGCCGCCTCGTTCGAGATGTACTGGAGATGCACCGGCACCGCGACAGACGCGCAGACAGTAGTCTTGAACTGTCTCCTGTTCCGCATTCTGATGCGGATTGTGATGACGAAAATAGGACTAGAGGCCTACGAGATGTACTACTCCGACGAAGAACTAGCAGCATCCACGAAGTCCATGTTCTGCACCAACAAAGCCACGCTAGCATATGTAGCCTCTCAGCGAGTCCTAGCCGTCAAGAAGACCATGGCGCAGGCCGCGGTGGTGTTATCGCTGAACGGATTTAATCCGAAGAGTTATTCATCCGAAGCCGAGGTAACAGGTGCTGTTAAGGTAATGGCAAAGCCACCCTTTTCCGACACGTCCTTGGTGACCGCCATGCTCACCCTGGGAAAGACGATGTTGACAGCAGTCGCGTGGCAATATGCATTGCAAAAGTGTACTGCCTCAGGATTCTTGTCTGCATGCTTGTGATGCTAATTTGAATTGTGATTGCACATTTATAATGCTGGGTCAGTACATCTTCACCCAGCATAACGTAGGAGCAGAAACCAAAGTGAACTGCACCTTCCTAGGTCTTAAAACTGAGACCTGGGCAAAAGTGCAAAAAAGCTGCGAAAAGGTTTTCGACACCCTTGCCCTCAATGAGGGCAAAGAACATGAACTGGAACTGAAAGAAGCCACCACTATTTCCGATAACCTCTCGTCTACGAAGTTGATTTCCGCCCTCGTCGCGGCCTCCGACGTTTTCCCACAGGACAGCCTCCTTGATCGCCTTGTGGAGCTCGAAGACAGGTTGAAGAACACGTTCGGAATAGTTACTGCAGTAGAGAAAATGCAGAAGCGGGAATTGATAAAGCACATGTCCATCTACCTCTCTGGGCTCAAAAAAGCCCTGGTGACGCCTTCGATCGACGACATCGTGGTGTGGCTGAACAGCAGGAGATCGTTGATTCCGTTCGCACAGAAGGCCACGATCACCACGAAAGGCAAGAACAAAGGGAAAGGTAAGCAAAAGAAATCGTGGACCGTCACCAAGGACAATGAAAAAGGGAAGACCAAAGGTAAGGGTAAAAACAAAAAAGGAAAAGGAAAAGGTAAAGGAGGTGCAAATTCCTCTGACTTTGCCTCTATGGTGGATGATTATTCTACGAGAAATGGTTGTACTCGAGTCAGCTTGCGATTACCTACGCATGACAAATGCTTGTCCTCAGGGAAAGCAGTATGATACTTTCCCTCTCTCCTCGTCAAAATTGCAATGCAACTGGTACTAGCACAGCATTTCTGCACTTGCATATCAGCGGCGCCGCGACCATAGCAAAAGTGTTCAAGATGGACAAACAACGGGTGCTCCGCGAATGCGGATGCGTCATGTATGTCCTCGACAAAAGACGCATCACGGTACCTATTTACTACAGCTTATTTTGTTTTGTAATATTTAACTGTTGCCCGAACTGATGTATTTAGCACACGTCATTCTGGCTACCTAGACCTGAGCTCTTCGTAAGATATTGCGAAGTTGTGTGGGCGACTGGCCAACGCCGCTAACACAACGGTGGCCAAGTCGTGGTTCAGGAGCCGGATATGGCCACGACTAACCACCCGCCTTTTCTCCCCATCATTGTACTAAAACAAACTCCCAGGTTGGTGGAAAGCAGTGGTACTGCAAGCACAAGTCCGGCCACGAAACCGAACACGCAACTGCTGACGCATGGTGCGAGGAGGTGGAAAAGGTTAAGAAAATGCGTAGCTGGGACGAAGAAGAGGAGGATGAGTAATTGACTCATCCTCCTGTGATCAAGTTTTTTCTTGAATCAAAATGAATGAAGAGCCAAGGATGCTCCGAACGTGTGGCTATGACTACACAGAAAATGTACAGCGTAGTTTTGCTGGAATTGAGACTTCGTATTTTCTCAGTAAATGAACGGAAGAATTGATGTGTTTTTGTTAAAATCAAAACCAATTTGAGAACAAGAACACGCTTGCTAGCGTACTCCCGCCAAACCACGCTGCAATCAGCCCTTGTCTCATGGTGTGCAGCATGTGAGCGTGCAAGTAGTCTGCATCACTCGGTCTAGAGCGAAAAACAGCAACATAGCAATCTGTTGAGAGCATGTGAAGCTAGAACATAGTGCTACCTCACGGAGTAGACACATGCTGAGCGAACAGAGCGTGAGTGACAGAGTAAAAAATGTACAGAGCACGCCTTTAAAAAAACTAGTCCTCAAACGCTGTAGGGTCAGAGAGGTTGTTCTTTGTGAGCACAGCAGCACATCACAAAAATGAAGTAAAGAAGAAGTTGCGTCTAGCACGCCGCCGGAAAAGAGTACCCGCTTTTACTAAAGTCAAGTGTCTTTCTTTGCATCGAAACTTGTGTCATGATTGCATTCTTCTGTTGCCGTCGATGCTTGAACGCAATTCCCATCTGAAATTTGAGAATTGCAACACAACCACAGGTACACGCCCGCTTGTCTTGACCATGGCCGCACACCTTGCACGCCACCGAAGGCACGCCCAGCATGACTACTCGCAAGACCTTGTGCAAGTAGTCCGCAATGTACGAAAAGCCTCGTGCAGAGAAGAAAAGAAAAGGGTAAGCCCCTTTTTCTTTTCATGACTTCTCTGCTGCAATAGAAACTTTCATTCGGCCCGCGATGCGCTAAGGCAGGCAGCCCAGCAATAATAGACCAAAAAAGTGTTATTCGGCTTTTTTGCCCGAAGTTGAGTAATTAGCAAAGGTAATCTGGCTACCCTCCTTTTAGCTTCCCCATAGGAGTAACAAGCCGCGGTAAGTGGTACAGGGGGACGCCCCTGATCGCTAGTCCTAGCCACTCGATTAGGACAGTGCAGCATGCCGTTACTGAACCAGTGATGATCCGGGAGGGAACGTACAACCCTTCTGGTGAGCTGACAACATCAGGTCCCTGCCAGTCGCTAACGCCGCAAGGCAACCTCTGCGAACGGCTAGCCCACCCCGCGCAGCGCGCTCCCCTTTTTTCCGCGCAGCGCTCCCCCCCAAATGAGCTATAAATATCGAAAATGCCACCTTTTTTGCCCGAATCGAGTATTTAACAGACGAATTCTGGCTACCCGGTTTTCCGTTTGCTCTACTGGTCAGAAGCCGCGTTGGTGGTATGGGGGGACGCCTCCTTTCGCCTAGCATCGTAGCCTACTCACACCAGCAAGATCAGGGTCGCTCCCTGTCCGCCTGGCAGTCCTCGGACACCTTCACGTTGGGCTAGGTCCACCGCGCGCACGGCCCCCGGGTTATTTTGTCTTCCCCAATCCTCCTCTCTTCCGTGTCAAGTCTGTGCTGGGCTGCCGACCACCTAGCCGTAGCGCTAACTACTAGGACATGCATAACAAAATGCATCACAGATACTTACGGAGGTCGCGGAAAGGATGTCCATGGGTGTAGAGGACGTCATCTCCAAGAAAAATCTAGATAGTGTGAGACTGGGCCACGCACAAGACCTAGAGGTCCAGCCCGCGCATGTGAAGGACTTAAATATTTATTACACAAAGTGTGGTAGCACGGCGCTCACGACAGATGTCAAAGCGCCCGCCCTGCTAGCAAATATTGCAAGAGACTGCGATTTCGCAACGCAGGAGGTACGCGACAGGCTGTTTGGCTTCTATGACAGCGATCAGCTCTGGCACCCGACAGGCCACTTCAGCATGGGGATTCCAGTTAGAGGGATAATAGATAAGTACGGCCTCTGGGAAGGCGCAAAAAACCTGTCAGACGACGAAATTCTTAGACTAAATAACTGCCCAGTCACCCCCGAAGCTAGAGACCTGGCACGAAAAGAATTCTCGACGGTAAGGCGGAAGCCATACCCTTTCGAGACGCCAGAATTGCTGGAAAAAGGGATAGAAGAGATCAATAGGAATATTTTTGATCCGTCGAAGCCAATAGCGCCAGACAACAGTCCAGTGCTGTGGCCGACGAAGTCGCCAGAAGAAGTAGAAAAAGACCCGAAGGCCGTGATAATACCGGTCTTCACCCTAGGCCAAAAATTCTGCCCGATAGGGCAATTTTACAAAAAATATCGCATCATAGCAAACGAAAAGCACATCAATAACAAAATGTCCGCGATACAGGAACACCTTAGCCTTAGCGACTTCCCGACAATCGTCGATGCAGTGCAGTCTGTGATTGCCCCGGGGTGTGACATCCCAGTGGTGTTTCTCAAGAACCACCTGTACACGCAAATCCTAGAAAATGCTGACACAGGAGCTTCTTGGGAAGACATAGATAGGATCAAAGGAGGGTGGAAGCCACCGGATAACTCCGATGGCTTTGTCCCATGCTTGTCGAAACTAGATTTGTACCAAGCGTACTTTCAGCTAGCGAACAATGAAAGTGAAAACTACTACATCAGTGTAATACGCCCAGATGGGTCCGTAGAAGTAGTGCGGAATACAGCGCTTACATTTGGCAATTTGCATTCGGTATTCCACTTTGTAGGCAGCTCGTCCGAGTTGTTACAAAAAGTCTTACGTTTTTACTTAAGAGCCCCCTTCTACGTGTACATCGATGATATTATCAGCATGATGATAGCCGTGCTTGCTGCGCACGCACTGTCGTGTGCCAAGCGGATAGTGGCCGCACTAGGCTACGCGCAGAGCGACAGAAAAGATGAGGTAGGTCGCATAGGACAGACTGTAGAAGTGTTAGGCATTAACTACCGCCCCGAGCAGGAGAGCGCACACTTTGACATGCCCCCAGACAAAGTGGTGTCTGCGCTGGAATTGATAGATGACTTCCTCATCCTTGTAGCGTGTTGCGCTGTGACGTTAGTCAAAACACAGCGGCTACTAGGCACCCTGATCCACCATCTGTATTTTCGCAAATATGCGGATTGTGGCGCAGCGATCTCCTTGATGAACAGGCTCACGTGCCCGCGCGAGCAAGGGCGTATGAACGCGCCCCAGCAAGGAGGCACACGAAAAGCAGCATCGGTGCTGCTTCTGCAAACCAGAGATGCTATCGAGAAAAACGCCCCCTTTACACTATCAGCAGCTATGGTACATGAGCAGTGCGCTGAACTGTATACAGACGCCGCACAAGACGACGATGGGATATGGCTCGGAGGCGTCATACACAGAGACGACTCCGTGCCGTATTACTTTCGACTGTCACACTCGAAGCTAGTAAAAAACTTCGAGCTGCCCACACGGCTAAAAAACCGGAAAATATACTTCTATGAGCTTCTTGCAATTTTCGTAGGCCAAGTTCTGTTCGAGCAGATGCTCAAGAACACAGTAGGAATATCGCATGTAGATAATATAGGGGCAGCCTTCGCAGTCGTGAAAGGAATCGCCCACGACGTACCGGGGGCAGTGATGGCATCCCTGATAACGCGCCGCAGGCGCGATGATAATAACAAAGCTATCACGCACTACGTGCGCAGCAAGCTAAATCATTCAGACGCAGTCACACGAGATAGACAGCGCGACTTTGAGCTGTTCCTGTCGAAGACAGGAGCAGTGCATGTTGATGAAATTCTCCCGGACTGGGCACAAAAACTAGGTGAAGCCCTGCAGTTTGTGTCGTCAGAAATCGAGAAATTTGAAAAAATTGTGAGCAGTTTGTGAAAAGATATTCCCTCACCTCAGGTGCAGCGAAGGCCAAAAGCACAAGCAAAAGAGCCCAGGCGCCCGAACTCTCGTGCAGCGAACCTGTTCAGAGACCCAAAAGTAAAGCTACGAATCGATGAAGAACTTCGTGTGTGGCCAGCTGAGCTTTCGTACGGCTATGACTACGCAAGAAATAGATCGTGCAGATGGGCAGCGTTCGTAAGCTGGTTTAACGTGAACTACACGAAGAAAATTAGAATACCAAAATATAATGAGCCGCTGGCTACGCTCCAGTGCCCGGAAATGACGTTCATGTCAGAACTATACGCGTATGGTAAGCACCTGATAGACGTAGAGCAAGGGAATTCGTACCATCTACACATCAGCACAATCGCACAAAGGCTAAAGCAGATCAATAAGCTAGAATCCAGGTCCCCGCTCGCCCACGAAAATCAGTGGACATGCTACGCCAGCCTGAATAGACTCAAAGCCCAAGCAGACCCACAAAAAGCCACCCCCGTCTCTAGGACGCAGATGCAGGGCCTTCGAGCATCAGATCTGATACTAGTAAAATTTTGGATCGCGACAGCATTTCGCATTAGTAGTTTTGCACCAGTATCAAGCGAGTGCATCTATGACATAGGAGATCAGGATGGAGTTAAGTGGGCAGAGATATNTCGCGACAGCATTTCGCATTAGTAGTTTTGCACCAGTATCAAGCGAGTGCATCTATGACATAGGAGATCAGGATGGAGTTAAGTGGGCAGAGATATCAGGCGGACGGACCGCCGCCGGATTTTTCCGCTAAAACGCGGCTGAAAAGATGCTAAAAGAAAAAAAAGCGGCCCCGGGGCCGCGCGCGAGGCGGCGAAGCTTTTCCGGGCTGGTGCCGGCTCGAAGGGGGCTGCGGCCCCGCCGGTCCGGAGGCGCGCCCCTACCCCGGCCTTTGCTTCCCGGCGGGCCCCCTCGTCGCGCGAGGCCCCTCGGCTTCCCTTTGGCGGCGTTTTGGCGGCCCCTTCTCTTCCCCGCGTTGCATTTGGCCGGCGCGGCGGCCCGGCTCCCTTGGCGCCCCACATTCTTTCACCGGGGGGTTTGTTTTGGCAGACCGGCCGGGGGGCCCCCGGAGGTCCGCGGGCCGGACCCGGAAGCCGGGAAAAACCCGGGGAAGCCGACCCGGTAAAACCCCAGAAATGGCCAAAAAAGGAACGCGCTAAAATTTTTAGCAGACCCCAAAAACCGACGAAAATTGGCAGGGGGGGTACGAAAACCCTCAGGAATGATTAGGAAAAATTTTAGCACGAAATTAGCAGAGAATTAGCAGACATATTAGCAGACTTTTTAGCATGTTTTCAGCACCAAAACCGGACCCCAAACTTTACAAATTAGCAGAGGTTTAGCAGACTTTTAGCATATTATTAGCATACTATTAGCATATAATTAGCATGATCCTCGCGGACCGGCAGCCCGGTGAGAATCCAAAGAATGCGCCAGCAGGGGATCCCGGAAAGCGGGGGGGCGTTTTTGGGGGGTTCGTCCGGTTCTCCTCGGAAAGTTTTTTTGTCCGGCTCCGGGCAAAGGACACTGGCGGCGATTCCAGCTGCGAGCAGAAGCCTGCCATCAATGCATTCGCCGCGCCCCTTCCTTCGCCGGGGCCCCGGGCCTTCGTATTGTGCCGCCCCCGCAATCGCGGCCCTCCGGATTTCGCATGGTGCGGATTTTTTTTAGCACTATAACAGCACCAAATTACGAAAAAAGGCCGGCGGCGATCGTCGCCCTGAGAGATATTTACAGATCATGTAAAATTCAACCCACTACCAGGCGAACTGTTTTCTGTCTTAGTCCCGCACCGATGCGTAACAGTCCCAAGTAGCTGCTCCACAGATGCACGGCAAGCGTACTACAATGAGTTAGTACAGGGCAAGTTGAAAAGCACGCCGCACTGCTGTCGCAGGACAGCAGCACTAGCACTCAGGCTGCAACTAGCATCCTTGAACCTAGGTGGTGTGTATGCAATACCCGAGTTCAATATGAACAGGATAGCGGACCACTTTGGGTGGACCCGCAAGACAGCAAGAAGAAACTTCCTGCGCTACACTAAAGATTACAAGATGCATGTTAAAAGTGAATTTTTCTTCCCGAAAGAGACCACAAACTGGATTCTTGAGGGCCTGTTTGTAGTAGACTCAGACTGGCTCGGCTTTGATGCGGCAACCGCCATGCACTACCAAGCCGCAGCAGGAAAAGACATTGCACTTGTGTACAATGCAGAACAACAGATGCTACAGGTGCAGCGTCAGCTAGTGTTTCTCAATCAATTTCAGTAAAGTAAAAATCCCATGCCTGGCCAGAAGGCCCACTGTGCGCACCATCGTGCGCTCTCTCAAGGGTGTTCATCCCAGACCTGTGAAGCACTATTGGCAAGCTAGATCTTGGATGCCCACTGGGTCGTACTGTAGACATGATCACTACCAGTTAGTTTCATGTAGTAGTGCTCATTTCGTACTGTGAAGATCTATCGTGATCGTGCTACGCAGTTCTGGCCCAATGCTGTTGGGATGTTGGTCGCGTTGTGCGTGCCCGCAACGCTCCAGTTGCATCCTCGAATGAGATTTGGTCTGTGTGAATATCGGATCCTCTCACTGTTTGTCCACGCTGAGATGTATAATAATTCTGCTTTACCCACCACCACGGCCACAAGCTCCTAGTGTGATTCAGAACAAATCTTGCGAAAAAAATTATTGATACATCGTATGAAGTTACCCAGAAAAAAACAAGATCTGTTTCTGTGTACTGAATCACACCGCGGCGCTGGTGTTATAATCGTATCGTAAAAATAAAGAAGAATTATCCTGCTGAACTCACCCCGAAAATCTTGAACTTGAAATTTTTTTGCCCAGTCTTGGTCCATAACGCATTCCTGTTATTGACTCCACAATTTTCATCTTCACGTCCAGCTTTTTGGAACGAAGAACAAACGGTTCCTGATCAACGTCGAACAAAAAGCCTTGCACGACACCATATCCACCATTGCAGCGAAGAACCTTCACAAATCTAAAGAACTGAAAAAACCCTTTAGATTTCGTGTGTCAGCAACCACAGCAAGCTTTGTCAAAACTACACTTTTTGATAAAGCCATTTTCGACGTCCAAGAAGCATAATTCAACTTGCAAGAATATTTTATCGATAATTTCAGATCTGTGAAACATCTGAAATTTCAAAATGGCGGACGCAACGGCTGATCAGGAGAAGTACACAGAGGTTCTGAACGAGCTGATTCCCTACATTTCCGAGTTTGTGGACGGAAATGGGGGGTTGGCTTCGCTTTCCCTTTTGTCCCAGGACCCGCACGTCAAGTCCCTGCAGGCGATGATCCCGGCGCGGTACGACAAGAAGCTGACGAAGATTTTGGAGCAGTACAAGGACTTTTTCCAGTGCCTGGAGGGCGGGCGCGTGGCCACCTACAAGGCCTACGAATCGGGGTTGATCGACGAGGAGGGCCGGGTGAAAAACGTGTCTGCGAAAGCGAAGACCAAGATGAAGCAGGTGGTCACCATTCTGCCGGTGGGCGAGGAGGCCCCCCCGGCGGAGGCCGCGGCCCCGGCCTTTTCGCCGCCGGAACCCGCGGCCGCTCCGGAAGCGTCGCTCAGTGGCAACGAGGGCGGCGCACCCACGGGCGGCCCCGTGGAACACGCGTTTGACCCCACGGACGACAACTTGACGGATGAGATGGTATTATTGAACCATGCACGAATATCCTAGCAAGCGGGTTTCGCAATTTCAATATGGGCATTGTGTGAGAAGTCTACGTGAGCTGCGTGCCCAACGCTGTATGCAAAACATGATTTTTTTAATTGTCTTCCTCGTTGTCCTTGGTGAGAAGAAAGGGGTTGTTAAAACAGAAATGGATGTCCTGTTCTACTTCCAAAAAAAAACCAAAACAGGGCCATGAAGTGACACTAATGGATTTGATGGACCAGCTGGGCGCGGCTGTTTTTTTGGAGGACGGGTCCCAGTTTGTTCAGCTCATTCAGAAGATGCGCCGAATCCGCAAGGAGACATTTGGTATTTCTATTTTTTTGAAACTGATGATAAAACATAAAATTCTTCGGGTTTTTGCTTCGTTCTCCTGATGCATTTGCATATGCATGACGGGAAGTCGATATTCATGAAGCAGTATGAGAAATGAAAAGGTTGATTTGGATCTCCACCAGGTTTCGACGATGACTCCGTGTTCGCCCGCGTGTTTGGTCCCACCCGGCCCAACGCGAACCGCATGGTGGTCACGGGTGGCAGCGCCGTCCCCGGTCAGGTGAACTCCCTGAAACGCCAGGCGCAGGCCTACGACCCAAATGGCCCGCGCATGACCGTGCCTTCCAGCGTGGAGCTCGCGGCCCCGCGCAACCCGGCCGAACGGAACGAGCGACTGACTTTGGTGACGCGAGAGATGGTGAACCGCTTGCGCGAGGCACCGGGAAAGATGCTCACGGTGATTGAGCTCACACAAATCCCGAAGATCCAGTTGTTGAAGAAAGGTATTAGTTGTATGCCAGAGTTAGAGCTGCAGAAGTACGTTCATTCTCCACATTTTCAGTGTTTATTCCGTCGCGCTTTGATGATGATGCAATTAGGTACGTCACATCTGCTTTGCATGATAAGGTATTAAAATTCGTTTACAACTAGTGTAGTACGTCTAGTGCACTTTCTTGATGAAGCGCAGCCGGGAGGACCACTTCATCTCCACGACTCTGTCAGGTATCATTTCGAAATTCACGCTGTTCCTGAACCAGAACCAGGATAAGTTCCAACTCGCGAGAAACCCGGAGGGCGAGAACAAATCGGATGTGGTCACGTTGATTATGGACGAGGTTGCGGTGGACGAACTGCTGACGGGCACGTTTGACCTGGACAACCAGTACACGGATATGTTCCCGGAACTCTCACTCGCCGGGCCGAACGCGCCGGGCACCGGGCTGGCGAAGAAGTTCCAGAAGAAGGGTACTGGAAAAAAGGGCGGAAAGGGCTACGGCTACGGTGGGTATTACTAGATACGGAGAAGTAGAACAAGTAGTGCCACTACCGCGACGACGACCTCCTCCGCAGAATCGCTCTCAGCAAAAGAACGGAGTATTATGACACTGTCATTATATCACTTGATTGACTAATCTTATCACGAGAAGAAAACAAGAATGAAAACTATAACACGACGAAAATTTTTATCCTGTATTGCATACAAAGAGTCTCCTGTAGTTGCGGGGAATATCTGACAACGAAAAAAAACGTGGTCACTTTGGACGACCACGTGAGGCCTGGAGGTCGCGTAGACCAAACTTTATTGACACCAGTATGCACCAACGGAGATGATACGATTCTGAACATCAAATGGCGACTCAGATGGCGGAACAATAATCTTAGCTTGACATCATGATCAAGTGTAGTTTTCACCAGCGACACCGAGAGCTTTTCCATTTTCCCATTTTCCGGAATTTTTTCACAACACCTTTTTTTTTCGCTTTTCCCCGGGAGCGCGAGCTTGCTCCCGACCTTGCTCTAGGTCAATGTAGTTTTTCGAGTCATCTTAAAGTACACTGAGAATGAACCAACTTCAACACAACAACTGATTTGATTGCAATAGAAAATGTACGTGCTCAGAAGTTTTTTAGAAATGGCTTTGTTTTTTGTCCACCTTAAACCGATCCCAATAGATACCCCGTAGGAGCACCCGAATCTGCACTAGCGCGCGAGGTACAAAAAGAGGCTTCAGGCTTATGTCGCTGTAGATGCAACAAGAGAACAAGTACGGGGATGCTAGATGAGACGCATTAGCAGTACATAGCTTGAAGTATCGGAGGTGGTTGGTACGAATCTCCTTGCTGATGCTTAGAAACCACAAATTTCGAGCTGTAGGGAGCTTTTTTCAGCTACAGCCTTTTATGAGGTCAAGCTCCGACTTCTTATGCGAAGTAGGAAAATATTAAAAGGACCGATCTGGGCTGGTCAGCCTTGTTGTTTCTCATCCTGCGAAAGCTCCAGGCAGACACTGTTCTACTTACTTTCTTTGTAGCTAAGGTTTTTTCGCCGCAGCTCCCACGACGACCTTTGTCGCGCTGATCGGGCGAAGTACTACATCTGGAATAAACGGCTTCCGGTAGTTCTTGCTTTTTCGCTTCCTATTGCTTCTTTTTGTGAAGATTCAGAACGAACTTTGATGTGTAACTTCACCGTTGTGAGTTGGTAGGTTTGATTGTGGTCTTGGGAGGTCTTCTTTGAATTATTGGTCACCCTCTTCTTCCTTCCGTTTGCCGTTCGGAGAACCGCTGTTGAGCAAATAAAAAGCGATGAAGCGGTCTTACAGAGGATACTTACAATACGAGCTGGTTGCGTTTGAAGTTGTTGCTTTTGGAAGAACGACCGGGTCGTCGCCAGCGCCACGAATGCCCACAAAAACGAGAATAATGAATAAAAGCTCGAGCAAAAACCTGTACGCAGAAGAGTTTATTGTCAGGAGCCGTTGGGCTTGGGCTGAACCGCGGCAACGGGAGGCCAATGTAGCGTAATAAACAGAATGTTTCATTGTGCGCTTTCTCGTAGGAGCAGAAGGAGCTCACACGTCACCCATGCTGCTTCTCGTGAGCACCTTTTGTGCTCCTCCAGATATATCGGTCCTCGACTGCTAGCACACCCTGAGAGTGGTCGCCATTTGCAGAGTTGCGAGTAGCTGTAGCGGGAAATAGTTTTTCTTTTTCAGGAAAGAGGCACGCGTGCGCTTCTTCTTCTAAGGTTGAATGAAAGTGATATGCGCAGAGGACGACTCTGCTGTGCCAGTGCCCGTGAGTGTGAGTGTAGAAGTTAAAAAGGAGCTGACAAGGCATTATCTTAATCTTACTTGCGAGAGATTTGGATATGGAAGTGACATGTCGTGCGTGGTCCTTCGCACCGCCCTGCTTACTATTGGAGGTATTTTCTATTTCTGTAAGCAGCAGCTTCTGGTTCTGCTACAGGCAGCCGCAGCATTGCAAATAAAAAACGATGTCCTCCACGACCTCCAACCGCAACCTCGACGCCATCTGTTCCAACTTCATGCCCCTGCTTGCGGTCTACCGCAGGAACAGACAGCCTCTGCCGACGGATTTATTGAAGTACATCCTGCTAGTTCTGCTCGAAGCCGACCGGCTGAACTTGGCACGGAAAGTGTTCAACGAGTGGGAGGCAAGAAGTGTGGCGAGGCTGCGGGCGGGAAGTCGAAGAGCTAATGGTTGTGAAGGTGAAGAGCAGCCCGAAGGTCGTGCCACCCTGCCCACGACACCGACCTCATCTCCGAAAGTGGACGACGAGTTGCGGTGGTTGATCCTAGCCCTTTTTCCGGGTTGCCTGGACAAATGTGAAAAGTACGACCTTTGCGGACAGAATAAAACGAAGGAAACTTGTTCTCCAGCAGGATCATCATCAGCGTCTTCACACCATGACGACATGAACGGCGACGGAAAAGCGTCTGCGATGAAGATGCGATCTGTTTGGCGCGCCATGAAAGCCGCGACTGTGCCCGGGGACGACGACGAGCCCCCACGGCACGACGGGGACGAGGAGCAAGGGGTGTCAGAGGAAGAGTTAGCGGAGAAAAGGAGAAACGAGGATGAAGACTTTGCTGCAGCGCTAGCGGCGTTGGTTGATGAGGACAAAGAGTGAAAAATGTATGATATTAATGCGGTTGCCGGTGCAGCTGCAGTTGCACATCAGTAAGTGGGAGCTTCCTCAATGCATTTACTTGTTTCATCAGGGAGAAAAAACCACATGCATGAGATTCACGAAGCACTGGCTGTTGATTTAGGTTCTTCTCCGTTTGTTTGTGAAATTCAAAATTTTCTTTTGTCTGCGAAACGCATCGAAGTGATCTCTTTTTGTTGTCTGCGAAACACACACGTCCTGGTCCTGAATCGACGCTCATTTGTTGCACTTCTCCATGGTCAGCATGATGCTGTTGATCGAACGGCAGAGCACCATGGAGCTCTACGACTAGGTTGTTCTTTTCATGCCATGGCGCGGTCAAACTCAAACTCTCAAACTTCACGCTCACAACTTCGATTCTCTCATCGATCTTGACTGAAAGTCGATGCAGGTGGCGCTAGCTTGTGGTTGAGTAGTTCTCATTTTTTGTCTTCGCTGTCTTTTCCTTCTTGTTTTAATCTCACGTACATGTTTTTTTCTTTGTTCCAGGAAGCGGAATGCCAATGCGGGACTGACACGATGCCACGACCAGGTCCTTTTTGCTGTTTATCATTCTGTGCGATCATCCAATTCCATTTCCACGCCATCACTATCACTCAACTGCAGCACGAGCAAGACCCGTTGCCCTCGATCTATTTTTGAAGAGCCGATCAAAACCAGCTTGGAAATTGAAATCCTTGACATACTTCTGTTGCATCGCCGTTACAAGCATCATGGAGAGTTAGAATAGTACTAGCCACCGCTTTATCGACTGTCCGTCACCGTCTAATTCTTAGTATTCGAATGAAGATACGGTGGAGTGTTGAGCTTTGCTAACAAGTAGGTTTACGTCCATATTACCCATCTTTTTCTTTACCTATTCAGTTCACCTGAGTATCACAATCCTCGCAATAATTAAAACGCCGGAAAAATAAATATGGAAGAAGTTGACGATCTCGGAGACGGGTTTTTCGTCCGTCTGCTCCAGGTCGTTTCTTGGTTTTTAGTCGTTCTTTTTTCCGTCCCCGCCGCCTGCCTCGCGGTATACCAGGTCCTGACGCTCTACTTGCCCTACACGCTCGCGAGAATAACGGGGAATGCGGATTACAGGTATCATACGTCCGTGTGGAAACTGTAGCTCCAACTTTCCAGGCCACTTGCGATACGAAATAGTACCCCATTTTTGTTGCACCGGCTCAAACGACAAGGAACTATTTTGACCGATGCAAAAGCAAAACTAAACTAACATCGTCCAGGTTTCCAGATTACATGTACACAGTATGGGGCGACGACTTGACAGACCTGACGATCGAGCATTGGGGGTAAGCTTTGGTACTGGTGCAGGTTCGAAGAGATTCTATTCGTGAACAGTACACAGAGCTTTTTTCGCACGCATTTGAGCATCCCAAGAAAGAAAGCAAATCAAAGCTGCAACCGTCCTCATTTAGTACACCTACACACCATTTGCACAGGTACCTCGCATGTTGCGTCGGAGTGACACTATTTTCAGCAGTTTACGTCATCCCGGATACGCCATGGTCGGACAGGAGAGGGGTGGTAGAGGAAGATGCGGATAAGAAGGATCAGTAGGTGCTTGTTCCTCGTCGGGAGAGGTTTTTATACACGGAGATGGACGCTGAGCTTGTTTTTCAGAGAATTCAGAAAAGCCACCAGTGGCAGCTGTGACTCTTTGTACCTGGTAATGCTACCGGGGCGACAGGTTAGTTGTACGGCTATTGTCGAAGCTGCAGCACAGGAATACTCATGAACGATGTAAAACTTCATAAGGACGTGAATGATGAAAGCGCCCCTAGTCTTTGCAAAGCAATGCCTTCCCACACGATTTTTTTTCGTGTTCGAGAAATGATGGTGATGATATTTCGGTTGAAGTTCCAATTGCTCGCATTGATCTCGGCATACGGATGCGCTTTGGTCTTTCTCAATTTGTCTGTAGTCAAAGTGAAGGGATAAGTCGATGTCGCGTCGTGTTTCCGGTTTTGGTTTTCCTGGAGCAGGAAGCTGGAAATGAAACCTCTCTAGTATACAGCTCCACATTTTTCGTGTGGCAAGCGCAAGATGCATTGCACTACAAAAGCGGTACCTGAACCTGATCATGAATGTGAACATAGTAAGCAGGCTGTTTGTCTTGGAAGATCAACGATCAAAATGAATATTTTGATTTTTGTTGTGACACTTACGTAAAGAAGATGACAGAAAGAAGATAAAAAAAAGCAGTCCACAAAAGCTGTTCATCCATCTCATACGCTCCGCTACAGTAGTTTTGATTACTTACGGCTTTTTCGCGAAAGAAAATTGATCGTTTGCGTCTTGTCTGTATTTTTGTATACGTTTGTTTGTGGTCGTCCACCTCCACATATTGCATTCTCAAGTTTTCTGAATATTGGTTCGTAGGACTCGGACAATTTCGAATGTGATCATGTCATCTGCAGCTTCGTCTTCATCATCAACATCGTCCGGCGCATCGGCAATGAATGGTAAACCGATTGTTCACGATCCCGCGGATGGCAAAGGCAAAGCCACGGAGTGGGTGCCAGCGTCAGTGGAGGTCGTGTGGTGGGCATTCATCTGGTGGTTGGACATTTGCTATGGTTGTGAAAACTTTTTTTGTAGATGTGCATTCCGTCCATTAACGTGGATTCTGGACAAATATAAGGATGTTTGTATTGACCAACTTGAAGTTGAAATAGAAAATAGTCCCTCTGCCTTACATTTCTTGCTTTATGTATGACTTCATCATGATACGCCTGCAAGGCGCAAGGGCAAGGCATCGCCGAATAGCATGAATGAAAGGGACGTTTATTCCTTCCATAGAAAGTGCGAACATTTTCGTGAGTTGCTGGGCGACGAAACGAGGCACGATGATGAAAAGACGCAATCAGAAGCCAGCCCCGACGAGAATATTTTGACCATTCCAGTGTTTCACCGAGAGAACCCTTTTTCACCGGGAGTGGAGGGGTACGACGTGTGAAACTGTCAGTGACCACGGGCGCTCCTGTTCGTTCAGGCTTACCCCTACTATTGCTTCTTAATTTGGGCTAGGTGTCATCTAGTTGCATCTAGACCTGTTGCGCTTTTACCTCCGCGTCATCCCGACTAGGGTTATCAAAAGGTAGCATCAAGGCTGAGTGTATGCAGTCTGGTATGCATATTTATGCAAAAACGGGAAAAGGATATAGGAATTCAGAAATGAGAGGTTCATTACTTCTTGGTTCATCGAATAGGGGGAGAAGTACGGGTTTGACAGTTTTGCACCGCATATAATCCCCGGAAGGACCACGTACGCGATCGTTACCGCCTCAAAGGCCGCAGTCCGGTCCTGGGCACGGAAGCACGGCAAGCAGGAGGGTGCCGGGCAGGCATGGACGAATTTGATGCGGTTGGTGAACCAAGTTGCGTCCGGGTCTGGTACGAGGCTGGTACGGGGCTCTGAGGAAGCGTGGAAAGACCGCTGCCGAGTTTGCTTGGTTCTTGCCCAGTGTGCAAGCCCGGTCTTCTATGCCGAGTTGGTCGATACGTTTGCCGGTACCTCTGCTGTGACGGCTTCAGAATTCGTTGAGAAGGCGAAGGCGCTGCTCCTTCGGGACGGGGCCGCGGAGGCCTACAAGCGAGCTGAGCGGCTTGCGACGCGACGCCCTGAGACACTCTCCGAAGGTTTTGCAGACGACTGGGCAATGTGTTTTGAAAAGCTTGAAGAGCATGCGGAGCTTCTTCGCAAGGAATTCATCATCATCAACGAGATTGGCGAGGAAAGCAGACATCAAATCGACCGTGCCGCTTTTTATCGTGCGTGTCTGCAGTGTCGCGGGGATATCGTATACAAAAATCATGCCCTGAGTTTCATATGCAAATTTTTACTTTTGGTTTTGGCTTTTCACAGTTTTCCCCCACCACATAGGTTTCTATCATGAACTACTTAGTCGAGGTCGAAATAATGTTGTTCTGCTTCCTCATTCGTCGCTTAATCAGTTGGACAACGAGCTGCAATTTTGCGTAGGGCTAAATTTTTGTCGTGATAAAAGACTTTGGAGCAAGTAAACTTTTCCTCCTTGTGCTCGAATCATACAAGCACGCCGGTGTTTCGAAGATTATACCCGCCGCTATATGTCAACGCAATTACGCACCTTTGACGTGTGGCAGTGCTCCAAAGAGGTTCGCGCAGTGGACGGCCGATAATCTAGAGTTCTCGGACTTCGCATGTGATCCAGATTCGCGATTGCTGGCGCACCGAGCGTACTACGATAAGAGACTGCGCTCCGTAATCACGTCGGTGTACCTGCGTGTGGTGAGTTCGGCGAAGGACGGAAAGCGTCTGCATGCGAGGAAAATTTTCGGAGATAGACTGTGGACGTCGGTTCATGACATTACTTTGTATGTTCATTGGTCTATCGTGACACAAGCAGAACCCGCTTCATTCTCGACCGCGTTGTGCATGAGGTGGCCACTACATTCATCAGCATGGCGCTCTTATTTGCTACAAGAAACAGTCTTGGAAGCCAATTGCACTTCGGTTGAGTCCTTCCTAGTGAGAATCTATTGAGTGCAGCAGCATCGGCCGAGCTGCCTCGGCTACTTACATGCTGTCGGATTCTTCATTGCTGTGATGTATTACTAGTAGAACACTTCTACTAGTGCTGCGAAAGAAAATGAATCTGCGTATGCGTTCGCAATTCTGATTTGCAGCATGCATTTATTTAGCAAACAGACAATGCAGGGGGATGAGCTTATCCACGATATTCCTGGGAGAATTTGTGCATTGGTGGTTCTACGCCATGGACGGAAATGTCGTGCAAGTGGAGAAGGAACAGTTTTCCGAGCTGGTGATACAGGCGCCCCCGTGCTCCACAGCCCGCCGGACAAAAGCAAAGCTCATCAAGAGGAAGGAGAAGATGTACGGTGAGAAATCGAACGGGGTGCCGGACTCCATCGTGTCGAACTGCAAAGGACGGGGCCAAAAACCTACAAGCGCGACAAACGGAAACAAGACAACTGACCGGCAAGGAACGATCGCCGAAAAAAGGGTGAAGAAAAGGGCGGCAACAGGAACCGAAGAAAGCGTTGATCCCTTGTCCGCAGCCTTTGCATCGCTAAGTGACCCTACGGCAAGCAAACGAGCTAGAAAAGCCACTGCAAATCGGAGCTTGGTTAAGGACGATGGATCCTCTTGTTCATCTACATCTTCCTTGCTGACGACACCGAAGGAAAGAACTCCATTGGAGTCGTCGTCCGCGGACGCAACCAGCACAGCAGTGGCTGACAATCCAGCGAGAGAACCTCCAAGTGACAACACTCTGCATTCGATTTTGGACGACGTTTTTTCAGATGCGGATGCCGCAAGTGCGGAAGACGGAGTTCAGGATAGGGGACGCGTGGCGCAAAAGAAGCTTCGGCAGACACAGGTGGCCGGTACGGATGCTACGCTGTCACGCAGCGCTGCCTTCGGCGCTACCTGCCACTACTCGATCGGGTGCTCGATGACGCGCGACACCACGAAGCTCATTACATCTGCTGGGCGCCGTGCCTGCTTGGAACTGACGGATTTTATGAACGCGCGCCGGAGAGAAATTCAGCAACTTAGCCTGTCGACGGCGCCCGGCGGTCCCTGTGCTAACGACTCAGAAGAAAAATCCTTGTTCACCTACAGCAGCATCAACGTGCATTTGAATGCGAAAACGCTTCCGCATATTGACGGCGGTAACCTCGGCGAGTCGGTGTTGGCGTCAGAAGGAAACTTCAGCGGTGGTGGACTATTCATTCATGACGCAGCCTTGGGGTTGGGTGATATAGACGCAAACCTGCCATTGGTCCACGAGCCAGTTGACTACAGATCGGTAGCTGTAGAAGTTTCTACGGAAATTGTGACCAGTAATGCCGAGAAGCGCAGGCTGTTCGGGAAAGATATCGAGAAGTGGCCCGAAATCCACGATATCAAGGAAATCAAGAGCAAAAAAAAGGGCAAGAAAAAAAATACCCAGCCGAACGCAGCCGTTGTTCCAACGCTTCGCCGCGGGGCCCGGTTTTTCATCATTGGTCGGGAGTTTAGCACCAAGGGCAAGCTCGTGCAGTTCAACGCCGCTCGGAATGTCCACGCTACGATGCCATGGACTGGCGACAGATACGCGGTCATTTTTTTCACGCACAGCAGCTTGCCGGGACTGCGAAATCGCCGGGGGCAAGGCGTCAACACTTTCCGAGCCTTCTTACTAGCGCTGCAAGAAATGGGCTTTCCGTTACCGGAAGCGCATTCGCCGAGCTGGCAGCAGATCTCGGATGCGGCAGCTGAGGTTATTGACCTCGTCAGTAGTTGTGACGAAGATCAGTAGAAGGGAAGAAGATGAAGATTGTCGATCGTGTGACACGAATACACCTAGAACTGCTTGCTTAATGCGTATAGAGTTCAGGAACAACGGCACACCTCTAACTGTTGGCTACTAGCCTGGGGAAAAGCCTCTATTCTTGCAGAATCGTATTCGCGAAGGCGAGCACAAAGATGACTCATCATCAGTACGAAAACAAGGCACATGATCATCGTGTTTCACAATTATAGACCTCCCCACGACGAGCCATCAGTGAACTCAGCAACGGAGAAAGAGAAACAAGCCTGTTCACGCACAAAGCCAGTGGCAATCCAACTGCAACTCTATCTGATCATGATGACTTCAGCCTCTGGTTCTGCATAAAGAAAACCAAGACTCGGTCGTTTTTCTCGTCCACCTCGTTGCCAATAATTTCAGTCGCGTTGATTCATATGTAATTTACTTCATTTGGCAGTACTTGCGTATGTTCATGTTGATCACCGACGTGTTCATCTTTCAGGAGGGTCGGACGCATTTAGTGCGGGAATAAGGCCTTCGCCTTGGTGTCCTTCCTCACAGACTTGAGTGTTGATTTGTTCGTCTGTGTTTGGTTTGTTCTCCGAAGCAGGAACATAAAAAATGGCGGAAGCGCAGCCGGCAAGTAGCAGTTCAAGTTCTTCATTCACCGTGACACGGCTGACAACTCCTGGCTATGATCCAGCCCTCCTCAAGCGCGCGCGCGGTCATCCAATAGCCAGCGGTTTTTCCGGGAAAGCCAAGGTGCCAAAGGTTGATGAACAAATAAAAGAAGCTCGCAACGACCTTAACGACAAGAACCCTGTCTTGGAATCAGCGTCTACTTCCTCTTCGAACTCCGTTGAGAAGTCGACTGCACCGGCGTCCACCACGGGAAATTCCCTCCTCCACTCTCTTACGGACAAACCAGAGGTCTTCGCTGCACCTTCGCCAGAAACTACAGGACACGGACGGCCAAGGAAGTTGAAATCTTCCAAATCAGCATTGCAGAAGACGCACGCGTTGCGCATGATCAAGAAGATTCAACAAGCTGTGTTCAAACACCAGAAGCGGGGCCGGAAGATCGGGTGGAGGAAGGATAAAGAAAAAGGATCGGGATCCACTCTTTCACCTACTGGTGGAAAAGTAAAAGACAAGCGTTTCGCGAGCAGCCTGAATGTGAATGGAACAAAAAGAAATTCTTCACCCTCCCCGGAATCCGAATCTACTGGAGAAGATTATCTACAACATGGCTTGATGTCCTTCTGGGACGGTCCAGCCTTGGCATCCGTTGGCGAAATAGACAAATGGCAACCCGGTCAGGCGCGGGCGATTTCGCTAAATAATCAGCTCCCCTTCATCGGGGAGATTTTAGACGAGCTGAAAAAAGATGACACGTTTTTCACTACCGTCGAGCGCGATGGCTGCGCGGTGCGAGTGCCTCGTGTCCCCGATGGGAAGATGTTGACTCCGAGGGCCCTTGCGATCGCCATGATCAAAGCAGCGCCCCCGGAAACGTTCCAGATGATGCGCTGCCATCCGTTCTGGTCTGGGAACGGTTGGGAAGGCTCGGATAAGTCTCTTGCGGCGTCAAAAATTCCCGACACAAGCAAGGATGGATGGGAAAACAGCCCGGAGATCGCAAGTTTGACGCCCTATGTCAGTATGTACTGGACCGAGTACAGCCAGCCGGCCGGAAGCTATCTTCTGTTGAAGGTAAGCCTAGGCGATTGTAGTATGCGATCACTTGTTACCTATACCTGTGGCCTTGAGCAGTGAAGCTGATCTTGTGTTGCCCTCGTTTTGTCATCGTCTTTCCACGTAGTTCAGGCACTTGTGCTTGCACACGTATTTTTACAACTCACGCTCAGGTTCCGCAGATGTGCAAAGCGAGTTCCAGTCGAGACGTGGCGTGGCTGTGCCGCGTTGAGCCAACTTCCTACGAGATTTTCCGTCGCTTCGCCAACCGGCCGCCCGGGCTGAGCAACATGACTCAGACTCCCCAGCACCCCATGTTCCAGCTGTACCCACAGAAGAACGCCGGCCCTCGGCAACCCTCACCCGAGCAGCAGGAGCAGCTGAAGAAGCTCCCCCCAGTGTTGCTTGAGCAGTACCGCCTGGTGACCGTCGTGGCCCGCGTCGATTCGGAGTTTGCTAAAGGGCTCAACAGGAGGCATCGTCGAACGACAGTTCGCATGAACGATGAGCAGGTGCGTAAATTGTTGAAGCACTGCGGGGTGTTGAGTCATGGGGACGGCTTTGAGAAAAACGCGCTTTTGCAATCGCACTCGCAGTCGGCCACATCTTCTTCCGGTAATAAAACGAAAATGGATCAAGCGGACCATCACGAAGACAAGCGGACCACCATGGTGTCGTCGCAGGACAATGACAGAGAGAACAGTCTTCATCTCGGAAACAGGGATGTTGGAGGTGGTGCCGGTATTTCGTCTTCGCAGCTGCAATTACTTGCAGGCGGGGGAGAGCGGGAAACACGAAAAGTCACAGGCGTAGAGGGAAAGACACCTCTTGGCGTCGACGATCAGAGGATGTTTCAACTTCTCGACGACTTTTTCGAGAAAAAGAAGGGCGTGAAGACGAAAGCACTGACGCAGACTCGTATCGGGTCACAGAAGAATTGGGTAAAAAGCTTGAGTCTGGGCGTCGCCAAGCATTACCACAGAGGCTGCGTCCCAACGAAGCACATGAAGAAATTGTCCAACGACGAAGATAAACGCAGGGTCTGCGAAGAGATAGCGCAGAGCCTGAATAGTGACCAGAGTCGAATTCGCCATTTGCGTGCAACGAAAAAGACGGCTGAATCCGAGGCAAGTAAAACAACAAGTAGTAGGCCCACCTCCACCACTGCCCGGCAGCGCCAAGCTGCGACGTCAAATTCAGGTTTCACCGTCGGCGAAAATGTAACGCCGTTCTACTACAGCTCTGTGAACATCCACCAGAAAGCAACAACGAAGCCCCATTTCGACAAGGGAAATTTTGGCGACTCTGTGGTGCACACCGTAGGGCGATTTCGCGGAGGCGGGCTCTTCGTTCACGATCCAAGCGTGAAACTTTCCGACCTCGACCCGAGCCTACCCCATATTCACGATCCGGTCGATGGCCGGGCGGTCCGTCTGGAAGTTTCAGCAGAATTAGCGGAAAACAAGAAGGAGCGGAACGGGTTGCGTGGCGCCAAGCTCCACGAACAGATGGAAGACGAGGCTCAAGAAGAACATCTTGACTCTACGAGCGGGTCGTCGTCGTCCTCATCGAGCAAAAGAAAAAAGATAAAGAAGTACTACATTTTCGGACGGGAGTACCGCGCGAAGTTCTTACGGTTGAATGCGAGCCAGATCCTGCACGCTACGATGCCGTTTGAGGGCGAGCGGTATTGTCTCGTGTACTTTCTCCACACCAGCCTGCCGGACCTTCGCACGCGGCAAGGGAGGGGACCCGACGACTTTGTGGCGTTGCTGGACTACTTGATTGGTTTGGGCTTTCCGGTGCCAAGATCCGCGGAAAGCGAGTTTTGGCCGGCGGTGGATCTTGCGCCGTCGATGAATAGCAACCCTGCGAATAAAGGGGCCAGCGGCTCTGCCGGCTCGGAACAGGAAGTGATCGATCTAACCCGGGAGCCGAGCGAGGTGATCGAGCTGAGCAGCTCGTCAGAAGACGAGGACGAGGCGGAGTGAAGGCCTTTTGTCGACGACAGTGCCGGCCGTTTTTCTTCGGGCTTTAGCTTGAAGGTTTCCACCTACACAAGCTGCCAGAGGCATCGCAGCCATAAGGTGCAATACATTTTTGCGACACTGAATCCTCCTCACACATGCTAGTGTGTCTATCGATTCGGATTCTATTTGTTGATCATCTCCGTCGCCTTCATCTAGATTCATATTCCTATTTCAACAATCAAGACCAGCCTTGAGCATAGCTAGCTTTAACTTTCTTACAATGACGAACCGCAAGAGTTTTTCTTTTTCAAATCGCGAACGCAGCGTGTTAAACAGAACGTGACATTATGAGGAGGTGGCGCTGTATTGACATCGAGCGAAGTGTTGTTCCTGTTGCTGTAGTCGGTCCTCCTTTCATGGACAGATCGATGCCAGCAAGGCAAGTGCTCTTGCCGCTCTTCTAGTCCTCGTGAAAACAAGAACTACAGGCAGCTACTTCACAAGCTGCAGCTACTTCGCGTCTGAATACAGATCCTGATTTTCAGCTGGAGTTCCTCCTTTCGTTTTCTTGATCAGCTGTACCTTAGACAGGGTTATTCTTGGTAGACTTCATAATTGTCTCATCGATGAAATTGGAGTTTCGGAAGAAAAGTAATAATCGTTGTTCGACACCCATTTCCATGTAGTTTTCTGCCAGCCCGCTTTCAGCCAGATGTAGCTCCACTTCGAGATTAGTATGCGGCACAAATTATATTTGCTACTCAAATAATGTACATGCAGTGCGATATTAAAATTGAAGCGAGCACGAACACGAAGGTGGATTGAAATTTCAAAAATGCCGCCGGCGTCAGCTGCTTCTGCAGGCGCGAAAGAAGATACCAAGAATCAATGTCGGAAGCTGGAAGTCCGGAAGAAAAACGGGAAAGTGGCAGCTGCTTCAGTTGTGCCATTGAAAAGCAACAGTAAGGGAAAGGGCGTGTCGAACGATGTGGGAAAAAAGAAAAAAGTTGTGCATTACGTTTATGGTACAACCGGCGGACACGTTGCCTACATCGGCCGTATGTACCTGATGAAAAATGGCAGCGAATTGCAGTAGGACTTTGGGAAAAAATACCTTCACACAGAGCAAGTGGATGCATGTGTTGATCTTTTTCTTTGATGTAGTTTTTGTGCGCCAGCAGCCAGACCACCCATGTACGCGAAGATCGCGGTCCTTGCGTAAGTAACAGGGCCCTCGGTCCTTTGATATCATTTTTGTCAAGACAAAAGAAGTGAGGATGGAACCACGACGAGCAGTGGCATAATTGCAAGTGGTGGCGGAATGATCGTAGTTGAATTGCCTGTACTTCTATGGAGGTATATTTTCCCTGCATAAGCATGCAGGCAATCTGTGCTCTCAGCCGTACCACGCACTAGTAGCATTTCAGAACAGCGGGCAAACAGCTGCTGAATTTGCACGGCAGCGAGCGGTCGAGATGCGGAACTGCAGAGCGCAACCGGTCAACATGAAGGAGATGCGACAGCTTCGTGTAACGCCGCACGTGCGCCGTCTGTGGAACGCTGCGATGGCGGAACAAAGTCAAGTTCGCCCCCAATGCTTCCAACTAGTGCCGCTTCCACTCCGAGCAGACACGCGGCCTAAGCGAGCTCACTCAGACACCGCCCCAATGACGGACTGTGTCACTGGAGAGTTATTACCACTGGGGTTTGCAACTGCTGTGCTGCGCCACACTGCCGCGCTGCTGTGGCGGTACCTTCGAGGCCGTGGGGCAGCAGTAGAGCACGTGGAGGAGATCTGCAAGGCAGTGCTCGGCATCCAAGGAATGCAGTGGGTTTCCGCGTGCACGCCACTGTGGGTCGATGCGTGCGGGAAGTGCAATCACATTCACACCGAGGTCGGTACCGGCCAGTCTTTTTTGGAAAAGGCCGGGCGACTAGTTAAGACCAAGCACAATGGACACGGCCGGGAGCTTGTCGCCAAGGGGAAGTTCGAGCGAGATCACCTAGACGGCCGCACCCTGCGGTCTGCGCTCCTGTTCCTCGCGTCAGACTCCCATCGGTGGACGGCCCGCAGCGAGGAGGAGTTTGGTATGGCCGCTGACCTTTTGACGACTCCCCGCCTGACCGGACTTCGGCGGAAACGACTCGCTGTGGTGTTGCGTCGTCTTTGCAACTACTCTCCTCGCCCTGTTCGCCTCGCAATCTGGCGCAGCATCCTGCGGCGTGGGAAGACTTTCTGGAACAGGAAGTGGACCACCATCAGGTTTTGTTCTTTGGCTCGCAAATTTTGCGGACGCATCCGTGGACATCGAGCTGTGCTTCGATTCGAGGCCTTGGCGATGCAGAAGCGTCAGTTTTTCTCGAAGCCGACGAAGGAGTCGCGGCTTTGGCATGCTTCAGCGACTTCGGACTTTGACCGCTGGCTACACCTCGCATCTTCGGCTGGCGTTAGAGGCTGGCGCGCTGGTATGTACACGTCGACCATTGTTAAGGCTCTCCCGGCCGGATTGCGGAATTTGGTCCCAACTCGGGGGAAGATCTCGAGCACTAAGAATGGCGGTGAGGCGACCATTGCTATTCCCGTCGGTGGCGGGATGCAGGTGAGTCAAGAAGAGAACAACGACCGTAGTACGCGCAAGGATGTTTTCGTCCTCGGCGATGAGAAACAGAAACCGGTGGAATTGCAGAAACAAAACCTCGAAACGCTGTTCTGGTGTCCCGCATCTTCGACGGAACGACCCGCAGTAGCAACACAAGCGGCAAGCTTCTCCACATCGTCATCGACGTCTTCTTCTTTGGACAATAAGCCATTGCTGAGCACCAGCACCAGCAGCACTTCTATGGGCGCGAGTGCCGGCGCGCCTCCCTGTCCATTGAGGAAGCGGATGAAGTTAAGCGGCTTCGTGGAGGGCGTTCGGATCGTGTATCCATCGCAATGATCACGGGTTGGGATTTACTAGAGGAATGCAGCAGTTTAATGCACCCGAAATGAGATGACGATGAGGCAGTCCTACTCGACCATTTCGTATCTTCTACGAAGTACTTAATACGGAAGGCACTGCAACATTGTCTTGTGTAGTCGAGGTTTTTTGTTCGTCTACTTCTTATCGGTATGTTTTTTGTCGATTTTTTTCCAATAGAGGTGCATGCGGTGGGTTGCAATTACATTTACATTTAGTATTGATGTCCCGCTCCCGGCGCGTTTGCGATCGATACGGCGAAGCAGATAATCATACACGACGACACACCCAGGGAGGAAATTAAGAAAGCGTGGACGGAATTCGTTGCGAGCGGGCCGTCCCTGGAGGAGGCGAAAAAGTGGCGGTATTGGCCAAGTAAAAATCTTAATCTTACTGACGAGGGCAGGAGCCGGGGAGGGAAAAACGCGCAGGAGACGATCCGTGCCGTTTTTGGCCGAGAGTTTCATGTCCTCGGCCATGAGGCAAGGGCACGGAAGCGCCAGTTGCAGGATAAATCGCACAACATGTCGTTTGGCCAGAAGGTACATGATGAAAAAAGAGGAACATCAGTATTAGATAACCCCGCCGCGGAAGGTTTCGTTGGTGGTCGTGGAGCGCAGGTGCCGCTGGTCTCGTCGGGGGGGTCCGCGGGTTCCGTCGCTGCCCCAGCCGCTGCCAAAAAGACATCGGAACAACACTTGTTGAGCACGATGGACGGCTCCCCTAGTCGTGCTAGTGCGCGGCGCTTTCCGTCCCTCCTAGAGATTCTCGACGATGTGTTCGACAATCCAAACCCGGAGAAGCGCAAGGACGAAGGTTGCGTGCAGAACAAGGAACTTCGGCAGACTCGCGTTGGGGCAAGCAGCAAGCAAGAGCGCCCGTTGAGCGCCACCCTCGGCGCGACTATCCACCCCATCAAAGGGTGCACAATCGCCGTCGATACCAAGAAGCTCAAGACCAGCCACGACAACTACCTCTGTGTGGAGCTGGCCGACTTTCTCAATTGCCGTCGGGACGAAATTTGCCACCTGTCTACACTACCCGGGAATCTGTCGGCGAACAGCGAGGGCGCCACGGCAACCTCGCACTTTCGGTTTACGTATAGCAGTATGGTGGTCCACCTGAACGCGCAGACGCAGCCGCACCTAGACCGCGGAAACGTCGGTGACTCAGTTCTAACCTCGGTCGGAGATTTTGTCGGTGGCGGCGTGTTCGTGCATGATCCAACGTTAGTTTTGGCAGATGTGGATCTGGATCTACCCGCCGTGCATGCAACGGTTGACGGCCGGCCGGTGGCGCTAGACGTTTGCGAGAAGATTGCCAGCGATCCGAAGGAGCAGGCGCGTTTGTTTGGGAGTGCCGCAAATGGGAACAAGCCACCGGAAAATATCCTCCACGCCTACCCCGCGTCCCACAAGAAGGCGGGTGGCCACTTTATTCTAGGTCGCGAGTTTGACACGAAGGACAAGTTCCTGCAGTTTAACGCCGGAGAAAACATCCACGCTACGATGCCGTGGACGGGGAAAAGATACGCGGTGGTTTTGTTTACGCATTCGATCCTGGCGAAGTCGCGGAAGAGGAAGGGACAGGGGATGGAGAATTTCGTTGCCTTGATGACCCAGCTACGCGAAGAGCTCGGGTTTCCGTTACCAAGTGTGAATGAGGAAGCGTATTGGTCGGGCATTTTACAAGCTCTGGTGGATAAACAAAAGAAATAGAAGACGCTTGTGGAAGATAGATGAAAGTGAGGCTCTTTTTTGATGTGGTACCACTTCGACTTCCAGGTGGGTCTGGATAAAACATTCGACCTTCTCGATATTTTTGCTCTTTCGGGTGCTCGTAGCAAACGTGTTCTTGGTGCTGCTATGTTCAATCGACGTTTCTGGAGGTTGATCTAGTTCAGTTCTGTGGCAATAATGATCATGTCGTGAATTCGAATTCGTCTCGGTTGTTGTGGTCTTCTGCACAAACAAAAGCAATGAACAACTTTGAAATAATGTGTAGCTCAAGTTCATCGCGTTGGTGTTGCTACGGATCCCCAGCTTTCGTTCTGCTGCAAGTTCTCTACATTTGGATCCACGACATCTACATTCTGCATTGATTTCTTATAGTCATCCATCGTGTCGTGGTGTCCTGGCGTATCCGGTTGCGCACCTCTAGCTCCGATGCGTAAGTAGTGACGCTCTTGACTCACTAGGAAGATTTCGTGGTTCGCACGTTGTTTGATTTCGTTGAAGCAAAAGATTGATCAATTTCAATCTTTGAAAGATGTTGAAGATCTTGGACTGACCTCGGTGTTGCAGGTCGCTAAACAAGCTAGCACAAGATTTTTTCAACGACGAAACCAGGAGCCTTGCAACGGCGCTCTTACAACTTTCGAAAATGATGTAGATACGACGTGAAGATTTGATATTTGACCAGACACAAATGGAGATGATGAACAAAAGTCCGAGCCAAAGGTAAAGCAAACTACAGTATGAAATAAAATGTTGATGATGTCAGCTGTTGCGAACTCAAGGTCAAACGCACAGGTGCGCGAGGGGTCGGGTGTGCGTGCGACGTCCAAGCCCACAACATCGTCCTCTTCCAGCAGCAGCTCCTCCTCTCGTAGGCACCAGCACAGCGACAACTACGTCGACGCGGAGGCAAAAGCAAAGCTGGCCTGGCTCGACGAAGTCAACGCACGGTGGCTGGTGCCGCCTGTGATTGAGGAAGCGAAACCGCTGAAGGTATCGGGCGGAACGGCGCACTTTTTTCGGGTGGTGAGATGCTCAGCAGCTTCTGCGGCGCCGTCCTCCTCCTCGTCGTGTAGAAGGATAAAAGTTTCTGAAAACTCCGGTAATTTGGATTTGCGCTGGGTACTCAAAGACCTCGACCACGCGCGCGAGGAAAGTGTTTTCTACGCGGCTCTGCGGGATGAAATCACAAAGGCGTACCCAGCAGCTGAGCAGCTACAACCAGAAAGTTGTACAACGGTAAGACCCGCGGCACAAGAAAAGGGAACAGATGATTTGCCCAACTCCAGGACTACGTCGAAGAAAAATACTCTGTCGAAAGCCTCACGCAGTGCGGCGCGCCGGCAGCGCCGATTGGTCCGGTTTGTCGACAGCTTTTTCTGCGTCTGCCCGGGCGAAGTCACCTTGCCTGAGAGCGCACTAGTATCATCTTCTGCTCCTGACAGTAAAGACAAGCATGAACAAGGAAGAGCTCCTGAGCGCGTGCCCGCGTCAGTCGATCAGAGTCAGACAGAGCTTGAGCACCACATGCGGTTCGTATCCGCGGGCGATACTCCTGCTCGAGGATCGTCTGACCCGCGAGGGAATATTTTTCAAGAAAAAACCAAACCGAGTCCTGTGACAGGGGAAACGACGCCTAAGCTGCTCGCCTCTTCCACCAGCTCGGAGGATGTACGTTCTCTGCACGGGAGTTGTTCCTCTGCGGAAAGAAAGCAGCTGCGCTCCTCACCCACGTTCGACGGCGCGCTGCCGACACTGGGCTGCAGCGCCGTGCTTCTCGGGAGCACGTCTTCGTCGCCGCTGCTTCCCTCGCCGGGATCAGTGTCGCCGGGCATGACGAAGAACGGTGGCCAGCTGATATCTGCAACGTCTGAAGGAGGACAAATGCTGGGAGGACATCAACATCTTGAACCAGGTGAAAGTGAAGCCGCATGTTCAGCTTGTTCTGCAACCAACGCGCACCAACGACCCCAACCGCCAGGGGATAGTGCAACTACTCTTGAACTACAAACCGATAGTACCAAGACCCGTTCTTTTCTCATCCTGTCCGACATGTTCGCGAACTTCGACCGCCTCCGCTTTGCCGACGTCAAGATCGGGAAAGCCACCGCCGTGGCCAACTGGATGGGCAAGTCCGCCTTCCGTGCGTGGAAAAACCACCAGATCGACCGGTTGACCAACAGCGTGCACGAAGGGTACCGTGTGGAGGGCCTGGAAAACCCGCCGCCCGTCCTCTCCGACTACTCCGCCGTGGCGAACAGCAAAACGCTGTCCTTCCTCGCCAGCAGCCGGAAAATCGAGCGGATGACATTGCAGAGGTTGAGCGCTACGAAGTTCTGGCGGGTGTTTTTGGACTTGGCGGAGGAGGAGGTAGGCGTAGGGAGTTCGTCTGGAAAACACGACAACCCAAGCGCAACAAGCTGCTTGGTTGAAGAGAAACTTGGTACTTCTAGGGGTCCTCCAATAACCGGTTCGTGCAGCCCTAGGGCGGGGGCCCAAAATGTAATCACCACAATGTCCTCGTCTGTCTCAGAGCCGCTGTCTACTGCCCAAGTTTATCCTTCCCCCGCTTGTGGAGCGGGAGCTGCAGGCTGCACCAGTAACCAAAAGTTTATCGTGACTGCAAGTAGACATCGGGCTCAAGAACATGATGTTTACCAACAGCAACAAGTGCAGCCCTGGAGTTCAAGTTCTCTTAGCTTGTGGAGCCGCAAAAAGGAGTTGTATGCGAGGTATGTTCTCCTCAGTGTGCTCGTCAAACTCACGAAGCTCGTGAACGGTCTGTGTCAGCTGGAGTGGCCGCAGATGTGGGTGGGGTCGAGTCTTGGGATTGGTTTCGACTTGAAACACGTTGACCACAGCAGGTTCGACAAGGACCAACGCGCCACCACTTCTACTATTAGCAGAGGTACGACCTCCGGGTCGCGGTCAGAAGACGGTTTAGGGACGACTGCTCCGTTTAGAAGTTGTAACTTTTCCAGCGCTACAACTCGCCCTGCTGCAATGTTTAGGAACCACCGGGAAGATGAAGACCAACAGTTACTCACGCCTGCTACAGATGACACGATAATCGACGTAGAGGACGAACCGGTGCTGGTGAAGTTGTTCGATTGGGGCCGCTCGGAGTACAACACGCAAGCGAACCACGAAGCGCTGACCCCCGAGGACCGCAAGCTCCGCGTGGATTACTGGCGGGGCTACTTGCAGAGTCTGCTGCTATGGATTGCAAATATGTCTGGGTCTAGGAAGAGGAAGTTGCGAAATTTGTCATGCTAGTCTGGCATGACTCTGAACTCTGTGTTGCGTCACCGCCAAGAGCTCCTCTTGCTTGTCATGCAAAAACGCAGTTTCTCATGCGGAGTACGCAACTCCGAACCACGGAAAAACTTGTCATGCTTGGCAGCGCATTACAGTGTGCTCACTATTCCCTTTCTTGCATCACAAGTTTCCAGACCCAGACATATTTGCATTTCATAGCTGCGATTGCTGTACCAATCCGCACGGGTTTTCCTCCACCGGTTCGCCACCCCGGTGTGGCGCAGCGTGGTGGTCCAGTTGCAGGAGTTATCAAGTGCAAAAATGTAGTCTGGGTCTGGAAGATTGCAACTTGTCATGCTGTTTTTGGACTGTAAAAAAGTTTGTATTGCATGACAAGCAAGAGGGGCGCAATTGTGCTACACGGACAGGGCATTTCTCATGCGGAAGGTGCATCAGGAAGCCCTCTGAAAGTCCGCGATGCTAGGTCACGCATTACAGGCATCACGGGTCATGAGAAATATGCATGACAAATCTTGCATTCTTCCAGACCCAGACACTTTTACACTTTATAGGAGTTTCGCTCCATGCACGACCACGTAATCCTGGGCGCGGTGGAGATCCCGCTGTTTCCCTCGCAGCACGTCGACGCCGCCTACTTCGGACTGCATAATACTCTCAACGGCATGAATGAGAATGACGACGTTGAAGATCATGATGAACATGATGTAGTAGACCGCTCTTGGCACCACGACGACCATGGAGGTCGGGCGCCTCTGTCTGCTTGTGCTTTGTCAGCTGTCGGGAAGATGAACCACCACCACGACAGAACAAGTCCGGTCTCTATTTGTTCCCGCCGCCATGATCGTGCCGTACCGACGCCGCAGAATCAACAGCGACGAACCACACCGGTCGGGCGGCGGTCTGACGTGTCGATCTGGTCAACGGATACTTCGCCAAGCATCGAGAGCGTTCGCGGAGGTGAGATGAGCAATACGCCTCTGAAAAATGTTAAGGGGGAAACATCAAACAACGAGTTATTTCGAAGAAAAACGTGGGTAGACCACGACGAGGAGGACGGCAGGCTTTCTTGTGATCCTTTCAGCAAGTACTTTGTCGACGGGGCCTGTTTTCTGGAGGAAAAGCGCGTTTATACCGTGCCTCTAAAGCGCGTGCCGAACGTGTTTATTCAACTGGAAAAAGAACCGATGAAGAGCCAAAAATCACTATCACAATCATGTAGAACTAGAGACAACCAATTTATACAAGCCGATTTATTTTCTACTTCAGCCGGCGCCGAGACGGAGACCGACGAGGACACGATTGGGTTTGTCACGGTGCAATTCCACGTCCTTTCCAAAACGCGGATCTCCCTGGAAATCCTTAGCTTCTTCACGAAGACAAGCCACGGTGGCGGCAGTAGTAGTTCGTCTGAACATCTGGCGAAGAACATCCACCTGGGGATCCTGGCGTTTGAAGACTCAAGGGACGGGTTCGCACACTTACACAACGCCTTCGCAGCCCGGTCGTCAGAGCTTGCTTCCTTTCGCGGGCGCGTCGCAGACCACCAGTCGGCTTTGCTGGTTGAAAAAGAGAAAACCAGCCCGACTACGTCGGACGCTGCTGCTGCAGTCTCCGGCACGAAGAATGAGGTCAGAAGTTGTGGAGCTGCAGCAGCGGCGGTCGTGACTACACCAGGGTCCTCGAAGCTGCTGCGTAGAAACCAACATCAAGACGAGCTTTTTTTGTCTAGCCAAAGTTCCAGTCACAGTCTGCGGAGTGGTCACGACGGTCACCAGCTGCTGCAAGGGGAAATAAACAAACTGAAACCTCCGCAAATCTCAGCTCCAACTACAGAAGGCCGCAAAGATCATTTCTCTGCTTCGTCACTTTTCGATTCGCACGAGTCGCGGTCGCCAACCCACCTGCGGTTAAACTCCTCGTCTAGGTTCGTGAGTTGCGAAACCTCGGGCAGCTCTGACGCCAGTCCAACCTCATTCGCCCGCACGGAAACGCTACAGCCATTGCCGGAAACCCCGGAACATGCTGATGAAGCTGCAGCGGATACCAGATTCTTCAGTGACCACAGAACTATCTCAAGGGAAAAGATTGTAGAATACACCTTCAGCAGGAAGAAGACGAGTCGCTTTGAGTTTCTCGCGTTTCCGGACGGGGAGGCGCAACTCGTGACTGCATTGAATTTGCCGCCGGAAATTCTCTTGACGAACGGGGGCAAGAACGGAGCTGCAGCCGGAAGCTCTTCGACATCAAATTCATCATCCGCAAGGAGGACCAGTCCCTTGCTAAAAGTCTTCCCCTCACCGGTCTTGCCGGATCAGGATGAAGGAAGCATTTTCTGGTTCGGAAAGCAGATCACCGCAAAGTACTTCCATCCGGACTTTCTGTACGACGGAAACTATGTGCCGGAAAACTGGTTGTAGATATTCTTTTCGTACTGAGAGAGTGTCGTTCCTTCTTGCTGAAGGTTGTACTGTTGGGCGTTTAGGATTTTGCTGCACCCGCATTTTCACTTGTTGTAGAAAACAGAAATAGAAGATTCTGTCGAGGCACAGGCACTAAGTACCTACTTAAGTACCTCCCGAAAGAAACGGATGAGCATGAGGATCATCAACGGCGAGAGCTTGCAGTTTTTGCTCTTGGCTGCGAAACAAGTACTTAGATTTTGATCTAAATGTATCTGCGGAGCAGGTTCTAGCACTGCGCTAATCGGTGCAAGCTCAAACTACTGGCCAATTTTTGGCGATCGGTGCAAGCAAAACTGAGTTGTTACAGAGAAAGTTCACATGAAATGAAATTAAATGCCCGACAGACCACACAGATCTCGCAAAAATTGAAAATCGGATTCTGAAATAACGCTGCAATTGCGATTCACCAAAAAATGGAAGTCTTGTCTCATGGTAACGAAAAACTGCATACGATCTAGAGAAACGAGTTTTAGTTCAGAGCTTGCCGATCAAAATTTTGGGCATGGTTCTGGAAATTTAAGTTGACCATCGATTTTGGCGGGTACTATTTCGGCGCTGCTGTTTTTTTATTTTCGATCAGTCTTGACCCTTTCACGTATTCTGTTTCAAATTTTTTACAGGCACAGGGTGAGGTGGCAGAAGTACTCTGTAGCTTACGGCGGAATCATAAACCATTTTAGGTTATAGAATCAGCGCGACTGAAAACTTCCAGATTTTTCTCGCGTTGAGTATATATCATTTGAAAAGAAGGAGCTTATCAGATTGATTTTGGTTTATTTTTTTGCTAGAGAGTTGAATTACCCCCTTCTATTTGGAAGATTTGTCACAAAGACATGTCTGCTACAGCCCCTACTTCAAAAATCTTCGCTAGTGCATCAGCTGTAAGTACTACCTCCACCGCTCCACGTCTGTATAACAATAAATACGTTTCTTTTAACAATGTCGTTGAAAGGGACGCTGAAGATTGTGATGACTTCAAAAAAAGTCGCTACTTTTGAACAAAAACAAAACAACTAGGGCCCAGTACGTTTAGCAGCAAGGACTCCGAATTTGCGTCAGCAGAAACGCAATAAGAGCTTGCTCGCGACTGGTTGGTGCCGAGGTAGTAACAGAAACCTCAACAAACAGGGAAAGTTATCTTTTCATTTGATACTTCATTTGAAAGCATTTTTATCTTGCAAGGCCTAGTAGTACCCACGACGAGCGGTCCTCTCGTCTCGTATCCGATCCTCTGACTGGCCACCACGACGATCCTTTCAGAGGCACCCAGATCCACGCAACAGCAACAGGAAGGAACACGTAGCTGAAATAGAAATGAGCGATTCCTTCCAAGACCGTCCGGCGTACACCGCCGGCTACGCCCTCGCCTCCCCGGGTCTGATCGCGTTCTATGCTACCGTTGCCGCGCTCGTGCTCTGCACGGTCATCTTCCGCCTCGCCGCCGGGTCCAGGTACCGGTCGTCCGTTTCCGTTTTTGAGAAGAACAACTACGAGGGGAAAAAGCTTTCGTACCACGTGCAGATTGGGTACAGAAGGAACTTTTTTGGCAGTTTCCTCTACGCCTGCTGGCTCGCGGTTCCGGTCCTCGTGCAGGGGATTTTGTTTATCCTCTGTCTCGCCATGCTGGAGGAGAAGGACGTGGACAAGTGGCTGTGGCTGACGAATGGGACTTTCGATTTGAAAATCTGCACGCGGAACATGATAACACTTGGGAGTGACGTATTATATTGCAACCAGGACTACGGACCGTCATCCGGGGCGTTTTCCTTCCGCAACATCGGGTTTGTGTTTTTCGTTTTCTGGAATTTCTTCCTGTTGAACATGTATCTCATCGTCTCGGAGAAACTCCGTTTCCGGGCCAACTTCTACATCCCGTGCGCGCTCTGGGAATGCGAATTCGTCATGCTGGAGGAGTGGTTTATCATGGACGAGAAAGTCGCGAAAGTGGAACCAGGAGCGGTTCTTTTAGCCGGCGCGGGAACTACAACAAACAGTAACACTAACATCAAAGCTGGTCCTCGTGCTGACAAAGATGATGGCAGAAATGCGGCGCCGATGGCTGCCACCACGCCAACAAGCTCCACGAGCAGCAGCAGCGGAAAGAACAAAGCGAACAAAAGAAAAAACAAGATAAAGCAACAACTTGGACTTCAGGAAGAAACTGCAGAAAAAGATCGCGATAAAGCGGTCGCGATGAACAACAATCGGACCGAACAAGAGGACTCCCTCCTTTTGATCATTTCTGACCTGAAGGTGTGCACCCCGGAACTGACAGACATCATATACGACTCCCGGTACCTGTTCGCGATGAAGTACGTGGGGTACCGAGAGATCGGCGTAGTCAGCTACAGCCAGCTGGGGGAGAACCTGTCGGAGGCGGAAATTGAGGAATTCGAAGCCTACCTGCGCAGCATCAACTTCGGGCCGGAAGACCAGGACAACATGAGCTGCGAAGATAACACGTTCTTGGCAGAAGACTCGAGCACGGAACATAAGATGGACGAGAAGCACTACCCCACGCACTGGTTCTGGTTCCGGTGCACCCACTACTTTTACTGCCATCGGCGGAATTGTTTTCTGGAACCGCGCAACGAATTCACTGACAACGACGTGAATACAAAACAGTTTCTGGACACCTACCGAGGATTCTTGACCAAAACTGGTATTAACGCGGCCGCGATGAACAAACAAGCTCAAACGGGTCAAAACAATTCCAGTCGTGTGTCCGATGAAGGACGGGAAGTAGAAGAGTTGAGGCGTAGTTCATCTTCAACCTCCGCCGAGCAAGAACTTCTTGCTGAGGACTTCCGGCAGCCCAGTTCCGCTTTCCTTTCCCAACGGAAATACGAGATTCTGGGGGAGAACAAGATTTCCGTGGAGTGTAAGCCCTACGGGTGGTATCTATCGCAGGAATTTTGCGACTTTACCACTTTGTTCCAATTGCACTGCTTGTGGGCTCCGAGTATATTCACGAACTGGATGCTCGCGATTGTCTCCGGCGTGATGTGCCTGCTGTTTGGCATGCGGAACGCCTGGAACACGTTCGACGCACAGAGGGAGATCCAGCGGCTCGCGAGCCGGACCAGCGAGGATTTCGTACACGTCTTTCGTTACGTTGGGAGGAAGAAAACCGGGAGGAAAAACAACTACAACGACGGAGTCGTCGGGCCCTTCTCCACCACCACCTCGCGAGGTGGATTCGAACAACAAAATAAATTCCTGCAACCCGCGACCAGCAGCGTGCAGAACCGGTCTCGACCCATGTTCGAAATGGAGTCCGTCCACGTCTCCGAACTCGTTCCTGGGGATCTAGTGGAGATCCCCGCGACAGGCGTGGTCCCCTGCGACTGCGTCGTGGTTGAAGGTGCTGTGGTGGTAAACGAGAGCAATCTGACCGGGGAAGCCATGCCGATCCAGAAGTTTGCGCTCGAAGGAAACGCCTCGGAGAGACTCTGCTGGAAACGGCACGCGAAGAAGAACATTTTATGCGCGGGGACGGCCATCATGCAGAGCCGGGGGAAGACCGGGAACGACCCGGCCGTCGCGGTGGTGCTGGCAACGGCCGCGGGAACAACTAAGGGGTTGATGATTCGAAGTATCATCTACGCGGAAGAGGTAATTTTTACTAGTATCTATGGGTTTGATTGTGATTCATTTTTTCAACACCACAGTTGCGTTTGGTTTTGATTTGTTTACTTCGTACAGACAAAAACATTGACTGGGAATCTTCATCATGTTCTTTCACACCTAATCTTGTTCTCAGGTTCATTTCGAACTTTACGACAAGCTGCCAATCGCAGTGCTGATGAATGCCACTTTTGCCGGAGTTGTCGCGATGCTCACGATCTTCAGCCAAGCCGAATGGCAGGCATTGTTGATCGCGGGCTATTTCGAAGCGGTTTGTATCATAGTTCAAAAACGCAACGGCCACTTTAATATACCCAGAATTTTTGGTGTTGGTCTTGCATGGTAATATTAAAACTAAGCGGGCCCGCCAGCGCGGAGGACGCTGCATGAGCGTGTGATGTTGTTGTCTGGCCGCTAGTTTTAACACAGTTGACAGCACAACAATAGATACAGCTTCTCCTGGATTTGATATTCTCGTGTTTGATGCGGTTTTGATTTTGATAGATGGTGCAATATCCCGCCTGGTTTCCCCCCTGATTCTGGTTGGCTTCAAGATCACGCAGGGCCAGGCCGCGGCCCGGTTAAAGAGTGGTCCCTACGAAATCCAGTGTTTGAGCTATCGGCGGATTCCCATGGCGGGAAAGATGGAGGTCCAGTGCTTCGACAAAACGGGGACATTGACAGAAGAGTCGCTGCATCTGCACGCGGTACAGGCGGCGCTTCTTTCTGCGAAACATTTAGGACTGGAGGAGAATTTTTACGCAACCGGTGGTGCGACGTCGAATGGTGCTTCTAGTTGTGCAACGGGTGGTCTCATGACCAGAAAACAAGTAGAACAAGATACGACAGCCACGACGACTTCTCAGCCACCACTCACCGTGCACATGGGCGCTTTACATCAGACCACGAGTGGCGGGCGCGATATGCTGCGTGCCAACTCGCACGTGTTCAGCCTGGCGGACCTCGCCGCCAGTACCTGTGACACCGTGACGGTGCTCGACGACGGGGTGACATTGGCGGGGAATAAGGTAGAGTGCGAGCTTGTGCACTTTTACGGTATGGACCGCGATCACAAGCTTGCGGTCAAGCGGTCTCACGCGGGAAGGGATACCGAAAGCGCAGCAAATAAGGAAGAAGGTGCTGCGCGGGACGCCAAACTGATCCACCGGCACCCCTCGGACGGAAGGATTTTGGCGCGCACGGTTCGCCAATTTGAATTCGACCAACGGACGCAGCTGCAGTCCGTCGTGGTGGACATTCCAAAGCACGTTCTCGACGGCGCGCTGGAGCCCGCTGATTTGCAGTACGTGTCACAAAGCGGAACCACTACGACAGGCGATCGAAAGCTGACGTGGGACGAAATGGCGATGAACCAGCGGCGATTGATCCAGAACTACGATTCACGGGCGTCCGTGATTGGAAGTGCGACTCCCGATAGGGTGGATCAGCATCTTCATACCAGCCCCTTGCTGTTGAGCAACAGCAGAGATACTTCCGTCGCCGACCATGGAGCGCAAGAAAGCAACGTTTCTACGCCGGTGATGCAGATGAAAATAGAGGAAACAGACGCGGACTTTAACTCCACTTCCACGGTGTATCGCAGTAGCCGAGACAGTGGCACGCGCAGCCCTGCTGGGGGCGGTCTGGTACCACGGGCACAGCATCAACCAGCCCCGGAAATAACTGTGTTTCCACCAGGAGGAGATCCTGCTTTTCAACGAAATCACACTTCCGCGTCCGTAGCGAGTGCTGCCTCCGTATCTCCTTCCCCCGCCCCTACTTCCGCCGCGACCCGGTTTCTCTTCGCCAAAGGGAGCCCGATCAAGGTGGCCTCGCAGTGCCGCCCGGACTCTTTGCCGCAGGATTTTCACGCGCGCGCCCGGCACATCGCACGCAGCGGGTACTACCTCCTCGCGTTGGCTTGCCGACCGCTTCTGACGGAAGAGTTGCAAACAGCGGAGAAGCGCGAGGATTTAGAGCAGGATCTGACTTTTCTCGGCCTGCTTTACTTCAAGAACGAATTGAAAAGCTGCACGGCGACCGCGATCGCGGAGCTGCAAGACGCGGGAATCTTCACGGTGATGGTAACCGGGGATAACTTGTGGAACGGATTGCACGTCGCAAAAGAGTGCGGCCTGATCCCCGCGTCGCATGCCGGATCCATATTACTGGCCGATGCGGAAGAAAAGAAAACGCCGACAGGAGCAAAGAGAGGGCAAAGGATTGTTGAGAAGAAAACCACTACTAGTAATCTACTTGCGGTTCCGAGCGCATCAATGGACGGAATACAAGGAGTTTTCATGAATAACGAGAAAAGAAAAGAATTTGAGGCCGAAGAAACAGGACCACCAGTAGACCACCCGGACGAGGACCAAACGACATCTAGCGGTACAGAAGAAGAGGACACTTCCTCTTCCGAAGATGACAACGAGGATCTTGAGAAGAAACCAGTGGAAAAACAGCTTGTCTGGACCCGCGACATCCCGCTCCTCCAGGCCATCTCCCCCTCGAAGCCGAATGTGCGGGCCTCCCGCGTATTCGCGCGGGGGGCTCCGCGCGCCAGATGTTGCAGCTCTGCGGACCCGGGGTATGACGAGAAAATTGAGAGTTTGATCGAGGACGAAACGACCCTGTTTGGCGTCACGCAACACGCGTTCACGTATTTAAAAGAGCACGACCCGGAACTCCTGCACCAGATCTTCCCCCGGGTGGTGATTTTCGGCAGCATGAGTCCCCAGGGAAAAGTGGACGTCGTGTCCAAGTGGGGGGCTTCCAAAGTGGTCGGTATGTGCGGCGATGGCGGGAACGACTCGGGCGCTTTAAAAATGGCGCACGTGGGCATGGCTCTAGTCCCGAAGGATGGAACGTCCGAAGTCTCGATCGTCTCGCCTTTCAGCAGCTCCGGCGGGGTCAAGCCGAAAGTTGGAGAGAGTGGCTCTTCAGCTGCTCAGGTTGAAGTTATTTCCCCCGCAGACCACGAAAAACGCCCCTTGCTGTTGGATTACAGCAGCGACGACAAAATAAACGCAGATACGCATCATCATTCCGCGGCAAGCAAGCGAGAAAGGCGCGCAACGGAGCACGATGTCCCCGAAGAGCTGCACCCCGACCCGTCTATTCATTCCGTCGTGAGTGTGGTAAAAGAGGGCCGGGCTGTGCTGGAGAATTCCGTCGCCTGCTACCAATTTTTCGTGTACTACGGCTGCCTCTCCGTGATCTCCAAGATGTTTCTGCAGGTGCGCCACGGCTACTACAGCGAGTTGGTCTTTCTCTTCCAGGACGCTTTTCTGGTCGTAGCGGTCACCTACGCGATTGCTTCGTCCAAGCCGAGCCTCAAGGTCGCGAACTACACCCCGAGCGCGAACATTCTGGGCTACGAGATTTGCTGCGGGATTTTGTCCCCCATTGGCTTCTCCGTGTTGGCTTTGTTCCTCACCTACCGGAGTTTAGACGCGCAACCCTGGTTCGTCGCGCCCGACCTCTTCGAGCTCAACATCGACGTGGCGGCTTGGTGGAGCAAGCAGGGCGTCTTTACCGCCGCGGTCACGGGGAGCTGGTCCGTGCTCTCCGCGGTCGGCGCGGCGTTGCTCTTCTCCCTCGGCGGAAAGCAGCGGAGAGCCTGGTTTCGAAACTGGATCTTGCTGGTCGTAGTTTGTGTGGTGGTGCCACTCTGGACTTTTCTCTTGTTCACCGCGAACAACCCACTGAATTGCGTTTTCCGGGTGAATTGCGACAACGAAACCAGTTGGGCGACGACGTTTCAGCCGCTGACGTTCTTTTTAAACACCCGGGAACTGTACAACAGCGCCGTGTGGTTTCAGGACGGGAGCGGGAAAACGGATTTGTTGTGGGTGTCCGAGCAAAAATTGTCTGGTATTGCGCCCTTTCAGGACCAGCCGGCCATCGCACTGACCGGGAAGTTCTGCGAAGCGGCCAGGGGGTTTCTGGAAAGCGAAAAGAACAACGGGCTGCCCGTGTGGACCAGAACGACGACCAGTGGCGCGGAACAATGTATAGGGGCGTGCTTCATTGCGTTTTCGTTCAATTAGAATTAGTTTTGCTTTGCTATAGTACGAACAGCGACGTGAGCTTTAGAATTGTCAGCAATGGAAGAGACTTTGTATACAGCAAGTAGTAGTGGTGCAGCCAGTGCGAACATTAAAACTGTATAGTTGAAGCTCTTGACTTCTGACAAATGCACACTGCAAACAGGCATCCTCGAGTTGGAGCTCGGTGCACCGGCTAGTTCATTCCAAACACCGTCGCAAAAAGCGTATCACTGCCAGCAGAGTTGCCGCGCCACGTGGTCGTTCCGCGGAGCCGACAACCCCGATAGCCACGCCAACGACAATCGCTTTTTTTGCTGGTGGACCGCGGTGACGGATAACAGCTGCTTCCTGGTGCCGCGGCTTGACGCTGCGCGGAAACGCGCCATGGGCCCGGAAAGTCAAAATTTTGTAAATGCACAGCTACATCAGCCAGCAGACGTCGCACTACAACCTGGAGGACAACAAGGGCGATCTTCGAATTTTCTCGGAGCTAACCGAACGCAGGCCGACGTTGTACAGACTCCATTCAAGGCTGACGCCATCGCGCTAAGAGATAGAACAGCGACCAACGCGAGCGGTCCCCATAGAAATTCTCCGGAAGAGCCACCCCGTCCCCCGGTTGGGTTTGAGCAACTGAGCCTGAAGACTGTCCACTTTCGCAACGCGCACAACGTTATCAAATGTAAAAATGTCTGGGTCTGGAAGAATGCAACTTGTCATGCTAAATCTGAAGCAGGCAGAAATCTGTGTTGCATGATTACCAAATGTCGTCCAGTTTTGACCAAGTCGGAGGGGAGTTTCTCATGCAGGATAGGCATCAGAGGGATCGCACAGATTCTGTCATGCCAGGTCCTGCATTCCAGACCTCATGGGTCATGGAAAAACTGCATGACAAATCGCGCATTCTTCCAGACCCAGACACTTTTACATTTGATAAATGTGCTTGCGTGGGAGCAGCCGGCGAACACACCGCTGGAGGAGTCATTGACACAGCCTTATCAAAAAGAAAAATCCCCCCTCCCCATATCGAAAACGAAATTTTTACAACCGGAAGAGCCGTTTGGAAAACCGACTGCGTGATTGCTGCGGTTTTACACGCTAGCAACCTGAATAAAGCACAAACATAAGGCGGGCGCCGGGGATCGATTTCGCCGCATGGAGGCGCCTACTTTTGCAAGATCGTCTTGGCAACCAAAAGGGTTCGGGCTCTGGGCGCGATTTTATTGATAGATGGGCCACAGGAATTGACTTCCAAACGAGCCAAATGGTTTGGACCAGAAAAATAGTCCCAGGCAAGGGGGTTGATGCGGTGTGGCTATAATCCACCCTATTCGCAGGGCTTCCGCCTACGGAGAACCAACCTGGCTGAAGACGACGGCTGCTTCGTCCCTGATCTGGGGAAAGCTGGCCCGCCGGTCGTTGGGCTGGTGACAATAGGACGAGCCAGGCAACTGGTCGGGTTGGTTGGCCGTAGGACTACTCCCCGCCCCGCGCGGCGCACCCGGAGGCCTGTCTCCCACCGTGTTTCCGGGGCTTTTCCTTGCCCCGTTCGTGCGCCATCTCAAAGGCAAACCGGGGACCCGGGAACGGCCTTCCGCGGGATTATTCCAGGAAACGAAAAAGGCGACAAAAAAAAAAAGCCAAAAAAACCCAGCGTTAGCCCCGCGCCGTTTTTATCTTGCGGGCGCCTTTTTGTAAAAACGCAGCAAACACGCAGACGCCAAAAAAATGCCGGAATCTGCGGATACAGTTGCGGCGTTTTTAGGCAAATTGCCCAAAATCACAAAAGCGGCGCGCGAAAATTCGGATACAGCTGCGCAGTTTTACAAATGACGCGCAAAAAAGTGTTTTATTTTTCGCAGTGCCATCGTGATTGTGGTAATTTGGACCGTAAAAAAAACGACCGCGAGCCCGATACAGTTGCGGCGCATTTACGTTTTGGGACCCGGAAAGCGCAAACTTGCAGACAAAATCGCAGAATTAGCTGCGCGGTTTTAGGTTTTCAGCGGAAAAACGTGCGAGGTGTTGTGGGTTCCGCCCCTGTGGCCTGCCAAAAGCCGACAAAATCGAAACGCGAAACGGCGGACATAGCCCCTGCGCATTTACAGACGAGGGGCCCCAACCCCGTGAGCGGTAGCAAAGACATGCACCTGCTGAAAACATCGCAGTTTAGGACTTGGCGGGAATAATGAGCAAGGGGCCGGCTCATTTCTGTAAAACCGCAGCAATCACGCTGGCGCTATTCTTAACGGCCCTTTCGGCTCTAACGAAATTTGTGATGCAGTATTTGAGTACACAAATCGCATTTGTCTTGCTGGAGGGGACTGCAGACCCATGCCAAGCCTGAATAGAGAGGCTTTGACTTAGGCGCTTAGCATGAAAAGCGTCCGCGATGTTGGCTCAACAGCATGACAAACCGGCTCCATAATGGGACGGAAGCTGCTGCCCTTGTCTTCTTGCAACACACACGTGATTTGTGACCTCAAATCAGCAACACAAATTTTCAAAAACCTACCTCTTCAATATGGGGAGGGGGGATTTTTCCTTGCGATAAGCCTTCGATAAACGCGAGAACGTTCTCGTGGACCTTCCTATTTCTCGCCACACTTGCGATCGCCTTCACGATAAATGTGCTCATGAGCATTTTTGTGATCAAAGGCCCGGTGGGAGTCTGGTTGTCCGGGAAACTTTTCGGAGACAAGAAAAGGATGTGACAATATCTTGATTAGAAGTAATTCAGGCGACGTCCTCGTATGTTTAAGTTTATGTCTGAAATCTTCTACTAGCGAGACAATCGCGCGCCCCTCACCCATGGCCATGAAGAAGTGAAAAAGATATAAGAGATTCGAAGCCACATTGGTTTGGTGAACAGTCACGAACAATAGTTTCCTCCGAGGTTGCTGCAGGATCTTGGCCCAGCTTGTTCAACAGTGATGGGCCGGCTCTTGTTGCACCCCCACAGAGACTGCTTCTGACATCCACAAAGATTATACCAGCATACAACTTCTGTGTCTGTGTAACAAAACTATGAAAACAAACTTATCCAATAAGAATATTATCAAACGAAAAACACCTTCGTTGGTCTTGGTTTGTGAAGAAACGCAGACCAAATTTGAAAATAGTGAACAACCGCAATGAACATGATGCAGCCAAAACGGCTAGCAAGTACAAGTAGTAGTTCTAGTTGAAGACAATTTTTGCTCTTGATTGTTTGAGTAAAGGTGAAAAATCCACTTGGAGTCCACCACCTCTAAACTGACACACATCGAGCATTTCGCGACTTCGCTTCTTGTCTTTGGTGCCGCGACGACGTGAGGGTGCAGCTTAGATTCTTTTTTTCTTTTACTTTCTCACCGAAACTCACCAGAACCGCAACACTTCTTCACACTTTCAAACTGGGTACGATCATGTAGAAAATGGCGCTCGGATAGTACCCGATAGCGATGACTGTTCCTGTGGTGTGGCCACGGATAGTACGGCGCAAACGGAGCCGCGCTTTTTTTCTCCTTGACCTTGTCACCCCACTTGTTTTTTACTTGGTTTTTTTTTTGGTCGATAGCACAATTTTTTATTGGTAACGAAGACGAACGCCGGATACTGATACAGTTGTCGATATGCTGGCGAACAGCAGGAAACGTAAAATCCACTAACGCGAACAAAATACTTAAACAAAGAGAAAACATAAAACGTCGCCGGCAACAAGAGCAGACGTGGGCTTCAAACTTACAAAAAAAAATTCCGGCCGGATTTCACTTGATTCAGAAGCCAAGAAACATTACTCAGACTTCATCATAGTATAGACTTCTTTTAACCATGTTTGATTGAAGGCCATATTAACACGGTGACTGTGCGAGTAGATGCTAGATGTATTGGCTGCTCAACATCGAGCATGATACTGATAGTATTGACAGTAGAACCCATAATTTCCAGGCGGCGGAAACACACAAGATTTTCTGCTGCTTGGGATTTTTTATCTCTAGTTTTTCTATTTCACTCTTCTACTTCTGTCACTGTTGAAAAGAAGGCAACCTTCAAAATATTGAACAGCAATGGGTGTGCCCCTGCATCACGGAATTTACCCGACCTCAGATCTACCAGAGCAGAGTACTTGCGCACAAGAATGAAAAGCGAAGACCTCAACAGGAGAAAGATAAAAGAAGGCATGCTTTCGGAAGCCAAGCTTATGACTCTGGTTGTCAGGAGTGCAGTTGTTGTTCGCCATCTTGCAGTAGCATCGGCTGCGGTCGGGGCGTTTTTCAGGGGCCATCCATGGTGACGAGGATGTGTTGACTAATATCAAATAAACTCTTGCCAGGCATCATCTGCCACTGCGTTGCGTCCTCGCAGCTGCGCCGCCGGTGGCGCAATGAGGGCCGGCCGGCTGTCGAAGCCGAGAATGGCCCGCGCTCCAACTTTGGGCGCGGCCGGAAATTTGCGCGGCGTAGCGCATCGCTGTGAAGACGCGGACGCGCCGACTTGCCTGCAGGGGGCTGGCCTCGCTCGTTGATGTCGCAGCGGCGTGGCGCGACTGGTCTGCGCGCTTCATTCGAGGCGGCTGCGCGCCAAGCGGGGCGCGGTTCCGCCTGTACGCTTGTGGCGTCGGTCATGAAATATTGCGCGCCGATGTGGTGCGGCGTTGCTGGCAAGGCGGCGCACCTGCACGGCGACTGCGCGAAGGCCGCCGCTGTATTCCTGGAGCGCAGGTCGGCCCGCGTTCTTCAGATCAGCCCGGCAGGCCGCCGGGGCAGCGGGTGCCGTGCGGGCTGGGCTCGCCATTTTGGTGTTGCCGGGGACTCATGGCAATTGTGGGGGAATGGGCGCCATCAAGGTCGCGCGCCGCCTCCCTGCCCTGCGTGCCTGCCTGGCCGCCTACGCCGCCGACTAGGGCGCCCCTCCCAAGGCCCGTCAATGGCCTTGCTTCGGGCGGCGCCCGCCTTCTGGGGGGCCGGCGCTTCCTTTCGTGGAACGGGGCGCGCGGGGCTTTTGCTGATTTCGACAAAGAGGCGCAAGACCGGCCGAGTACCGCAAGGGCGCGGCGCGCGGTGCCGGCCCTTTTGGAAGGCGCGGCCCCGGGTCTGCCGTTTCGTTCTAACCCATCAGAAAAGGCCGCCGGGGGCAGTTGTGTGTGTGCCCTGCGGCGGGAGTCGCCAAAGGCTTCGCAAGACTGGCGGCCGCCCAAGCGGGGCGCCGGGGTAGCGAAGCGGCCGGCTGCCCTGCGGCGCCCGCCCGCGAGCGTCGCCTGCTTTGGCGGGCGGAAGGGCGCAGGTGGTCGGCCGCGCGGTAGATCGGGCCAGCCTGCCGCAGGCTTGCGGCCGGGCGGCAGGTTGTAGGGAGGCGGCGCATTGGGCCGCGCCGTTTGTGATTGTCTGGATGGTAGCTAGGGCGCAACAAGCCCACGCGCCCCCGCCCCGCCCGCCCTTGCTTGGGCGCAACTGCCGGCCTGTTCTTTGGTGGGCCGCTGTGTGTCGCAGCCTGCCTGCATTTTCGGCAGGGGGGGGCGGGCGCCCGCGCCCGATTTGCGCGCCGCCCTCCGTGTGGATGCATGCGAGCGAGGGCCGCAGCGTAGCTTGGCGAGCCAGCGGGGTGATTCCTGAACTCATTCACGGTGGGGCGTGTAGAGTGGATGCCCGGTCGCCGGGGTCATCTGTGGCCCCCTTCGAGAAAGAACAGCAACAGCCTGCAGCAGCCTCCGCCTGTGCTTGTTGTGTGTTTGTTAGTTTCCTTTGTGTGGGTGGCGCCCCCGTCACTTAATATTGGGGCCCATTTATAGTATATTTAGTAGGTGGCACGACCGCGCCCCATTGCATTCGCATTCGTGTTCGCTGTAGATTCAGTTTGGTCTTGGAATAGCCGTATGACTTGTCGCTCCCCAGTTTGCAGGGTCTGGAAGGTAAACAGGGGTCAGGGAAATGTCTACGGAGCGGAAGACGAGAGCGTCACTGCGGGTGCGGTCCCAGCGCCCGCTTGATGGGTACCAATCAAACGCGAGGAGCTAGCACTTGAGGCGAGCGAGCTAGAGAATGAAGAGAAGGAAACCATATGTCTCGAGCGAGTAAGAAAAGCCGGGGCGGCATTTTCAAAGATAACGACCGACTCCACACCTCTTTGCTTTTTCACGGAGCGCTTGCGCTGCTTCATCTTCATCCATGCTTGTGGTGAGGATGACTCTCATTTCTAGGTCTCGAACAAGTACAAGATGAAAAAATCAATACTGAGGCTGGTTCTGCTTCTTCAACAAAAAAAAAAATCAGATAGCTCCAGCGAAATCATCTCTCAGAGTGTAGACAGTGACGCTAGCAGGCGAATAGATTAGCAGTCCAAGGGACGTGTAAATGCAATCCTATTTCGAATACGAATTCGAACGGCATCAGCGACTTCACGACGTTCATGAATGTGATAGGGCGATGGACTTGCAACTCCTACTCTAGACGTGCAAAAGTAAGAGAAGCACATCGCAAAGTAGTGCGTCAGTGCCGTACTAAAACTAATTAGCCTTCAAAATAACTTTATCATCAGATCATTACCAAGGCATGCTCTTTCATCGTGGGAAGCTCGTCTCGGAGACGGTGGAGAAATTCTGGTTTCTTTTCCTCCCACTCTTCTTCATCTACACATACGGCGTTTATTTCCTGCTCGACTTTTTCAACCTCGCATCTTCCACCTCATTATCAACAACCTCCGCTTCCACGATAGCAATTTACGTCTCCCTCGCACTCTTGCTGTCCGCCATTTCCTACCCGGTGCTTCTCTACCTTTTCTTCGGCCCGAGAAGCCGCGGGTTCAAACACTGGGGCCAGAAGCATGTCTTCATTACCGGCGGCTCGGAGGGCACGGGGTTCGAACTCGCAAAACTTTTGGTGCAGAAGCGACAAGCGAAAATTGTCACGCTGTTCTCGCGGTCGCAGACCAAGCTGGACGCCGCAAAAAAGCAGTTGGAGGAGATCGTGGAGAAGCAAAAAAAGACGACGACCAGGAACACGTCCTTGATTCAGGGCTCAACAAGCATCCGGACCATCGCGGGGGACACTACTTCCTTGGACTCACTCAGGAAGGCGGTGGAAGAGGTATCTTGCTAGTGTTGCTCGATTTGGGTAATTTTCATATGTCGAATTTTGGCTCGTTCTGATTTTAATTTCAAGCCCGTGTGTGGGGCAGTGCAGATAAATCGAGTTCGAGATTGGAGCAACTATGTATGAGTACGACGCAAATACAAGAATCACGTAGAAAATCAAAACGCCCAGGACTCCACGACCCCCGCACCCGACGTGTTGATTGCCGCCGCGGGCATGGCGATTCCAAAGTATTTCGAAGACGCTTCGCCCGAAGACTTTGAGCGGCAAATGCGGGTCAACTACCTCGGTGTCGTCAATTCCGCAAAAGCGTTTCTCGAACACATGCCAGGTGCTGTGACGGAAGCAGGAAAAGGTAGCGATTATGCGGACGAAAGACACAAAAATTTTGTCGCAGTTTCCAGTCTGGCCGCAGCAGTCCCCTTTATTGGGTATGCGAGCTACGCGCCGACGAAAGCAGCGGTGCGGACGTTTTGCGACGTGCTCAGGAATGAGTTTGTCGACTCAAAGACGACCAGCATCCACATTTGCTTCCCCCCCGATATGGACACGCCGGGGTTCCACGAGGAGCAGAAGACCAAGCCGATTGAGTGTAAGAAAGTGTTTCCGGAATGCTTCAACGAATTGTTCCAACCTGGGGATGTGGCCGAGATGATCCTCGCCGGCATTGAGCACGACCGGTACCACATCTTCAGTCCGGACCTGGTCGGGAACTTCCTGGCCTCCCGCGGCTGGGGCCCGCACCCGCGGCAGTTCGTGTTCCTGGAGTTTGTATTATCTCCGCTGTTTGTGTTGATTCACGAGGCAATCGTGTTCCTGATGGACCGGTGTGTTGTGAAGTATGATCACCACGGGGCTTGGGGTGGAGGTGGCGCTGGTGGTAATCGGGAACGAAGTCCGGAGAAAAAAAGGGCCTAGTAGCGTCGAAAAACTTGATGTGGAAGCACTCGCACTTGTTGTTGATTTCAGCGATGAACGTCTTCTACTCTTCAGCGACAACTCTTCGAGCGACTAAAACAAAGTACAGTAGACCAACGAAGTGCACACATAATGAATGGGCCCACAAGAATAACAATTTGTACTTGTAAACGACATTGATATTGAAATGCCTATATGAAGTGGATGATTGAAGAGGTCTTCTTCATCCTTTGGCACGACATGAGGAACGTCACAGCATGGAAAGAGGTAAAGCGCAAGGCGTTAGTTTCATCTCGCCGAAAACAGCTGCGCTTTGATGAATGTTCCTTGTAGTTTGGTGCTGCCGAGACCTCCGAGGCTGCAAAGACAAAGAGTGCCCATCGCAGATGGAGAAAAAATGAGGGATACGGGCTTTACAAAAGATGCTGCGAGGGAGCGATAAACTACAATGTCAGTTTGAGTACGAATCTACCACCCCGTCCTTTCTTTGTTGTTTTGTGACGGACGACGTGGCGTCGTCGTCGTGTGAATGATGTAGCAGGGCTACGCGGCGAGAAGCAATAAATCAATGCTACGATTGAAATATTGAAGATGATGCGCCCTGGGGCGAGCAGCGCGAGCGCAGCAGGAGCCCCGGTAGGGAACAATGCGTGGTTGAGCAGAATCATGAGGACAGTCGCGATTGCTCTGCTCAGCGCCGGCGGCATCACAGTCACTCCCCCAGTAGGCGTCTCCGCAAAACTGCAGAAACTTCGCTTCAACCTGAAGCGGACAAAGCAAAAGCAGCTGCTCGCGAACAAGAGGGTCAAGACCGTCCCGGCACCTGGTTGCACCTGCGCGGAATGCGAACAGGGCATGCTGTCTACTTGCATGGCAAGTTACCCCGAGGGCGTGGTGAACACCTGCGTCGCCCGCTACGAAATGCGCTGCGTTCTCCCCCAAGGAGATCCCATTCTGCAAACGGACAAGGTGCACGATGCCGCAACCATGGCAGGTACGAAGGCGAGCGACTGGGTTGGCGCTGAGGTGCCGATGAGCGAATTTTGCCTCTACGAGTGCCGCCCGCAGCAGAAGGCCTGGCCCGCGCGAGCCGACCGCCCGAGCGAATGGAAGCCAGCAAGATGTATACGTGGTTGCTCCTACTTCACAATATCCGAAAATCGAAAAATCAACTGAGATGTGGGTGAATTAATCATGAAAACGAATTTCATGATGTTGACCCTGCCACCTCTAATCTACATAGGTACCGCCATCGGCACACTCCGTGGTGGACAGCTGGCTGCGGCGAAGAATGGAGCAGCGAAATCGGAGATTGACCTGTGCCAAGGAGATCCCGAGTCGGCATAAAAGCATAAAATTTTCTTCCTTGTGGATTTTTTTCTGACGAATGATCGCATCATCTTTCATTATGGCACTGGGGCTGGCCGGGTCCAGCACAGAAACGTGTGAGATGTGAGATCAGACGAGGACAAATGAGATGAATGTGAACTTCTATGATCATCAGCTAGTGCGACGGGGACGGCTACCTACGTGCCAAAATCATGCAAATGAAAAAAAGAGAATGAACATTGGAGCGTTCCTATGCAGCGATTCTTTTCTGCACAAGCGCAGGCGCGGGCGTGGCCACCTCGTTCCGCTTGCTTATCTAAACGAAGAATAACAAAGACAGGCAAGTAGCGCTGCACTGTGTTTCTTTCAGATCACGCTAACAAGCAGCACGTTAAGTGATGAAATAAAGATGTTGAAGATCGTCTAGCCCATTTTGCCGCAGGAAGCAATCTCGTAGATCTTATTCATTTTTTTCTTTTCGGATGCAAGTTCAGCGTCAGAAGAACAAGTAAGATCCATGCGATAACGGAGTTAGACAGATCAAAGCTTGTAGAGGATCGCAGGAAGGAAGCCGGATCATGATGGAAAATGCGTCCTCCATTTGCATTTTTCGCTGGAACTGGATCAATTTCCGTTTGGCATTGGCTTTCCTATTTCTTGTAACCGCGGACGCGAGCATCGTGAAGAAGCAATTTTAGGCTGCAATAGTAGATCAGCATATTATTCTGCTTAATATCTCTCAACCTCATCTGCACAGCGAACTACTTGAACAAGCATGAAGTACAAGTAGAATTATCCAGCGGAGAAGGAGATTATATATGATTTTACGGATGATAAGGTAAAGCTTCAGAATAACTTGTGCGCCGCGTATTTTACTTCTGCGATGATCTACATTTTTGAGGCTTCCGCTATTCTAAAAGTCTAACGTTATTCTCTTTCTCTTCTTCAATTTCATTTTCAAGCGACACAAAACAAAGCCGAAACCATGGGCAAGGGTAAGGCGAAGGGGAAGCAGAGTACGGTCTTCGAGGTCGAGAAGTACCACAACCAAATGGTGCATGTGAAATTCACCGGCGGCAGAGAGGGTACAACTGTTAATCATGCACGACAGATGATCAGTTTTTCTTTTTTCCTTTTCCCGCATGACAAACTGATTTTTGCTTCTTGAAATGAAAATATTGTAAATTGATGAATGCATAACCACAACAGTGAAGGGCATACTAAAAGGCTTCGATCCGGTTGTGAACGTGGTTCTCGACGAGGCAGAAGAATTTAGACGAGACCCCAAGGACCCAACCAGGGTACTGGAAGAGACGAGAAAACTCGGGCTCATCGTCTGCCGCGGACCGTCCGTTACATTAATCAGTCCGCTGCCGCAGGTCATCTCGCAAGAAGAACTGATGAAAGCCGCGGAGAATAACGCATGATCATGATGATTTTTAACCCCGTGGTCGTGGTTTAGAACCGGCCAAGCTGTGACACGTGTTATTGACCACGTGAATTTCAAGAACGAAAAGTAATTTCCAAGAAACACGCGCGACGAAAAAAAAAGAAAATATTTATTGCCCCACCACAGCTTCGCTTTCTATAGAACAAGTGGATGTGGAAGATCCTTTCTTTCTGACTGTGTTCGCAAGAGAGGAGCAATGAGGACCTTGTTGAATTGAATGGAAGTCCACCGTTGTTCCGGAAAACAGCTTGCGGTCTTTCGCGAAGTAGATTGCAATTACTCGCACTGAAAAACTCTATGTATGAGGAGGTGCTGACTGAAGTCCATCTGGAGATCTTCGGCGATTCGAGATCTCGCGACTAGCGGATTGGCGTTTGCGGATCTTTTTTCTCGCGACGATAACCTGGCGTTTGCGGATCTTTTCCTTCTTTCACGTAACATTTATGAATGCATTTGCGACATCGGGAGATCGAGATTTTATTCCGAATTCCTTCGTTTCTCTTCGCGTTTTTTTGACTGACGGGGCCTTTGTCTGCATGCTACCACCAGAATGTAACAGTATTTACTGTCGCGCACGCGCTCAAGCTCAAAATAAATCAAACTCAAAACACAAATACGACTACCAGGCCGCGCGTTTGATGCGCTCGAGCTTATGCAATTCTGTCTCGTTGTCGTTCTTCTTGATAGTTGACTTTGCCTTAACGAGTTGCAGTTTTTACTTTTTTTTCTTTGGAGTACATCATCTCGATGTCACAGCATGTACTCTTTGATTGATCATATTTTACTACTCTTGCAAAAAAAACAACTGTTGTCTCTGATTCCAAAGCTCGACGTCTTTTCGCATCCCAAGCAGGCAGGGCGACCGTTACTGTCCCGTCCGTATAATTTAACCATGCGGTAGTGGTAGAGGTGGACTGGAGGATCAGGGCAGATATACCACGTAACAAAATAAGACGAGAAAGCGAAAGCCAAATATCAAAACGAAGCCGATCACGATGGTACAAAAATACTACCTCAACTTCGAGAGCCAGCACTGGGTTTCCCGCGGGTGGCTTACGTTCAAAGCAGCTTTTTTTTCGGTGACGCTGCTGTTGCTTAGTAGTTGCAGCGTACTTGTTCGGGATGCCAGTGCAATAAAGTCCTCCGCGCGGCTGCGTACCAGCAGTGAGCCCGCAGCTTCTACTACCGCTCGCAGGGGGGGAGATGAGCATGAGGATGAACCGGTTTACCAATTTTTTCACACAGCACCAGGAGAGCCGATAGATGTACCAACGGTCGAGGAGCCGTCAACTTCGACACTGCGCTTGTTGCAACCTCCCCCGGCAGTTGTAGAGAACAATGCCGAGGACCAGCAGGAGCAGATGCCAACGCCCCGAGGACGTGAAGTGGGTGAACCTGGAGCGCGACGACGCTGGTCGTCCATGTCGCAATCTCCGGAACCGGTAGTTGCAGGTCCGCTGGAACAAGAACTACACCACCACACGCAAGAGACCACATCAAGAAGGCCACCTTCGCTGGGCCCATCTCCGGCGGAAAGCCCCGAAAGGTGGTTCGGCCCGGTGGACCTGGTGTGGTTGGGCCAGGAGCCGTCTCTAGCGCATGATACTACATCTGCTGGACGAGGAGGACGAGGTTCGAGGAAGTTCATCAAAAATCGAGCACCCCCCTCCCGCGGGGTGGCGGGGGGGCGAGATGATTTGTCTGCGTTTCGGCTAGTAGCGGCCCGCCCCATTTCTGCAAGCCTTTCGGCCCGGACCAGCCGCGACTCCTTCCCGGGAGGGTAGAAAGGCCAAGCGCGCATCTGCCGCGCAAGTATTTCGCCTTTGGCGCAACTGGCTCGGGGGCTCGTTTACAAACAAGGCCGGCCAAACCTCTACAAAGGCGACAGGCGGCGCCCAGGGGCCCCCCTCCAGGGGGGTGCCTGAGGGGGGTACTTTTTTTGGATCCCGAAATCGGCCATTTTAGGTCGGGGGAAGGAACGCCAAGGGGGGTGCTTTTTGGGGGTGCTTTTTTTTGGGCAAAAGGGGGGGCCCTTGGATTGCCCCCGCGGCGCGACTTTCCAAGAGACGGCCATTGCTCATTGGATCCGGAAAGACCTGGCCGCAGAATGCTTAAAGTATTGTCGTAGTGCTGCTCTGCGTGGTGACGGAAGACGAAGGCCGAAGCCGGCGGCGCTTCCGGTTGTGTGGGACCCACTGAGCAAAGCCGCCACATAGATGAAGCCTACCCGAGCCAAACGCCTGTCCCGTGAGCCCACGGGAGGGGGGTGCTCGATTTTTGATGAACTTCCTCGATTTTCCTTGTCTAACTCTAGCGCATGGTACTACATCAGCTGGACGAGGAGGACGAGGTTCTAGTAAAGCGACGAGTACTAGATCTTTTCTGAAGCTGGACGATAGACTCCGCTCTTCAGCACGAGATGAACCGGGGCGACAACAGGGGGGAGGGCACCATGGCTTCTCGTCTAGGCCTTCTACTAGTCGCGGGACGAGTACCCAGGGTGCTGATCATCACGACCAGTATGTTGGCGGGCAGATGGAGAAGCAGAGCCAGGATGCCGGAAAGACGTTCTTTTTCGGTAGTGGCACGCGGTTCACTGTTCCTGGAACTTCTTCACGTTCGCAACAGCAGCAGAAATTGCAAGGCGCCTATCATACGGACACGGCCCAACCACCCGTTCCCGTGGCGCCCGACGACCTGCATGGAGAGAGCCGTGCAGGTGTTGAGCTCCGCGAAGGTCGTGTGGGCTGGGATGCGGTCGAGAAATCGATAAATGCTTCCCCGTCCTCGGGAGGAGCTAGTACCTCACCATACGATCATCATTACGAGCCATCTTCCAATGGCATGCACACCTCGCAGCACTCGTGGAACCCGAATGCGCCTGCCTTCAACTGTGCATATCATGATGACACGAGTGCCGCTGTTTCATCAGACCAACAACTTCGATACCAGCAGGAGCAGACGGCGCAGATAATGATGCAAATGCAATCCCAAGCCCAAGCGCAACAAGCGCAGATCTCGCAAGGGAACGGACCTTTGCACATGGGGATGGCCCTGCCTATGGCGATGCCAGTGCCTGCGCAAATGATGCAAATGAGCCCAGGAGTAGCTACACGACCTAGCGCTGCTATGCCATGTATGATGAGCGGGCCCGCCCCGGTGCAGCAGATGATGGCTGCAGCTACTAATATTGCTGGAGGACCCACGATGCTGGGTAGTAGAAGCATAGCGCAACAACTGCAGCAAGAACTGCCCGCGCAACAACACCAACAACTGCAAGGAAACAGCCAAAATGGCAACTACGCTCCCCAGTTTCCCGCGATTGCCATTCACGGCAACATGGTGAAGTTGCCTGACGGCCGGAGCGCCCTCCTCATTCCGCTAGGCGGAAATGGTACAAACGCAACATCTACTTCTTCTACTCCCGGTGGTGCAGCTGTTGCTGGTGGTGGGCTAACGCTGAGTGGAACTGCTGGAATGAATCCGTCTACTTTATCGGGCGGAGTAATGCAGCTTGGTAATGGGGAACACGGTCCCGCTTCCGCCGCGTATCCAGCAGCTTTTGAAATGCAAAACGAGACTGTCAGAAATGTCGGCAAACTAAATCAGGGTAGTCTTGGTTTTCCAATGAATAAAGGTCAGCCCCAAGAAGAACACGCTGCTCTGCCCGCTTGGGGAGCGCAAGAACAGTTCAACACGGAACTGTTTCCATCTCCAAGCAACTACGCACATCAGCGGAGCCAGAGCCAGGCTGGAGCTCAAGACAATCACAACGTTGTTTTTGCGGCTGCACGAGAGGATGACGCTGAGCAGACCTTGAAAGAGAAACACGAGCGCTTCGTTGCCTACGGAAAGCAGATCCAGGACGAGTTGGAGTACATGCAGGGAATGCTGCTCAGCACAGCCGATAAAAACGTGAAAGACGAAGACAACAACTCTCGTCAAGCGCAAGCAGAACTGCTGGCTGATCATCCTGAAGCTACAAGAACTACCGGGGCTGGTCGTGCTGGTTGGGAAGTACACGCTAACGCCGCAGGAAGCAGAACCGGTGCAGCAGCACGAGCTTCGGAAGTTTGCGAGCACGATCATGGCCGGGAGGGCAATATTGGTACAACTAGTACTTCTTCTTCATCTCATCTACTCGCGGACGTTGCGTCAGCCTCTTCACTCGACCACGCTCCCGAACAAGCAAAGACTAGCGACGAGGACAAGGTCTTCAAAGATTTAGAGAACGACATTGCACCAGGAGCAGCACCGGTGGCTGCACGTGTGCAGCAACATGCTACATCTCCCGACGGAGCTGCAGTAGACCAAGCAGCCAACATCCTCGAAAAACAACTTTTGACCACTGAGCAAGCTGTTTCGCCGGAACTGCTGAGACAGTTTGCAGAAGAAGACCTCCGAGCTGCGGAACAAGCAGCGGCAAAAGCAGCGCCTGCCGCTAAAAGTTGGGCGTCTATGCTGAGAACGACCACGACGGGTTCGAAAATAAATCCTGGCACATTAGCAGGAGCAAAAGCAAAAGGGACAACTCCGAAAGCAAAACCGAAACCAGTGCTAGACCCTTTTATGAGCCTTTTGCGACCAAAACCGAAGGAACCCTCGTTCCGAGTTTCGCGTAGCGAGGTTGTACACACTCCGCATGCAGCACAGGCAGCAAGCAGGTTCATGCCAGCAAAACCGGCCAAGACAAATACGCCGACTGGATCTTCTTCAGGAGCCGGAGCAAGTCCAGGGGGTCTTGCTGGGAAAGAAGATCGGAACAAGATGAGCTCGCCAGAAGCACAAAGTATTGCTCAGGACTTTCCCGCAAAAGTGAATACGAACCGGCCTAAAAATGGCCCGCCGACACTGCAGCAGCAAGTCGAGGAACAAAATGGTGGAGGCAAGCTCAGCAGCCCAAGGACAACTACACATCAAACTGAACCGCAGATCAAGCTCGCAGTCGATTCAGTGCTTGCCGAGATGCAGGATCTGGCGCAGAAACGGGGTCTTGCTGTATCGGAACAGATCAAAGAGGAGGGTTCAGAACTACAACCACCTACCGAAGCCGAAACTTCTGAGGTTGTCGATAAAAATCTAGCCGAAAAGTTTGAAGCTGCGATGAAGATTGAAGATACAACCGCTGCTCATCTTGATGATAATGTTGAATACGAAGACGACGGCGAGAAAAGTGCCGACATTGCCTCCGAGCGGTCGGGGGTTGCAAGCACTGCTGCCGGGTCGAACTCACGGTTGTTGGAACTCGACACACTCACGTCAACTCCGGTCCATCGGCAGCAAGAACAGTCGCCATATTATTCCGGTCAGCACTCTCCGCTGCTTTTAGCCCAGCAGCACGACACGGCAGTATTACCATCGCTGCCGACGTCGAGCACCAGTGCGACCGCGAGTCCGCCATCCTCGTCGCCATTGCTCGCCGCACAGCGCAGTCCCGTGTTGGGTTGTCAGCTTGAGCGTGGTCGTGGTCCACTGTTAACAAGGACGAGTAACAAATCCCAATCCGCAGGATCTTCCTGCTCAGATATGCAGCTGCTTATTGAACAAGAAAAGCAAACGCTACCGGAGGACAGCGGACAGGCGAACGGAGGAGTGGATAATGCAGCGCTCGACGATCGCTATCGCAAAGAGGAGCAAAAGCTCTTTCAATTTGGTGCCACGGAAGGAGAGGGAGAAGCTGAGATACCTCCACCTGGAAGCGCGTCGGCACCAGGCTCCGTCCCGGGGAAGAGCACTGCGGCTGACGCGGTGGGAGCTGCAAGCTCCTCTGCAAATAGAAATACAAGTACACGAGGACCGGCAGCTGCACCTGCACCAGGGAAAAAATTGAGCAAGGGCCAGAAGAAAAGGCTAAATAAGAAGCGAAGTGAGGGAGAGAAGGCACAACTTGCAGGAACAGAGGTGCAAGAAAATGAGGAAGTCGAGGCGGATGGAACAACAACTTCTTCTGGGGAGCTTCTTGGGCAACAGTTGACGACCGCTGACGGCGTCGACCTTGATGCTGAGGGTGGAGATCATGCTGCGGTCATGGTGCCAGCCCCGCTGGTAGTGGAAAGCGCAGAACAAGAAGAAGACGACAACTACCCTGGTGAAGCCGAACCGGAGCCCGAGGCCGATAATTGCGAAGACGAACAAGGCTCGCCCTGCATATTATCGCACCCTCATTCATCAGGACCGGTGTTAGATGGCGACCGGGCTGCAGAAGCAGATGGCCTTCAAGTTGGACATGACAAAGCCGGAGCAAAAGAAGCTTCAAAATTGGAGGTTGACGATGACGGCCCGAGTCCAGGAGTTCTTGGCGAGTCCCCGTCCGCAGAACAAAATATTAACTTGCCCGCGACTCCTTCTCCACCTGCGGCAACGAAGAGGCGCCGCGCAAAGCAAAAAGGGAAGCGTCAGGGAAGACTAGGAGACGAGGTGGACCACGAGCAAGCGGAACAAGAGGAGCAGGAGGAAAAAGAGCCACATACGGGGGCAAGTACACGACCCATTGCGTCTGAACAAGTAGAACATGCTTCTGCTAATGCTCCGGCACAAGAAAATCAACGCCCTTCTCCAGCGGTCACAAACGACAAGCCACACCTACAGACAGTAGCAAATAATCCCAGCAAGCCGGCCACGCCGTCGGCTCTTTCGGGAAGCCCCCTCAAGGGCGCGAAACAGAAAAAGAAGCCAGGTAAATCCAAAAAGGCCGGCACAAGTGGTGTCGCACCGCCGCACCTAGACGGCATTGACTCTGGGGAGGAAAGCTGGGAGAACGACGTGGATCTGCGGCCGGGGCAGTGCGAAAAATTTCTCGCGAAACTGCGCGCGCTGATTGTCGACGCCGAGAAGGTTGCGAAGGCCGTTCCGGTGCCCTTCAACTCGGCGCGGAAGCAGGAAATGGAGTTTGAAACGCAGCTGTTGCGGGAGCGGGAAGTTTTTTTCGCCACCTACTGCCACGACGACGATGACTTCACGCAGATTCGGCAAATCGTGTTGGAACGCATTCTGAGCCAGGTCCCCTCACACACCGCGGATTTTATTCTGTGGAAAACCATGATTGAAAATTTCCTCTCCGACGAGATGCTCTTCGGCCACACGTGGACGACGTTTCTCCAGGCCTCGACCCGGGTCTGGCTGTATGGGCAGGGGCTGGCGAACTACGAGACCGACTTCGCTTTGTCCCGAGATTTCGTAGAATCCTACCTGAAAAACGTCCGCGGGATCCACGACGAACCGGTCGGGGCAAAGAAGATCATCTTGCCGTCCGCCGAGGAACTGCTGACATCCGCTCTTTCCGGCAAACCGGCGACGGAGAGCTGCGAAGATTTTTTAACCAAAGCCCCGGGGAAACTGACGGAGCAATTCTCTTCAGCACGATACCTTCATAGTCAACATACGGGCTCGACAGGAGATGATCTTTGCTCGTCCGCCAGTCGTGAGCAAGGGTCTTTGTCCAAAACATACCTTGCGGTCGACCTGCAGCCTTGGCAGTACAGTTTTGATCCTGTTCATTTCGGGTTGTTCATACACGCCCACCGGGCACTCCACGAGCCGACGAGTAGTGGTCCGGGACTAGTACTAGGGCCAGAATCTCCTTCAAAAGCTGTCACTTCTAAAAGCAATGTCATTCGCACCTACCGTGCGTTCCCTGCGGAAAAACCGATTACCCTGTCGGACATGCAGAGCGGCGCCTTTCCGGATGAGCACGTCCCGCCGTCCGCGGAACAGGCTGCGCAACTGGGCAACGCACGCTACAACACCGCGATGCCCTACGTCGAGCTGCACCACGTCCATCCTTCGTGGAGCCCGGCCATGCACTCGATCATGCTGCGCGTGTTGCACCGGCACATCCTGCGGAAAGCGCCGATCCCGCCCCCGGGCGACACCTCCGCCAACGGACTTAGTTCAGAGAGCACGCTTGGGGAGTTGCTGCATTACCGAGGTGCGCGGTCTGTATCGGTCCAGCTGAAAGTGATTCCGTTGGAGCAGGTAACTGTTACGACTGGCGGGACCACATCGGGAGGTCCGCGCGGAAGGAGTAGACCGGAGGAGCCATTTGTGTCCGGAGACAGCTGTACTCTGGACAACCAAGTGGGCGAGGAAGTACGCTGCGGCCCAGAGGATGCAAGGGCAGGAGCAGCTTCTTCCAAAACTAGGAAAAAGAGAACGACCGCAACAAACACTAAGGCTGCTGGTGGACAAGAAGAAGATGAATCTTCGCAGGGAGACGCTTCTACTTCTACAAATAGAAGCGATGTGGACCACCACGTCGAAGTGAACCCGAAGGAGCAGGGAAAGCAGCAGACGATTTACACGGTTTCTGAAGCCAAGGTGAAAATCCACTACCACCGGTTCCGCAACGTGGAGCTCGCCGCAATCGACGCGCAATCCGAAGAATATGTGCTGCGCGCAGTGAACGCGGCTTTGCACAGTGACGAGACGATCTTCATGCTGTGGCTGGGCTACCGCACGTACCTGATGCACCAGGAGCACGATATCAATGTGGAAGTGGACAGCGGCCGCGTGGTGGCCTCGCAGGTCGTGGCGGCTTTGCAACATTTGCAGCAGAAAAACGCAACTGGTGGGGCTGGTGAGGCTGGAGGGGCCGGACAACAACAGCGTGGTCGTCTTGTCCCATCTAGAAGTCCTTCGGAGGGCAATAAAATCGACGCAGACCAGCAACGCGCCCATAATCTTCTGGAACAACAAATGCAGAAACACAGCGAGGAATTTTTTCTCCTGGATAGAAGGGTTTCGGTTGACGTCAACAGCACCGAGTTGGGCGACGTGAGCCCGGAGCAGATTCGACAGATCAACGAAACTCTGCTGCGGGGCGGCAACAGCGCTGGTGTTACAGAAGGAGAGTCGAGGACATCTGAGAAAAGCAGAAGCAACAGTACCTTGCTCGAAAAAATGCAGGACCAGCACAATTTCGAAGACGGTAAACCTTCGACAGCAACGCAATTCGCTGCGGCCGTGTTACGCATGAACAATGGTAAAAAGACCGGCAACTGTGACGGCGTGCGATGTTTCTCGAATGGTAAAGAATCCGCATCTAGCGCGGCGACGGACACGGAAGTGCTAGCCAGCTCAGGACAGGATCACCAAGAACCTCACTCGGATGAGCGGACCGCTAAGCAGTCACCTCCCGCTGCCTCGGCGCAGCCGCCAGCTGGTATTTCGTCCACCAAGTCTCGGTTTACGAATGTAGTGATAGCGGTGAGTGACATGTTGCGCTGCTTCTCGGGCGAGGAGGACGATGATCAGTATGTGGAATCTTTGCTGCTGAACGGCAGTCCACACAGGTTGCGCGAAATGGAGCTGATTCTTCTGGTTTACACACAGCAGCTCGACGCGGACCCGTCGGCGGTTTTAAAGCAGCACCGGGAGACCGCGCAGATGTGCTACGACCACCTGCGAAGCGTGCGCACCGGCGGGTTCTTCCCGGCATTGTTCCAAGGCGGGCGGAACGCGGATCCGCCACCGGTGCTGCCCTCCTTCGAAGAATTGAAAGCCCGGTCCGGGTCGGCGGTGGTTTACGACGAAGGGAGTTCAGTGGACATGCTGTTGTGGCGGGATGGCATGCGGCAGAAAAAAGCGAAGCTGGAGGTGGAAGAGGAGAAAAAGAAGGCGGACGAAGCAGCAGGAACTGATCGTGATTCATCCAAAGAGAAGAAGGATGTCGAGATGTCAGGTGGAGGCGTTGAAGGTAGCGCTGTTGAGGCTACTACAACTCGAGCTCCTAGTTCCACCGCTCCCACGGGGGAACAAGTCGCAGACGACGACGACCCCTTTTTCTCGGAGTCGTCGGTCCTCTACATGCAGCAACTGCGAGCGCTGAAACCTCTCTTAACCGAGCTCGCCTCGCGACAGCTGGCAACCCTCGGTTTCCCGTGGCTCATCGCGGCGCGCGAAGATTCCCCGTCCTGGCGCTCTGGATTGTTCGAGGCGGCCAGCTCTGGAGAAGCTCCGCTAGCAGATAGCCAAGTAGACCCGTTTCCCGCTCGCTCCAAGCTGTTCCAAAAGGTCTTGAAAATGGAATCACGGCGGTCCTACCACGATTTGGCACTGGGCGCGCACGACAACGAGCGCGTGTACCACTCTGGGGTCGAAACAGAGGCCATGTTTCCGGGCCTGTGGGTCCCGCACTTGTCGCGGGGGATGCGTCTCAGCGATTACGCAGAAAATGAAGTAGATCTTGACGAACAAGCTAGCGCTAGGAAAATCAAGATGACGGAAAAAGAGAAAGAGGAGTCTACCGCGGGGAAAAAGATGTTGCAACGGCGGCTGAAGATTCTCGAGCAGTTTCTTCGCGACTACCTATTGGAGAAAATCTTCCGGGACGAGTCCACCTGGTTGGCGCCGCCCACCGAGGAGGAACGAAACGCAGCCCGTGTTGCCGACATTCGGACTCAGCACGACCTGCTCAGCGTCATCCAGCAGGACAGCTGGGCGGACGCGCAGAAGCGGCAAAGCCCACTAGCGAATCAAAATGGAGGGAAACAAGGCTCGGATCAGGGGGAAAAGCTACCTGTTGTGCAGAACACTGCCGTGCGGGACCTCATGGTAGAGTGGTTTCAGAAGGAGCAGAAGAAGCACGCCTCACCGGCGGATGCGCCGGCCGTGAAATTGTTTACCGTCATCAGCCGTGAAGTGATCAACTTCTTCAACATCAGTCCCGCGCTCCGGGACAAAATGTTCTTTGTGGACGGGGGCTTCCGGCCCTCGAAGAACCTGTATCTGGTGCAGATACCGGCATTTCTATACACATCGAATCTCGAGGAGGAGGAAAAATGCACCAGCCCAAGTAACGTCTCGCAACCGAAAGAAGAATCTTCGCCGATGGGTGCTGGAGAAGGTTCAATATCTACTCGTCCCTGCTCCAGAACGACGACGTCGCACGATCAAAGTGAAAAAGCTAGCACTTGTTCCTCGTCTAAAAAGGGGAAGAAACTTCTGAACAAAAAAGCTGAGAAGGTAAAGCAGATCAATTGCTCCCTCGAAGGGGATAAGCAAGGGACAAAACCGCTCTTGGAAGGAACTTACCCGCTCGACCTCGGCTACATGGCGATTACCGTGGATGACGGCCGGAGCTCGCAAGCCCTCATAGATTCTCCCGCGGCTTTGTTCATGGTCAATGGAGGTATAATCTTCAGATACGACTTGAATTATTCTCAAGAAGAGTCCTGCTCGAGCTTTTTGCCTCGAGGCAATTTTCCTTCGCGCATCTCAAAATAAAATCTGAAACTGAATATGACATAAATCCGAAGTAGACACTACGAAAATCATCAACCTAAGGTGGCATGCCAAACTTCTTGCACTGTGCGACCAACGGTGGTATTGTCGTGGACATTTCGCAGACGGACTTTTTTGTGCCGACCGCGGCAAGCGTCGGTGGGGGAAGGGATCAGGAGGAAAGCAAGCCAGGCAAAAAGAAGGGAAAGAACAACAAGGCGGGTTCTTCTACTAAAGCTGGTGCATCAGCTCCGACATCAGCGGCTGCAACGACGCCGACTGTGGCTGCCGTGCAGTCGCTTCTCGCAAAAGTGGACAAGGATGTGAAGACTCATCCCGGTCCGCAAATGATGCTTCCCAGAATGACCATCGGGGACATGCCCAACACCCGTCTTTACGACTTGGACGGAGTTCTGGCCGGCTACGGTTCAATGTACGACACTAGTTTGAAATCCAAATCATCAACTACAGCAAAAACTACTACTACTCCCCAACAAGGAACGAGAAAATCAAAATCATCTTCGGCGCAGCAAGGAACATCGCCGACTGCAGCCGAATCAGTTGCAGATGAGCACCTTGAAGATGCAACCTCCGACCAGAGCAAGCAGCGGAGAGCTTTTGTGGTCGAATTCCTCGATCCCAACGCCCCGGGCGCTTATCAAGGTGAGCTGGATGGTGACAGCACCGTGAGGTTGCCGTTGTCCTCTCCGGGAGGTCGCGGTGGAAATTCAAATTCAAACAGTGGCTCCGTTACTTATTTCCTCCCCCCCTCTATCACCGGGAGAGAGACGTTCACGACGACGCGCCGCGTGATGGGGCGGGTCCGGCGCTGGGCGCTGAAGAAGTGGATGGGTGCCGGGGCGTCCCACGTGGACCATTTCCTCTTCAAGGATTGGGGGGCCAGCGAGGTGTGGAAGAATGGCGAAACGGCAATCACGTCGTTCTTGGAAGAGCTGGTGGCTTTGCAGCAGCAGTTAGTGGAGAAATCCTTGATGAGCATCCTGCGCTACGTCGCAATCCACAATCACGCGCAGTCCGTGATATTTGGAGGCACGACGACAGTACAGCAAGGTCTACTTTCATCTGCAGGAGGCATCAAGGGCGGTTCAGCTAGCAAAGGTCGCGGTACTGCTAGGGCGAATAAGCGACAGCAAGGGCAAGGCTCTGGTGCAGCAGCTGCAGCAGGCTTGTGTACCGTCACGGAGCTGGTTCCTCACCCGAATAGCGTCGAGCAGGCGCTCTTCGGAGGTGCAACTTCCAGTGCTTTCTCTTCGGGGGTACTCACTCCCAGCTCGGAAAGCGTTGCCTCGTGGTGGACCGAGATAATGTTCAATCCGGACGCTGCCGCGCAGACGGCGCCGACCCACCCGAGTGAGAAAAACGGGACCCAAACGTGCAACGCCAAGGAAATCGACTACAGCAACGCAACCTCATTGGGAACTACCACTACGAAGAACAAATTGCAGCTCCTTCAACCAGAATCCGTGGGGGAGTTCGCAAGCGTCAGGGCACTGCCACCAATGGTTAGTACAACAGGACAGACGAACAGCAAAAAGACCCATGTGGACGAAGCGGCAAGGCAGAAGGAAAACGAAGAACTGGCAGAAAGAATTAATGAAAATGTGAAGAACTCCGAGCGGCTGCAAAATTCCTTCGACACCCGACCCGTGAACCGCGCGTTCGTGCACATGCGACTGCATTTGCTGAACAAAATGGTCGCTTCGGTGCGAGAGCTGCACCAGCAGGTGCTGCAGCGGGTCATTCTCGTGGACGCAAAGGCCCTCGCGATTGCCAGCGTAGGGTCGGAGCAGGACTACAGCTTGGACAGCCAAGCCGGACTGGAGCAAGCGCTACAACGGTTGTCCCAGACCAGCAGTCTGGGCGCCGTGCCGAGGCACTTGGACTACAAAAAGCTGCCGGTGGAAAGGCCGTTTTTGAACCTGATTCTCCGTCTGTGGCAGCAGACCGAGGTGTCGACCAGTATTGTATCTTCCACCAGCGGAGGTGGTCCTCGTGGTGCTGCCGCTGGTGGTGCAAGAACACAACTAAAGCAGTCCTCGAACCTTGCGGCCTTGTTTCCGAGCGAAAACTCGCACTACCAGCTATATTTGCCCTTTGCGAAGAATAAATCTGTTAAGACGAGCATGAAGGAGAACACGACAGAGCCGCGGCTTCTCACTGCCAGGGCGCCCTTCACCCACCCGGCGGTACGGAACGTGCCTAGCCTGCAAAAAAACTTTGTGTTTTTGTCGCAGCTGCGCGCCTTCATCGCCCGTTTGGATGTGGGGGCGGACCTGATTGACCGCCTGGCGCACAGAGCGAACGGCGCAGCGTCCAGAGTCGTCGACCTGTCTTCTCTGTCGCGTGTTGACCAGCTCCCAGCTGGAACTACTGTCTCTGCAAAATCATCATCTGCGACGTCACTGAAGTTGCCGACGGTCGGAATCGGAAATACGGCAGCCAACGAAGTTGTACCAGATCCAGACCCAACATCCGCGGCGTCCGAAATGGGCAAGCAAAGGCTCGCGGAACACTTTCGCTCCACCCCACTGGCGGCTGCGCAACGCAAGGCCCTGCGGACGCTGATCGATATTCCGGACGATGACAATTTCGAGGTAAGCTGGCTCACTTGCTGGACCAAGCTGGACGATTTCATGCGCCAACACGCACCTCCACCAACTGCACCTCCTCCAGTCGTCGGGTCGCCTAATTTTTCCCAAACAACTTCTGGGCGTCAGCAAAAAACGCCACAGCAGGAAGATCTACTCCAGGAGGACGGCGGCGGTGACACTGTAATGGGAGACGAGAGCAACATCAAGGGCCCTTCTGGATCTGCAGGAGCCGCTGGTACAACAACAGCCACGAGCGCCGTCGACGCGCAGGCCGCAGCGGTTTTCGGTACGTCAGCAGCGGCGTGGATGGAAAAGGAAAGCTTTTCCGTGAAACTTCGGCGCAAGCGGGATCAGGAGGTGACCACCTTTCTCTCCGAGTGGCGCTTGTCCGCGAACACGGCCTCGTTTTTGCTTCATTCCTTGGGGCAAGAGAATTCGGCCGAATTCCTTAGTCGCCACGGCCCGGCGATAAAGGAGCAGATGTCAGATGTGGCTGCGAAACTGGATTTGGACCATGGTGCAGGAGGGCAGCAGCAGCAGCAGACCACAGATGGAGTCGGAGGTGCGAGCTCTCCAGCTCCGCCCCCTGTTTACCACAATACCTTGCTGCAGACCATTGCTCCGCTCTTTTACAGAGATTATATTTCCGCGGAGGTTGCGGTGCGCACCTTCAGCCGCAAACACGCCCCGGACCCGAAAAACTGCACTCCGAAGACCGCAGCGGAAAATTTTTCCAGCGTGTCCAGATGCACCCAGACCATGTTGCAAAATTTGTCACCCGAAAAAGCCGCGGAGTTTGGAGCGTTACTGTCCAGGTTACGGGGCTTGGGAAGTATGATGCAAGCGTTGTGGGAGGGTCTGCAAACCGTGTACCTGATGGGAGACAAGTTGCTCCGAAGGAAATCCTTTCTGACTTTCGACGTGTTGCGTCTCGCCCTATCCAGGAAAAAACACCCATCCCCATCCATTTTTTGCATGGCAAATAGTGGACTTTATGCATGTTTTGCATGACAATTGACAAATTGGATGGGGATGGGTGTTTTTCCTGGATACGCCCGACTCGGCGTCTACTGGGCGTTTGAAAGTAAAAGCGGCGACGAGAAAGACCAAGAGCTACTCAAAGCCGGCGTTTTGAGGAACGTAGGGTTCACCATTTTCCCGCCCGGTACGCCCCCGTACGCCATCGAGGTGTTAGATCTTTTGACCCGCGCAACTGGTGCGGCTGCGGAGAGGATTAGGATGGAAAAAAGGAAGAACAATAAAGTAGCAACGAGAACTTCTGAGGGAACTGGAACAACTACATGCGGTCGCGCCGCCCCTGCTGCTGCTCGTCCGAAGCTGGACACGACTAGCATGAGTGGAAACAAGAATTCTGACGACATGGAGATCGAGCGAGAGCCTGTGGAAAGAAAGATTTCCAACGACAGTGAAGGTAGTAGTCGTGCTTCTACCGTCGGAACGGCAGTATCTTCCCCTTCCTGCGGCTCATCATTATCCTCTCCTGCTAGCACGACCCGGAAACCCCCCATTGTGCAGCGCACGCGCGTGAGCGTGAAGCTGGCGAGCGGCATCAAGGTCGAGGCTTTTTTAGTGAAGCACGACCTGATTGAGGGGCGCGCGGAGCTGAAGCTTTTTCCAAAGAAGCCCGATGTGCCGGACCGGCTTCACGCGGACATTCGCGATGTCGACGCGCCGGTGCCGAGCGAAGTCTTCGCGGAAGTAACAGCCACAGTAAACGGGTTTGACGATCTTGGCGACGGCCACAAGATGCAGACCGACGCGAAAACCGGAAAACCGATGATAATGGTCGACTCGTCGGCGGTGCGGATCGAGGATATGCCTTACAAAAGCATCGTACTACTGTAAATTGCATTACAAATTGCCTTAGCATTACAAATAAGATTTTTAAGATTTGTAATGCGGATTTGCTGCATTTGCCTTAGAGGAAAAAGTAAAAGTTGTAATGCATTTACTGCAATTACTACGAGTGCGATCGCGATGCTTCTGCACTGCATCGAGGGCAGCTTGCTGCAACGGAAGCCGGTGGAGATAAAGAAGGACGGGACGGCACCGCGCTGGGTCTGCACCATTCGAGTGACCAAGTCGGAGAATGCGAGAAAAATCGCGATTGGCAAGCTGTTGCAACTTCCCGAGGAGCGACTAGCCATCGTGCGCATGCCGCCGGGGGAAACCACAATTGGGAGAATCTACGCGGCCAGCATGGTGTCGAACAAAGTCACGGCGGACGCCGCGGAAAGCAGGAGCCCGGTCGTGAGGAAAGGAGACCAGGGCGAGGCAGATTCGTGCTCGCCTGGGCGATCCCCGACGGGGGCCTCCGCGGATCTGGGTACTACGGATGTAGCAACTGAGGAGCAGACGGAACGCGAGCACGAACAACAGCAAGAGCAAACCCTATTTCCACCAAGACCGGTGTACACAATCGCGGGTCCTTTGCTGCCAAACGTAGCAGAGACGATGCTGCGCACTTCAAGAGGTCCTGCCGGGCTGAGCCAGGCAAAGGGAAAGGCGTCGGCGGCGTCTTCAGGTGCTCGTTTGCAGGAGCCGGAGGGAGGACAAGAAGATGAATCGCAGCAACACGACGACCCGTCAAGAACTACGTGCACGACGCAGATCCCAGGACTGTCGTCTACTCCCATGTCCTCTCGAGACGATGATGCGAAAAATGCTGTGTACCGCATTCTCCGTCCCGAATTCGCCGCGATTCGCAAAGGGGCGACGACGATGAACGAAGTACCAGCTGCAACTCCGGACGGCATGCTCAGCCTGTTTACAATCTTGCTGAACATGAAAAGCATGTACCAGCAGGACGACCAACACCGGAATAAAGGGAGAGCGAAGGCAAGCAAGTTGTCCTCTTCGGCCAGTGCACGATACGCTACGGAACTCGGTAAGAGTACACCTTTGATGGCATAGTGATCTGCTTCAGTAGCTTTTACGCAGCCTTCTGTTTTTTTTTTTCAGTATCAGTTTTAGTCCTGCTATGCATATGCTTTTTGTCTTTTGATTTCAACCAGGTTGATACAAGTTGAACGACAACAGAACGCGTCGAAAAAGAATTAAGTGAGAATCATCTTCAACAACTACAGGCGAAGTCTTCCACGATGTGAGCCTCCATGCTTTGAACGCCCGGAATGAAATTATGGAAGAGGTGCTCAAGACGTCTTCATCACGCGGGAGTGCTGGAGGAGGCTCGCTACGGGGACTGCAGATTCTCAAATGGGTTGTGCAAATCGCGGTAGACCTGGTCGCGGATACGGTTCAGGAAGACCAGTTTGAGAGCCAGCTGCTGGCGATACCGATTTAGGACTGGGGCGATGTTGTTGTAGCCCTACGCAAAGAGAAGTGTCTTCGCAACAACGGAAATTCTATCTTGCCCTATCAATAGAAATTTCGCGGGACGACCCGGACCGAATAGGCCGTGCTGCATTGCTAGTTTTTTCTATTAACACGCTTTCAGTATCGTTTTCGTTACGTAATCAACACAGATTCTTCTACTTTACTTCAAAAAAAATCGAAAAGTGGTTTTATATAGCTTCTATTTTCATCCTTTAGAGAATACAATATCGCCATCCTAGTGCTGGTATGGATGATTTCTGCACAAATTTTTCACTGCATTTGATCTTGATACTGAGTCTTGTTCTTCGGCTGCTTGCACATGGAAAGCAAACCTTCGTGCGTTTGCGTACATTAATGTCATCGCAAGATGTTCTTCTGGTTCTGAAACACAGGCGCCGACATAGTGTTGATTGTTAGAGTTGTGTGTTAGTTGGCGTCGATTTGGTCGGCAGGCAACGCACTATTGAACACAAAGATTTTGATCACGAGAATACAGAGCCTCTATTGCACCTAGAGAAGCTTATTTTCTAGAGTTTATCTATGGTTTTTCTTTTTGCATCGTATGTTGAAATAGATTTTGGTTGTGCAAAATAAAGTTATTGATGAAAGAGCGCGCCGTGACGGCAGCGCTTTGCGCTTCCTTGTGGCAACTGGAAATGAAAATAGGCAGTCACCATAATTGGAGAACGAAGTTGTCGCGCGACGAGATGAATACATATTTTCAGAACTAGACGACCACCAAATCCAAATCGAAGACGCGTCACGCTCGGGAAAATGAAACGCTAAATGTACCGCTTCCACCAAAATGATCGCAAGTTAAACTTAAAATTGATTACAGGCACAAACTCAAAAATAAAATGCGTGGGCAAAATTTAATTTCATGAAGTTAGTTGATCTAGATGATCATAAAAAATCATGAAGATCCACGCTCAACACGTAGATGCTAAGTGCCCAATTACGCACTAGAGTACACAGACACGACTATCATAAGGAGATCAGCAACGCACTTCTTTTTTTCCCCTTGGTGTGTTTCCTGTTCATCGAAATTCAGATCGATGGATCATGCTCCTTGCGCATGTGCACTTCTTGCTAAATTTGACGAGCAATCATGCAACAGCACTTATCTACTTCATCAAGAAATTTCGAAATTTTTTTTAGTTGTGCTTGTGCATCTTCATGTCTTCAATCTTTTCATTGTTTTTTTTTCCTCACAGCGAATGAACCTGAAGTAGAGCGGTTTTCTCGCTCGCACATTTTAGGCCGCCATTACTCTGATAGCGTAGCGGTGGAGAAGCTAGCGGAGGCATTGTGTGGTCTTTTTCTTCACTAAAAATTTGTAATTTGAACATTTCTGACACAAAACTGATTGCGTTTGAGACAAGAGGTGCAAAGCAACTAAGGGTCCTTACAATTTGTTTTTCATTTTTCTGAACTGTCAGTAGATCTTTCTTATCAAGTACTTAGATTGCTCCTGATCTCATTTGATTATCGCTTTCTTATACTGTATTCACAGTTTGACACTTTACAGTTAAAAGTTAGTATGCAGCAACCTTAAAATCAAAAATCCATCATAAAGATAAATTAGTTGAAATTATTTTTTTCAGAATTCAGAGTCACGTTTTTACACCAGAAGTAGTATCTTCGATAAAAACCCAAGAAACAGAAAAAGTAGTATCTGTAGTCTTACGTAGAGTGGTTCCTATAGAAGTTCTAAGAAAGGGGCATTGTATTTACTGCCTGCACCTAGTCCTAGATAGTACCACATCGACATCACGCGTGCGTCTACGTTTTCTTTGAAGAGCCAACTTCTGACAAACAATTCCAAATTTGAGAAGTATGGGCAACAAGAAGATCATGCTGTCGCAACCGAGCAAGCTTCTGCGTTTGTGCGCTGCGGCCGCAGCTGCGCAGCTGACGGCTCTCCACAGCAAATGCGGTGTAATCAGGTCGTCTATCACTATCCTCGTCGAAGCAGCCGCGCCGCTCGGCCCCGGTCGTACTAGTCGAGAATCACGTCGAAATAGGGCTAACGATCGAAATCCGTCGAAATACAAGCAAGAGCAGCCTGAAACTACAAGACAAAATAGCGGAGGGAATGTGAGTGATCCTAACCGCCCTCGCACTTCTGCGCGGAGCCACCAGACGAGCAACGCTTCAATGATTGGCACCGCCGCTCCAATTCCACGACCTGAGCCGCTGCGTGGTCAGCCAGCAGCGGCTCGAGCGTGGTTTGAGGTTCCCGCTCCATCCTTTGGAGGTTCATCTTCATCCTCGGCCCCGTACAATCCGACTCTGACTCCAGTACAACAGATACAACCGCCATGGCCGACGATGGACTACAACAGTGTGCAAGTTGTACTGCAGCAGCAGCAGCTGTATGCGCGAGTACTAGGGCAGCAACAGCAAGCTTATGCTCACCACCAGATGCAGATGGCGAGCAACATGAGGCAGCCGCAGCATGAGATGCAGATGGCGAGCAACATGAGGCAGCCGCAGCAACAGCAAGAGCAAACGGCTCGACCACCATTGGGAGAGTGGCTGCACCAGGGGCCACTCTGGCCTTCCACTACTAGTACTGTGGGACCTCAAGCAAGTGGAGGAGTAGATGTTGCAAGTAGGCCAGGGGAAGAACTAGAACGACAGAAACATCAACAGGCGCACGATCTTCTCATGGCAGGAGCTACAAGAAAGGCAATAATTCAGTTTCGGAAACAAAACAGCATGCCGTCCGCCTCAGCGTCAGACGACCGCAGGAGCACGACCACTACTCGAGGCACAAGCGAAACAAGTAAGCAACGAAGCGGAAGCAGCAAGCACAAGCAGCACCAACAAGCTCCCGTAACAACTGGGACTGCTTCTTCGCCTGGGTCGACACCTCAAGCGTCGTCGTACATCAGGAGCAATTCCGCGTCTCCCAACAGCGACGATGTGTCCATGTTTGGAGAGACAACTGAAGACAATTCTTCGCGACCTTCCGCGTCGTCAGCGCCGACGAGTTTTACTCAAAAACAAAAACAAAAAGCCTCGGAAACAAGTACATGGGTTCCCGCTTACGAAGCCTGGGCCGGGTGGGAACCAAAGTTCCTGGTGTCTCCTCAGTTCTTATCAAAGGAAGAGGTGTCTTAACGTGAAAAACAAAACAGTTTATTTAATACAATTCAGGTACCATGGCTGCACCAGTCATGCGTGGATTTTCAATTTTCTCTATCGTGGATGGAGCTATGCGATACGAATACTTACAAAGTCGAATAATTTGCTGCGCGCCATTTGTTCGTGTCATGCATTTAGAATTACTGCATGAAGAGATGTTGAGATTGGGCAACATGCCTATGCCACAAAACTCTTTTCAATAAAACGTCAAGACACTTTTTTCTGTGATAGTTGTTCACCGGCGAGATCGCGATGAAGATTGCCCCGAACGACGACAACTACGAGAGAGAGAAACAGCAGGAGAAAGATCATCTGGGCGTGCAAAGGGCGTTGCAGAAGCACGCCGAGGACAATGTCCAGGGCACTGCTCGGCGACACGGCGTGACTGGTCCGCGGCGGGAGCTACAGCAAGTCACGTGGCAACTCGACTGGGAGGACGATCGAAATGTGCGGGATAGGAGCACCTCCGCCGTGATTAATTTGCTGGACCGATTATTGGCCCACAAGCGACGCATCACCAAATCGGCGGAAGTCACCAGCCTGATGCTCGATTTGATTCCCGAAAGCCTGCCTACGAAGTTTGGCACCGACCACATGATGTTATGCATTGCAAATATGTCTGGGTCTGGAAACTTGTAATGCTAAAAGTGAATGAGAGCTCTACTGCAATACGTAGCCAAGCATGACAAATTTTTGGGCTCCTTTGTGTTGCGTGTTCCGGATGGCAAACTGCGTTTTTGCATGACAGTTAAGAAGACCGCTTCCTGCCCATGCATCACAGATTCTTGAGTCATGTCAGACATGCATGACACGTTAGCAATCTTCCAGACCCAGACATTTTTGCATTCCATAGATGTACGATCTAGACGACTTGGGATACTACGGCCTCTACGACTTCTATGGATCTGTCAGGATTGAAATCGTCAAAGTTGAGATGATTTGTCATGCATAAAATGCAACCCTCAAAATGCCTGTCTTGCAGACTAGGCAAGGGAGGCAGATTGTAAGCCTGTTGCGGGGTAGAAATAGAGCTGCTAAAGTAGCATGACAAAAGGCTTCTTCCTTACCCAAACAGCATTACAAGCTGGATTTCGGATCTACCCAAATTTGTCATGCGCCGCTTGAAAATTGGTCTTCCAACTGGTATCCATTTTATGCATGACAAATCATTTCAACTTTGTCGATTTCAAACCTGACGCTTCCATAACTTCCTTCACGTGAAAGAGCAGATCCATAGTAAAAACTACCAGCAGCTTTGTAAAAAGTCGGGGGCGCAGCATGAACATGAAAAAAACCAGCCCCCGCACGCTAAAACCTACGCCTTCGTCAACTTCATCAACGAGGACCATATCGAACAAAAATCTGTTATCGTTATCGGATTGGAAATTGCTGGCAAAGGCCAAATTTTTTTTAAGTTTAGCTACTGACTTAGCTACCTCAAGAACTAGCTATGATTTTGAACTAGTTGTGTGCATTTGGCCAAGCGCCGCGCCGAAGCCTGGATCATGTCGAGCCCATTCTGCCGGACCGTTTCGAGCTGCGCGCCAACCCTCCCAGGTGGATGCGATTTGCTCAGCTTCCGGCAGTGCAAGTTGGAAGCTTGTTTTGGGCTCATAAAGATCAATTTGTAATGCGGACCTGCGTCACAGACGCGTCACGTTTTTGACATGGAAAAAGTGCTGCCGTGCCCACTGCATCACACAGGTAGATGCCCAGAAATGAGATTTTTTGGGGTGCTCTGGTTGCCGCCCAGTCGTTGATGATGAAATCTGCCCACCATCTCGCGGCCACCATCGTCACCGGGGTCTGACCTGAGAAATTACGGGAAATAGGATGGCACGCGGACTATAAAAGTGACCAAAAAGTGTCGTAGTCGTTGTTATCGGTTTCGGCCAGGGCCTCGGAAATCTGGCCAATTTGACCAGCAAAAGTGGCCATTTTTCCGAAGCCTCCGGGCAAACCGATAACAAGCACCCTTTTTGGTCACTTTTATAGTCCGCGTGCCCTCGTGCTACGTGTCTGTTATCGGTTTCGGCTTGACCACCCCACCGTGATAAAAATCTGTTATCGGTTGCGCTTTTGGCATCGCGCCAAATCCAACTTTCGCAAAGTAGACCCATAAACTTGAGCTAGCCACGACCTGAGTCGGACTATAAAAGTGGCCAAAAATGGTGCTTGTTATCGGTTTGGCCTTCTGAACCGATAGCAGACACCTAAGCACGGTGGCACGCGGACTATAAAAGTGCCCAAAAATGGTGCTTGTTATCGGTTCTGCCGGAGGTCCGGCAAAACGAGGGCACTTTCCCCCCCCAGAAAGGAGGTCCGGAGGGCCTCCGGACAACAAGCATCCCCCTTGCCCAAAAAAAAACCCAAAGAAACTAGGAAACAGGGACGCCCACAGCTCTCCAAGCACTCCAAAAAGGAGTCCTTGTCAGCGCGCCGCTTCGCCAGCTTGGCGAGCGGATCGCCCTCGTCGATCTGCTTCTTCTTTGCCATGTCGATCAGCTCGTTCTTACACCCAAACCACCCCCCCTCGCACTGACAGCAGACGCGTCGCCGCCTATCAGCTTCCGGACATGCTTTGCAAGCACTCGCAGCCACACTGTTTTGTTGGCGCAGTTGGCAAGACAATATCCAGATCGGACGCGGAGTCTGGCCTGGGGTGACTGCGCGACACCGAACCGGAACACCACCGCCTCGAGATCCGCCGCGTCAAGTCTGCCGTCTGCTGCCCCAGAAGGATGACCAAATGCACACAACGAAATCAAAATAATCATGACCGAAGATAGCTACCTCACTATCTAATTTTGAAAAAATTCTCGCTTTCGTTTCAAATTCTTAATTCGATAACGATAACAGATTTTTGCTCGATAAACCAGCCCCCGCACGCTAAAACCTACGCCTTCGTCAACTTCATCAACGAGGACGTCGCCCGCATCTTTTCAAATTTTGATAAGTGGCTGCCCACTTTCCAAATTTTGAAAAGATGCTGAAGGAAACATCTTTTCAAAATTCGACAACCCGAACAGCGCAAATATCAAATTTTGAAAAGATGCTCTTTCTGCATCTTTTCAAATTTTGATTGATAGGTGGCTGCTCACTCTCCAAATTTTGAAAAGATGCTGAAGGAGACATCTTTTCAAAATTTGACAACCTCAACAACGCAAGCACTTGCTTTGTTGAGGTTGTCAAATTTTGAAAAGATGTTTCCTTCAGCATCTTTTCAAAATTTGACAACCTTTTTGACAACCCCTTTGATGAGGTCTCCCAAGAGGCTATTAACTTAACCTAATCCGCATGGTATGGTGGATTTTGATGAACCTGTTTGGGAACCTCTTTGGTGCGCCTAGACAGAGAATTGTTGACGAAAGTCCAAGGCTTTGGCTTGCGCTCCAGCTGGCGGGTCGCCAGATGGTAAGCAAAGCCGTGCCTCTGGCGACATTTGTTTGCTTGCCTCTTTTGTGGCTCCGAAGATTGCGAAGATGCCCCCTCAGCAAGTTTGCGAATTTTGAAAGCCACGCAGAAGAGTAGGCTGCTCACCCTTTCCGCGGCTGTCGAAATTTGAAAAGATGCGCTGGTAGTATCTTTTCAAATTTTGGAAGCCACAGAAGACTGAGCTGACCTCCCTTTGCGTGGTTTCTCAAATTTGAAAAGATGGTCCTTCTGCATCTTTTCAAATCCTGAAAACCACAGCACAGCCAGCTGCTCTCCTCGTCTGCGGCATGTAAAATTTGAAAAGATGCTCCTTCAGCATCTTTTCGAATCTTGGCAACCTCAGGACAGAAAACGGATCGGCTCTTCTGCGGCTTCGAAGATTGAAAAGATGCTCCTTTAGCATCTTTGCAAATTTTGAAAACCACAGACGCGTAAGCCGACCCCGTCTTCTGCGGCTTCAAAAATTGAAAAGATGCTCCTTCAGCATCTTTTCAAAGTTTGAAAAGCACAGAAGAGCAGGCGACCCTCCTGTTTTGCGCCTTTTGAAATTCGAAAAGATGTTCCTTCAGCATCTTTTCAAATCCTGGAAACCACAGAAGAGTAAACTGCTCGGGTCTCTTGTGGCTTCGTTATGGAAAAGATGCTCCTTCAGCATCTTTTCAAATTTTGCAGGCCAAAGGCCACGCGCTTCAGATTTGAAAAAATGCTGAAAGGGCATCTTTTCAAATCTCAAGAACCACAGGAGAGCACAGCAACTTTTTCGCCTGTTGGTTTTCAGATTTGAAAAGATGCGCCCCGAGGTATATTTCCCCGCTTCAGCCGTGTCCACATTTGAAAAGGTTGCGCCATGAAGCACGAGCCACCTCGTCAGGGGTTGCTCGCTCCTCAGGTCTCCCAGATCTCTCGACCCCTTTGGCTTCTCGGACAGCTGTGGTCTGTGCGCGCCTCCCTATTCTACCTAGACCTCCCATTCCAGTTGGCTTTTCCGGGTTTCCCAGCCTACGCCGCCTGTCCTCATTTTACTGGGCGCGCGCCAAGTCCTGAACCGCTAGGGGTTTGGGAAGCTGCGCAGAAGATGCGGCGGGCGTTGTTTCCGAATCAGGCCCAAGCCAGGCCGGGGCAGATAAGAGGGGAGGCGCAGCCTTTCGCTCGGCTGCGCTTTGTCGAGGGTAAATTGGCCGGGGGCATTTTCCGCGTTTGTCGCTATTGCCGGGTGCCTTTCCTTACCTGCGCAAGCAGAGGCGCGCTCAGGGCCCATGGCCTCATATGATTGGGAGGCTCGTTTGGGTGGCTTTTCTCTTTGGGGTGTTTGGCTTGCGTTTCTGCCCCGGGCCTCGGGGCAGAAATAGGGCAGCCCGGCTTGACGCGTTTGCAAAGGCGGACGCGCAGCCGCCATCGAAGAGGCGCTACCCGATAATCGGCGAGGGCGCCGAGCAATCAACTGGCCAAAATTTGAAAAGATGGGCGAAAAGGTGGAAATTTTAGGGCCTTCATAAAACCTACGCCTTCGTCAACTTCATCAACGAGGACGTCGCCCGCTCGTTTTTGCTGCGCGCCGCCAAGGGCGAGCTGGCGGCGAAAACCTTCCGCCGGGTGAAAATTGCGGCCAAGCAGGGGTTCGCGCGACAGCTGCAGAACTGGGTGAATCTAGATACAGAAAAGGATACGGGAAAATTGAAAACCTACGAGGACGACCAAGGGAAGGTCAGGACACGGACCACGGGCAGACAAGTGGCCGGTTCGCAGAGTATAAGTTGTGTAGTTGTTGTGTTGTTGACCACTGAATTTCTTAATGATTGAAGATAAAGTTATGCTCTTGAAGATATTTTTGTCTACGAGTACGACCTCCATCGATCTCCAACTCCAAGTTCAAGAAGTGTCTGTTCTTTCCACTGCAACTTTGTGATATTCGGCGGCGATCGTAGGTTTGTGGATCGTTAACATCTACGAAATGAAGATTTTTGAAAGGATAAGGAGTGGCAGAAGATCGCATCATCTTCACCGGCAAAGCACGAAGATTCTCGTCGCGCTACTCTAACTCTTCACCTTTACAACCTGCAAGTAGTCCTCTATTGCATGCGTATTTGTAAAATGAAAAAAACTATACAGTTCTTGGAATTTCCCGCACGGCGCGCATCCACAATAGCCACTTCGTACCCTTGATTTTCAAGCGGTCTCCACAGAGCGAGCCGGCAATGGCCTCGCAGGTGTCGTCGAGGATGCCTTCTAGTACGGACGCCGGAATATTAAATCAAGGTGAACATCAAGGTCCTGCTCTGCGCATGCGCACCCCCTACGTGAGCCACGCGTTCCGATTGACCCCTGATTTTCCGAAAAACTTGCTGGCAGTGGCGCTGGACGTGGAAGGGCCGTACTTGCGCGAGCACGACGTGCGAAAGAACCGCGTCCCGGTTTATCGTGCGGAAAAATCCCCCCTCCCCATATTGAGAAGGTATATTTTCGAAAATTTGCGTTGCTGATTTGAGGTCGCAAATCACACTTGTCTTGCAAGAAGAGAAGGGCAGAAGCTGCCGCCCCATTATGGAAGCGGCTTGCCATGCTGTTGGGCCTAAAGGGCAGCCGTTTGCCATGCTGAACAACTAGACCCATACGCCCCACCTAGCCTGGGGCTCTGGCCGCAGTGTCTCTCTGGAATACAAAGCTGATTTGTGTACACAAGTCCAGCATCAGAAATTCCTTTTTGATATGGGGAGGGGGGATCTTTCCTCACAATACGGTTCCGGACGGGTACAGTTCGCGGGCGTGGCGCAGCCTCGGCTGGATCGTAGAGCAGTGGTATTACAATGAAAAATGCCCCCACCCCCAAACTTGAAAGCATTTGTATTGCAAACCTTTCCAAATGAAACATTCGCCCTCTTGCATGTATCAGTACACAGATTTCCGATCGTGAATAGCAAAAATTTGTATTGCAAAAGATCCCAGCAAGAGCGGTGCTTGTCATGTAAGCGATGCGAAACACGACTACAATCTGCATCAGAAAGATTCATACTCCTTTCATGCATGACAAAAAGTTTTCATTTGGAAACTTCGCATCACAAATTTTTGCAACTTTGGGGTGGGGGGCACTTTTCACTGTAATAAGTGGCGCCGCGGGTGGGTGTACGCGGACGAGCGGCAGAGGTCGTTGTGCGCTGAGTACCGACTGAGCCCCTTCGCCTATCTTGCGTGGAAACGCCTCCGGGCCACGCGAGGGATGTACCACGTGCCGTTTCTGCCACTGTTGCCGGATGTTCTGCCGCAGCCTCACGGCACGACTGGTGAAGAAGATGAACAACGTCAGGGTCGTGATGCTTTCTCGTCGAGTGCTGTGCACTTTGTCAGCAAGGGCGTGCGATTTACAGAGGAAACCGCAACGGCCTTGTTAACCGCCCTCGTGAAGCCAGAGAACCTCGCAAAAGTCCGATTTCCCTTCCCGAAGCAGGCCAACAGAAACCTGTGGCAGAGGATTCAAGCCGGAGAAGACGGGAAGAGCGCACTTTCAGGTACGGAGTGTATTAGGATCTACAACAGTACTTGCTATGTATAAAGTAGAATGATAAATTGGATTTTTACTCTCGGTTGTTGATAAGGTTGAGATGCAGGTCATTTTTCATCCTGTAATAGTGAATGACGGCATCCAATACAAATTCTAATTCTCATCTTCTTCTTCCTTCAAGTTGTACATAGATGATCATGATGTGTTTCTCTACTTAGCGTTAGCAATCTTTCAAGCCGTGCAACCTTTTCCTTCAGGTGTTAATTGTACTCCTGAAGACCACGAGCAACAAGATGCAAATGCGGCTAGACCAAGAAGTAGACCATTGGAGCAGCAGCCGCAGCCTGAATTCAAGCCGTTTGAACCGAGCGAGACATACAAGAAGTTTTTGGCGCAACACGGGCATCATGATGCAGCAACCGGCTACGCACCTGTCCTGGATGCTATGATGAAGGACACAGTCTTTTTGGAGTCAATGAATCGCACCGTTGGGGCGGAAGCATCCTGGTTTCGAGAATTCTGCAGCCAACAAGGGCAAGAACCAGCTGCGTCTTCTGAAAGAACAAGAAAAAGTGGCACAACATCCAGAAATTCGGCCGGACGATCTTCTGGGTCTGGCGCAGCACCACGTATGCCTGCTGCATCCGCCAGCTCCGCCTCGGCCGCGGCCGCACCACAATCGAAAAAAGCCCCTAGAAATTATGCCACCGCTGCATCAGCACATGGTGCGTGTGGACCAGACGCGAAGGAAAAGAACGAAAATACGCGCCACAAAAGTAGCGGGACGGGCAAGGACGCGGCCACTGCGAGCAGTAGTAGAACTGCGGGTGTTGAAAATAAAAGTCGTAAGCCGATGTTGAACAGGAACCTGGAACACAAGAACAGTGCTGCTGTTGATCGTCAGCAGGACGGGAAGCAGGGACGATCACAACCCTCCACTGAAGATGTGCCGACGTACGTTGAAGGCTGGGACCACGTGGCCGCCCCTTTTCCCTCCGATGGAAAGGTGCATAATTTGCCACGGCGCGGCAGCTCCGACTCCATGGCGAGCACCAACACCGGCGGACTAGCGTCGATTGTCACTACGCCCGTACTCGGGCCAGCTGCTCCAGGTACGTGGTAGAGTTATTTTAATTTCAATTGGAAATGGAAAGTACAATTAAGTACAACTAGCACTAGTACTAGTAGCTTCAATGACTTGTTTTCCCCATCGATCGTCCCCGTTGTTCATTATATGCATTTGGTTTATTCCGTTTCCGTCGAAATAGAGTTGCTTCGTGTCTGTCCTCTAATCCCCAATAAGTGTTGTAGTTGAGTTGTTGAGGGCGTGCACTAATTAATACCTTAAAAAATTTTTTTCTTTTCAGGGAGCGGAAGAAGGGATCTGGATCATGCGACAGGGAACACGAGCACGAGCGACTCGTCTAGTGATACAGAAACTGCTTCTGAACAAGTAGATGGCCAGTTGGAGCACATCGAAATCCCGCAGCAGCACGAGTTGTACGTCGACCAACGGCTCAACAGCCAAGGTCGAGGTGAACGTGAACAACGAACCGGCACCGCAACTAGCGAAGTTGCTTCCGGTAGAGGGTCCGAGCGACCAACAGCCGCCGATGTGCTGCCGTGTCTTGGACGACAACCACTCGCCCAACGGAGTTTTACCTACCCCTGTGGTGGAGCAAGTTCCGCACCTGCTGCAGAAGGTCAACGTGGAGAGGGATCCCCGAGGATGAGGACGACGAGCAACGATGAAGAACTGAAGCAGCGGGACGACAAAGAACCGCAACACGAACACCAGGAGGAGCATAGTGGGATCATGAGCCCACAGGCGTTCGTGAGAAACACTTTCCTAACCGTTGGAAATCCACACGCAGCAACACCGCTGGCCGCAACAAGTGCGAGAAGGGGCGCGGGAAACCGCTCGGCCACGGTACCACCGCACGGACCATAACGTCCTACACCTAGTACTACTTCATCGTTCGGCAGGAGTAATATGCGTCCTAGTAAAAATTAAAACTTAAACTACTACAACTTCATCGCTCGTCGGCAATATTTGGGTTTCCGCTATCGGGGTCGTGGGTCACTGCATGTGCATGCTGCAACGCCGTTGAGCTCTTCATGCTCATCGTTCACTTGTTCCTGTGTGCCCCAGCGGCTGTACCGGTACTATTAACCACGCAAGAGGAAATGGAAATGGGTTCAGGAAAACTTCTTAAGTAGAGAGGCCCGTTGGTCATAGACGTGAACTTGTACGATTCAGCGTCTCGACGTCCTATGATCATGTCATGTAACACTAAAAGTGCATCCCTCTATTGCAATCGCTTTCGCTGTATCGACATACCGAGGCGGTCGTATGCTGGGGCACTGGGGCAGCTACTGACGAATGAAAAATAAAGGAGATTTCCTCTTGCAAAAATCTATAATGAAAGATCGCTGCATTACTTTTTAGAAAGACGCCTTGGAGGGCTCAAATAGTCCTTACAAGAATCGGTACTAGTCTTGAGGTCTGCATTTTTCGCCATGGTCTCTGTATGGAGAAAGCTACTCTTCAACGATCGCCAGTACGAACTGGCAGTCCAGTTCGTTAAACACGGCGCGCGGAGGACGAGAAATAAGCACTTACATCCAAATTCTGAAGAATCTTGAGGGGGGCGACCGCGACCGACACACACGATATGGCCGGTTGGCTTGTTGTGACACCCGTCGGCTCGTCGTCTTCCATTTGCTTTTATTTTGGCAAAACTCATACTGGTGATCGTCTATGACCATATGCGAGGCCGCAAGACTTGCCGATGCACCAGCTTTCCGTTTTTCTTTCCTGCGTTGCTAGAATCAAAGCGATTACAATGGCACAGGATTTTCTACTAGGAGAGTAGAACATGAACAGACTCGCTGACTAAGTTATTGTATCGCCCAATTGACATTAAATGGCCCACGTTTTTTTTTATGCCAACAACATCTCATATACTATTTTTTCAAAACGGAAACAAGAACAACAGACACCGTCGTGGCTAGCAGATAGCGCCGTGGTTTTCCATTTTTAGATGGCTAGCAGCTGCTAGTATTAATTTGTTGTTTTGAGCTGATCAGGTCTTGACAAAAAGTGCAAATATGAACCAAAAACGAAGATACGGCTATGAAGAGCGATCGACTAAAGTTTTTTGTTTTGACTCACCGCAAGACTCTTTCTGCGACCCGCTATTTCTATTTGATAGTGGAGCACGCAGCTATGTCTTGCAAGCCGCTGCGTGGGTTTCGCTTCTGCCACCCTTCATCGCCATTTAAGGTGGAGGGGGTCAGACAGGTTTATATTCTATTTCGGAAACATTTACCTTTTCCGGGAATACAGGCTACGAGTGCGACGTACGACTCGTTCTACAGAAAAAAAAAACCAAATCTTGTCGGCGTTTTGAGAACATAGCTGGTGACATTACTTACTACAAGAAGGATTCCTCCTCCTCTCGCACGCATGAGTTTACTTTTTAAGTATCGTATTCTTCTACTTACGTAGCCTCCAGATGAACCTTCGAAAACATTTTTTCCGAAATATTGCAAGCTGCATGGATCATGGCCAGAAAATACCCATGTATCTATTCTTCCTTCCACCTCTAAGTACCAAGATTTTTGCGAAACGCAAACGGCATTTCATGTGTAAACAGTCACGCTGCACCGAGACCGACGGCCGGCACCCGGACCTCTTGTCGCATCATTTGCGGAAAAAAAATTGGTGTTGAAGGAGTGTTGTAGATGGGAGCAACTGAGGAGCAGGTGGCGGTCGTCTTTGTTAGGAGGGATGAATGATTGTAACTACCTTCGACGCCAGCGCCAGGAGGGAATTGCAATCCAGATTCCCTCGTCCGACGTTGACGCAACTGTATCTGTACCTAGGTCTTCTTCTACCTTCCACAGTCAACTGAACGAAGAACAGCAAAGACGAGTTCTTTTAGCCTACTACGAAATGGAATAAATCCAAGCCGCCGCATCTAAACATGTGAAGTAGATCGGAGCATGACAGATACATCGGAAATATGTTGTTTCACATCATGACCGAAAGAAAAAAAAATCAAAATGGAATGAAATTCAACTCGAATTTGGAAGAAATGGAAATAAAATGCATTGAAAGATTTACTACGCAGTCTCATACAACAAGAGTTGTTTGCGAAATAAAACGAGAACAGCTCGCGCCTTCTTCGGCATGGCTGGATCATGAGCACCATGATCATTTGCTCAGGCTGCTTCGTGGTGATTCATTTATGATCCATGCCCGTCCGACGAAACAAGCTTCATCTGCATAATTATGCCCACAACGAACCATAGGTGGGTTTCCAAATATGATTTTATGATTTTTTTTTGCAGCTGTAGCACTCATGATTTCAGAACTTGAGCACAAGAAAGAAAATTTTTACCTTTCCAGCGTAGCTCCTCGGAGCATAGTTTTATAGCCCACTCCAGCTCAGCTCCTCGGAGCGTCAGTTTTAGTTTCTTTAGTTTTAGTCTGCAAAAAGTTTAAGCGTTAGTTATCTCTCTCTCAGTTCCTGCATTGAAACTTCTGACAAACGCAAAACTGTTTTAAGGCCGACGTGGTGGTTAGGATTGCCTGACTGCTGCGTTGAGCCCGGCTCGCGTGGCTGCGCCACGTGCGCCGACACCTCTGATCTCTGATCTGCAGGATGAAGATTTTTTCTGCCTATAGTGAAAAACGCACAAGGGTGATCGATAAATACGAGAAGTGAACAAGATGTTGTCGCGGGAACTCGATCAAAGTGCGCAACTCCTTGTGTTTTTACATACATACCTAGTAAACATCATTTTCATGTTGTTTTGGTTCCCCATGTTGATGTTGTTCGTCCGTCTTCGTTATCCTCATTCCATCGCGCCATGTTCTTGTTCGTCAAGGTTGGTTCATCTTTTTTACACTCTTAGACACCGACGTAGGATGATTTTGATTAGTACCACTCAGCAGGGAGCGAGGGGGATTCCAAAGAAGAGAGCGAAGACGAGCAGAAGCAGTGTGGAAGAAAGATGCTGCTAGGCTTAGCGATCGATATCAACGATATTGGAAGACCATCTGGTGAAGATCATTGTTTTTCGGGGCTTCTGGGATCTTGAGTACTCCCCCGCCCTTGTTGCTGATGAAGAAAAAAGAGTTGGCTCCACTTGAAGCATTATGCCATATGTGAATACGTAGACCGATACCGAAAGCATAAAAAACAGTCATGTAGCTTTATCGTTCTCGTCGTGAAAATTGCACCAGGCACGTTTATTTCTACACATCTTCGTGATTTGTTTGATTTTGCTGCAGATGCGGTCGCGGCGTCCTTCGATGGCTCTATTGGTAGCTCTTGCTCTACCTCTCTGTCGTCATTTTTTGGTCCAGTCCGTGAGTGCCGAAATCTTCACTGGCACTGTCCGTTCGTCCACGGAGTGGCCTGTGGTGGTTGCGAAGTTTGTGTACGACTACAATCCCGCTTGTTTTCCCCCGTCGTTCTGCCGCCCAGACCAATACCCGGGGGAACTGGACTTAACATACGAAGTGACCACCATCGCTGATGACGGAACAACAGCTGGAAGCTCCTCCGGGGGAGATGCAGCAGCTTCGGCGTTTGGTTCCACGACAAATGGGAATGGGGCAAACAGCGAGGCAGCTTCATCCGCCAACACTCTACATTCCTCCCAGTCCACGCTAGCTCGGTATGCGGGCCGGAACGCGAAACAGGAGGACACGCAATTTTATTTCGGGTTGCTGGATGATGAAATCGCCCAGTTTCCGCGCCTGTTCCCGGCCGGTACGGTGTCCTTTCTCGGAAGCCCCACACAATCCGCGTACGAGACCTGCGATCAGGCTATTCTTTGAAAATTTACCATGATGCATCTTTCCGTCCATTTTTTGCGAGACCGAATACAGAATCTAGATCTGCGTTCACATGTTTTGCATGACAAAAATTGGATCATGCTGGGGATCATGGTCAAGTTTCAAAGAATACAGCTGTTCAACAACGTCGCCGGCAATTGGCTCCGACTGGAGCAAGGCGACGGCGAGATGGTCAAAGTGACGGATGACGGGGACATGGGTGCAGCCGCCGTTCCGGCTGGTGCTGCCGGAATGAATATGAATAACATACTGCTTCGGGGCGGGAGCCCAGCAATCTCAAGCGCTTCATCGAAACTTCCTTCCACCGGTTCTACTCCAACAGCGTCGCAAAACCCCTTCGCGGCTTGGTTTGGCGGTGGGCAAAGTGGTGGACCCACGTCCGCGGAGATTGCGGGGAAGTGCACCGCCACGTGGTCCGTGGCGTTTGCAAATCAGTACCTTCTCGGCTGCGTTCCGAACGACAATTGCAAACCCTGGAGCACGATGGAAGCCGCGAAGCGTGCGTGCATCGCCCAGGGCCCGAACTGCGGCGGGATCGTGGGGGCACCGACTGCCGATACTGCAAGCGGGGGGAGCAACAGTAATATTGACGCCGGGCAGCAGGCAGCCGCTCCCGCGAATACTAACTTGCAGTGTCGCGCGTTCAGCCACGCTGTAAACCACTGGGAGATCCGGGAGGGGAGGGAGGTGCTTTACGCAAAGGACCAGAACGATTTGGCCGCCCGGGAATCGAAGGAAATCGCGTACAAGAAGACCAGCACAAACAGCAACACCGCGATCACCTTCGCGCCCGGGGAGCCCTGCGCGTGGCTGGCCAACTGCGTCGCGGGCGACGAGTGCAAGAAGTACTACCAGCGAAGTGACGCCGAGCGAGCCTGCATCGCCGCGGGGGAGACCTGCGGCGGGATCGTGTCCCGCCCCTGCGGCGGGGACAGCCGAATCGCGTGCGACGAAGAGTCGGCCGGGCGGCTGGGCTCCTCCTCGCCGATCCATCCGGAAAACATCCACCACTGGGAGATTCGAAGGGGCGCCAGCCCGATGGGCCACACGCAGGAGGTGAGCTACCTGAAGCACATGTCCCTGGACTGCGACGTGGTGCCAGCAACCGGAATATCCTGTGCAAAAGTATCGTACTCGTACTAATTGCAGATATGCATCACAAATCCAACTTTCTACCTGAAATAGCATGACAAATTGAATTTTTTTCTTGGAAAAATTTGTAATGCATTTTAATGATACGAATACTATACGGTACTTTTGCAATGCATACGGAAGCTCAGAAACCGTGGACGGCGACGGGGACGCCGCGGTGGCGACACTTCAGCTAGGCGACGCCAGTACAACGAATAATTCTAAAACCCCCTTCGTCTACCTGAAGGGGCGGCATCGGCAATCCATCCTGCAGAAGTGCAGGCGTCGCGTTTGGCACTTCTTGTTTCTCGCCTGCAGCGACCGACCAGCCGCGGGAGGTGATACAACTTTTTCGACGATCACCGGGCAGCCGCTGTACGAATTCAAGTACACGATACGGGCTCGAAATACGCTCAATGGCTGGGAAACCGAACTGGGCGCCGACGAAAACCAGCTGTTTCCTATTTTGCTCTTTCAAATTTTCTTCCTCGGCACGTTATCTTGGCAATTACGACCCAAGATGTTCTCGATCTCGACGGCATCATCAAATGTTGGAGGTTCTACATCGCCTTTCGAAAGAGACCTCAACTACGCGTTTGCCGGGGAGTTTTTCGGCCCGCGCGCGATCCGGGGGAAATTCTCCCTCACCGGATTGGTCCAGCACGGGACGTTCATTCTTTTCGCCGCAGCGGTCGTGCGTGCGGTGGATTACCCTCTGAAAGCGTTTTCCGGGCAGCATTTCGCTTTTTTCGGCTTTGTTGACTTCACAACCATCGCAAGTCTGGTCGAGGCGGCGGGGAAAGCCTGTCTAAACCTGATCTTCCTCTTCTGCGCCAGCCAGTCCCCCAGCCAAATCAGAAGGTCCGCGGCACGGTTCGTTTCCCAAATGCGGAAATCGAGCAATTTAGTGGACGGTAGTACGTCTGCGTATGCAGGAGGAATATCCCTTATTTCTACGTCCAACTCTGCCACCAGTTACTACATCCGCAACCTGGCCGTGCTTTTTTTCATTTGCAACGTCATCTTAGACCAGTGGTCGCGCGCTCGGCACCTGAAAACACTGACCACCGTGTACCAGTACGACACGGCCCCGGGGGAGATCGTGGTTTTGCTGGATGTGGCGATGTTGGTTCTCGTTTGTTTCCTTCTATTCCGTTCCTTCTACGGTGACCCAAGGTATCGGTCCAGATTGTTCTTTCTGCGGTACGGCGGCCTGTTTCTGTTCTGGTTCGCAACTTTGCCCGCCGTGGCCATCATCGCACCTCACGTGGACCCGTGGGTGAGAAAGCGAACTGCTTTCATCATCAGCGCTTTGTCGCTTGATTTTGGCGTATACCTGGCAAACCATTTGGTCTTCGGCTGCACGTTGATCCTGCCAAATGCACAGAAAAATAATAGTGTCTCGACGTCAAAGTCCACCACAGCGGGGTTGTACGAGTACGTATACGCCAGTGAAACCTTCCAGGACGAGGACAACTCCGACGGGGATTTTGTCAACTACGACGACTTTAACATGGAACTCATCGAACCGGGCGGAGGTGGGAACAATACGACGAGAACCTCTTCTAGAGTAGCAGCAACGACAAGAAGTAAAATGAACTCGTCCTCGCACAACTTCCACGACGGTCTCGATTTCACGCCGGAAAAAAGACCGTCGTTGACATCGACTTACGGCAGCAGTGGCTTGACAAATTACAGCTCGTTAGGTGGTGGCGGTGTACTGGACGATTATGGCAAGGGCGGGGCCGATGATCTGTTTTTCGAGGAAGGGCACGCGCTCTTGTGACACCAGCGTGTCCTAGGGGTTCCTGTCTTCGTTAGCACCGCAGTACTTTTCGACATCCATGCATTCATTCTTATTCGAAGTGCAGCCATAGCATCAAAAGCGGATAGAGACATATGAGAGAAAAAGCACTTCATATAGCTTGCTGAGTCTCCGCAGCTAGGCGGTCTTTCGTATACATGGAAGAGCCGCGAGCCGAGAACTTATGTTCTGACAAGCGTCGACTGTGCAAAGCCAGAGCTAAAGACCAATCAGCATAAGTACTTAGCTGGAAGTTCGTGGACGAAGATCGATGGAAATTTTTAAGTCGTGTCCCATATCGATGAACCTTTCCTGTACCTAAAGCTGAATTTCATTTTTTTTGAATTCCGGACGATCCTGTTCCGCCCGCTGCTGGCAAGAAAACAATTTCCATAACAATTTCCGATGGATCAAAGCACTTTTTTGGCAGATCACGCTTTCAGTACATAAATTTTTCTTTTTGCAGCAGCTGTTGCTGTTGCTGACAACTAGCACAGATCTACTTCATTTTGGTTTTGCTTTTAGGTGCTTTTTTTCTGGAACGACGCCGACATTACTTTTTACTTGAAACTACACAAGCAGCGACCGACAAGCGAGCGTCATCAAATTTTTAGTCACGAGTTGAACCTTATTCCATTTGATGCTTCATTATCATTTGTGTCACAGTTGAACCTTCGACTTCGTTCTTGACTTTCTTTTCTCGATTTTGTTTACATTTTCAGACGAAGACGTTCACACAACACCTGACACTTTTTTAGTATTCATAGATCTTTCTTTGATTGACGTTTCCTTTCGCCTTTTTGACAGACGCGACGCTAAAGCTGCCCTCCTGCGCATGACCGGCGACGAGTTGAGCAAGTGAATTAGAATTTTGCTCCTCCTCCAATGCTGGATCATAGAAAGTAACCTAATTTTTGCGTTGGTTTTTCATCTAGGTCAACGCATTGCATGGCCGTTCCAGCAGGCCTAATTGAAACAAAATGTCGCGCGTCGTCGACGTGATCCCCAGCATGTTTGCGAAACTAAAACCAAGAAACAGAAAGAGGCGAAACGCAACTCTAACTTAGGAGGACAGCTAAAAGCACCACCAGTCCTGAAAAAAGTTGTCTTTTCAGACGGGAAACCAGCGTACGATTCGACAGAGCCAGAAGTTACAGTCCGCCTCCTGAGCACGGCGCCTCGGCACGAGCTACAGAAAATATGTGGATTTTTTTCCTGGTAGTATTTGCGTTTTTCGCGATTTTACTACTGTGTTTCCCCTGTGCGAAGTGTCTGACGCGCAAGTGGTTCCGCAAGAAAGCACTGCTTCTCGAAGCGGAGCAGCAGTCGAAAGCAAACTCGGGGAGGAGTAGCATCAAAAGCTGCAACACAAGTTGCTCCCGCGGTGAACTCGGTGGAAAAGTAGATTTTTCCGGTGAGGACCCTCAAGGCCGCAGTGGCGCGACAAGGACAAGGAGCCAAGATCTTCAACAAAGGAACCCAAGAAATGAAGGAGCGGCAGACCATCCGCCCCGGGGCGGGAGCAGACCGAGCGGAGGTAAACCTAAACCGGGGAGCAATCACCACCATGAGCTGCTGGGCAGCAATCCGGACGAGGAGAAATTAAGAATACGATTGTTGTCAAATAGCAGTAGCGGAGTGGAAAGACCAGACCAAGGCGTCGAGAACAACATCAACAAGAAGCATGACGTTGACCACGACCATGACGCTGACGCACGCCAGTCGCAAGAAGAGTGCAAGCATCAGGATGAAGATCACTCGCACCAGCTGTCAAGCAGGAGTGGCTCCAAAAATGAAATTGCCAGACGCATTCAAGCTGCAAATAAAGATGATTCATCCGAAACCGAATCCGGGAACAAGAACCAGCAGTACTACGGTGACGCCAACCTGACGGACCAGCGACTTTTCGCGCTCCGGCGTCTCGGGGTCGCCTTTTTCATCGTTGGTGGGACGCAGAATCTGGTCGCGAACATCCGCAGCCCCTTGTTCCAGGAGTTTGCCGACCCCCGACAGGAACCCGTGGCGAAGTTGCACACCTTTTGGGTCAGCATGTTGTTCAACATTGCCTACGGATTGACCGCGCACTTCTGGTCACCGAAAGCTGTAGCGACCATCATGCCCACGATTTTCGGGTGTCACATGATTGGAACCGCAATCTACTTCTCCGTGTTGCAGTCGCTTGGCGGGAAGTCGCAGATGCGGGAGCTCTTCGACAGCCCAGAGGCAGGCCGGCACTACTCGGAATTTGCGCTTCAGGTTTTTCTGAACCAGCATGCGCGGGAACGGATGGTGTATCTGAACTACTATTTCGTCGGGGTCAGGAATAATTTAATCGTCGCCATGGCCTTCAGTTTCGTGCAGGTGTACAGTAAAAAAACGTCGAAGTGGACAAACATGAACACCATGACGCTGCTCACTCTGTGGGAACAGGTAACAAGTGTGCTGCAGTTGAGACTTCTGAGTGAGAATTTCCAGCAACCGCAGGAAGCCCTGCTTTTATTTCCAAAAAGAAAACGAGAACGACAAGGTGGAGCGGATTTTTTCGCTTAAAATCGTTTAGTTCTACTTACCTTTTCCACCTTTTTTTCCTCGCAGTACAGTAGTTCTCAAAATGTTCATGTTGCTCACACTACAAAAATCCTCAGGTTGGCATCCTCGCGTTCAGCGTGGTGGGCGTCTTCACGCGATTTTTCGAGTTGAAGATGGACAACAGCGTGCACGCCGCGGGGAACATGGTGTTGTTCGGTCTCTCCGGCATCGCCACCCTGCTGCTTGTGCCGCTCTTCCGGTCCGCGTTCTTTACCTTGGAAAAAGAGGAAGAGGAGGAAGACGTTCTTGCGGACAACTTGTCGAAACCTGAAAAGAACCCACTTTCGGAGGTGACTGATGTTGAAGCCGACGCTCTTGTGGTCAAGAGTGAGGAACATCACGACAGCGGGGCATCCTTCGCCTCAGATCCAGAAGAAAGAGGAAACGACCGGATTTCATCACCGAGAAGTAGAACGTCATCTGTACAGGAACTTCTAGTAGAAAAAGAAGCTGCGAACTCAAAAAACATCCAGAGCGACGAGGGCACGACAGACGATAAAAAAAAGCAACATTATTGCAGCAAAATCTGGGAAGGTTTGAAGTACTCCTTCTTCGGCGTTTACTTGGTTGCTCGGTACCGGTACGTACTGTACCTCTTTTTCCTGAATTCCCTCGTCTATCCCCTGCGCGCCATTCTGGACATTCAGCTCGCGCTCATTCTGAACCAAGCCGTGGAGCGCGCGCCGGACGACGGGACCACACTGAAGGTGCCGGAATACGCCGGTGGGTGGATGGGGTCGCAGGTGACGGACGTGAAACTGGTTCTGCAGTCCACTATCGGGATCGCCGCCGCGCTCGTTTGCACCGCTGCGGTCTACTACGCGTTTAGCGACATGGCGAAAAAGACCGGGGGCACGCGGAGGGTGCTGGTCCAAGCGCCGATCGCGGTGATGCTGGTGATCACGGTACTGTGCGTGACGTCGCTCACGTCGGAGCAAAGGGGGTATGTGAATCTCAATGTCGAAGTTTTTACGTCAACGAGTAGAAATAGTATACTAACTGGATCCGGCCCAAACGTGGCGCTACACACGCCCGCGATCGGATGGAACGACAAAAATTTCGAGACCGCGAACCGCCAGCGCGGCTTCCGCAACGCCGTCCGGGACAGGGATGCAGTTTGGTTTCTGGAACAACCCAGTAGAGAGGTTCAGGAACAAGTGTTGAACGATGATGAGAACAATGATCTTCCCGTAAGACTGAGAACGGTGACGAAGCACAGTTGTCAGCTCGCGCGCCCAAGGGTTGACCCATCGGTGAGAAGAACGCAGGACGCAACGGAATGCGTCGGGAAGGTTGCAGTCTACCGCTGGCAGCAACATTTACGAGGTAAGGACGTGCCGCTAGCAAACGCGAAGGTTTTTACTTCGACTGCTGTGGGAGCAGGAGGTGCTGCGCAACAAGGATCAGAACCACCACAACAGGGGATGACAGGTTCCGCGCCTACTGGTCGGTCTTCTTCCCTCCCAACTCAGCTTGCGGTGGAGCTGGACAATTTTACGCCTTTGCTTCCAACGCAGCGAAGAGGACACAATAGCTACAGCAGTGAGGACAGCTGTGCATCGGTGGAAGCGAACTCGGTGACGTTTTCCCGATCGAACCTCCAGCAGGCCATGAAGATCTTTTTCTTCGCGTCCAATTACGAGCAGTGCAGCACCCAGTGCCGCGACAGCTGCAAGAACGGCTACGGTACCTGCACCCACTTCTTGTTTTCTTGTCAAGAAGGCGCCAGTTTGCGAAACGACGGCAAGGCTTGCTCGATGAACGGGAAGACCGTCGCCTGGGCGCAGTGCGTGCTACTGAATCAACATCAGAATACTAGCGCTGGTACTGGTGCTAGAGCCAGAGCCGGTCTCCATCAGAGAAGTGGTGCTGGAGCTGCTGGTGCAGGAGAGGCTGCAGGAGGCAATAATTCTGGTCAAACAAGTAGAACAAGTCAGAGAGAAGCAAGACGGCACGCGCGAGACGCACAGATTTTCGACGCGAGCCCCTTCAAGTCTTTCCTCTTGTCCACGCACCTGCCCTCCCTGCGTCTCTTCAGCCTGACGCCCGACCGCAGCTTCCAGGAGGTCGCAAAACTGGCGGAAGAGGCACAGGCGGCCGCACTGATCATCGACGTCAAGAGGGATGTCTTTGTCGTGGCGGAAAAGGACAACGATAATACCAGCCAGCCCAGCATTCTCACGGCGATCACCAGTCGGAATTCGTTCTCAGATTCTTTCGTTGCCGACGCGGTGGCCGATTTGGACAGGAGACACAGGGAAGAAGATGAAAATGGAAATAATCTCGAAGTACCAGACATTCGTCCGCCACCAGCGAACAACGCTGTGCTCGATGAGGTTATCCGCATCAAGTGGCTAGAAAGGGTTCCTCCGATAAACCTGAGTTACTACTATCTCGGTGCAAAAGCTAGTACCGGAGGACAGAATACTCAGCCTGCTCCAGGTGCAGCAGAAGTTCCTGGTGGCGAGCATGAGCAACAGCAAGAAACCCCCACTGGCGGCCAGGCAAGAAGAGCAGCAGCCTCAGCAGATCCGGAACCAGATTTGAATACCGGGTCCGCGAGTTTGTTCGAGTCTTGGCCCCGGCTGTCCGCGCTGGCCCGGTACATTCTGTGCTCCATCTTCTACATTTACCTCAACGTGGCCATGTGGTGTTTCAATGCGCCCATGATCAACGTGCTGTACCTGCGCACGAGCAAGGACGTGAAAATCCAGGCGCAGTCCTGGTCGAAAAACTTCGGTGTGGACGCGCTGAAAATCTTTGGTACTTTGTTCAACAACGCGGTGAATATTCCGACGTTTCTCCCCTTCACCAACTGGCTCATCACCGTCGCGGCAGGGCTAATTTGGATTTTCGGGATCATCTTTCCCGCGTCGCGGGAGTACCAGAGGCTGGAGCGGGAAAACGCCATTGTCGGGGAGGAGAGTGCTGTAGAAATGACAGAAGGTCATAATCGTGCTCCTGGGGCGGGTCAATTTGATGATGGAGTTGAAGATGAAGATCTTGTAGAAGAAAGAAGTGCTGGAAAGGACCACCACGACGAGGAGTACAGAAGTAACACCTCCGAGTTGTTCTATGAACACGATCCTTTAATAGGAGGAAGTGATAGCGAAGACGAAGCGGAAAGAGAAGATCTGCTGGAGAAGGGCCTACTGAAGAAAAAAGACCCTCGAGAGTCCGACTCTCACCACCAGCGACTGAAGCAGCGACAGAACAACCCATCTTGATCCTAATCGTCCGCCACGACCCCACAGTATCATGAGTAGTTCGATAGATCAGTAATTGTTCTTTTCGTGTGCGACGCACCAGCGACCGACATTCATTCTTCGACAGTCACACTTTGCGAAGTTTTACATGTATGAAGATATTACACTTCGACTTCTGCTCCGCCCGAAGCGAAGCAAATGATTTTTTAGCGAGTCCCCTGGAGTTCACCGCTGCTGCACAGACCACACCATGCTGTGTGTTTGTGTAGCGAAATTACTAGTACAATTAAAGCAAGTGAGGAACGTGCAGCCTGTGACAGTTGTAAATTCTGTGTTAGCGGGCCCTGCTAAAAATATTAAGTACCCCGAAGCGACTACAGGTACAGTATAGCGAAGAATGAAACCCCCACATAGGAAGATCACCAACATGATACAATTTTTTCAAAATAGCTGTCTTTGACTTTGACTGCCCTTACTAGCTACCCAGCTGCAGGAGCCTGACTGACCCCGTGAAGCACGGCGACTGGTGTTTCATACATATTGATGAAGCCGCTCATCATATGTAGAACAGGAAATTCCTAAGTGTCACCTCCACAGTATGTTGAAAACCTTGAATTGCCGCACGGAAGGCTACATGGATTTTTCCTAACGCAGGGGACGCGAGGAGGCTAAGAAGCTGCCGCTGCTGCTACAAACCTACAACACGACACTGCAGCAGCATGTAGTAGCCGTTGGTTTGTTTTTCGGTTGCAAACCAATAGATACGGTACTATCGTGTTCTTGTCGTGGAGCAGCTGCACTCCAGTACTAGACGTAGTGATAACAGGCTTTTTTTCTTGGCGCTGAGTGGATCATCAATCGGAATGACCGATCGAGATTTAAACGGTAGTACCTACTTACAGGACGACAAGGACTCCAATTGGTGATGCAAGAAATTTAGTCGGATCTCATCTGATACTGATACAGAAAAGATCGAAAAAAGATGCCGATGAACCGAGCAAGAGCATTTGCAATTGCATTGATTTTGACGACAAATAACGCTCCGAGAGGCTGTCGCTGTGGACGCGGCCGACGACATCGCAGATCTACTACTTAAGAACATCACCGTGCCGTGGTTTCTCTGTGTCTTCTTTTTCGAAGAAGACGTTTGTAGTCGCCGGTGATTTATTTTGACGAGCGCCTCCGATGACCACGAGTAGAAAGATACTGATCTAGTTTTTTATTGCGTGGTCCGAGTTCTACGAGTACCATCTCAGTTCCATGAATCATATATACATATTGTGTATTAACTCCTACTAGTACCTTCACAGTTCTCGCCGTAGTTCACAAAGATCTCCTCGTTCATGTTCTTTTTGATTTATTTTGTTTTTCTTTTTCATTTTCCTTTTGACATGCGGGCGCTCCGGTGGTTCCAGCACAGCACACTCCGGACGGTGGAAGGCGAAAAAAGGGCGTGGCAGATGGCGCAGGAACAAAGCGAAGCCGGAGGGGAAGAGGAGTACGCCAGTCGGCTGGAGCTATGTCAGCGAACAGGCGTCCCGCCGGTGGAAACACTTATACGAGAGCGGAGAGTGGCCTGGGCAGTCCATGCACTTCGCAACAGACGAGAGGCGTGCCACTATCTGGTCCGGGAGGAAATCAGGAAGCGCACACCCTGGGGCAGGATGTTGCAGGACGACTTTGAAGCGGTAGCGCTACCACTAGAAGGAATTCTAGAGATGGAAAAACCGCCAGCCGCCACGGCAATCAAGTCGCACCTGGTCACACACCGGCCCACGAAACCACTGCCGAAGGAACGAAAGGGGGACAACCGTGGAAAGACGAAAGCCTGCAAAGAAAAAACCAAACGCCAGAGCGAGAACATACAGCGACAAAGAGAGGAAGCACAGCGGCAGATGCAGGACTTCATCGCGGAAATCAGCGGCAGGCGCTGGGAAAGAGTTCCCAGTGCCGGAGGCAAATACTGGCAAACGACGAAAACCGACGACGATCCGACCGCGGTGCAGTTCGAAATTGAAGCCGAGGACTTTTGTGAAAGCACCGGCCGAGAAGAATACAGAGTGTGCGGCGTCTGGTTCCAGAAGATGAGTGATGGAACCTACGCCGCCAGAGCGGTGTGAACGAAAGAAGAAGGAAGTGATGATGATGAAGAAGATACATTTGTAAGCACATCCGAGAAACGCGTGAGGAAACGATGAGACTCTCAAAAGGATACAAGCTTGTTGTGAATGAATGAATGAATTTTCCTTTTTGTTTTTTCTGCGTCCTCTAGAACCCAACGGCATTCAGGAATTAATATCAAAACAGGGACGCTAGATTACGGGCAGGCAGTACCCAAAGCCAGAGGCGAAGGCCATTGGAGTACAGCGTCACGTAGCCTATAAAAATCTTGTTCTTCCACTTCCTCGTTACTAACGAGGACTACTTCCACGGTCAATCATCAATCGTTTCGACTACAACTACGTTCGCACCAAACTACAACATGCATGTATAATTTGTTTATTAGGGCGCCTGCTTGTTTTTGCATAAAGGAAGCATCTAATTAGCTCGTGCTGTGCTGAAATATTGTTTTCTACGCCATCAACTAGGAGGGGCTGATCTAAGTGCTTACTTTATTTGTTTTAAAGTACCTGGTGAGATAGTCAGGGCTCGTTCTCTTCTGCAGCTCTCTATTAGCGACGTCAAGAACTTTTAGTATTAAACTCGATACGATATTTACATTTTCAACACTACGAATTTAAACTCGGGAAATTGTCTATAACACATTACGAGCGACTACAACCGAAATACGCGATTTTCTCTTTCGGAAATAGATGACATTGGTATCGCGTTAGCTTTAGATTAGTGTCTGCGTTGAACTGCGTCTAAACTTGAAGTCAAGTTGCTATAATTTTGATTTCTCAGCTGTGACATTATAGATTCGCTTTTATTTCTTGAAAAGAGCATCAGCTAAAGGGCACACTGGTGCCAACATCATCATCATCAGCATATGGCTTTATCTTGAAGAGGTATAGCATCTAGGACAGAAGAATCGTTGATCGTGTTTATTGATACGATCAAGATCCGGCGGAACTACACGAACACTTACACCTGAGTTCGATAAGTATTGTCAGTATAAGCGATTACAACTCTACCTTTACGCAGCTAGTACATCTTCGACAGACGAGGATCGTCTAGCAACATGCCGAGCGACGGCTATCACACGACCGCATCGGGCGGCGCATCAAGTAGAAATTTGCGACCACCCTCGACGAACAACAAGAACCACCGATACGACCATGCACAACAACGACAACGCGACGCCCCCTTGTCTTCGGCGTGTCGTGACGGAGGTGATCATGGCGGGGCGGGGGGACCAGGACCAGCAGCACGAGTTTCCATTTGTTCACGGCAGCCTCAGCAAGAAGCCCAGGGTTTTTACAATCTGTCGCAGCAGCAAGATTTGCGTACAACCCGTACTACGGGCTTGAATACCAGTAATGGCCAGAATTTATTTTCAGCTTCGGCCCAGCACGACCACGACCACACTTATGGGAGGATGAACCCCGATGACCTACTGCCCGATTCTTGTCCTCATGTAATCAAGGGGAAGGGGCGGGGCGGTAGTTCACCCGGTAATCATTTTCAGCAGGGACCACCACACCAAGAGCACTATGGCTATGCAGGTGGCCATACGTCGTCGCAAGGTGGGCCGCCGCGTGCTCCCACTAGTAGCCTCATGATGCACAATCAGCCACAGCACAAGAAAGTTAGTTATGGAAAAAATGGACAACCAGGCGCTGACTATACGTACCACGATCATGATGCTCCTTCCAACAAGGGCGGGCATGATCATGGCCATGGGGGGAAAAATAAAGTGAACAAAAACTACGAGGATGGCCCTGCGAAGATTGCTTCGAACGAGTCCTTGAAGATGATGATGACTAAGGGCAAGGGAAAGAACGGGACCGCGACTGGTGGCACTGGTATGATTTTTGCTGCATAAATTCAAAACATCAACATAGGTACTTAACTGAATCAGAATCCGTTGCGTATGAAGATTTCTTGGGCTTCTTGTCCATGAAATAATAGCTGTGCGAGCTTGGTGCAGTCGTTTTTGTGCTCCGTACTAGTTTTTCACTCCTTCTCCCTGATACTGATAGGTGGCGAAAACTTGCATGATAATGAAACAGTACAGATGGTCGTCGTCTTCCGCGTTCTTGAGACTTTCACCGGAAGCTTCATCTCCTCCAATATTAAATAAAAGGTGCTTCATTTCTTTTGCCGCAGAAGAACAACATCACGAGCAAGAAAGGTGCTGGCCGAGGAAAGCCTTTGTTTCACCCCGCTGGTAAGGACGTAGGAAGAGGAAAATCAAAGCACCAGACGGGGGTCACCAACAAAGAATTTTTCTACACACGTCGTGAGGACTGCACGTCGACCAGTGATGGAAAAGGAAATGGCAACAGTGATCTTTTCCTTTGCGGCGAAAAGGAAAATTCGACCGGAGCAGTGGTTCCTGCTGTGGTGACAGCAGGCAAGGACTGCGCGTATAACGTGAACCATCCCGCGAATTACTCAGTGCGGACGAAACTACAAAATGCTATTAGCAACCAGTCTCAGTCAAAGGGAGAACTCCAGGCGGGAGATGGTTCTGAAGGAGGGGCAGCGGGGGATCACAGGCGGCAGATGCGAGGAGGACACGACCACCAGCCGCAAACGGTAACACAGAAGGAGCAAGTGGTGCCTGCAAAGAGTATCCTCTGCAAAAGTATCGTCTAATTGTGGCCATACATGTCAGACTCAGATCTGCTTTCTCATTCTCACATGAATCTGAGTGACGAAGTCCACTGACTTTGTTTCCCTCTTGACAAAAAATGTGATGAAGATGCAGCTGTAAAGTGCTTTTCCTTTTCCACCTCCAGTAAAATAAAGTAGTACGATAGTAATAGTTAACAGTACTTTTGCATTTGCATAAAGATTGGCTCGAGGCCGCAACTTGTTCCGGAAGTAGATCAAGATCTGCGCATTCGGCAGAAAAAGACCGACTTTATTGTGGTGGCTTCCACTAGGCTGCAATCGGGGCTCGAGGAGCCGGAGTTGGAAACACTGGCAGAATATCAAATGCAGAAATGTCTGGGTCTGGAATGTTGCCGGGTTTGTCATGCATATTTTGCATGACCCAGGAGCAGGATGTCTGTAATGCACGACCTAGCATCACAGATTTTTAGGGGGCTTTCTGGCGCGTATTCCGCATGAGAAATGCCCTTTCCGTGTGGCACAAAGTAGACTTCTCTTGCTGGTCAGGCAATACAGATTTTTTCAGAGTCCACCAAAGCTAGCATCACAAGTTCCAACCTTCCAGACCCAGACACTTTTGCATTTGATACAGAAGAGCTGGGGTTGGACTACATCGTGGAATCTCTCCCACCGCATCCGGAATCGCTGTCCGCTATCTGGTATGCAGTGCAAAAGCATCGTGCTAGTATAAATTGCAATACAAATTGGCTCAGCATTACAAGTTAAATTTGTGATGCGGATTTCCCTTAGCACTAAGATTTGTATATGCATAAATGTACTTCGTTAGAAGTACGAGTGCGATACTTTTGCAGTTCATATCTGGGACCCCGAGGGGATCCGCGTGAGGATCTTGAAGCAATACGTGGCGGAGCAGGATCAAGATCAACAGCAGCGACAAGGACGTCGCGGGGAGCACCTCGTGCTGATGTGCGGACGAACCACGAGCGGACTTCCCCGGTCATTCAATAATCGCCGCGGGGATTCTGCTTCTGGTTCTTGTTTGCGGGCCGCGGACGGACACGGAGTAACATCAAGTACTACTACCTTCGAACGCCGCGGCGGGCGGGGGAAGAACGCCAACGCGGGTGGTCATGGACGGGGGGAATTGAAACTGCTGATCTGCTGTCTGCAGGGAACCAGTCACATCCAGGCCTTCGCACGGGTCCAATACGCGTTCGATCGATTACATCGCATTAACAGTGACGTTTGCCGACGGTTCTCATTTGTTACAGCTGCTCACCAGCAAAGCCGGCTGCTGCGGCGCTCCATGGTGATTTCCATCCCGAAGGACATCCTTATGGGACTCTCAAACGTTACATTCTCAACTGTTACATGATTTGTCATGCAAAATGAACATCAACATCCCACAAGGTGAAACTACTTCGCATGACAAATTTTTGAAAGGCTAAACAGCGCCTAAATCTGTGCGGAATTTGTAATGCTACAGGTGCGCCCTCCCTGCTTTGACTTTTGCCATTCTTGCATCACAAATTCATGTAACAGTTGAGAATGTACTAACAGTTGAGAACGCCATAATCCTCAGCCAGCAACTGGAGGTCTACAACGTCCCGCGAAAGGATGGCGCTGCCTCCGACGGGGCTGACGCCGAGTCCTTGCTGCCGGTCTGTGGGTACTTCTACACGGGTAGTACTAGTAGTACTGTCGATAGTAGAACTGTCGAGCCAGCAGCTGTTATTGAGAAGAGGAAGGAGCAAGACGCCGTGCCTGAAGATAATTCATCTCGTGAACTTCCTCAACACGATGAGCACGAGAAAAATACCGTCCCGGTGTTCGAGCATGATGTTGATAACAGCAACTCTAGTATCAAAGATGCAGGCAAAAAATCTACAACTTTCGCGCCAGCTGATGCAAAAATCATGCCCACGACCGGCACCTCAACCTCTTTGAAGAAGTCCGCACCGAAGACGGCGAGATTCTTCGTGAAAGAGCAGATAAGGCATCACAGTGGTCCTACTGTACTAGCCGGACCTCCACCTCCCACACAGCAGCCCCATGTTGAAGATAATCATATTAACGGTGATAAGGTACAAGCAGGGACGATGAGGATAAACAACCTGGTCAACAGCAATATTCGAACCGAGCCTGATCAACATCTTGCAACATCAGAAAGGATTGGTGCGCCGACGTCGAGTACTAGTTCTAACTATAGTAATGACGATGTCGCCCGTGCCTTGCAGCTGTTCCCTTCCCCACCAGACGAGTTCCAAAATCTAACTTTGGGCGAGGCGTGGGAGTATTGGTTTGACTATGTGCGTAATTACGAGAAGCAGGAGGACGAGGACCACCATTCCGACTACAGAGGACCCGGCTGCACAACTGGGAAAGCAGCAATTACAACGCGTGCCACGTTCTTTAAGGGTGATGAGGACCACAAGCAAAAAATAAATTCAGACTGTCCGCCCCCGTTTCCACCGACAATTTCGTCCACTAGCACCGCTGCTACGAAGTTGTACGCGAATAAGACCGGCGCGGGCGGGCGATGGCTTTGCATTGTCCAGGACAAGAAGAGCAGCTCGAAAGTACTGGAAGAAGTTCATGGGGACGCAGTCGCAGGTCCGACCAGGACAACTTGCTCGTCGTCGTCCGATCAGTCGAACAGCAAGCAGCAGGCTTTCATCTCCATCCGGCGCCTGCGTATGATTCTGCAGGGCCGCAATGTCCGCAGCGCGGCGCAACGGTACGCGAGGTTCCACGTTACCGAGGTGCCCCATTTGTCTCTGAACAGCGCGGGGGCTTCCTCGCCAGGTCCTGCAGGAGGGCTCTCTTGTCATCTACAACGTGGCAGCAGTACTAGTTCAAGCTCGTGTTCTGCTACCGAGGCCGACAATTGTTGGGCGACAGGAGAGCATTATAACCAGGACAACGCCAACGTGAATAAAGGAGCAGGGGCACCATCAATTTATAACGGTAAAAACGGCAAGATGATGATGAGAAAGAACCAGCGCACCCCACGACCGGAGCAGTTCACCCTGAGGCCGGGCTGCCTGTGGCGCGTCGACGGGGTGCAGGAGTCGGCGGACGGGAGGTGCCTGGAGTACACGCTGAGTTTTTCTCTGTCGACAAACTTGAAAGTGGGCACTCTAGCGGCGGGCGGTGCGACTGCGACAACCTCCACGACCTGTGGTTCGTCGATCATGTCCTCTTCATCCGAGGTGGATCTTCAGCGACGCGCAGAACATGCTGGGGCGAGCAGGAGCGTTGGAGGACCTGGACCACCGGGAGCTGCAGCTGTGCCTTCGGTAGTTTCGGACGTCGAGGGGCCGCATTGTTCGGCCGGCAAGAAAAGGGCCCTTGTCTCGTATGATGTGTTCAAAACCCCGCAAAAGGCGCAAGCTGCAGGGAACAATTTCTGTCCCGCTACAGCAAGAACTACTACTTTCGGCGAGGATATTAAGGGCCAGAAGCTACCTTACGGACAGCACCAGCACACCCGCCCGCAGCATAACGGAGACGTGGGTCAACATCGACAAGCACAAGCTCCCGCTGGGACGACAGGAGGACAGCGCGAAGAAGGACAACAGCTAGAGCCCCCGCGAAACAAGCACAAGGCGAAGGACCATCCCCGTGTTGGGGTGCTTGCGAGTTTGCACGATTGGAAGAAGCACCGGAAGATCGCGCTGAAGGTGAAAAACACGTTTTTTCATGTGGATGAGCCGGCGGTGGAGTCATCGGACGATGAGGTTGTTGTATCTTCTTCATCTACAACTACTTCAAGAGGAAATTCTTCAGGAACAACAAGTAATGCAAAGACGTTGCACGCCGACATCGGCGAGGAGGAGGACCAGGACCACACAACTGAGCGCCGTGATCAGCAACAACATCCTCGCCTTCGTCCACCTCCCGGACGATCCCCGCCGCGGCACGGCTGCGACAAGCAAGTGCGGTCTCGCAGCTTGCAGCCGGACGAACTGAGGCTGACCTCTGCGAGGCGATGCTTACTCACGGAGTTCTTTGAGGATAGTACGACGTCGAAGATGTTGACACCGCCGCGGGGCCGCGGCGGAGGCGAAGATGCTGAGGTGGAGAAGAATGCTGTTTATGAACACTATAATAATTTGATGTCCCCGCCGCGCGACGAGGAGCTGCAAGAATATGAAGACTCTAGGTACAACTGGAATTATGTTGAAACAACGCCAACGGCGCTCGGCGGAATCAACGACTTCTACTCGTCTAATTCGATGTCAGTGGAGGTCGAGAAGAATTTTTATCCACACGAGGACGAGGGGGAGGAGGAGCAGCTGCACACGTCGCGCAGGAGCTTAATAAAGAAGATGCACAACAATTTATATAACAACCACAATATGAACAACATTCAGAGTCAACAGCAGCAGTTGCAGCACTACAACCATTACCATGACTGCCGCGGCAGAATGGAGCAGCAATCTATGGCGCTGGCGTGGGAAAGTGTCGCTTTACCGGGCCGACGGTTGTTCGCGGATGGTCCGCCTCCCGAACGGATCTGGAAGCAGAGCAGCGGGTTTAACCAATGGACCAGCGAGAACATCACCATTGTGGTCACCTGTACGCACCTGGGGTTTGGAGACCTCTGGATGAAGCTCTGGCTCGCGGGCTACGAACCCGCGGACAACGTGGCGGCCGAGCGCATTGTGAAAAGTGTCGACGGCTGGTCGCAGATGTGCGGGGACATGTGCAACTTGTTGGCTGAAAAGGAAAAGCTGCAGAGCCAAAAAGAGAAAGTGCGTCGAATGATGAAGAACAAACTAGCTTCGTCCACCTCGACTGGTGGTCCTTGTTGTGCGGAGACAGAAAGATCGATCCACTCGTCATCTTCGTCGGTGGCGGGCGACGCGATGCTGACCGGAATGCATACGAGTGCTGTTAGCGAGAATACAACGCACCACGAGGAGGACAACGATGAAAATGAATCGGAACATCAATCCACAACGACGCTGAAGAAAACAACTGCAGATGAAACTACATCAGGAGATCATGACCTTCTTCTACACGAACAAGAAAAGTTTTCACAGATAGTCATCCGCCTGAGAAACTGCAGTGAGGAAATTGCGCAACTGAAGCACAAGATGCGTTTGCACGGGCTCCGCGAGATCAATGTGGAATATTGGCGGGAGCAGGATGCGTATATCCAGTACCGCCACCTGCCCCACATCTTGTGTCCCCCGACTCCGACATCCCCTTACAAGAAGAACAAGAGCCGGTCCATTTTTCGCAAGGTGATGCCCAGCGAGCGCAGCACCTCGGTGCAGGTGTGTCAGGATTTGGCGGCTTTGTCTTACCCGGACAAGACTTTTCTCACGGGCGTGATCTTTGACTCGGAGGCCATTTGCGCCACCTCCGACGGGTACGAACAAAGTAAGAATAACGGAGGTATGCTAGACAGCGCCAGTGGTAGAAATATGTATCAAATGCAAACACGTCTGGGTCTGGAAGATTCATCCGAGATTTGTCATGCAGTTTTTCCAAGCTCCGCCAAATCTGGAATGCAGGCCCTAGCATCGCAGGATCTGCAGCGCCTTGGTCGTGATGCCCATTCTGTATGAGAATGCCCTCTCTGGGGCGTGGCGAGAAATGGGGACCTTTTGCAAGTCATGCAACACGACAGATTTTAATTTTTGTATGATCCGCAACACGCATCACAAGTTCGCATCCTTCTAGACCCAGACTCATTTTTGCAGTTGATAACATGCTGCCCACGTCGATGATCGGGAGTAGCAGTTGCACATCAACTACGAGCTGCAGCAGCTCAACAAGTTCAGTAGTAAATAACTCTGCAATTATATCTGAGAAGGGACGAATTATGGAAAATAAAACTGTCGACGTGGAGGCATCAAGTAGCTGCGCATCATCTTCCAACAGCACCTCCGGTCGGAAAAACCCTTTCCAAGAGGCGGGACAAACCCACCTGAAGGCGGTGGAGTCTTTCCGAATGCTTATGGAGGCGTGTCGTATGAACTGCAAAAATGTCTGGGTCTGGAAGATTGCCAGGTTTGTCATGCATATTGTCCAGCATGACCCATGATGTCTGTGATGCATGCCTTAGCATCACAGATTCTGCGAGGGCTTTCTGATGCTCATACAGCATGAGAAGTGCCGTCTCTGCGTAGCAAAAACTGGACCTATTTTGCTCTTCACGCAATACAGATTTTATGCAGAGTCCAGACGTAGCATTACAAGTTGTATCCTTCCAGACCCAGACATATTTGCAAGGCATATGTCGCAAGCTGGCGCAAAACCGCCAGGGCTTTTCCGTGGTGAGTTTGCGGAAGGTGGGCGTCGGAGTCGAGGGGATCCAGGAGTGGAACCGGTTTCGGGGCGTATGCATTGCAAAAGTTAATAAAGTATCGTGCTAGAAGATGAAGTTGTACAAGAAATCGCATGACAAACGTTGCCAAAAGGAAAAATGGAACTTGTCACGCCGAATAAGGAATGTCATGCGAGACAACTTGTCATGCGAGACAACTTGCATATATATGTTTATACGAAAGCAGCGACCGACATCATTTTTGCACAGCATACGCCACGATTCGCGCGCATTTTGCTCGGGACGGCGAGGAGCACGACGAGCACCCGACCTCCAGCTACCAAATCCTGAATTGGGTTATCCTTAGGAAAAAATAACCTATGATCTTCGTCCCATCGATGATCCAATTTCTCATGCAAGCATGTTTTGTACATACATAAATGCACACCCTAGTGCATCATCTAAGATGATGTACCAGGGTGTCGTATGCATTTATGCAAAAATCAAAGTAGTTACAGGGAGACGACGATGACCACGGTTTTTTTTCCTGTGGATCTAAGTCGAGGGCTTCATTCTCGGTGCTGCAGCTAAGGAGCGCGCGGAGCGAGGCATCATCGATTGTCCTCGTGCAGAAGGAGGCAAGAACGTACAGAACTTTTCGCATCAGCACGCAGGAGCGACTGCTGCACTGGACCGACAAGCCGCATCGGAAAACGTTGCCGTCTACATGGGCCCGTACGGCATTCCATTTTTTCTCATCGGGAAAGACAGCAAGGCACTCTACACTATCACGCCATTCACGGGGCTCGCAAAAATTGGAATGATTTTGACAGGAGTAGGCGGTGGTAATAAAGGCGATGGTGGAGGTTGTTCTGATAAATGATGACTTGAGGATTTTGAAGTTGTACAACTAAACGAAAATAATCAAAATTATCATGCTTTGGCTCTAGATTGAGCCAGTGCCAGCGGATAAGGATAAGGAAAAGGATAAGGAACTACTGCTTAACAGTGTACAAGAACTTCAATTTCTACGACGACATCGTAAGAACTTTAAATGCTTAATGAGCCCGAGGAGTGGAGCGTCGAGTAGGGGGCGGCCATCTCATACTTGTAATCGCCTTTTTCGCGGGCTAAGGCTATTTTGAAGTTCTAGTTCTACTTCTAACCACAGGACTACGGGCGGAAAAATAATTTCTCAAAGAACAAGCAGAGTTGAGAACTATAACTAGTCTCAATATCAATTAGTAAGCGTCCTGAATACCGGTCCGGCGTTTTGAAGTAGTAAATCCAGGAAGCGGAAGGACGATGGCACGACAGATGATTCTGGCGGTAGCATCTCGTCGTGTTCTTCAAAATCCTTTATCACTCCCTTTTTTTCCATCTTCATGTTCATGCCTGTACAGGTACACTAAGCCTTCGGTATCGGTTCGTACATCTAAATCTAAGTGCAGAAGTACGAGTGGAATTGCTCCTTCGCATTATAGAAACTCTAACTACTGCGCACAAACAATCGGCACCGCTTAATATTGAACCTGCACCTGAAAAAAGTGCTGCTGTGAAAAAAATATTAAGTACGTAAAAACAAATACGAAAACAAAAATTTTTTTCGTGAAGGGGCGTGGTTGTCGAACATACAAACATCCTCCTCCTGCTTCAAGATAGTGCTGCGATAAGGACAACAATAATAACCTTCTCAGCTGCTCTCTGCTCAATGTTATTGCTGTAATGCGTAGCTTCTCGGAACCTGTTGGTCGGCCCGGAGACCACAAACCTGCTCAACAAGTATTTGAAAGGATGGTTTTTGATCTTTCAGTAAGTTTTTCCGACATTGTTTATACCTCAATGTCAATCCCAACAGCAAAAACAAAAATCGGATGTGCCTCCTGTGAAGGATTGAATGTGTGTAGTTTGTGCAAATAAAATTTGAACGAAACACTTCAGCAGATAGATTTAGAATTTTTCAGATCCTTCAGCGCGCTGCGTTTTACCTACAACTTCCCGATCTAGTAACTCTTGGGATCCTCCAAACGTTCAGGCTGACGAGCTTGTTCGGGAGGTCGGGAGCTAGCACTGCAGGGCCCGCTTATGGTGCAAGCCCTGGGGCCCCCAAGATAGTAGTTTTTTGGCTTGAAGGATCTAAAAATGTAGACACAAAACGAGCAGCTTCACATTGCACCCCAAAATAGTCCAGCGGCACAACGACGAAATGTGAGAAAAACGCACTGAGGAATATTTTAACTCAGATCCATATGGAAGCGTCAGAATCGAAATCAACAAAATCGAAATAATTTGTGATGCATAAAATCGCTACCAGTTGGAGCCTCACCCTCAGTTTTCAAGCGGCGCATGACAAATTTCGGAAGCACCGAATTCCAGTCTGTCATGCTGTTTGGGCAAAGCCAGTTAGGAGAGTACCAAAGTGAGGAAAAAAGGCCAAGGTTTGTAGACAACGTCATGTTTACAGTGTGGCTAGGGGTGGGCCACCCAGGTCAGCTAGGCATGGGAAGAACGACACACAACGCACAGACGCCAAAAAAGAGCTACATGACCTGCCCAGTCTGTCAAAAGAAAGTAGTGCCAAGCACAGACCACTTGCTTTTTCAGTGCGAAGACCCTACGCTAGTGCAATTGCGAAAAGAACACTTAGGCGCGCCATGCATAAAAGCCATGGATCCATGCATAAGTTTCGTCCGGGAGCGAAAAAACGTGAAAAACGTCCTGAACTTCTACGAGAAGGCCTCGCAGACACACGGAGGAACTCTGCCCACGGGGCTAGCGAACGCGATCAGAGGGGGACAGACGGTTTTCGACGAGGCGGACTACAAGGATGTGGCAGAATGGCAACCGGAGAAAAAGCCGAGCAAGGTCCAGGAGGGGGACCTGAACAAAATAGCGAGCAGGATCGGGAGGCTCTAGGAGAGAGACCGCCAACACGAAAACGAACAAAGCCGACAAACTGCTACGAACGAGGGGACTACGCTCAGCCGGGCAACTTCTCCGAAAAACCTGCACCCAGAAAAACCCCACCACCCTTCCCCCCTCGCTTTAGGTCTATCTGGAGGACATGACACCTCTGGCTGCAGGAGCAGTCCCGGGGTGTTAGCGCGGGAGGAGCGGAACCGGTGACCAGCTGCGTCAGCCAGGGCACATCGAAACAGGTGGGCCTAGGGCAATGAGGGTGTGCCAAGCGGAAGGTGGTGGAGATGGGAACGGAGACAGAGTAGAACTTGTTGAGGCGCTTGTTGAGGCGGTAAAGTAGGTAGAAGCGTGAAGCCACAGCGCATAGTTAAGAAGTTAGAGAGCATGACACTGCGAGGCTCGACCCGTCCTCGAACGGGGGCGGGTGAATGTAGCAAGCGGTGATCGTGATACAGAGGCTGTCGCTCGTCCGCCACACTAGTTTCCTAACAGCAAGAAGAAAAAACAAGACAAGGCGCCTAAGCTACTACTAAAGCTTACGTGGTAAAACAGTAGAATAGCCGCGCGCCGCACTCAACCCAGGGGACCCGCTGAACGACGGCCGAGAGCCCGCCCGGTGAGGAGTTTCCTTATGTTCGTGTTCGTCTGCCCTCCACCCACTGCAGAAGAGCAACCTTGCAGATTTGAACCAGGTCGATCTTTTTCAAAATCTCTGGTTAATTCACTCCGGTCCGCCTTGCTCTTTGAAGATCCGTGCGAAAAAGCACATGAAAAGCTGCTGCCATGGTGAAGAACGGTTAGTACAAGCGCAGGCCCTAGAGTGTAACATGAACGGAATCGGGCTACAAGGCCACAGGTAAATCACCCCTGCGTCTTCCGGTCGGCCTTTACGAAACTGACTACAAAAAACCGCGACGGTAGAAAGGGGGCGGTCTAGTCTACGGTCTAGATCGTCTCCACTACCATTCGAAAAAACGCAAGTCCCAGCTATAGTACAACAGGAGCGGCATCCGACCCGAGTGTAGTCAGCCGGACCATTTTTAGAAGACGTTGCGAGGTGGGCGGAGAGGCATCACGCGTGCAGTGGAACGAGAGGAAGGCCAGCGTTCAACTGTGTGATGTTCGTCGTATACTGTCCTGCCTAGTTCACTATGTAGGTTATCTCTCTCTCTCTCTCATGCTGTTTGGGCAAAAAAGGCTACCCCTGTCATGCTACTTCGGCAGCGCATCGTCTTCCCCTAAACAGGCTTGCAATCAGTCTCATTTGCCTGCTCCCCAATACAGGCCATACGTGCCCTGCATTTTATGCATTACAAATTTTTCGATTTTGTCTATTTCGATCCTGACGCTTCCATAATCCATTTAAAGGATGATGGAAGTCGAACAATTTATATTTTACCTCCAATGAAGATTGCATTGCTCTCCCTCTTCAATGGTGACCTTGAACAAAAAGCGCTGTCATTTTTTGGTATGAATGATAAGACCCAGCAGAAAATGATAAGAAAAATCCTGTATGTGAAAATGATTTGTCAAGGACGAGACCGAGACGAATACGTGCGGGCAAGACCGACCTAGAAATCGTTGCATCACCCATCCGTTGTTCATTCTTGCAGTTTAATGCCGCTTTGAGGAGGAAGTGGAAGCGTGATCGTAAAGACTTCCTGTGTGTCACGACTTCGTAATGTTGCAGTTCGCGTTTTCTGTAGCAAATGCCAGGATCGGACGAAAGTTGGAGAAGTTGTGTTGTTGCTATTGCCGTTGCGCTCTTGCTGTTGGATGGAGTTATTAAGAGCGAGAATTTGAATTTCTTCAGCAGCTGCCATGGTAATTATTCTGCTCTCGCTCTGCTGAAAAGTCTTAATTTAATTACAGTATTGAATACAACACCGATAATTACACATCGAGGACTACTTTCAGTTCCAGCAGTTATGCCTGATCTATCTTGGACATAGACAAAAAGGGCGCTTGTTGTGGTTTTTAGGTCACGAGGAGGGAACCTCGGCGCCGGAGGAGAAGATCTAGCAGTCTAGTCGCACCACCTCCGCTCCTAAGGTCTTCACTACGACTAAACCGGAAGCATGTTCAACCAGAGGAGGTAGGAGACAGGAAATTTCCCTGTGATTTTTGCTGCGCACGTGGGCAGCCGCAGTGTGCTTTCTTCGGTCGCCTGGGCAGACGAGTGGTCGCAGCGCTGGTACGGTAGAGGAAAGGTGCCGCCGCGTGACTGTGAATCTCAACAGGGTTTTTCAGTGCTCGATAGGGTAGTCCAACAACCTCGTTGCGGGCCGGAGCTTAGTCGAAGCAGGAAAAATCGGTTCCTCTGCGAGCTGACTACATGGACGCATCTCTGGAAAGTCTCTTCTCGCTCGTCGACAGTGGCGCGCCGCAGTCTGGCATTGCTGGAGTCAATGTACTTATTTTTTGAACGAAACAATCAAAATTTTTTTAGACTGGGCTCGGACGTTTCACTTTTCGTTTTCTACGCCTTCGGTGATGGAACTGTACGCAGGATGATCGGCTTTAGCACTTTTCCAACAGCATGTACAATCTGCAGCGTCAGAGTTGGTAGAGTTGTCTAGTTCTTCACAGAAGCCCTCGATCCATGCTGTCTGAGGAGAAGATCTTTCAAAATTAATTTTGCGCGGTCTCGCAGCTCGATATTTTGATTTAGCAGTCAAGAGCATGAGCTGCTGGTGGTTCGTTGCGACGTGTCAGCGCCTCTCCTACAGACGAAGATCTGCCGTGGCTTTACGTATTTCCAATTCATCCATTTCCATCATTTTTAACATCCAACATCTGGAGTTAAAACAAAGCTCAAGCTGCGCTGATGCATTTTTTTACTTTGACGTTTGCCTTGAGTTTCGTTTCCAATTTGCAGTAGCCCTTTGCGAGTGCGTTAATAGTAGACAAGAGTTTCCGAAGTCTTTGACTTCATATCGTTGTCTAGAAGTATACGTTTAAGTAGTACTTAGAGTTTGAGTTTCATGACACGAAATTTTGGTTCTGCCTGTGCATGTCTGTTTTTGGTCTGTGTCTTCACCAATCAAAATCTGTATTTCAAAAACTTATCGAAAGTTATAGTTGTGATTCGCCCACTTTCGCCGCACATTTGGATTTCGAAAGTTTGGCTTTGTTGCGCCGCATTATTTGATGTGGGCCGATGCGGTTTGTCTGTTTGAAGGGCAGCATCTTCATCAGACGGAGCATGTCGCGCGTTATACCCCAAGCATCAGGGAAGAACTTGTTCTCAACGAGAGAACTACACATCATCAAGAAACTAGTTCATCTTCGACCACGTCCGGTTTCTTTATTGCCAAGAACGAACATGAGCAAGCAGAAGAGCTTACAGCTCGTGATTTTTTCCATAGTACTGCTCTTCACAACATACAGGGCCCAGCTACAAGCGCAACGATCTCCGCAAAGCGACCACGTGAGCCAGAAGTTCTTAACGGCGCGGCCGCGCACCAGCAGGATCCCAGCAGCGTCGGCCTGAAACGCTTCCACAGCGACGCAGCTGCCAGTGCGGCCGGCGCCGCGGCTTCGTCGCCAGAAGGAACTACGAGCGGGGAGGCAGCGAAGCTCGACGACTTGCTTGGGCTCTCCGGTGCCGGTGGCTCGAGCTCTTCATCCAGTTTGTGCCCGACGCCCTTGCTACCAATCCAACATCAACCTGGAGGTGGCGCAGCTGGTTCATCTTCCGGGGCCGCTGGAGGGACGGGGGCAATAAACTACAACACGTCCTCCACCTCTCTGAACAATTTGGTGCTCGGCCCGATGGTAACTTCTGCCTCGGGAGGTGCGGCCGGCAAAGGTGCGTCTGCGTCCTCAGCTGCTCTGCAATATGGCGCGACCTGGAATTTCTCTGGTGGCAACAGGCCAGCCAGCAGCAGCCACGCCATATGGCCGGAACAGCCATCGCCCCCGGTCACCGCGAGCGCGCCAGGTACTTAGTATTTGTATCGGGATAGGCTGAAGATGAAGAGTTGTACATGATCAAATTTGTCCTCCGTTGCTTCTCCGTTCGCACTTGTATCTAATTGCATGCCACAACACATTCATCCTAAACAAGTGACACTTGCCTACCGTGGTTGTAATCGAGTAAACCTTGTAGGTATTCTTTCTACGATGTACGTGTACCGTTCTACTTCTAAATCTAAAGTAAAGTTAGTGGTACTTTGACTTTGAGTTCGACTTTCTACTCTTCCAGGTGGTACAAACACCGGTGGCGGGACGGGAACCAATAATCCGAGTCCGAATACGCAGCTAGCACAAATCTTCGCCGTTTTGATATGCACTGCAAAAGTATCGTATTAGTCTTTCAATCACGTCCCGATGACGATGAATGCTCTCAGGAACATCGAAGTGTTGCTTCCCATGCTGCGAGGTCGTAGGAGCAGAAAGAGAAGATATCTGTCGTGCATGATTGCAATCGATGAAGCGCGAATACGATGAACTTTTGCCTATTGAAACAAAGGCGAAAATAAGCCAAGCGGAACAGCCGGTGCCGGAGGGGGCGGTGGACAGTCCTCCGCGAGTAGTTCGCCCGGGTCGGTGCTAGACAACCTCCTGAACAGTGTGAATGAAAACACCAAGCCTGCGGCCGCTGCTGGTACACTGAATCTCGGCGGATTGAACATCAAAGAGCAGCCCGTGGTGGCACAACCAGGAGCTGCAGCGCAGCAACCCCCTGCGCCCGCTCCAAACCGGCGCGCATATCCGCAAAACACAAACAGCGGCGGGGGGTTGTTGACAAATAATCCGGGGGCGGGGGCAGCGCCGCCAAATAATCATGCGGCGATGAATGGGAATGCAAATGCAAATCCACTTGGGAATCTACTAAATCCCAATCTATGGACGACTGCGAACAACAACGGCGTTTCCAGTTCTTCATCCGCAAATAATGTCCAAAATGCAGATCCCGAGGACCCGGTGCAAGCGTTCCTTCAGACCCTTTCGGAGACGCAGAGAAGCGTGAGTCAGCAGCAGATATTAGGCGGAGGCTCGTCCCTGTTGGCGAACGCTAAAGGCGGAGTAGGCGCTGGAGGCATTCTCCCCACTTCGACAAACCCAGGAGCTGGAACAACAGCCGGCGTAATTAACATTCCAGGAGCCACTGCAACTGCGGGTGCCGCGCCATCATCATCATCAAGTGGTTCGATCTTTTCCGAGCCCCTCCAGACGGCCGGTCCAGGGAACTCGCAATTCCTTCGTCCCGCGGACCTCGAGCAGTTGTTTCGCATTTTCGTGCAACGCCGTTGCGCGAAGGGTAAGGGTGCGGGGAAGCCGAGTTTACCCAAGTTGAAGCAGGATTTTGTGCAGTTTGTGCACACGCTGAAGGGCAAGGCGGCAAGCAAGGGCATGGCGTTTTCCTTCGCCGCACCCGGAAGTGTAGGGGGCACCGGTGGAGGTGGTGTAGCATTCGCAGCTCCCGCCGGGAATATTAACGCAGCAGCGACCGGGTCCGGGAGTGCGGTATAATTTTCAATTTTGATTTGTGGTATAGTTCTTTCTTTGTCATGCGTTTTGGTCTTGCGTTTATTTTTGCTTCGTGTTGTTCATAAAAGTAGTTCTTCCCACCGATCTTCGAGCGTCGGCCGCCGTGTCCGTGCTTGTTGTACTTACATTCTCACAACTGATGATGCAATTTGTCACAACAGAGTGGAATTCAACACCATCTCGGTCATCTCCCTACTGGCGGAATAAAGGGTGGACCGCAAGACGGCCTGCGCTCGGCGTCCAGTCTTTCGCGAGTATTGTAGGAATCAATGGGAAAAGATAAGCAGACGATGCTCAACACAAGAATGAAAATAAAGTTCAACTCTTTACATCAGATTGCTTGATGTGCTGCGTTACAAATAAAAAAGTAATTTATTTATGAAAAAAAAAAATCCAGTTCTTCGTCCCTCCCGTCGTCGATCAGGCCCAGAAAGACCTGCGCGAGAAGGAGCGGCTGGCGGATCAGAAGCTCAAAGAGGTGGACGCATTGCTCGCGGAAGTGAAGGCCCGCTCGGAGAAACTGGCAGAGCGCGAGCAGGCGGTGAATAGTACTGGAGTTGTATCTAGTACTTCGAGTAGCAGCAGTGGAGGGCCAGGCGGAGGTGGTGGTCCTACGGCTGTCAAAACCAGAGCAGACTTCGCGACTGATGAAGGTACTTACTTTTCATCTGAGTTGTGATGTTGTTCACACGCAGGCTGAGTGTTGTTGTTTTCCTTTCATTCGTTAACAGTAGGAGAAGATAGAGAGTAATCCATGATACACAAGGACACATGTACATCATCAAACTACAGAATATGAAGCCTACAAAGCCGCGCCAAACAAGTATTCTGCGAAAGACTGGGAGCAGTGGTGGTCGTGGGTGGCAGACGGCAACGCTCCAGCGCCCGGAGGTGTCATGTCTTGAATTTCAGCACGAAGAAACTGTTTTTCTTTTTGTAGCGGTTTGTCCGCCAGGAGGAGGTTTATGGAAGTGTCAGAATCGAAATTGACAAAATCGAAATGATTTGTCATGCATAGGATGGTTTCCAGTTCGAACCCAGTTTCTAAGTGGCGCGTCACAAATGCTGGCGGTGCCTAAATCCAGTTTGTAATGCTGTTTAGGCAAAGAAGACTGATTCCCTCATGCTGCTTTAGCAGCTCGAGCTATAACCCCAAACAGGCTTACAATCGGCCTCACTTGCCTGCTCTGCAACGAACGCAATTCGCGTCATGCATTTCATGCACCACAAATTTTTCGATTTTGTCAATTTCGATCCTGACAGTTCCATAAGGTTCGCGCTCTTCGTATTAATGGATCTATAGTGAAGATTTTTTCCGTGCTCGTACTGCATCACAGTCCCACTTCAAAGCGTGTTCTTGAAGATGAGAGTGACGTGTCAATGATATGGTTGCGTGAAAGGAACACTTTCGGATCTTCAACAGGTCCACCGCAGCCGAGTACAGCTACAGGCGGCACCGTCCAGCAGAGCGCCGCAAGCTCCTCGACCGCCGCGCCCCCGAATCTTGCCGGCTTTCCGCACTTTCAGCCCCAGGCGTTTGGGGCGGCCACGAAGGGCAATTTCCACCCTCAGCCCACCGGGATGCTGCAGCATCTGCAGGCCAGCATGGGCGGCAAATTCTTCGCCCCGGGGAAGTTTGGAAGCAAAGGCGGCAAAGCGGGTCCGGGAGGTGCCGCAACCGCTGGAGCCGCACATCACATGCAGCAGCAATTCAACCCTGCTGCACTCCCGAACTTCGGCGGTGGTGGTCCAGGTGCGCCTCACAAGGGCGGTCTGGGCGGGGGCTACAACAACCATCATCTGAAGGGCGGCATGATTCCAGCTCCAGGCTTGAACGGCATGGTACCTCCGAAAGGTGGGAAGAATTCTCACGATCACTTCACACCGAATCATCACATGCAACATCACGGGAAACCCGGAGGTCCACCCTACAAGGGAGCTGGTGCACCAGGGATGTTGCCGCAGCACCAAGGCGGAGGTCCTCCGCCCGGGATCATGCCTCATCTGAACGGAGCCGGTCCGCCGAGCGGTGGCAAACCCGGGGTAGGGGCTGCAACTAGCAACCCAACTGCTCAACATCTGCCGTTCGGCCACCAGCCACACGGTAGTACTACCGGCGGCCCTGTGATGAACCAACAACGAAACAATACAGGAGGGTCTGGTGGTCCTGGCGCCGGTGTTGTAGCTGGTGCTCCTGGGAACAACAATGCTAGCAATAATTCGAGTAGCACAACGACCGGAGCTGGTGCGCCTTCTTCTACATCAAATAACGCCAGCGCGACGACCACAACTACACCCAAGGGGTCGTTTTTGAACAGCAAGGGATATGCAGCGTTCAACCCAAGCCCGGCGGTGGTCAACGGTGTCGGTCCTCCGGTGCATCATAGCAACATGCCGCTCGTCGGACCTCCAATGAACGGTGCGATGCCCATCCATCCGATCGGGGCGGGACCACCTCCTGGCATGGTCGGAGTCGGACCTCCCAACATGATACACCACCAGCATCAACCGATGATGAATGGCGTTGGCCCGCCGGGGACGATGAATGGCGTTGTGCTAGGAACTGGACCTCATCAGCCTCCTCCCGTGCCTCCGGCCCCACCAGTACATCAAGCGCCACCTCCTCCGGAGCCGAAAAACAGTTTTCCCCCGGACCAAAACCCGTTTCCGGATCAGCAGCTGCTCCCCAGAAGCGACAGTGCCGCGAGCGAAAACAAAGAGAACAGCAGCCAGCAGATTCTCCCCGCTATCGCGACCGACATGGCGGCAGGAGGCTCCACAGCGCTTATCGCACAGAAAGAGGGAACTGGGGCATCATGTTTGTTGCATCATGCGAAATAAAGATGAACAATAAGTTTTTATAATGCTGCATCCAGGGTGGGTCTATAACTATATCTTTTTCTTTCTGCAGGGATCCAAAGTCCAATAACACTCAATCTACCTCCTGCATGTTGCAGTGTTTTGAATGTAGGCAACATGATCTAAGACAAGAACTTGATGCTCTAGTACAACCTTTTTCCCGCACCATACTCCTATCTGTGTTAAAAAGCGTTCATGGAAACAGTAACAGCACTGCTAACGTTCTCCCTGCGGCTGCGAACCATGTGAAAGACTCGGGGATCGCGATTGACGTGCGGAAGCCGCTGAGTATCAATCTAAGAACGAACGTTTGCGCCCCCGCGGCTGGAGAGAACAAGGAAAACGCTGATCCTGTTGGTGTTCTTGACAAGGAGAATCAACAACCCGGGATCGTCGATGCTCAAGCTGGTGCGGAGACTAAGCCTGATACAACTGCCGGAAAATCAGCAGAGCAACTGGCGCAGGAAGAACAGGAGCGGAAATTTCAAGAAATTTTGGTTGGCACATAAGATCAAACTGTTATTGACTTATTACCTACTTCATCAAAACTGCAGGAGCTGAAGCGAGCATGCAATAACTCCAGGAATAATAAAACACCACCAGACAATTGACTCGTCTGTCGGAAGTAATCACACCAATTTGCAAAACTTATTTTTAAGGTCTCGGATGAACTTATTTTCATTTTTCACGGTTGTAAGCTTAAGCTTTAAGCTTATCCAATTCGACACGACTATGGTTTTCAGATAACTCCTCGTCAAATACAACTATAAAAACGAACGAAAATAGATCCCCTCGCTCGAGAGAGAACTACCTCTATGCACCTGTACACAAGAAAAATCCATACAATGCAGCTCGAGCGGAGGGACTCTGTAGAGTAGTGACTGAAAATATTAAATGGACTCAGTCATTTTTTCACGTGATTCCTCCCCTCCTAGAGTCAATCAAACAACTTTCGTCCTCGTCGGCTAGCAGCTTCGACAGTCGTTGCTCTTGCTTTCCGCCAACCACAATTCGAATATATCCGTTTTAAAGTCTAGTACTCATAGAGTCCTCGAGGTGGAGACCAACAGTTGCAGTTCCGTACTGCAAGAGCTGCAGAAGACTTTTTTATTGCTGGATGAAATTTGACGTCAACGTGCTGAATGAACGAATTTTTTCCCAAGAAAATTTTTTACTTGCGCCTGAACTTAATCCCGGGGCGTTCTTCTTGTGCCTAATTCCTAGTGCCTGTAGACAATGAGCAATCTTCCAATTGCTCAGCAGGCAACAAAAATGTATCGTAAAAAATGAATACGTTTTTTGATAGTTTGCAACTCTTGTATTTTTTCGTCTTCCTCGTCGGTGGCGTGGGGTGGAAAACGAGAAATGAAATGTAGCCTAGCTTCTGCAAAACCAAAATTTATAGAATTACCAGCTTGTAGTTCGTCATCCGCAGCTTCGTGCGTTGCTAGCGGAACAACAGTCACAGGGGACTTCTGCAGCGGAAAAATCATGAACAAGTCTTCATCAATGACCACGGCTTCTAGTGTCTAGCGCAAGACGAGGACTTTCAACGAAGAAGAAGCCAGCTACGAATATTTCGATTTCCTCTTCCATGTTGACCGGGGCGGTTCATTCTTGATGCCCTCGCACCGCGAAATAAAATCTCACTTGCCTACAACGCCCTGCTGGTACGTATGTGGAATAGATGACAATAGCGTATGTATAGCTATAGGGCGGGCGGACCACCGGAGGTACGCGGGATGGTAGTAGAATGCGATGCAGGTTTTAGGCGTAAGGATTTCTACACTTCTGAACAAGGACAAAATTTCTGCCCCACTTGGAGCGCAGGTCTGGCGGGAACAAGATAAATCATTGATGACGATGTGTATGTGTAGGTCGATAGAAGCACCACCTCCTAGAGGGGGACAACATGATCGTGTTGGAAATAGTGTGAAGTTACAACGTAGCAGAACAGTAAGTAAGAAATGGTATAATAATAATTATGAACAAGTACCGTAGGTATTGATCAAGTTAAACAACAAGCATACCCATACGGCCAATGCAGCTGACAGCGAAAGGGTCGGTGCAGCTTTCAAAACTGTCACAAGCAACTCCGACAAGCGAATTTCACCACACCAAAGAACAAGGCGCTGGGTACGAGCGTGCTGATGTGTAATGAGAATGAAGAACGTGCCAAAACCAAAAGTTATCCACTGCAGCAGTCACGAAGAAATCATGATCTGTAAAGTCACAAGAGAACTACAATCTTGAAAAAGATAAGGAAGGCGAGGCCCTGTTTTTTGTTGGAACTTCTCGAGAAGCATCAAACGACTTGCACCGTTTGTCTTCTTTTTCGTTCTTGTTTCATCTGGCATTTTTCTTGCTGCAGCATGGTTGCAACGTTTTTCGTAAAGCGAAGATCAGTTGGAATTCATGTCATCGTCTCCAACGCACGAAATTTTCACTGGATGGCTTCAAGAAGATCGTCAGAATCATGATGCCTTCAACAGGCTATGAGCACCAGGTGGATCTTTCTACATCTGAGATTTTCAGCTTTATTCCGGGGCGCTCGAAGAAAGATAGACGGGGACAATACAGTGAGCAGTATGTCGTGTATGAGATGTTGTTGTCGACCTCGACGAGCACCATGAGGTAGAGATGCAGAGTAGTGCAAGAACATGAAAAGAAAAAATCGTGAAGATTGATTGCAGTTTCTGGTCGAGAAAAGTTGATCAGTCGTCGTATGTTTCTCCTTCATTTCGATCATTTTGGTTCTTTGGGGGAAGTTCAAGTTGTCTCTTTCGATTTCAGTGTCGGTCTGCATGTCGTGGTGGTCCTGCTTGTCGATGAGGATACATTATGCACTCGCTCATCGTAGTTCGTATGTCGTCGTTTAAGTAGTGCTCTCTCTTGATGAACTTTTTGACCTGTTTGATTCGCTTTTCGGAATCGGAATTCATTGGAGCCGCTCCAAGAACTTCATTCTGATATTATGTGATGTCCAATAGTACAGAAGTAGAGACAAAGTGGTAGGCATACAAAACTGTTGCGAGAAATCATTGAAGTGTCAACATCGGTGTATCCGCTGGTGAGGAAGAAGATATATTAGGAGCCTTTTAAGGTACCTACCTGCAGGAGCGTCGCGCGCTTGGAAGATGCCTCTTGTATAGAAATAGAATAGCATCGGAAATAAGTACAAGCAGGTGGAGCTGCAGCTATGTCTCTGTCTCCCGGGCGTGCCGCCCGTGGAGACCATGACCAACTCCGAGACCAGGTCGACCGGGCCACGGTACACTTGAAGACCAATCCGGATACCACCTTCTACAAAATCTCCGACCACCAGAGCGGCACCGATGGGTTGCAGAAAAAACGCACCTGGAAACCGCGGCGGAGAAAGGTAAAAGAATATTTCAGAGCATAGCATGCATCGATGTCGATCTCGCTGCTTGGATGGCAGCTAGAAGAAGGGAAGAACAGCAGGAGGAGCGAGTTTTGAAGTTGCATGTTGGAATAAACAAGAAGGTAACTGAAACTGATACGAATTTTGAAAACCAAAATGAAATCTCCTTCGATAATATTAATTTAGGTCCGCGCCGCCTACCGTGTGCCTTCGGAATACGACGACACGGTGCCTTATGGATGTGTCAGGTTTGAAATCGTCAAAGTTGAAATAGTTTGTCATGCATAAAACGGATACCAGTTAGACCTGCAGTGTGTAGTCGGTGCATGGTAAATTTACCCGGTCCTGGAAGCGAGTCTGTCATGCGGTTTAGGGCAAAAGAGCTGCCTTCTGTCATGCTAGTTAGCAGTCCAACTTTTGACCCTTGCCAGGACTATAAACTGCCTCCCGTGGGTCCTCTGCAATAGAGTCACTTTTTGTGCCGCAGTTTCTGCATTACAAATTATTTCAACTTTGACGATTTCAAACCTGACGCTTCCATATCCCTGATTGGGCCTCCTGGCAGCAGAATTTTGCCAACAAGGCGGAGCTATGCATTGCAAAAGTATCGTAGTAGTATAAATCGCATGACAAATTAGCCCAGCAAGACAAACGGAATTTGTCATGCTGATTTGGCTTGGAAACGGGATTTGTAATGCATGACTGCGATTAGTACGACTACGAGTACGATACTTTTGCACAGAATAGGAGCACGCCGCGGTTTCCATCCAGGCGGGCCTGATTGCGCAGGAGGCCTGGGAGGCCAGCATGCTGTCGACGACGGAAGAGGAAGAGGATGTGTACTACGGAAACCGACAGGATTTCAGTCACATGTTCCAGGAGAACCGGGTGGTCGGCCGACGAAGGTCCGGCGACCAGCCCGTGGATGACTACACCTATGAACAAGAACGGGCGGCTGGACCACGTCGGGCCCCCCGCGGCCCCGAAGAGTTTACTCGGAAGTACAAATCCGAAGGCCGCGCGCCGAGTCGGGAAGGAAGAAGTGGCGCCAGAGCGCCGAGTCGCGAGGGCGGCAATCGGCGGGAGTCGAACAGCCGCGACGGCAGAAGGCGGGGTGGACGGGAATTCAGCCAAGAGCCGGAAGCGTATGGACCAAGAGGCGCGGATCACAAATTGCAGGACGCGGCGCGGTCACCACAAGGCGGCACACGGGGAAGCGGGCGCAGTGGTGGTGGGGGACAACATCATCCACCACAAGACCAAACAAGTGGTGGTCCCCCCCCGGACCAATCACCAGCTGGCGCGCCCGCAGGCTCGCACCGAAGTGGCAGCAGTCCGCGGGAACGAAGAGGCGATCGTGAGCACGGCTCAAGTCCGCACGGGTCGGAGGGCCGACGGGGAAGAAGTCAGGACCCGCACGGCGCAGCAGGAGATGACCGTCATGATCGCGCATCGAGAAGAGGCCGCAGCGGCGAGCCGCACGAGGATCGCGGCGGCAGTCGCGGACGGGGCGGCGGACACGGACAGCAGCACAGTCAGCCGCGAGGTCAGGGACACCAGCAGCACCCGGGCGGTCCCGGTCCGCCCCCCTTGTCGCCCCAACAACAGCTCGGGAGCCGCAGTCCGCAGCGGGGCACCCGCGGGGGTGGCGCAAGACAACAACTCGCCAGTCCGCCCTCCGCCATGAAACAGTCCTACAACAACGGCATGGGGAGTCGCGGCGCGGGCGCCTCACCGAAAAAGGTTTCCTTGTTTGACAGTGGCGGGAGCCCGACCGCGACGACCAAAAAGTCCTACGCTCCGCCCAAGGATCCGGAAGAAAGGAAAGCGTGGGAAGAGGAGAAACAGTACCAGAACCGGTATGGAAGCGTCAGGTTTGAAATCGTCAAAGTTGAAATAGTTTGTCATGCTCATGCATAAAGTGCAGCCCTCAAAGTGCCTGTCTTGCAACGTAGGCAAGTGTTGAGGCAGATTGTAAGCCTGTTGAGGGGTAGAAACTACTGAGCTGCTAACGTAGCACGATTCCTTACCCAAACAGCATGACAAACTGGATTTTGGTTCTACCCAAATTTGTCATGCGCCACTTACAAACTGGGCCACAACTTTCATCCATTTTATGCATTGCAAGTTAATATTCGAACATTGTCGATTTCAATCCTGACACTCCCATAACCGGCGGGCCTCGGTCATGGAGCATCCGGAGATGGTGAAGGCGCGCGCTATCAAATGTAAAAATGTCTGGGTCTGGAAGAATGCAACTTGTCATGCTAAATCTGAAGCATGCAAAAATGAAAATCTGTGTTGCATGATTGCCAAAAGTCGTCAGGTTTTGACCAAGTCGGGAGGGAGTTTCTCATGCAGAATAGGCATGAGAGAGATCGCGCAGAATCTGTCATGTTAGGTCCTGCATTCCAGACCTCATGGGTCATGGAAAAGCTGCATGACAGATCGCGCATTCTTCCAGACCCAGACATATCTGCAGTTGATACGCGCGGACCTGATGCAATTCGTTATGCACAGCGACACGCAGGACATGCACGAAGTCCAGCAGCGGTTCGAGGAGTTCACCGATTTTTTGACAAGACAAGCCTTCGATCGCTGGAACGTATCAGAAGGACAGAAAGCGGTGCTGAACCAAAATAACGTCAGGTATATATTTTCTTGAATCGGGTCAAGAAGTAAACGTAAAGTACTTTCTTTCATAATTTTCGAAGAGGATGAGGACTTTCCCCGCCGGCCTGCTGCCAAGAAGAAAACTTAAAGTATGTAGCAGGGCGGAATGACTTGTACTAGTACAACTAGTTCCAGCACAAGCATAAAAGTGCTGAAGAGGCACTCATGTGACCACGATGCACAACTCCAAACAGGACACAAATGCTGAAGGCCCAACAGGGCTACCTCCAAGAGCTGCAGTACCATCGCTACCGCGAGGGACAACGCCCCGGGGACATCCCAGGAACCGGTATGGTGATGCCCGGCGAGATATCAACTGTAAAAATGTCTGGGTCTGGAAAAATTCATGTTTGTCATGCTTGTCTGGCATGACTCTTAAATCTGTCATGCACGTTACCCAAGAGCTCCGTTTTTCTGTGATGCAAAAGCGCAGTTTGTCATGCAGAATAGGCAACACCTGGGAGCTGAGAAACTTCTCATGCTGAGTCAGCATTTGCAGCCTCAGCATGAGACGCTACCCAGCATCACAAGTTCCCAGACCCAGACATTTTTACTTTTGATACGAGAGCTACAAAATCGATACCGGCGGTGCCGCGAAGGACGAAGTGGTCAAGGCGTTTGTCGATGGACAGACCCAGGGCATGAGCAACGATGGTATGATGATATCATCACGACACAGAATTAATACTACAAACTCAAACAGAAAGATGTAGCGAAATAAAGAACAAGGTCATGATCGTGGCGTTCCCGTTTTCATATCTAAAAACCCGTCGATTAACAGTAAGAAGGCAAGACATGTGATGACGCAAAACAATAAACCTCCATCCACCACAGGTGCAAACGTGATCTTGTACGATGCCCTCACTGTCTTCACCCTGGACGAGCAGGAGCTAATTCGCATGATCATCGACGAGCGAGTGCACCAACTGCAGATCTACGCGCCGGGGAGGAAAGGCCGGGGGTCGAAGGAAGAGGAGGAGGAAACCGTGTCTCTGGACGAACTGAATTTCGTCAAAAGTATAAACAAAAGATAAAATTAAAATTATTGCTTTCGTTGTTCTCTTGATGCATGCTGCTAAGGTCTCTGCGGTTTTGGAATCTCTTCACAAACTACAGAAGATCATGGGAAGATATTCGGCCGCCAAAGGACGATGGCGCTCCATGATGCCGGCCTGTGTCCTTAAGTCAGCGACCACGGGCCAGTTTTTCTATTAGAAAAACTGGCCTGTCTGCATCATCTTTCTATAGTTACTATAGAAAGATGATGCAGACAACGATCCTTCCTCGAAACATCAAATAATCTGATCTACTAGACTACACAACTCCTTCACAGACGAGCTGATTTCGTGGCAGTTGAAAGCAAAAACGCTGGAGGAAGAATACGGCAAGAAGGTGCAGCGATTCCAAGACTTGGTGGACGAGCTCCGCGCCAAGGTCGAACAGCTCGAGAACGTGGAGATCGTGGAGCGCGACCAAAGAATCGAAGAACTGCAGTCCGACACGGAGGACCTAAAACTCAAAATTGACGAGGTGAAAATGGAGGCCGAAGCGGAAAAGTTTGAGTACTGAACCGTGTGTCGTTCTTTCCTGATTTTTGTTTGCAATGACGGTTGTGTTCTTGGCAACAGTTACGTCTCTGCAACGCCGATGGTAAAAATCATGGATGCGCATGCGGCTGCGGGGGCCTGATCCCACTTGAATGATAACACGAAGATCACAAAAATGAATTCAGGCTCGAATCGAAGGTCAGCGAGAAGCAAATGGAGATTGACCTGCTCAACAAGCAGCTCGACGAACTTCGCGCCGGGCTGGATCCCAGCAAGGTTTCCAGCGAAAGCGAAAAGGCGCAGACGGACAGCGAGGAAAAAGCCAAGCGAGAAGCGGAACTGTATCTTCGTTTTTTCATGTGTGGTAGAATGTTGATGCTAGCGGAGAGTCCGAGGACTTTCATCTTCATGCTGTGCATGCCTGATCATGGTTGTAATCGTGATGCCAAAGGCTGCGCAGAAAGATACTTAAGTGAAAACTTGTCCGAACTACAGAACCCTTCTCGCCGAGGAGCTGGTGGCGTGCAAGGCGAAACTAGCCGACGCGGAGTTGGAGATTGCGAGATTGCGTGCGGAAATGGAGCAATCCGTTCAGAACGCCAATGCAAAAGCTAGGCGAGATTCCGGCGGCCAAGTGGACGATGAAGAGTTCGCGGCCATGCGCAAGGAGCTGGAAGACGCGAAGAGGGAGTTGGAGAGGATGAAAGTACAAAATATAACGTGTGGAGGTGTTGGGCTGGTTTTGATTTGATATTAGATGACGAGGATTTATGTTGTGTAGTACGTCCTCATCCTCTGTGTCAGTCTCGTGCTTGAGCATCACGTTCTTGAGCAACTCTGTTTTCATCTTCAGCAAATGTAAATGAAACACGACAAACGCCCGATTATTTTATGAAACACCACCTTCCAGACCCTCCTCCTCCAAGAAGAGGAGTTGCGCCGAAAAGCGGAGGACATCGCTGACAAGTGGAAACTATGAATTGCAAAAGCATCGTACTAGTAGCAATTGCATTACAAATTGCCTCAGCATGACAAATGGAATTTGTCATGCTGTTTGACCTTGGGATGTAGATTTGTAATGCATAACTGCAATTACTATGAGTACGATACTTTTGCACTGGATAGAAACAGGACGTGGAGGCGCTGAAGGGCGAGAACGACCGGTACCGCCAACGGCTGGAGTCCCAGGACGCCGAGATGCGGAGTTTGCGGCAGAAAATCACGCAGTTGGAGATGGTCGAGCAGGAGCTGCTGCAGCAACTCGCGGAGATCAACGCGCTCAAGGACGTGGGGGAGACGGGGAAGGCGTTCAAGGGCATGATGCGGAAGCTGGGCGTGAAGTCGGGCGGCATATGACAGTGCGCAACCCCCCCCCTCCCCCTCATTTGTATTGCAGGAACAGCAATACAAACGCCAGCGACCCTGGAGCTTGTGCATTACAAATTTATGTACCTAGTACTGAAGTTAGTACTATTTGGGCTTTGGAAATTTGTCATGCAAACAGTGCCACGGGGATGAACATGAAGCGGCTGGATTTCTGATTTAGCATGGCAAATGAAGGGGAGGGGGATTTGTGCACTGTCATAGGGCAACCGGCTGAACCGGAAGGTGTTCGAGCGGCTCTACATCGACGCGTTGGACCGCATGGAACGCGCCGCGCGGCTGAACCAGACGAAGCTGAACGAGCAGCGAAACAACTGGGAGATGATTTTGGGTGCGCGGGACCTGTACGGCGACAATTTCCTCCCCACCGGGCGACCGCCCGCAAGCGACCACTTGATCGACGCGTTCCGGTCGCTTCCCGACCGGAGTCTGGTGGCCGCCTTACCCGCGGACGACTATTTGTACATGTTCACCACCCCCCTTGGCGGCGCCACCGGCGGCAACGACTACGCCGGCGCCTACCAATACAGCACGATCGGGCACAGTAGCACACAATACGGAACAATGGGCGGGTATGATCCACAAAAAAGACCCATCTTGATCTTCCCCATTTGATTTGCCATGCATACATGCATCAAAGTAGCCTGTGTTTCTCATGCAAAAAATGGATCGGGTTCGGGATGGGTTTTTTTCCAGCCTATAACAGGTCCAGTTCCAGCTCGTCGACAACCATCAATCGGCGGCCGCGACTCCGGGCAACTCGGTCCCTGTCCCCGTCGGCGTTGCTGCTCGCGGCCGCCTCGGACTGGACGCCTCTGTCGCCGTCCGCGCGCGCACAACCACTATTACCCCCGGAAGAACGCCGGGAGCTGCGGACGAAGCGGCACATCATTTCCGCCGAAAACGAGTCCGCCACGGTCGCCTCCTCGACCACAGCCGGCGGCCATGCCACGATGTCGACAATCCACGAGCAAAACCAGCAACACACGCGAACCATTGGGGGTTCCTCATCCAGTAGCTCCTCTTCGAGTCATGCGAACAAAAAGATGGCGTCGCGGACAACAAGCGGAGCTGCGAGGATGGTGGAGCGAACATCAAGATCACCGCCGATACGACTACCAATTCCCGCGAGTGCGACGATTTCCGCGAGCAGTGCTTTATCAAATCGTGAGCGGATTCCGGGTTCGATCAAGGTCGGATCCCCGAGGGCGCATTTGAACGCGATGATGGGCGACCGGCAAATGCACAGTCCCCGGACCGTGGCCGGGTTCGAGCGCAGCCCAAGCAGCGGCCCACGACCATCTTCGCCGACAAGAAGGTTCTTTACCTCGAGCAACGGGAAGAACCACGACTACAACGGCGAGGACAATTCCAACTCGAGCGGGGTTGTCAACCTCACCCGGTTTGCGAATGCCGGCGACTCCATGTACTCCTCCCGGCACAAGCTGAAAAAACCCAGGTGTCAACACTGCGGACACAAATTGACGCATTAACTGTTGTACCAACTAAGTACCTACTGAGCGGATGTGGAGTTGTACCAGCAGTAGGCGTAGTAGTTCAGTGAAGATGGTGAAAACCTTACTGGTGACGAGTATAGGATACGTCTTGTTCTCAAATTGCATCTACTGTAGTTGTAAAATTGATTTCACTTCTCAAATTTAACATCGAAAAGCAAAAGTGCATTTGCCTTTTCTGCGAAATAAATCCAACGTATAGATAACCTGAGTTCATGGTAAAGGTTGAATAATTGTGATTGTCAATGTACAATAAGCAACTGTGCGAGTGAAGCCTTGCTTTGCTGCGTACTAGCATGAAACAATGTATTGGCCTTCTTGTTTTGCTATATTCTGTTTCATTACAACCATGTACACCGACTGTCGTGTAACAGCGTGCAATGTTTCCATTCCAATATCAACGAAGCAACAGTCTGACTGACAGAAACAATTCTGGTTCATCGAAAAGCAAGTGTCGACGTAATCCACCGAGATCATGGCTGCGGTACCTATTCAAGCCTATGTAGTGGTTGAAACTACGAATGCGATGTAAGCAATGTGTTGGCTATTGTGGCCGTTGTATTTTATTTTCGACATCAAAGCTGCTGCAAGTTGGCAGTGAGCTGAGTACCTGCGGGCAGGCAGTTCGGATCTTGAAAAACACGACTATGCAAGTGTTCCTCTTTTTCCGTCTTTTCTTCCTTCAGTTGGCGAAGCCGTTGTGTGCACGACCTCCTCCATGACCGAGTATCTGTACAACGGCAGCCGGAATAAAAGCACAGGGGCGCGAAGGCGTTGCCCTTTGGCCGAACTGCAGAAGTGTGAGGACGCCGGCGACGCCGGCGGCAACTGCTTCGGTCGCCTACCTTCGCCCCTAATAAACGAGCCCCAAGGCCGCCGGGCGTTTTGGGGCCGTCCGTGCCCCTCCGCGCAAGTTTGGCGGGCTGCCCGTGCACCACTTGCCCCGCGGGTCCCAGAGAAAACAAAGGGCCGCGGCGTTTGCCTGCTAGCTACCCGCCGGCGCGTTTGTGTGTGCCAGGCCGGGCCCCTGGTTGTCGGCTATGTGGCGCCGAAGCGGTCGGGGATCTGTGTGAACGCTATAGACAAGGCCTCCGAGCGGTGCGAAACCAATGCGGGCCGCAGCTGACGCGTGTCTGGCTCTGGGCTTGGCAACCTGAAGGGGGACCCGCGTGGCAGGTTCGCGGGGCCCCACTTGGCGGCTGCCTCGCGACGCCGGGGGCTTGCGGCCAGGTATCCGGGAAGGGTGGGCCAGCGGTTGTGGCCCGCTGCGCTTTGTGATCGCGCCGGCGCCCGGGTTTGCATGCAGGAATGAGATGCCGAGCGCGACAAATCGCACGCCGCTGGCGGGCTGGCGTCTCGTCATTCTTTCTGTGGCGGCCAGCGAGGGCGCCCATTGCAGGCTGGCGCGCGCGGGCCGAAGCTTGGCGCCGGGCGGGGCTTGCCTTCGTACGTTCTGCCCGCCGCGCGCCGGCCCCCGCTCGCAGGCTGGCACCGCTCGCGCGCCGCCCCGGGTGGGTGGTGCGATCCCCTCGCCGGCGCGACACGCGCTCGCCAGCCAGCGCCATCGGCGGCGCCCGCGTGCGTCCATGCGTGGAGGCGCGTGGCGGCGCTCGCCGATCCATCCTTCAGCGAACCGCCGGCGCCCTCCTGCCGCCCGCGCGCGATTCGTGGGAAAGCCAGCGACAGGACAAATTTACTGCGCGAAGGCCGGCAGCAATGAAATGGCGGCGCAGGTTCGTCCTTTGTGGTGGCTCGGATTACCGCGGGGAGAATTTCGGCGGAGGGCGCAAGCCTGCCCGCCGAAGCCCGCCTCTGCAAGCGTGCCGGCCCCTCGGGGCGGGCGGATTGCGTCCGCGCGCCCCCCGCCTCGCTCGCGGGCGCCGGCCGGCCGCAGCTTGCCCGGTGGCGTGGCCAAACCCCCCCCCGCCTCGCTCTTTGGCCGGGCCGGGGGGCCCACAGACACCCCGCCCCAGAGGCAGGCGCGCGGGCGTTGGTGTGCCGTGTTCCCTCCGGGGCCGAGCGGCTGACCCGCCCCCGCCTGGTGGCGGTGCATGGCGCGTGTGTGGCGGGTGTGATTCGGGTCCGGCTTCATTCGAAAAGCCCCCCTCACATGGGGGCAGGAGGCCTTTGCGCCAGTCCACGGACGGACGCACGCGGTGGCGCGCGCCCCCCGGTTGCAAAGCCCACCTCGGGGCCGCGGTCATGTCGCGTCGGCAGCCGGTATTCCCAGGAATCGTGGGCGTCGGTGTGTCGCGCTCATGCATAATTGCGACTGTGAGTCCAATTGTCATTGCTTTTTGTGGCGGAGGTGTTGGCCCGTCTTTCTCCGAGTTAGGATAGCGCCATGATATTATGGCCCGTCCTTGTCATTGTTGCTACGTGCAAGCACGTGCCGCCCTGGCGGGTATACGCGGAGACCGCGTGCCGGGCCTGCCTGTGTTCGTGCCTGTGAGATCGAAAGCTGCTAACCCTGGACAGTAGAGAGATCCGAGGAGAAAACCTGCTTTCCGGAGTAGTCTAGAAGTCAGTGTCAGAGTGCCTGTAGTTTCTAAAGTTGTAAGTAGCTTTGTGGCCACCTTCTGATTCGCTCATTCGATTAACACAGCACAGAGAGAAACCACATGTCCGTATTCTTAATGTTGGTGCAGCAGCTACAATCGCGAGGTCATTCTCACCTTGTTCAGGTAGATGTTTAGTTGATGTAGTCTGTCTGTGCTTCTTTCTACGGTAGAAGTGTTTCTTGCACGGCGTGATCCGGTCGTTTACGGAGCAAGACTCGACGTGCAGCACAGCTAGCCCCGGAGTCTCTTCGTTCACGTCACGTCCTCTCTTCTTAGCCGCTGCCACCTCGTGCGCCTATTCAAAAGCCCCAGAACCAGCACAAGGTCTATTTCTGCCTTAATGGGCGCTATCAACGCAACCTGCCTTCCCGCCTGTGTCCCGTCCCAGGCGCCCGCGGAGTGCGATGCGTGCGGCCCGAAGCAGCGCGACACACGGGACCTGCGCGCCGAACCGCGACGGCCCTCGTCCTGCGGGCCCTTCGAGTGCGGCGCCTTCAGGGAGCCCGTAGCCTTCAAGGCCTTTGTGTCTGCGAGGGAAGCACGCATAGAGGCCAACCGCCTCTGGCGACTCGGGCGGATGGATGCCGCTTACGACGCGTTTAGCCAGGCACTCACCATGGTTGAAGGGAGCTCATCTAGTGCGAGTGGTGGGGTCTTGGATTTGTCCTCCATAAATGGCGGATCAGGATCACCCTCCAGGAGCAGCCAACTCGCTGCCGCGACAAGCGCAACGGCCGTCGCACCGGGGTCAACGTCGCTGCCCGGGGGAGCACGCATTGATCCAGCGGCGAACGCAGAAGAGGTAGAGAACATTCTCACCTACATCTTGTGGCCCCCTTCACTGGTGTAGGTCTTCACGGTGTGCTGGTACTATTCAAACAACTGGAGGTTTTTATCACACCATGCGTCTTCTGATACTTTCTTACTTCAAGAACACACGACATGTTTAATATGTTTTTATTTGTCCAAAATTTTTATCAGGTTCAAATCGACCCCACATCACTGTCCACCACCTACGATGCGACGTTCCAAGCGGAACTTTTTGACGAGCTCGCGGATTTTCTATTTGAGAACCACCCCAACCCGGATCCCGCGATAGCGTTGTACGACAAAGCCGCCCACGCCGAACCCACCGTGCCTCTGCGGTGGTACAAGAAGGGCGTGGCACTGCAAATGCAGAGCAAGTACAACCTCGCCCAGCAAAACTTCGAAAAGGCGCTGGCCATCGACCCCAAGCACCGGGGGGCGCGGTTCAATCTAGGTGTGGTCCATTTCAACACCGTGCAGTACACGACGGCGCTCGAGATGTTTACGGGGTTGTACGAGGAGGCCGAGAAACTACTAGCAACTCAGGCAACAGCAACATCCTCAACAAGCGCCGGGACGATATTAGCAAGTCAGGCCGTCAGTAACTGGGGCGGCCCCGGTGCGGATACGGGGGGTAGCAGCACCTCGCGAATAAATGGTAACACAAACACGGGATCACCGGTTATAGATTTGGAGACTGCACTGCAGACCAGTGCGGCACGTGGTCGTGGAGGTGCTACTAACACGACTTCTACCCCGGGCGCCAGCGCTAGAACATCAATGCCGGCGACTTCCCGAAACACCAATGCAAACACCGTGAATATCGACGAACTGGTGAACCTGCTAATTCTGATTGCCGACTGCCACGAGAAGCTTGAGAGTCCGCAGAAGGCCGCGGAGTTTTTGCACAAGGCACTGCAGGCCGATCCGCAAAACCGCACGGCCGCGAAACAACTGGAAGACATTCAAGACCGGTTGGCGCCTCCCGGCGATCTCCGGGGCCGGAGCAGCCCGCATAGGCGAAGAACCACCGGCGCGGGACACATTCTGCTCGACGCAGAAACCGTCACGGTCGGCTGTTATTCATACTAGGTGTGGAGGAAGTTTTGGAATGTTGAACAAGTGATGCGTGATGAATACCTGCAACCGCAAAGTGGAAGTGGATCTATCTTGTTGCAACGTGAACAAATTTTCTTTCACTGACGCAGTCCTCAAGTCGTAAGACCATGTATGAAGATAGTTGAAGTCGTAGATGCAGCGAAAGCGGACACCAGCTCGTCGGAGCAGTTAAATCCATGAGTAGCAACATCTTCGTACAACTTCTACACAGTGGCGCGTATGACAAACAGAAAATAACGATGAGAAGCAGCTCATGGCCTGCTTTGTGCAAGCAGCGAGATTGACCTCGGCGCCCGGGCGTCGTGCGGCTGTGGGATTTTTTTCGTGACAGGAAGATACAGAGATACTGAAATCCAAATCAGCGACTTTATTAGCAACATCGTCACATCCCCTCGTCAAAATGTCGTTGAACATGATAGATTCGTACAATATCGTCGCCCACCCCCCACGCTCCTTCACCAGGAAAAGGAATGTTAGCATTATGAATTTTATCACGTCGACACTTCTTTCATCCTCCTCGTAACATATCGGTCCGGAATTCGTCCGCTCGCGATTGCATTCGGTCGTCGGAAATGGGCCGTTGGAGTAGAAGTAAATCCATTATTGTGATCGTTGTCATGTTTTGTTCCTTCTCTTCGTGTCACTATGTTCAATTTCCATCAGCTGATCTCCGTAGTGTTTTGCAACTTTCGCTCAATACTTCGCGATTGTCCTCGTTTCGCTGGGTCGTTCGTCGCTGTCCAAGTGTTTCAAATCGCATAAGTTCTTGTGCACGTGCTGATACTCATCGTCATCGTTTTTATTAACCTAACCATGATTGTCGCGGTCTTTAGTTTTACACGGTTGCAGTTCTTGTTGTCCAGTGAAACAAGTAGATGTAGGTGAATGTTGGAGTTTGAAATTCCCATACCGCGCTTCACGTTCCCCTTTCTTGTGACCTTAGTTTGGGTCCAGCCTATGTCGCTTGCGACCACGTACTAGTTGTAGACATACAGGAAAATAAAAATTATGATGGGTGTTGCAAGAACGTCAAAAAATCTTCCGCCACTGGCGGTCGCTACTTCCATCATCTTCATCTGCCAGCACAGCTATGTCAGGGCTTTGAGCTACCAACCTTCCTCACTCCCTGGAGGTGACATCAGCGGGCAAGAAAAACCACAAGACGCAGCAGATGTGCTGACCACGCCCCGACTACGCGGCGGAGCTGGTACCGGGACAGCGGATCGCGTTTTAGTGGCGCCTTACGAGGCCGCGGACTACCAGCAGGAGGTGGAGTATGCCCAAGATGGCGACGCTGCGTTTTCCCCGGAGTCGGCACTGCTCGAGGCCGTGCCGGTGGACCTACTCGCTGGCTTTTTCGGGAATCGGGGAGGTCAAGCACCAATCTGGGTGCCGGGACTGTATAGCGTTCTCAAACGTTTTTACACTCTCAGCTGTAGTTACACGGATAATGTGTCACGCAAAACTACCTGAAGCCGCCAAATGAGCAAGCTGCTTCGCATGACAAATTTATGAAGGGCTAAAAAACACGTATCTAAATCAGTGCCAAATCAAGCTTCCCCCTTCGACTGTAACTGTTGCTGTCCTTGCATTACATGCAACATATCATTATCATGTAACAGTTGAGAATGTATTAATAACGTTTGAGAACGCCATAAAATGCCACCAGGCTTGGAGGGGTTGCTTCTGCGGCAGGCAGCAGGAAGCGGGGCTCCACAGGTCGTTCATATGTCGTTTGTATTTGATAGGGTTTGACTTCCTTTACTGCAGCAGATCTGTACGTTTCTTGTCCATTCTTTTTTTTTTTGATTTGCACGACCGTGGACAAAGAACGCTGCGGCCACCGTGTCGTGTAGTGCTGCCGACGCTCGTGCTTTTTTGCTGCTACAATTCCTGCGACCATTGCACGACGAATATTAGAACGCAGTTTTTTTACTATCTTGGGTTGTATGTTCTTGCAACTACACGGAACCTACACCAAGATGAAGATCAAAGTCATTATCATTAAAAATAAAAATGCACGAGAATTATAGCAGTTATGCTTTGGCGAGGCTTCGGCTTCGGCTTCTCTCGACTTCTAAAGCAGAAAGCTATAGCTAAAGGACAGAACTAGAAGTTCCACCAGCTCTGCTGGTAGTTGTTGGCTGTAGTTACCGTCACGTGCGAAGACCATGTTGGAAAGCCAAATTGTTTTACTCCACTACAGGTTGCAGCCTTCGATCCGCGGGTGCACCACCAATGCAAGCAGCTGGACGAACAAGGCCACTTCGGTATGCAGCTGACAAAATTGTGTACCAGCCCCAGCATAGTCTGTCAGCAAGATAGGAATTATATTGCTACACAGGTCAAGCAACTTGAACTTGCAACTTGTGAAGCCCCTCCCGCCATGACAGCCTACTGCTTGTGAGTAGGTAAGTTGGCCGTAGCGCAATCACAAACTCACCGATCTCCTATGTTAATTAGAGCAGGAAAACTTTGAGAACACTTCAGCGAAGACAGATCTGGCCTGCTGGGTAGGGGTACTACGTTTTTACCTTGGATTTTCTGCCCGGAAACGACAACGGGACTCGACGACGTTACGGCGCTGAACGAGATGGCGAAGAAGCAGAACCCCGCGATGCGGCACATGCCCGACCTGAGCGCGCTCGCCTTGAGCGTATCAAGTGAAAAAAGTGTCTGGGTCTGGAAGAATACAAACTTGTGATGCGCATTTCAGAACACAGAAAAATCCTTCATGCATAGGCAGCAAAAGTTGCCCACTTTCTGTCACCAAAATCAGGGATTTGTCATGCGGATTCGGCATTGCGAACGCTTCTCGAAACCTGTGATGCTAGAGCTTCCACGCCAGACCTTCTGCGTCATGCAAAAACAGCGCGACTCTTCCAGACCCAGACACTTTTGCAGTTGATAGAGCGTCGGGAGTACCCATGCCTACGTCGTACACACCGGCGTTATGCGCGCGCTGGTGCGGCAGCGCGATTACGAGCTAGTGCAAGGGCCGCTTACGACTACCGACGCCGCTATCCTGGAAAACCGATGGGGCACCGATTTCATCCTCAAATCCTACCCCGCGTACGTGTTCGGCGCTTCAGGCGGATCTTGGTTCTTGAGCGCGTTTTTCTACAGCAGCGAAGAGAACAACTCGGATCAAAGTCTGTTGGACGGGGACGAATTTGGAGTGCTTTACGGGCGGGATCTGCAGCCCAGTTTTACCGACCCGGCTACCGTGTGGAGCGCGTTCACGCAGCGTCACGGCGCCGGACCACTACACGACTCCAAGCACGTCCTGAAGACGGGCGCGGGCGTGCTCGACCTGTTTCTCACCACCTCGCACCAGCAGGGGCTAGACGGCACGGGGCGCGAGATGTCCGCCGACATGCTGATGGAGGTTTTCATGAATGCGAAAAAGTACGGCGGCCTGGCCCGCGTGTGGGCCAACTTTGTGCACCGCACGTACTTCCAGGGGCTAGAGCAAACCACCGACCCCACCGCGGTGCTGCCGCTCTTTGAATTTTCCGCGCCGCCGGACCAACTGCTGCGCAACAACACCCTGCTGCCGTACGTGATCACGACCGTGACGTTGATGCGCGACATGGACTGCGCGCACCACTCCTGCAGAGACGACATGCCCTTCCTCGTGCAAGAGCACACCCCCTACGGGGTCGGGCAGCCGAACCTCGGTGACAACGAGGGCATCTACGGCTTTTTCCCAAGGCAGTGCCTGCAGCTCACCGCGGCCCCCCGGCTGGCCTACCGGCACATGACGCCGGCCTGGTCCGCCGCCTGGTCGTCGACTGTGCTGTCCGGACCGGTGGACGGACTGGTCCACAAAATCAATAGCCCCTTCTATCCTGAGTAAAAACGTCCCCACCTCCCCATAGTCCTCAAGATGCAAAAAAATCTGCTACGCAAATCCCTAAGCTTTGGCTGTCGCGCATGAGAAATTTTTTGGGTTCGCAGTGTAGTCGTGTTTGGCTAGTGCAGCGGCATCACAGATCCGCTTTGTCATGCTGATTCGAGCATCGCAAAGAAATCTCAAGTCACCACTAGAAAACGCCTCTCATGTGTCTCCGCATGAGACAGAGCGCTTTCCTTTTATTTGCGCACGCAGATTTGCATTACAACTTTGGGCCTGGGGCGGGGGCGGGGACGTTTTTACACAGGATACTTTCATCCGGGCCATGGCGAAAGACCTGCCAAAAATTATCACACAGAAATAAGCTGGCAGGGCATATTTGTATATGCAAAAATAAATACACAAAAAAATCTGCGCTGCATATCCGAAACAGCATGCTATGGGGCCACCCATGACAAATTTCTGTGTGTGTTTATTTTTGCATTACAAATGTGCCCTGCCCGCTTTTTTCTCTGGGATAAAAATGCTCACCTACACCGTTCAGACTGCGGAAAACTCAGGTATGATTCCGGACTTTTCAGTATCACGTTTTCCACTTTGGTGAAGCTTCTATAGTTTAAAAAAAAATCCGATGCTTTGATGTTTTATTTGTGTGTGGCGGATCGATGGAAAAAGCTTGGTCTACTACTTCCAGGTTTTGAAAGCGGTGCTTCGTTCTCGGGTTGTTGTACTTCTAGATCAACTTAACAAAACATACAAGCAAGGTCAATATGTAAAAACGCAACAAATAACAAAGCGAGCAACACGACTGCCACCTCTAGATACTCCTTCAATTGCGGAGGCAAACCGGTTATGCATTGCAAAAGCATCGTACTAATACAAATCGCAATACAAGTTTTTTCAGAAGGAAAAATGGAGTTTGTAATGCTGATGTTACTAAGAAACAAGATTTGTCATGCATGGTTTTTTTTTTTTCATTGGGCCCCGCTATTTTTCGCATATAAATTCATCACTAAAGCTAGGAGGATTTGTCATGCATGATTGCAATTAGTACGAGTACGATACTTTTGCAATTCATATCGGTACCTAGTCGGGGACGGGGGGAATGCGGATTCTACCAGCGTCCCGACCGCGTTGCGGCGCGGCATGAAACGTATTGTCGCAGTGCTCGCAATATCAAATACAATTGTATCGTACTAGAACTAGTATGAATGCATTACAAATTTCCTCAGCATGAGAAATAGAATTTGTAATGCGGATGTATCTTAACAAAAAAATTTGCAATGCATGATTGCAATACGAGTGTCATACATTTGCAAAGCATACGCAAACGACGGCGGATTGAATGCGGATTTGCACGGGTACGCGAATCTGTCGGAGAGCCAGAAACGTCCCATCGAGAATTGGAGCTACTCCTCCTGCGACGAGGAACTGGTGCAGCAGGTGCCCTATCAACTGCAAATGTGTCTAGCTCTGGACGAAGGATCCAGCTTGTGATGCTGTCTTTGGATTCTAAAAAAATCTGTAAGTATTGGATGACCAGCAAGAGGAATCCAGTTTGTGCTACGTGAAAAGGGTCTCCCTCATGCGGACTAGACATCAGGAAGCTTTTTCAAAATCTGTGATGCTAGGGCAGGCATTTCAGGCGTCACGGTTCATGCAAGATATGCCTGACAAACCTGGCAATACCAATATTATTCCAGACGCAGACATATTTGCACTCCATATGCCCATCAGTCTGCGGGCCTTGTTTGGTTACACCGACAATCACGTGGATCCGAACACGAGCGAGTCTGAAAAGCTGGTATTTATTTTTTGTCAATGTCATGCAGTAGCAGTACTACTATCGTATCTCTGGCCGCTCCTGGTGCTGGTGGTCATGGTATCTATAATTAATCACAAATTAATTTTAATACTTGTTCAACAATGTTGAAGATGGTGCCTTCATCCACTATTGGCTTTTCAATTTCAATTTTGCATAGTAGCGAATTTTTGACGGACCACGATGACGACGATGATCACGCCGCCACGGAGGTAGTTTTTCTGCGAAGGCGAAGATGAACAAATGTTGAAATATGAAAATCAAAATTCTTTTATAATTCAGTTTGAGAAGTTCGGCATGGTCTACACGAAAAACCAAGTTTTCGCCAAGGCTGACCTTTGTCCCGTGGTCCGCTGGCTCGTCGCGATCCGAGAAAAGAATGGCTACGTCGCGACCTTCGAACTCACCACGGTCCGAAACGACCACTTTGGGATTCCAGAGGGACACGTCGTGGTGATCACCTTCATGATAGGCAGTACAAACTTCCCGATCACCCCCCCCGTGCATGATCTACAACATGAACGAAATGCATCACAAATTTCGCCAAAAAACTTGGCGCATGCTTTGTCACTTGTTATGCTGAACAGGCTCGAAAAGGCCGGTTTTGTCATGCAGAAACAGCATTGCAAACGTAGTACAGGAAATTTTTTACTGTGGATACATGCTGCTGTTCCACATTTTGCCCCCCGCGCCGACCCAGGGGGCTCTGAATCTCGCCGTGCCGCCCGGCTACGCGGCTTGGTTCCAGCGCGGTGGCATCGGCGACCAAATCGAAACCTTCCCCGTCGACGTCTCGGGCGACCGAGACAGCAAAGACGAACGTACAACGTGGTGCTTCAAAAATTTAATTTTTATTTGTGGTCTCATTAGATATAGTTATAGATTTGAATTTGAAACAGAAACGCGGAACTACCTTTAAGAAAAGCGAGCTGCACGATCCTTTTGCAATGCATAAAATCAAAAATAAATATAAAACGCAGGCGGTGAAGAGATGCGAAAGGGCATGGCCGCTCAGATCTTTGAAGATTCTGACGAGGCCGCGGCCGACAAATTGGGAGGAGCGCCGGAGGATCCTCAGACACAGGCTGCACACGCGGCGATGGAACGCATCCGCCTTGTTCCGCAAGAAAACCTGCCGAAAATCCAGATGCAGCTGCACGCCGCCACCAGCGTATCCAGGGAAAAAACTGTAAGTGTAACTCTGTAGGAAGAGGAGCATCACAAATTCGTTTTGCATTACAGGGGAAACCTGTGATGCGCAGCTACTACGTGGAAACGCGTATGAACAAAGTGGTCTATGACGCACATCCAGCACGACAAGCGGAACTCTTTCGCATTTTCTGCATCACAGACTTACACTTATGCATTTTTTTTCTCGCATACAGCGTCCACTGGGTCGAGGACGTCGTCGTCAACAGTGCGCTATCCTGTGCAAAAGTTGTATCGTACTCGTACTTCTTCTAAGTGCGTTCATGCATTACAAATCTTTCTTTCAAGGCAACTCCGCATTACAAATTTTAATTTGTAACGCTAAGTCAATTTGTAATGCATAAATACGAGTACGATACTTTTGCAGTTCATATGCGCCGAAATTCGCGCGGGCCTATCTGAAATCGCACATGGCCAGTTGGATCGCACTGCACCCGGACAACGAGAAGCACTTTCTGTTCGACATCGCTGCGGTGAAATCGCAGGTGCGCTCGGGGGTTGCCGTCATCGTCAACGGGCACCTTGAGGTGGAAAAGGCCGCTGCGTCGTCGATAGTGCCAACCGCGTCGTCGATACTGCCAACCGTGTCCTCGGCTTTGTCGACAGTGTCAAATGTCGTGTCACAACTGCCAGGTTGGCACTAAGTGCAGTATCTCTTGTTACAAGTAAGTTTACAAGTACAAGAAGTTGTCTCGTCAGAAGTTTTTCAATTGTTCTCGCAAGAATATTGTCAGATCACAAAGAAATCAGAATCACTCCGCTATTTACCTCATGAGCAAATTCATTGAAATTCAAGATCATCGGTGTCAAAGAACTCGAAAAATATCCTCAAACCGCTTGTAATTGAATGGCGGCGTCGACATGCCTTGTCTATTTTATATTTATATGTTTGTCGTTCTTCTCGTCGACCGTTTATAGATGATTCTACTCGCTTGCACTTTTTCTTTTACTCCTCATTGTTCCGTACTACACTACTATCTCCTGGTATTAATGTTGACACTCGACAGTGGCAGCGATTTTTGCTATTGTGTGCCTATCAAGAACGGAAGTTTATTCGTGGTCACACTGTATAATATCTTTCAGTTTCAAAAAAAGTTGTACATGAAACGAGACTTTTTACTTCAGACGCTGCCGTGTCTGCTCGATAACATTGATTTGTCACGATCAGAAAATGTTTCTACAGTTGGACTTGGATTGGAAAAGGAAAAAATATTAATATGGTAGAAGACTCCTGTCTTAGTCTTTCATGTCCCTGTGTCAACGATACTTGGCATAGTTGTTTCGCACCCAAACTAAACTGCTCTTCGTCCTTTTCCAAGTCTTGAAGAACGCGAAAACATTGTCGTCCATTTCAGATTTTTCAGTCGTTGACGTTTCTCGTAATGGTGTGGTATAATCGTCCTCGTCTTCGTGCAAAAAATACAAAAAGAATAAGAAGATGATAAGTACGTCCATCGTGGTCTTTTGGTACTTTCGTTTTTTCGTCCGTTTTGTGATCGTGCGTTTGTTGCTTCTGTGGTAACCTGGTACGTATTACAGGTACGTAAAAGCACCTGCTTCCTTCACTTTACTCCCAGGCTGCTATCGTCCCCAGTTTAATACCGTAATAGTAGCACCAGGATTGCCACCAACTCGCAAAGTGATAGCGGTACTCACAAAGGAGCAATAGAGGTACCAGTAGCCATCTTTTCGATCGACAAATATACTCAATATTTACTTAACTTTTGCTTTTGCTACTAGTTTTTTCAGCGGCGAAAAGTAGTTGTACACGACACCTCTGCGCCGACGTTCTTCCCGTCGTACGTTGCTCATCGTTGGAAGTATAGTTTGGAAAGAAAAAAGTGACGAAAATGGGCGTGAACGTGATCAGTTGTCTCGTAAGCGATGGCCGCTCCCCGAGCCGGAAACCAAACTACGGAGCGCCTTGTTTTCAGCGAGCTTCATCATCTTCGAGCAATCAGAACAATCATGAACCGGACACAGCAGCAGCAGCTGTCCCTAGTACCCGCCGCAGCGGTCGTATCTGTGCTTCTGAGATGAAGAAATCGGGTTGCAGCTCTACTGTTGGGGCCGGCGCGTGGTTTTCTCTTTCCGTTCTGTGCAGCGTTGTTCCCCATCTAAATCTCGTTGAAGCGTACAAAATGCAAGCGGGAAAAATCGGAACAAAATCCAAGTCCACAGCGGGGGCTGCCGCAAAAAAGCAAGCGTACTACAAAAAAATGCAGGCGGGGGCCGGCGCGGCAACCAAAAAATCCAAATCGAAAGCGGGAGCTGCAGCACAGAAGCAAGCGCACAAAAAAATGCAGGCAGGGGAAGGAACGCAATCCAAGTCCAAAGCGGGAGCTGCAGCAGAGAGCCAAGCCGCGAGGAGGGTGCAGACGGAGATGGGACGAACGAAATCGAAATCCAAGTTCAAGGCGGGAGCTGCCGCGGAGAAAGTCAAAGCGGAGAAAGTGAAAGCGTTGGCGGGGGCCCGAACAACCGAAGCCAAGTCCTCCAAAGCGGCCACTGCAAAAACGAAGCGCAGTAGTACTATCACGTCCACAACTAAGACGAGAACCACGTCACTGCTGCAGCGCAAGCAATCCGAGAGGGAGAAGCAGAAGGAAAAGGAGAGGCACCTGCGTCTCCTGGTTTCCGCGCTGAAGGATGATGATGCAGCAGCGTCGACTTCCAAGAACAAAACTGCCGATGAAGGTGAACAAGACAGTGCTTGCTGCGGGGGCGGAGTAAATGACGAAAGCACCAGCGAAGACGAGGACGCAACAAACCCAACCAACGAAACCGTTAAAGCGGTCACCAGTCCAAGTCGTGGGGGAGGTGGTGGTGGTAGTACGACCTCTTTTTCGCCCAAAGACAAAGATGTCGATACCACTTGTGAAAACGAGGCCGGTGCCGAGATCGCGGCCCCTTACTGTCCGGAGATTGATACAGAGTGTCGCGAGCTGGACGGGAAGAACTTTTTCCAGGCCGATCCGCTCATCGGGCAGGAGGAGAATGCGAGCGAGCTGAACGAAAACACGAAGCAGCAGCACCCCCCGATGCGGCACATGCCGGATCTGAGCGCGCTGGCGCTCAGTGTGGGCAGCACGCACGCCTACGTCGCGCACGTCGGCGTGATGCGGGGGCTTGTGCAGCTGCGCGACGACGAGATTACGCAGTTGTTGGACGAGAAACACGGCGCAGCTGCTGGGGAAAGCAACCACGCGGCGGAGTCCTTATTTCCCCCGGAAGACGGCGACACCAGCGCGGAGAAGCTGAAGACCCTGCTCGGAGACGACAATTTTATGCTGACCTCCTACCCGGCCTACCTGTACGGGGCCTCGGGCGGGTCGTGGCTCGCGAGTCTGTTGTTCTACAGCAGTGGGAATAACACGGACGGTTCTTTATTGAACACGGCGGACTACAAAAGCGACGACGCGCAACAGGTGTGGGACGACTTTAAGGCACTGTACACGTCGACACTCTCCAAAACGGACACCTCCGCGAATGACAATCTGAAGACCAACGCGGGCCTGCTCGACTTGTTTCTCACCAGCTCGCATCAAAAAGGCGTGGACGGCAAGGGCTCGGAACTGAACAGCGATCTGTTGTTGGACATTTTGCTGACGACCCCGAAGTATGGCGGCCTGGCCCGGTTCTGGGCCAACTTTGTGAACCGGGCGTTTTTTCAGGCGGTGGAGCAAACCGTGGACAAGGACAAGACTCTGCCCCTGTGGCACTTTCCTTCTCCCGAAGACGAGCTGCTGCGGAAAAACACTTTACAGCCCTACGTGGTCACCACCGTCACTTTATTGCGCGAACTACTTTGCGGGACCGCGTGCGAGAAGGAGGATTTTTTCCTGCTGTTGCAAGAACACACGCCGTATGGCGTCGGGCAGGTGAACCTGGGGAACAACGAAGACCTATACGGCTTCTTTCCCCGCAAGTGTCTGCAGTACACGATGCCGCCCGAGGACAACTCCGGCGACCGGGGCCGGTACCGGCACATGACACCAGCCTGGTCCGCGGCCTGGTCCTCCACCGTGTTGACCGGCCCGGTGGACGGCATCTACCAGAACCTTGAGGGATTTTTGAAACAAGCGCTCGCACATCTAATCCCCATGACGACTTACACGGTGCAGACCGCGTATGACGACGATATCGACAGTATAGTACATGCTGCATCAAAGTTAGATGAATACGAAAAAGCATGAGATTAAGAGCGTGCACATATAAATGCAAGGAGTCTACTACTTGGCGTATAGCAGCACCAATTTTCTTTAGTTTTACACAAAAAATTGACTTCGATGATTAAGATTAAGATTGACAACGACAAAACACTCCATGATACAGCCCCTGCGCCCAATTCCGTCCAAAATGCGGAGCGGTACATGGTCGGCGATGGCGGGTTTGTCGATTCCACGAGCATCCCGGCCTGCCTCCGCCGCGGAATGAAGCGGATCGTCGCCGTTATGGCGGAAGACGGGGGACTGAATGCGGATTTGCACGGCTATGCGAATTTGATGGAAGAAGGGGACGACGGCTCGCACGTAGAAGATGAAGGTGATGATGAACAAGATCCTCCTCCCGCTGGAACAACAACCTGCAACCTCGAGTTGGTTAACCAAGTACCGATTAGTCTGCGGGCGCTGTTTGGCTTCTCCGACAACTTTCTCGACCCGAAAACTGGGCTGTGGGACAAGCTGATCCACTATCAAATGTAAAAATGTCTGGGTCTGGAAGAGTGCGCGATTTGTCATGCAGCTTTTCCATGACCCATGAGGTCTGGAATGCAGGACCCAGCATGACAGATTCTGTGCGACCTTTCTCATGCCTATCCTGCATGAGAAACTGCCTCCCGACTTGGTCAAAACTCGACGGCTTTTGGTAATCATGCAACACAGATTTTTGCATGCTGCAGATTTAGCATGACAAGTTGCATTCTTCCAGACCCAGACATTTTTACATTTGATATCCACGACTATGGGATGGTGTACACAAGAAACCAAGTGTTTCACGTATCCTGAGTAAAAATGTCCCCACACCAGAGTCAAGATGGGAAATCTGCTAGACAAATCGGCAAGCTTTGGGAGTTGTGCATGACAAGTTTCCGTCTGTAGTATAGTGGTGCATAGCAAGGCAAGCCGCATGAGAAAGCCGATTTCTCTTCCTGTTGACAGCATTACAAATGTCGAATCACTATTGGAAATACCTCTCATGGGGATGCGCATTACAAATGTTCCTGTCATTGCGCATTTGCATTACAACTCTGGGGTGGGTACGTTTTTACACAGCATACCACGAGGACGACCTGTGCCCCGTAATTCGCGCGCTGGTGGAAAACGAACACAATGGGTACGTGCAGACGTTCGAACTGACCACGGTGGAAAACGAGCACTACGGCATCCCCGAGGGACACAATGTGGTGATTACCTTCTTCCTCCTCTACGCAACTTTACCCCCGGCGCCGACCCAGGGGGCGCTGAATTTGGCCGTGCCGCCAGGGTATGCGGAGCTGTTCAAGGACGTCGCGGAGTTAGCATCTTACGACATCGCCGTCACTACCCACCGGGGGTCGGTCGACGAGTTCGCCGCCGCCACGGGTATGCTCTCTACCTTCATCACCAGCGCGGACGAGCATGTGGCCAGCAGCGGCGCCAACTCGGGAAGTACAACCGTCGTGAATGCCACCGAAGAGCTGGCCAAAATCCAGCTGGTACCGCAGGCGGACTTGAACTTGACGGCGCAGGTGCAGAGGCAGCTGCACCGGGCGACGAGCATCGACTGGTTCGCAGATGTGGTGGTCAACAGTGCGAAGAAGTTTGCGCGGGCGTTTTTCCTGTCGCACATGGCCACGTGGATCACGCTGCACGAGGAGAACAAGAAGCACTTTGTGTTTGACGCCGACACCGTGAAAAACAGCGGCGTTGTCCTTACCCTGCCCCTGCCGGTTGATGAGGCGGAGACGGACTCGTCGGTGTAAGTATCTCTTCCACGGTTGAAAAAAAATTCCGAGTCTACGGTCGTTTCCCTTTTTTTGTAAATTTGTCTTTTGATGTTTTCATCACATTTGCCCACTTACTGGTACATTGTCTTTTCACATTCGCATATCTGTCTTGACGTGGCCTCTGCTCTTGCAGCAGCATGTCGAGAGCCTTTCTTGCTTTTTTCTCTCCCCACCTCAAGAGCAGACGCAAGCGTCAGTCATTTTTCGGTCGCCTTCCCGGTCCCAATTTTTTCATCTATCTAAGTACTTCTTCGCCCCCCCCTCATCGGAACCCAAAGTCAGTTGTAGGTAAGACTAAAAACACAAAGGCTAGTATCTGAACGTGAACTCCGCGATTACTTTAGCTTTAGCTTTTGAACTTGAAAGAAGCAACATTTTTTACTAGTAAGAAAAAAGTACGTACTAGGACAGCTCAAGAACATCATCAACAAGCACGTTGTAAGCTCTCCTACGAACAATAGCTTGCGTTTCGAAATCGACATCATGAAAACAAAGCACTAGTAGGGTTTCATGAAGTAAACATGCAGTGGAACGAGTTTAAGTTGAAGCTGTCGAAGCGATGACTTTCATAAACCTGCAGCTCGCCGGCGTAAGACAGTAACATAATACGACACAGCAGCGTTAGTTACTGAAATGAATGCCTCTTGATCTTGGTTTTGTTTTCTGTTCGAGGATCATTTTTTCCCATTTCCAGTCTATTGCCAGGATCGTCAGGATACACCGAAAGTTCGGAATGCCGATTCAGGCTTGCCGATTGTTGTGGTAAAGTCGCTCCATATGTTGAGTTTCTCCATTTTGCAAAGAAAAAGATCGTAGTTTTTTTGGAAAACCTCAACGACAAGAACGTCCCTTACATCCGCTATTTATTTTTATGCTTATTTTTGAAACATGAAGCAACTCGGAGTCGGAGGTAACGGTCCAACAAGTGAGGCTCCCACTGTAGCCGCAACACAACGACGGCATGGCGTGCGTCCGCTTCAGGTGAGACGCCGGAACAAAAGCCACAAAGTCGTCGGAGGACCTGCAGGTCGTCGGCATAATCAGGTTCAGGGAAAGATGAGGGACGACTGGCCGCACGAACGTCGCTTTTGCTTCGCAGTCTCGGGACGAAGAATTATTGAAATGCTGCTTTTTTCCGCGTTCTTTATCTTCCACGGCATGCAGACCGGACAAGCTGTTCGCGTTCAAGCGGGTTTTCCTGTTAGAAGCGCTGGCCGCACCGTACCGATGCAAGACGTCGAGCGTGTAGAAGATAAAGCGGAACCAGGTGGAAAATCGGAGACCGCACCAGTCGTAGACCCCTCGGATAGAAGCAACCTTAGTTCCTCCACGACACCAGAGTCTGAGTCAGATTTGCGGCGACCCAGAAGTGCCTCCAGCTCCCCGTGCGCCCCCGCCGATCAAGATCATCTTCCTCTTCGACCAGAACAGCATTACTTCTCCCCTCCTCCAGTTACGCTTGACGATGCAAAGATGATGATCAAGCGGGCCCTGTCGATGTCGTCTGCCACGGCCAGCACAGCGTGCTCGCCGCTTTCCAACTACACCGAGGACCCGCCCGATACGGCAGAACTGATGTTGACAGGCTGTGGTCACGACCTCCTTCGGTCCTCGTGTGAGGACGTTGTAAAAAGAGCGACGACGCGGACGCATGAACAAGACCATGTCGACGACTGCTCTGGAGTAGCTGCGCTGAGAGGAGGGGAGCGAGGAGCTGCATCATCATTGCTCTCGAAACCTGGGGCGGCGGAAATGGATTCTTTGCGTCTTCCGGCTCCCGAAACAGGACCACGACAGTTGCAGGAGCAGCTCCAAAAAGATCACATTTGTTCCCATGGCCGTCCTCCACCCCCTCCGAAGTCGACTACTACAACTCGTAACGCCATCAAAGTGACCGCGCTGAGTGGGAGGCTGCTGTATGATTCGGATTGGTTCAGGAAAACAAAAACCAAGACAATAAATTATATGGAGGATCAGCATCACGGCAACGACGATTCTACTCTCAGGGACGAAACCGACACCACCGTCGAACAGCTTCAGGACTATTTGCTGGATTTGCACGGCCAGCACTTCGACCTCGCGCCTTGCTCTGGAACATGTGCTGGTACTAGTAGTTCATCTAACGTGCCAGGAGCGCAACAGGCGGCTGTGGTCGAGGACGTCGTGGGCAACATTCGTTTAACTTCAAGAACATCATGCAGCAATGCTAGTCCTAGTACTCATCGTCCGGATGAAGATGAAGATGCTACTTCTAGTACCAAAAACTACGACGTGCAAGCCAAAGATGGGGAAAAATTTTTACCGACGAAAGGGGCGCCGCAAGATGAGCCGCTACTTTTGCAACCGCTCCAGGCCAACCATTTTCTATTCGAAAAGGCCGTGGAAGAAGTGCCGGACGCTATGTTGACTTCGTCCACAACCTCCACCGACATCGTCTACCTCACTGCGGTTGCCAAGCCGTTCGAAAGCGTGGCGCAATTGCTCCGTGCGCTGTGGCGGCGGGAGCTCTGGAAGAAGGTTGAAAGGGTGGACGACGAGGTGGCACTAGGGCGGGAGCAGCATGGAGATCGGAGGTTTATTGTTAATATCGATGTCGATGTCCACCACCACCAAGACCAGCTCCCCTCAGCCGAAGAGGTCGACGAGAAGCTGCGAACCGAGCTCGAACGGCTGATACAAGAGTGGCATTCGGACCTGTGGTGCGTCGATAACATCGGTGCCGCGAGGAGGGAGCTCTGGTTGAAATTTCTCCAGGGGTTTCCGATGGCAAGTGACAATGAAGTAGAGCAGCAGCTTGTGGATTTAACATTGCTCGCCCTGCCGGACCCGCGGCTTTTCTGTACCATGGGTAAAATCGCGTCCAACCGTGTGGTGCTGGAGCTGGCATCTTCTTCACGCAGTGATAAGCCCGCTACAACTCGAGGAAGTGGAAGTGAAACAGGCACAGCAATTGCAAATAACGGAAAAATCGCGGGAACCACTGGTGCAGCGGAGCACAATAGAGAAGTAGATCACGATAATGGCACAACAACGCAACGGCCGCGTCAAGAACGTTTTCAGCATGATCCTAGTCTCACCCTAGCGGGGGCACCAGCACAGGAACCCTCCGGCCTTAAAAACGAGTTCTTGGACTACACCGCCGGAATTATGCCAACATCTCCAAGAGACGACATGACGGCTCGTCGTCGGCAAAAAGAATTTGAGGCGTTATTCGGGAAAGCGAAAGACAACTCAAACAACCAGGAGGACGATGAAGACCACAACGCTACTTCGTCTGCTTTTGCTGTGGACAGCCAGCATCAAAAAGGACCAGTCGACAAGAGTTTTCTTATCCGCGCACTGCTTTTCTCGCAACCTACTTGTGGCTCGAAGTTTGGGGTGCAGATCCGGGCGAACGGTGACGTCGAACTACTGTGGAGTGTGGTGCAGCGTCGTCAGGCGGGGCAAGAACTGCTAGGTGGAGTGGTTAGTGGTAGGAGGGTCATGCGCGTGTCAAACCTCTTCGGCTTGCGTGATACTGATATGTAAAATAAGTTCGGATGGAAATATGATAAGGGTGAAAAGATGTTTCCGAAGATGAAAAAGCCGAGTTTTGATCTCCGCGAAACCAAAAACCAAAAATTAGATTATGTATCTACAATAGAATGCAAATGAATCAACTACGTGCAGCAAGACAGAGAGATTACAGATGATCACTCTGCCTGCCTGGTAGCGGAGGTAGTTTTCGACCTATATTAAGACTTTCTTGCTGCAAGTATTCGGATTGCCATTTTTCGCTGTCGAGAAAGAAGGTGTGTTTTTCTCGCAAAAGGGCATATAGAATGAATCGAGAACAACAAATGTAAACAATTCCGCGGATCTTGTCATCTACATCTTCGACAGCCAGGGAATTATCTGGTGGCCTGCTTCGCAAGCTATGCTGCTTGACGCTAAACGTAAACGTAAAAAACTCCTTGAAAATAAGATTTTGAATTATGCACGTAAAGAAGTACTTAGAATATCCCACACTGATAAAAACTCGGCTTTGTGCAGCACTCAAGAGCGCCTATTTCGTTGGCATCGGATTTACATTTCTTCAACAATCTTGCATGCATAATTTTGATTTCACGTATAGTCACAAGTGTAATTATGTTCGTTACGCGACCTCATCGGCGCTCCGTCATTGATGCTTGACTTTCGGTATTGAGATTGATACGGCGTGTTCCTGCTCCGGTGCCTGTTCCGGTGCCTGCTCGACCTTGCCTCGTTGGCACAACGGAATAGTTATGGGACGAAGACTTCAACATAGAGCGATAATCTTTTCTACGATGTGGTAGTAGTTTTGGTATGTCTATTGAGGCGCACAATTTTTAATTTTGAAGACGGGACCGAGAGTAGTTGTAGTTCAGTTCCACTAGGTGTGATGTGTTTGTTGTGCTCGTCGTCCTCGTTCCCCGCCGCTAAAGTTTTGTACAAGGACGCAACAGAGTGAAAGCATGAGCGAAAGGCTGTGCGGAGCAGGTCGACTATTTCGCGTCCGTGCTACCTACTTAGCGAGTTCTTTTTGGAGGATACATACTGCCTACAACTTCATCAGAAGGTTTGAAACAACGTCGTAAATGAACGGAAAGAACCGATCTCCAAGACCGATCTTACCAACAGACGGAGGGGTAGAGCACTAAGACGCTTCAGAGCTGTGCAATAGAACCACAGAACAATGACGAGCGGCAACCTGCAGGGTGGAGGGGCTACTTCCTCAACCGAGATTGACATGCCGATGCCACCCGCGACCTATAACGCAGCGGACTACAGCGGACACACGAACCGGGAGAGTATGTGCTTCACGTCCAACCCAAACGGGGCCATGGATACGATCGAAGCCCACAACACCATCTACCACAAGCCCACTCTCGACGGGCCGCAGACAGCTGGTATTTTTGATAAAGACCGCTTTACTTTCATGTAGTAGCGGTGCGTGCTTGTGCTAGACGAAGACGTCGAGTCAGTCTAAATGAAATAACTTTGATTTGAATTTTGCTCGATTTCCCATCAGCCATGGTCATGGTGACATGTACTACATTTTCGGACTCGTTCGTTGTGGCGGAACCAGCTTTATCACACAAAAAATGTCAATGTTGATGTTCAATTTTTTAATCACAACTCAACTATCAGGCTTGCTCGCGCGCTTCGAAGCTGGGCCCCGGCACAAGCGATCGCAGAGCAGCAAGATGATCTTGAGCCACCTTCCAGCCGCCACCCCGGAGTATACGAAGTACAACTATTTGAAGCCCAGCGGGATTGCCACCGGTTCGCAGGAAACGTTCAACTACCATCCAACGTAGTGAATTCTTTTTCTTCCTGTTCATCCTTCTCGTTCATATAATTTACAAGCTGTCGTGTCGTGCTCATGTTTTTCCTGCTAGTGCTACTACGGCCTTGAATGCCCAACATAACGCTAGTACATTCCAAATCACATTCACACTTAATTTTTCATCTCCTGGCTGCGGCGGACCGAGATCGTCGGGTACGCGTACGCACAACCACAACTATAACGATAATCATCAAACCTTTAGTTTCGAAAAAGAACGCACATCATATAAAAAATGATCTCTCCTTTATCAGGTCTGACCTTCGGGACACGCGCTTCCACCGGGGGTTTCAGCGAAGGCACCAAACCGACATCCGGCAGGACGCTCCGCGCTTGAACAGGGAGTATACAGTGCAACAGGACCGAGACGCGCGGGACGAGAAGCGAGTAGAGGGGTGGAACAATTACACACAGGACTACACGTTTAACCTGCTCAATGGAGAAGGTATTGTGAAATTAATACGGTGCTTCTTGTTCTCTAAGATGTATCAGAAGTACACCGATTGCAGTGTGCATGTGCAAAATTGTGCTGTGAAACGGAAGTGTAGAGTTTTTTTTTTAAAGTGACAGAAAAAAAAAACACGCCCTGAAGATTATCCCAAACACCACCAAGGTCGGGGCCGGGAAGCGGAGTTCAAATCGATTGGAAAGCGCGTGATAAACCCGGTGCACGATCATGCGGGGTGCTACGAAGAGCACGACCGCGATCAGCGGAATAGAGGCGTAAATATAGAATTTTTTAAGGGGTGCCTGGCGTTAGGTTTTACATCTGTGGTTCTTACGCGTACGCGTACTTCCTGTTTACTTTAGGAAATGCAGTGCTCAACACAAGCACAACTTCAATCTTCAAAAATAAACAAAACAACAGCGTCAATCCATGAACCGGTTCTACGAGTATCCACCGATGCGACCAAGCGCCAACCGAGAAAACCAGATCGTGTCGCAAGGGTTTATCAATAGCAAGCCAGAGACCGTCATCATCGGGTACGTATGTTTTCTATTGTTTTTGTTCGCGATTTGGAAGATGAGTCTCCTGCTGCTTGAGTATACGCGCTTTCTGAGCGGAAACCAGACAAATAAACCAGAACGCAATAAAAACCAAAATGCAAGAACTTCCACTTCATATGTATGAAAAGAACGATTATCATTATTCCAGGTACAGTACGGACGCTGCGCCCCGGTTGAAAATGAGGAGTCAAGGCGCGCAGGATAACTTCGCGCACCTGCAGGACAGCTCTGGGGTACGGAACTTTGCGCCCCGAGGTGACAGGAACAAGTCCCAGATAATCTTTGGATGAGTTGTCTGTTAAACGAGACAAATTTTGCATTTGTAGGTTTACAGAAGGAAGGAAAGTAATGTACAACAATCATTTCAAATTAATCAGAAGCAGAACCTAGAAAGAGAAACTAACACCAGCACAAAAAATGTACAATTATTTACATCTAGTAAAGCTAAAGATTGCCGCAGTAATGTGCGTGTTTCAGTTTCTGTACTATCACGGAATCTTCAGATAGTACACTTGCGAAAAGTAAACTAACAGTAAGTACCATCCAGCTCATCGTCCTCTTTGTAATTAAAAGAATCTTGTTGTTGTGACGTAAGTACCTTCTGACATCCAGTTTAGTTGCAGCTTTCGTGTACAAATTTTCAACTTTTCAAAGTCAAAATTAAACACACCTCAATGTAAAAAAACACATCCCTGGAAATAAAGCTTGAAAGAGCAATTTTGCGTGTAGTGGATGCCTATGCCACGACGACGACGTATGCTTCTATGATCAAGTTTGATTGTATGATTTTTCCAACATCACCAACACACTCCGTGCAACCCCGCAGTAAAAAAAAAGGAAACGAAGAGTTGAAGGAGACGCTTGGTCTTCGACAAAAACTCTATGCAATCGCTCCTCGTGGTTTGTGTGCTGTCGTCTTCAACGAGCGTGCTTCCGCCCCCCTTGTCACGAGAATATTATGATGCCTCCGACGAGAAGTCAACATCGCAATCAATCTAGAGATAATGATCAAGAAAACCAAAGTTAAAGTTTGATGATGTTGAAAATACGCCACCACAACTCTGATCGGTAAACCTTCTGAACAAGCTTCCGTCCTAGTGTAAAGAAACCTGGTTTTACAATTTTTTCAAAGATTGATTTCAAGAATCAGAAGCAAAGATAAAGAAACCTTTGGCAATTCAAAGGCGGAGAAGTACGACCGGAGCAGCCCCCAAGAGTCTTCCAGGAAGTGGAGATGAGGAAGTGAAAAATCTAACGAGCAGCAAGAAAAAGTAAAAGACAAGTAAAGCGCAGAAGCAGGAGGAGGGGCAGCACCACTGCACGGATCATCGTGTGGCGAAAAAGTCCATGAGCTCACTTTTATTTCCGGCCAGAAGTAGTTGCTGCTCTTGCTTCCAAGTGACCAGCTCGTGCCGAAGGAAAGGAAAGCAAAAGGCGTGCCGGCTGCACACAAGGAGGATCAGGATAAGTGAAGCCGAAGCCGGGGCCGCAGGAACAAATTGGACAAAGTCAACGTCAGCAGGCGGTCAATCAAGTTTGCTACGAAGAGCAAGGGGAGCATCGTCGAGCTACACGATCATTTGGGACTTAACCACAACGAGTCGTCTGTTTTGTGAGGATCAGGCTGCAAAGAGCTTCATCATTTCGGCTGAACAAGAAGGAGTACATCCACTGGCACTGCCACAAGCAGCTGTAGCAGCGGCTTCTAGACTGCGGGTGACGACGAGCACAACAAAAGATCCCCACGGTAATAAACAACTCTCTGTATGGGCGGGTGCTGCAGCGCAAAAGCAAGTACTTCTCGTGGAGCTCCGCCAGAGCAGCAAGATGTCGATCGCAGTCCGACGTACCGCGTCACCGAGCGACCAAGCCAGGCAGAAGGTGAGGCAGAAGAAGACCCCAACTACACCACCTCGGACGTTGACAGATATGCGACAGGTTCACGCATATCATCTTCGGATTCTGATAGCAGTGGCATAATCAGATATTTTCATCTTGTCTTTACTGCTTTGATTGTCATGTTGACAAACTTCGAACTTTCTCTTGCATCACGCCATGATTCCAGAAGAATCTCAATCTCTGACGACTTTTATTGCCGCCATGCTCGAGCTTTTATTCCGTTTTCAACATGATCAACACAGCCCAAGAGAACAGTGGTACGGAAACAGATGGCGCCCTCGGATACGACGACCCGGTTGGAATTTCCTCCTCGCGAGGACACGGTAGCCATCAGAATAAAAGCAGGACCACCAGAACCACCCGGGCGTCGGCGTCCGCAGCGGTCGCGCCACACAGTCCCGGTGGTGGAAACAACGTGAGAAAAAGCGGGATCAATGTGGTAGCGAACCTAACCCCGGCCTGGATCCGTGGTGGCGGGGGCCGAGCCCGGGACGAAAATTTGTCCGTCATCATTCCAGGCGATGACGATCGCGCAAACAGAAGCGGGCGGGCCACTACAACTTCCGGCTCCGTTTACGCGCCGGGGCCTTCTGCAGGTACGGGCGGAGAGGATGATAATGTTCCGGCACCACCGCCGCGCCGACTCCACAGCCCGGATGACGCCATTGGCAGCACTAGTCCATCTGCTCGAGATAGAGCGTACGAACGCGGACGAGGGGTCTTCGGTGCCGGGGAGAAGAAGAAGAAACCCTTCGGAGCTGCATCAGGGCCTTCCAACATGTTGTTGCCTCGGTCCGGGGATTCCAGTGCGAAATCCAAAACTTCCTCCCGGAAATCCTCGAACGCAGCCCAATTTTTACCGAATAGCACGGGTGGTCCTTCGAAGCCCCCGATTTTGCCGTCGACGGTTCTAGGAACAACTTCTACAGGGGGCGGCGCCACTGGTAACACGTCGTTCAAAAAGCAGCTGGGAGGAGGACCCGGTGCTGGGAGCGGTCGCTCGGAGATGGACGATGATATTGCTTTTGCTGGATCTGGAGGACCACAAAGCACCAGGACGCGGGGGGGTACCAAATTGCAGGTCCCTTTTTACAACGAACAGAACAAGATGCGCTCGCGGTCCAATGTCGAATCGCCGGCTTCCCGACGAAATAAGAGGTCCTCCACCGCTACCCCAAACCTGAACATGTTGTCCCCGCGCTCGAAATCCGCGGCCGCCAGCGCGACGCCCAAAGCGTCCGCACGGAACAGAGCGGGTGGTGGTGCTGCTCCCCCCGCGGGAATCGCGAATGAGCTCGACCAGAGCCAGGAGGTGACGCGGCAGATGTTCGACAAAAACACCCTGCGCCTGATGCCACAGTGGGCCCCCCTGTTTGCGGACTGCCTAGACAAGATCGGAAAGGACGGGGTCGCGAAGTACCTGCAGGAAAGCCACGGTATCAAATCGCTGGCAGACCCCGCAATGGTTGTCTCATCGAGTGGTACATCAACTACAGGAGGAGCTTCCGCTAGCACATCTTCCTCCTCTAGTGCAACTCAAGTGCGCATTTTCTGCCGCAAGCGACCACTGTTTGAGAAGGAGGAAGAAGCCGGGGCCTACGACTGTGTGCATGTCGCGTCCTCTAGTACTTCCAAGCAAATAAATCCGACGTCGACAACTACTAGTTCAAGTTCTTCGCCCAGCACAGCACCCCCGCCGTCCTACGTGCTCGCGAGTGCGTGTAACTTCGAAGCGGACCTGAAAACGCCCTTCATTCAGCAACACGGCTTTGCTTTCGACTGTGCGTTTGACGAAACGATGGGAAACGAAGAGATTTTCCTGCACATGCGCGACCGGGAGAAATTTTTCTCCGCGGACAAATTCAACGTACCAGGGTCGATCACGACGTTGTTTATGCTGGGACAGACGGGATCGGGGAAAACGTTTACAATGACCGCAATCGAAGCCTTTGCCGCGACAGAGATTTTCAAAGCGAAAACAAACTGCAAGGTGTCGTTTGTCGAGCTGCGCGGAAACAAAGTTTTCGACCTGCTGTACAAGGTAGGGGAAGAAATCATTTGTTTAAGAGAAATTTTGAATTTAGTATGGTATTTTTTGTTGTTCAATAAACATCACACTGATGCATTTACACGCAGAAAGAACTAAAGCGCTATTCTGTGCGGTTGGCACGCACACTCGCATTTTTCCTTGAAGCAAGGATTCTTCGTCGAAAGGTGCAATTTTAATTTAATGATCTCAACTCTGCGAACAAAATAGTGTTAGTGTTTGATTATCTCTTCCAATTATTCTTCTGACTCCGTACAACAGGGTCGGTCCGCAACGGAGGTGCAGATTCGGGAAGTTTCCACCGGTAAGTACGTTGTCCAAGACGCAGAAATCCGCGAGTGCACCACGGCTTTGGAGTTGCAAAATTGGATGAAGACGGGGCACGACAGGCGACACACCGAAGCCACCGGCGCGAACGACACGTCCTCGAGAAGCCACGCTGTGATCACGGTAAAGAAAGTTGAGGTTGAGTTGGAACATGCATAAAAATGAAACGGAACATGAAGAAGCGCCTTTACTTTTTGGTTTTGAAGAGCAATCAACGCACAGATTTGATGGCTGAAAGCATCATGCGATGAATGCACGACCCGTAACAAACTTTCGAATTCAGATCTCCATGGGTAACGACTGTCGGTTGATCCTTGTGGACGCTGCGGGCACGGAACGGTCCAAGGACCAGATGAGCCACACGCGGGAACGGCAGGAGGAAACCGCGGAAATCAACGCATCCTTATACGCGCTGAAGGAGTGCATCCGACATCAGGGGGGCGACATTCCTGCGCATTTGTTCCGGCAGAGCACTCTGACGAAGTTACTTGCGGAGTCATTCCGGAAGCCGCCGACACGTACGTGAGTTGTTGCGAAGTAGATTTTTTTAGTGCTGTTTTTTGAGCGTCTAGAGCGGGGAGAAGGTGACCGCTGCAATTCATAGAAAATACAGCGAAGCAATGACAATGACTCAAGAAAAAGTCTGAAAACGGTATCGCACATCAAAACACGAACCTCTCAGCCCCGAAACCCGTGATAAACCGCCTTCCCGGCACCAGTCCCAAAACCGCCCTTGCGATGGCATCGCGCGCGTCGCAATTGGGAGGACCTGCGCCCGTTGATCAGCTCCTCTCGACGACGTCGCAAGAAGTAGAAGGCACCGGGTTCTCATTCGCAGACGGTTCTTCGTCCGGCGGTCCAACCCGATTGATCGGCGTGATTGTCACGATATCGCCGAACGTTACCGACATCGAGCACAGTCTGACAACTCTCCGCGCCGGCTACGGAATGAAAAACAGCAAGCAGCAGTGCACACACAGTGTGAAACTGACGGATCTGAAAAAATTTATCGGCGAAAAGGACATCCGCTACGTACCGGTGAACAAGTGGACCCCAGATCAGGTCGCACTCTGGGTCACGTCCCTCCAGCCCCCGGCACCAGACGGAAAGTCGGAGCTGCCGAAAAAGCTCCCGGGGGGAACGACTGGGGCGATGATGCTGCGGTTTCAGGCAAATCGATTTCACCAGGTGTTTATGCATTGCAAAAGTATCGTACACGTTCACGTACTCGTATAAATGCATTACAAATTTCCTCAGCATGAGAAATGGAATCTGTTGTGCTGTTTTACCTTAGGAAGAAGATTTTTTGTCATGCATATTTACAAGTACTACGACTACGAGTGCGATACTTTTGCGCAGGATAGTGCTTGGCGACAAGCTCGGGGAGAAAGTCTACACTATTTCCTGAAAATTAAGCACTTCCATCCAATTTGTCATGCAGAACATGTAGTAAACGTAAAGTCTGTGTTTGTCATGCAAAAAGTAGATCATGGGGATGGTTAGAAATTTTCAGGGAATATACACCCAACTTCGCAAAGAAGTGGAGACACCGACGGCCTTCATATATGATGATGACTAGACTTTTTTTAGGTGGATCATACGAGGTTGGTGGCTGGCACCGGAGTAGATCGGAGTCCTGGATGAAAAAACGATTGTTTATTGATCTTCATACCAACCCAAAATTACTGACACCATTGATAAATTCTTCCTTTTACCAAATCCAAATCTAGCGACATTTTACCACTTCTCAGACCGCGAGGCTGCTGCTTGGTTGTCGTTTCAATGTGTTTTGTCATAGTGCTATGTTAATGTTTCTCACATGAACACGCGTAGTGCTGCTCCTGTCTCTTCGATCTCGATGGGAATGGGTTCTGTTCAACAACAAAAAATTCGCCGTCGACGATGATTTTTTTTTGCGTTCGTCGCAGCTTATTTCATACGGACGGAGCGGGAGCTGTGCAACAGGCAGGGATGCGTTGGTGCATGATATCGTGATTTCTGATGATGTAGTGATGAAATCCAAGAACCAGCTGTAATCGTCTGTCTGGCCGCGCCCGGTGATAATCACCATGAACGAAGATGCCGTGCCAACAATTCACATACCAACTGCCGTAGCAGAGAAGCGGAAGGGAAATAAGAAAGCTCATCTTTAGGTCCCCATAATAAGACCACATCTCAGTAGTTTCGCATGTTAACGAGTGGCCCTGTGCGAGTGTGTCAGATCTGCGTGTAGGACACTTTGCTGTTGAGCCTGATCTTTCTTTCCTTACCCCAGAGTGAGCTGCAAGGAAGTTAGACTAGTGGCTGGCAAAAGTGAATGGTGGTGAATGCACCGAAGAGAAAGATGCACCGAAGAAAAAGTTGGGGTGGTTGGCGGAGATTGAGTGGCCTACGCTGGCGTGATGGGATTTTTTTTTTTCAATTGTGAGCGCAGAGCGGAAAATGGATGAATTTATCCTACATAGAAATACAAATGCAATTGTTGCTTCAGCGCTTGAATTCGAAATTTCTCAAGTATTAATGTAGAAAAACCAAAGTAGGCGTCTTATTCTATTCATTCCGGTGGCTTCCTGGTCCGATTTTGACTCGCGTCACACACAGACATGACATGCGGAATTGAGTGGAGCAGCATGGCAAGACCTTCGCGGCGCAAAGGCAGCGGGTGCGGCTGCGCTAGTGCCTCGCGCGGTTTCGCGTCTTCCTGTAAATGATGGCGCGCGCGCTTCTGGCTTTCGTAGTCGTCCTGCGATCCGCGCGCGTCCGTTCCCGACTTCACTCTGATGCAGGGCGAGGGTGCTCTTTGTTCTTCGTGGCATGAGGCACGCCAGCGCCGTTCCCCAACCGGCGACACAACGCGCCCCGGATCGCGGCGCTGGATGGCACCCACGCGGCCCGGGGGGCTGGCGCGTTAGCCGGAAGATCGTTGGAAAGGGCCGCGCTTCCTTCGGGAGGGCGGCCTGCCTTGCCGGCCACCGCGACCGCGACACCGGGCGGGGGTTTTGGGTGTGGCGGCCTTATTGGGCAGACGGGCGACGCCACGGATTACAAAACTCCGCAGCCGCCAGCCGCTGAGCACCCGCGCAGCCCCCCCCCTGCTGCCTGGGCAGGGCTGGCCCTTGCTGCCCGGCGCGGCCTGGTTGCCCCTGGCCTTGCCCTGGTTAGTGTCGTCGGACCCCTGCCCCGCGCCACGCACCCACGTGCGCGGCCGGCCCGGCCCTCGCGCCGGTCTGTTTTTCGAGCGATGGGCCCGCGCCCCCTCCTGCAGAAAGTTAGTAAGCTGGGCCGGTCGGGCCCCCGCCTACTTCAGCTCAGAGCCGGGCGGCCCCTGAGCGTCGGCCTGCGCTGTAGTCCACCCCTCCTTCCTTCGTTGTGGAGCCCCGGCGAAGGCCGCGGCGCGGTTCCGAGGGAGCTCGCTCCCCACCATCGTGGCCATTATCTGTCGTTACAAACATACAGGCCCGCCGGGGTTGCCGCCAACTGGCCCTTGCTCCGGCGCGGTTTTCTGCAGACGCCCAATTTTTGTCCAGCCAGAGCAAAAGCCATCCTGCAGCCCCTTTGCTGGAGGTGCTTTGTGTTCGCTTGCAGCCTTGCATACTATGATTGCCGGATGCAGGAGAAGCAGTTCTTCATCAGTGTGCGACGACGATTTCGCCGCTGTGCACTGAAATATGAGCGAAGCCGAGGCAACACGAACATCACTTGTGAGAAGTGTACTACGAGACGAGGAGTTTCTGTGATTACCTGAGTAGTTGTTGATCATCATGACCTATCATATTGATATTTGAGCTCGGGCGCGGCCGCGTTGTAGTGCACGACGGGCGAGGCGCGCAGCGCACATCTCTGTTGCGGGATTCCCGGAGCGCCGGGTGATATGATGCCTGTGTCACGGAAAGGCGTCATGTCGCGGCTCTGGCTGCCTGTGCCATCAATTGCGTGACTTTGTGGGCGAGATGAAATGTTGTGCTGAGAGAGTGTAGTTCACCTTCACGACTTCCATATCAGTGCCACAAGGAGTGCAGGACCGCTGCAGCGGACCTGCCGGAGGTCGTATATCGGGCAGCGCCATGGAAAGTTTACGACCTGTGCCGTTACGGATGTCGGGGAAACAAAGCCTTGCCTCGTTGCTCATCTGCAGTTTTCTGTTTCCCAACAGCACGACTTCCCTCACCTCCGTCGCCGCTCTCTCGTTCGGCGAGGCACTTCTTCAGAAACGGCGCCAGCGCGCTGACAAGTGTCCTCCGCCGGCGGACTGCAAGTGCCACTGCGAGTGCCCCGCGCCGGTCTCGAAGCCGCAACCTCCGCCCGGCAAACCCTGCCCCTTTGTCCCGATCCCGCCGGGCGCGAAACCGAAGCCCCCGGCCGAGACGCGATGCGCGACCGGGTTTGTCAAGCGGGCGAACCTAGAATGTGCCGAGATCACACCGGAAATCATCACCGAGTTACAAAGCGTGGTCGCCGTGAAACTGCAGGAATTGAACCTCGCCCGGACCAACTTTCAAGCGGAGAAGGATCTGATCGCGAGTGGAAAACCCAGTGGCAACAAGGAGTTGCACCGGAAACTCCTCCTGAAAGCGCACGACGCCTACGAAACCAGCCTGGACTATCCACAAAAAAGCACCCATCGCCATTCAATTTGTCATGCAAAATATTAATATGCATCAAACGCAGTGTTTGTCATGCAAAACATAGATGGGGATGCGTGTTTTTACTTGGATATGGACATGCTTCTGAACGCGTGGGATATGGCGCCGTTCCGGAAAAAGAAGGCCGCGGCCGACGGTCCCGTAGCGGAAAAACCGGAATTCGTGAGTTTCGCAACCCTGGTTTCTGCCGACGAACAACAAACGCAGCCGCACTGCGAGAGTTGGACTTCTTTACTGGAAAACTACGACGTTAGCGAAAAGGACTGTGCGGTCATGTGTCGGCAGCAGCCGAATTGCGTCGGCTTTGCGAAGGTCAAACCCGCAGAAAAGGACTTTTGCGTGTGGTTCACAGCAAATGCGAATACAAACAATCAAGCTCCTAACAAGTGCTTCGACCCCTCTTCCGACCTCAGCGCGCAGTACTTCAAGAAGAACCGCGAGGAACAAACCGACCTGCAACGACCGATCTCCAAGGACATGTCGGGGCTGTCCCGGTTGCAGGACATCCTCGCGATCCAGATGGCGGACACGGATTTTGATGCGCACGGGGCGATATCAAATGCAAAAATGTCTGGGTCTGGAACTTGTGATGCGTCCTGTGGGTCACACAAAAATCTGTGTTGCGTGATCACCAAGAGTTGTGCTTTTTTGACCAACATGAGCGGGAGTTTCTCATGCGGGACAGGCATGGCGGAGACTTCGCAGAATCTATCATGCTAGGTCCTGCATTCCAGACCTCATGGGGCATGAAAAATATGCATGACAAATCTGCACTCTTCCACACCCAGACATTTTTGCAATGCATAGGCGACGGACAAATTTGACCAGTGGAAAAACGAGGGCATCAGCATCGAGGACACAAGTACAGTATCAACTGTAAAAATGTCTGGGTCTGGAAAAGTGCAACTTGTCATGCTAAATCTGAATCATACAAAAATCTGTGTTGCATGATTACGAATAAAGCTGTTCACTTTTGAGAAGGCCGAGAGGCAGTTTGTCATGCGGAAAAGGCATAGTAAAGATCTCACAGAATCTGTGATGCTACGGCATGCATCACAGACCTCACACGTCATGCAAAACCTGCATCACAAGTCTGGCATTCTTCCAGACCCAGACACTTTTGCAATCCATATACAGTGGAACAGTTTCAACATTCCAAACAGTTGTACACGGACGAGGTGGTGAATACGAAGAAGGTGTATGCAATGTAAATTCCCTGTACATGATGTACAAAATGCATGACAAATTTCTCTAACTTGCAGCGTCCAACTTGTCATGCTAGACTAGGAGTGAGGGCAAGTTTTGTCATGCAGAAACTGCATTTGCACGTGTGCGAGAAATTTACTGTGGATAAGGTGTGGATACAGATGATGGAGGTGGCGCGGAGGTTGGCAGAGGAAATCCGGGATGATACGGACGCCGTCGACCCGCTGCCGGCACCGAAGCCGGTATTTATGGTGTACTTTCCGTGTGTGTAGAAATGGAATGGAAGAATTATGTATCTAACTCTATTCGCATGTGAATGTGAAGAGGTCGTGACCGCGTGTTCGTGGTCCGCGTTTACAACGTTGGTTTATCTTTGTCAACTACTATCTCAATCGTTATTGCCATCAACTACTTGTTTATATGTCTTCATGAATGTACAACTTCTACGGATTATGAATGTTGGAGCTGCATCTTCTATTGATGATGTTGTAATCACGACAGGCACCAGCGCCCCCTCCGCCGAAGAAGAAACCCACGTGGGCCGACCATCCCAACTACGACGATACAAAGTGGTCGCAACGGCACCCGGACTGCCCACAGGGACCGCCGTGCGTCTGCGACTGTAACTGCCGCGGAGCCCCGCCGCAAAACTTCATTGACCCACCACCGCCGCCACCGAAACCGTGTCCCACAGTGGACCCACCGCCCGCAGGGGGAATCACGCCGATTCGATGATGAAGATTTATTTGACGATAGTTTTCTTTTCCGGACAGAAGCAGGACGACATGGAGGATCGATGGTGATATATTGTCCGATGTGCTGTTAGTGTCAGTAAGAGGATCGATCTTCCGCCCGACATCTAGGGTCCTGATTGTTGTGTTAGCAATCGTCTCGCCGAAGGAGCGTCGAGCTACTATACCATTCTGTCGATGCTGTCGTAGTGGTCGTCGCCAATAGAAAATGGCTTGTGGCAGGGACCTTGAGAGAGACGTAGAGTAGCGCAGCGGAGTCGCGTTTATTGAAGAATCTGACGGAGTTGCGCGAAAGCTTGAAGACATCTCTGTAGTTCATCTCGTGGTCGTTGTTCTGATAGAGTCGTGAGTTCGTGCGGCAATGACCACATGCAAGAGCAGAGGCAGAGGGCACGTCGACGTATTTGTGTCGGACAAGAACGCACAAGATACGCCATTTTGGTAGCATCAGTTTGAAAAAGAATCCATAAAGTAGGAGCTTAGGGAGCTTTTGACCACGGAACAATAAGGCAGATACATAGAAGTAGAACAAGAACCTGAAGCAGGAGATATGCTAAAGTAAGAATAAAAACAGATGGGCTTCCGGCTCTCACTCTCTTTGACTGCGTGTGGACGGCGCTGCATTAGAAAAATAATCGGACAATCATTGATCGAACAATGGTAGAAATACGTACTACGGAGTGGGACAAGCGTACTCTGTCCGATCTTTTGTGGAAGCGCTGGTTGTTCTTGCTCCAAGCTGCATCGTAAAAAGGAATAAGCCGGCCAGTACATCACTCAGCAAGTGAATCGACTCTAAAGTCGATGCAAGAACAACCTCCAACGACACCAATCGGAAAAGAAAACGTCGACGTCCTGCAAGACCAAGAGTACCAGCGACGCCATGGACTACTCCACGATACGCGAGAAAGAGGTTCCGCCTTTTTACCAGGACTGGATCGGTCGAATTGGAACTACAAACCGCGGCGATCATCACGGGACAAGTAAGGGTAACAACAATAAACACACAAGCAGTTGTACAACTATCTCGTCTACGCAACAGGCTCTGAAATTATGCTTCCTCCATAAGGTCGGCGCCTTAGAAGTCGTCGCCGATGAGGACTTTTACGAGCACAGGGACGGCGTCGTCCTGGGGGAGCGCGGTTCCTTCAGCGCTCGCAGTAACTCCCCGGGTCGACGGGGGCGGACCGGCGCTGCATCTTCATGGGAGAACATTTTTGGACAAGCCGCGAAGGAAGTAGATGAGGCGCAAGACGAAATATCAGAGAACCTCAAGAACATGGCGAGCACGACAGTAGGAGCTTCAACATCCGAACGAGCGCTAGAAGATCCAGTTTGGGAGTTTTTGACACGGCGCGAAAACTCGCAGCTGCTGGAGTGGTTCCTAACGAGCGGACCGCCTGGGGATTTGAATAAAGTTTTTCCACAGCAACGAGCGCGACGAGCTTCTCAAACAGGAACAAATGGAGGGGCAACGACCTCTACTTCGACGTCCTCGCCCAGACATCAAAGCAGTAGAAAACGCCCCCAACTACATCCCCACGAACAGTGGTGTAGTTTGATGCAGGAAGCGGGCGACCCGGAGTCGTGGCAGGCAGCGGCGCGGCTCCTCGCCCTACTTTTGCAAGAGGGGGTGGAGTCCTGTCTGGACGAACTTGACGCGTTGGTTCCCGAATGGGAGCGCTCGGTGCTGCAGCCGATGAAACCCAGCGGCTTTTTCGGCGGCGGAACTGGCTTGCTGTTTGAGGACTACGCGCTCGCGCGGGCCGCGGAGGCGGACTCCGTCTTGAGTGTGCAGCTGCAGAGAAGCGGGGACTACTTGACCAATCTGCTGCCACCTGGTCGTGATCATCTCGCGGGTGGTACGGCAGTGGGAGGACGAGTAGTTGGTTCTGTTGGTAAAAACGAGCTACCAGGTCAACCTGCTGAGCAAACCGGCAGTTCATCCGACGAAGAAAACGACAAGTATGGTTCCTCCATCGTGGGCAGCACCAAGGCGACTGCTGACGAAGCCGTGCCAGCTGCTGCAACCGTTGCCGTTCTCGCAAGAAATAAACAAGCTGCTAGTTGTACAACTACGAAGGGCAACTACGGTACCACCAAAGATGTTCACCTCGCGAAGAAGCATTCTCCCGCACGATCCACATACTTGCGCACCAGCACTTCTGACAAGACAAAGCCCCAAGGTAGCCGAGAAATCAACGTGAAGCCGGGATTCGCAGAGCGACCCTCACCCAACTTCGCGCGCGGTCGCGTCAAGGGAGCGGCAGCGGGGGTTGAGGATGGTGGAGAATCATCTTCTACACGCACCGGAGGCGAGGATGAATACGACAAAAACGATGCAGCGGTGACAAACATTGGCGTCCTTTCCTGCTGTCTGAACAGTCCCTGTTTACTTGGAACAAAACAGCAGCAGCTCTCCAAGACCAGTTCCAAGAAGCACCTGCAGGTGCAAGCCATTTTCCGCGAGGCGCGCGCGATGATGCGTTCGGGTGGAGGGTCGTTAGAGGCGCGACTCGCCATTGCGGTCGCTCTGACCTACTGCGGCTGGTGTCAGAATCGATTTGGTGGGGGAGACCACGGAGTGGATTCTTCAAATTACAGAGGAAGTCGTGGATCAACTTCTGCAGCAGCTTCGCACTACACGCCTCCTCGGTTGCGCAAGAGCAGCTCGTCGCCGAAGAGAAATGGTTCGCGCAGGAGTGCTGGAGCTGGACGGGCAAGTTTTTCATCTGTCATGAACCACAGCATCAACCAGTCGCACAAGCTGGATCCGCGGAAGCGCTTGGCGGAGATGTTTGTGCTGGTACGGCGGCCTGCGGTACGAAAAAAGCTGGAGAGTCTGAGCGTCTGGCACCTCCGATTTCTGGTCGCCACGCCGCTGATGCTGGGGGACTACAGTTCCACACTGGCTGAGGACTTGCTGTGGTTGGAGGAGAGGGGGCCAACAACTACTTCTACCGGGGGAACTGTCTTTGCGGAAGGCGGTCAAGGGGGCTCCAGAAGCACCGCGTCGACGTCCGCGACGTCTGGTGCAGGAGCTCGGCAACCAAGCGTCGCATCCTCTACGTACGAGGACAAGTACACGGACGAGATGGAGGACGATCAGTCCTCGACTTCGATGGCCGCCGGAGGAAACGCGAATACGCGAAGTTGGATGCGCCCGCTCCCACTTGCCTTCCCGGCCATCTCCGCCGAAATAACAAGCGTGCAGGAACTGTGGCGCGTGATCTCCTCGAGCTTTCAGATACGCACGAAGAACGACGCGGGCGTGGCGTACCAGCACAGCCCCGACCTGTTTTTCCACGCCCGGCCACTGACGTTGCAAAACTTGTGGACCACCGGCGGGCCGCAGGAGGTGCTGTTGAGCTTTTTTGTCAAACTGTGCCACACGTTGTGCATCCCAGCGGTGAAGGTTGGAGGTCAGCCTACAGCGGTTGATGAGCAGGGTGGTCTTGTTGATGTTGGGGGAAGATACTATTCCCCAAAAGGAGCTGGCGCGGTTCTTGCGCGCGATCCTGCGACAGGAAAGTGGCTGGAATTCCGGTTACAACGAACCACTACTGACGTGGAAAATGTGGACGACGCTTCTTTCTCCTACGAATTGATGGAGATGTCCCAGCGGCAACTGGTGCAGTCGCTTCCGGCAGGAGCTGCTGAACGACTACAACACCCCCAAAAATCTACTTCCACCGCCCGCGGCCCGTACATCTGCAGTGAGATGCTGCGGTGCCAAGCGGAGATGGGTTTTCGCGACCTCATCGAGGCGTCCTGGTGCTCCCCCTTGCCGATTCAAGCACTGGCGACGAGCACGGGGCGGGGCGGCACCCACTGCGAGAACCTGGCGGAGGTGTATCAAGTGGAAAATTCAAATTCTACTTCTTCAAGTGCAACAACCGCTTTCGCCGGGAGTGCGGGTTGGCTGGCCGACGGCAGCGTGGCCTGGATGGAGATGGATTTAGGGAAGCCGTGTGTGATCCAAGCCTTGAAATTTGATTGGCTCGCGGAGCCGGAGAGCATTGAGGTCTCCGCGCACCACCACGATTTGTGTCGCCGCCGGAACCAGCAGCTTCTGACCGGGGGTACTAGTTGTAGACACCGCCTTGCTCTCGATGACGAGAGCGCGACGGAAATCTTGCCGCGGCAGACCAGTTCCGCCTGCTCTTCCTCTAGCGGCGAGAACCACAGCTCGGACGAGGCCCCGCCCGAGGACGGCGCGCTGGCCCACCGGCTGACCTCCCCGTACGCGCGAAAACGCTCTCCGGACGGATCCCCCAAAGTGCTGGAGGTACGGACGTTGAGTCCCGAGCGGCTACGGGAGCTGGTGGGGCAGCACGGAGAAAACATCACGCGGAATGTACGGGAGGCAAGCGCGGGTGGGCAGCAGACCTTTCTCGTCGACTCCCCGACCTCACCGGGGCGGAGGCAGATCCGAAGCGGCAGAAGTGCTGCCCGCAATACGGCAGAGGTGGAGCACCAGATCGGGATCCAGAACATCTCGCCAGCACATTCCAGAGCGGAAGGAGCAAGAAATTCAACATCAAAAGCGATGTTGACTACAAATGTCCACGAGGACCACGAAGGCGGCGCCCTTCCGCCTTATTTGCGCTCGGTGGTTGAGCAATCGAAAACGCTGCAGACAGTTCCTGCCACCTCAGCTTCCGCTGATGGCAGAAGTGGCCCGGCGTGGCGCCTGTTAGACACACACGTGTCAAGAGAGGAAGGGGGCTTTGTAACAACAAGTGTGATTCGTTTGCAAGGACTCTTTGGTTCGTCATCATCTCCTGGACGACAACGAGAAGACGAGGACAGGGATGAAACAAACGCTGCAGAACCCCCTTCGACACCCAAGGCCGCTGCAGCGGACGAAGAAGCTACTGGTACTGCGCGTGCAGAAATTTTACCGCAAGAGCAGTTGCTGGACCAGCAACACGACATCACGACCACGCCACTCCAGCTCCCCATCCTGCGCTACCTCCGCATTGACCTTCGGGATGCGGTCAGCTCGAATCGACTCGTGCGCGAGCGCTGCTCCATCGGGGTTCGGCGGTTGCAGGTCCACGGCTGCGGTTTCTCGGAGCACCGCCGGGCCAAAACTTTGCTGCAGGCACGCGCGGGCCGCGTCTGCGAGCTCTTGTTCGCCGCGGTCGAAGCGTGTCCGACGAACATACTCGCCTGGCGCCAACTGTTCTGGATCCTGACTGTTTTCGTCCACGAGCAGGTGCAGGAGACGAAACTGTTATTGTGAGGAAAAATATCCCCTCCCCATATTGAAACGGAAATTTGTGTTGCTGGATTTGTGTACACAAATCTGCTCTGTCTTGCAGTGAGGCACTGCAGGCAAAGCCTAAGCCTATGTAGGTGTGTTTTGATGTAGGTGCTTAGCATAGCAGAGGCCTGCCATGTAGCTGCAACAGCAATACAAATCGCCTGCATAGTCCGGCGGATTCTTTGGATTTGCCCTCTTGCAAGAGAGACAGGATTTGTGGCCACAAATCAGCATCGCAAATTTTTCGGGGCGTGCCCGTTCAATATGGGGAGAAGGGATTTTTCCTTACGATAACTGTGCTCGAGAAACCGCCACGCCTGGATCTCCGAGGCCGTCGCGCGGGCGAGGAGAAAAAACGAGGCGGGAACTTCTGGTATCAACAGTTTGGCGGTCACTCACGACTCGGTGTCGGCAGTTCTGCGGTTTCGAATGGAAGAGATTTTTGCTGAGAACAAGGACACGCAAGTACTAGGAGATGAAAAATCAAGGAGGAAATCGTCCGAAACGTCGCACCAGGTGGAGGAAGATGATGGTGAACAAGAAGCCTGTGAAGTACTAGAACAACCCTACATCCTCCTCGATCGGCTGTGGCAGGAGTACATCCGGTTTTCGAGCGCTGACTGTGGCAACTGAAGAAATCTACTCCAGGACTGCTGGGAGGTGATGTAGTTCCAGGGACGAAAGCGAGGCAGCTTCCACCCTGCAGCTCTCTGGAAGGGCATTTGCTACTCGGTCGGGGGGCGCAAGCACCAGCTTGCTTTACAATGATTGAGATTCCAAGCTTCCTAGAAGACGAGCGAAGACGTCGGCACGACCGACCAAGAAATGCACGCAGATGAAGATGTATGATTGAATATGTAAAACGAACGCTACTTGATGAAAAATGTAAGGTCCTAAATTAGGAGGAAAATGTCGAACACATCAACTTTTGTACGAGTGCGCTTGAAGACCACAGTGTGTGTGCGTCTGGACAGCAGTAGTCAGGCTGACTTCGCTGTCTTGCCAGCATGCTGTTTCTACTTGAGTGTGATCTTCTCCTCTCATACATAGTGAAGGAGCTTCATGAGAGAACGAGGCATCTATTGGACCGCTATCTTCCACGGCAGTCAACTACTGAAGAATTCGCGGGGAGGAGTGCTGCTGCGTCGAGAACTACAACGAGGGGGCAATAAAGTGAATAAGATGTAAATGATTTTTCATGAGTATGAGTGCAGGGCGGGGACAGAGTGACAGTGGGTAATCGTAGAGCAACAGCGAGAACAGCTTTCTGATACGCCAGAAACAGTAGACAAGAGGGCTGCGAGCCACAGCCACGTGACGTAGAAGCTGCAGTGGCATAGATCGCGAGCATGAGGGCATCATCTTTTTCACGACCTCGCAGTAGTTGTACCAGGGGCTCAATGAGGAGGCCGCGGTGGTCTGCTCTGGTACAGTGTGCGCTCGTACTTGCTGAACTCGCTGCAGGCTTCATCTACCTGGACAAGGACCTCAAGTCCGCTGGCTCTACAGGCAAGCTGCTGCGAAAGCAAAAGGACGAGGGCAGGAACGACATCAATTTCAGCAAGGGCTTCTATGACGAACTTGACCCACAGGCGACACGGCCGGCGCCTGAGAAGATGAAGCTGTTGACCCTCGATCGTCGTGTAAGCAGAGACTCGATCGCAATCGGCGGCGATGGGACTACTGCGTCTGCAGAGGGGAAGCAGCTGCTCTGTGCGCTGCGTGACTCGGGTCGAGTTTGCGTTCCCGTTGTGGGAGACGACAAAAGGAGAAGCTGCGTCGCGAATTCGAGCGAATGCCACACAGGAGCAGCCGGGCGGCGAGGACGATGCAGCAGCAACTTCCTCTTTTGCGGCTAAGAGTAGGAGACTATCACTTTCTTCACCAGAACAAGAGTCTCTTGCAGCGGAAGCACAAGGAGCCCCCGACCCCGAGCAAGAAGACGCCTCTACTTTCTACCGTCCGCCCCTGGTGGGGAAAAGCTGCGCGATCGTGTCGAACAGTGGCGCCATGCTTTTGCACTCCTACGGAGACGAGATTGACGCGCACGATTTCGTACTGCGCATGAACCGAGCGCCGACGCGAGGCTTTGAAAAACACGTGGGGAAGAGGGAAAGCATTCGCGCGGGGTGGGACAGCACGCAATTCTTGAGGGCATTCTGTACTGAACGAGGTGCGGCACTAGAAGCGACGGGAACGTCTTCAAGCGGCGTCGCGGATGAATCAGTGATTGAAGGAGCGAAGAACAGCAGCTCTGCTGGAGGTGCGTCAGCGTCGTCGCGCGAAACCGTCTACGTTCCTGAAGAGTTCATTCCGAGTCCCGAATGCATGCAAGTAACGCAAAATGAAAACAACGAGCAGGACGTGCAGACCGAGCTGAAAACAGCCGCAGCTGCCCCACCAGACTTGTCAGAGCACACTGTTGCTTCTGTTGCCGAGCAAGAGAAGAGACGAGGGAGCATCAGCTCAACACGACCTCCCCTAGTTGTACCGTTCATGAAGACGTGGCAGAACGTCGGCATCATAGACGACACTTCGATCACTCGCTTCCTCCAGGAGCAGTATGGCGCTTCTGAGGCGTTGGCGTCTCTTCAGGGTGGCGGTGGAGAGACATCCGGGGCTTACTACGGCGTCATCTTGCTCTATGGATGTGTCAGAGTTGAGATCGACAAAGTTGAAATAACTTGTAATGCATAAAATGGATACCATTTGGAAGCCCAATTTCCAAGCGGCGCATGACAAATTTCCGGAGCATCGGAATCCAATTTGTCGTGCTGTTTGGGCACAGAAGACCGCTTCTGTCATGCTCCTTTAGCAGCTCTTTTCCAAACCCTAAATAGGCTCACAATCTGCCTCGCTTGCCATCCCGGCAAGAGAGGCAATTCATGCCTTGCAATTTATGCATGAGACATTATTTCAACTTTGACGATTTCAATTCTGACGCCTCCACATGCTCGGCTACTGCGACCACGTCGATTTTTACGAGATGGCACCGTCGGAAGCGGCCCTGATATGCAAGAAAAAACTGTATGCGGGTAAGTCTGTAAATGCAAAGCTGCATGCGACACAGTTACTGTTACACTTGTCATGCTAGTACAACCCACCAGCCATGAGGTCCTATTTCATGTGCGTTTTCATGTACTAGCTATGCATGACGGGATTTTTTCCTTGTCAAGCAGAGCAAATTTGTCATGCTGTCAAACGAAGACACCTATAGTAACACAGTTTTTTTCTTCGATACCTGACGCAACAGAACCACTACTATTCATCATTCTTTGGTGGCGAGATCCAAGACGAGCGGCCAAGTACGGAGAACGAACCCTGGGGCCGGGGGGCCTTGACGAACAGCTTCCACGCGTGGGTCCTATGCATTGCAAATATGTCTGGGTCTGTGGAAGATTGCGCGACTTGTCCTGCTCGGCCAGCACCACCCAAAAGCCTCTCAATTTTTTTTTTTTTGTGTTATGCAAAAACACAGTTATTTCTCATGCAGAATAGCAATAGACAACACCTTCTAGCACCGCAGACGAAACTTGTTATGCTGGACCGTCAACTGATTAATTGTGGCGTCCTCAAGATGAGCCAACTAGCGTCACATGTTTCCGGAACCACATCGATGACATGCTTGCATTTGATAGGTCCGCGCGGAGCACGATTTTTTTCGTCGAGTGGCAATCACACCAGCGGAAGAAAGCCTCCGAACAGGGAAGCTGCGCATCCAGGGGCTCTCAACACTCACGGAGGAGGACTGCGCAGGTGCACCAAACTGAAAATTTGGTGCGGTTGCATTCTTTCGCTTTCATCTGGCACCCGTAGAAGTGCAGCGAGCGCGAGCTGGTGAACCGCCCGCGAGGGCGGCGCGGGGAAACCCGCGAACGCCACGAAATCGTGGACAAAATAGAATTCTACGAAAGCCATGCGATAAGGTCAGGACACACAGAACAGAGTTACATAATGCATGGGACGAGTCTGATTTTCATTTTTTATTTTTTACACGCTGCACCACCTCCACCAGGGTGGAGGAGCAAATACTTCATGACTTGGGAGAATAGACACGAACAAGTACTTTACTACTGTCGCTCGGAGTAGATGTAGAAGAAGTGACACCTGTAAGTTGTTCTTTGATAGCACCACCGCTCGAGATGAACGACGGAATGCGCAGCGTCAAGCTAGTGTAGTTGTGGAATGTCGAACTGACAATGTGCGTGCACCGCAACGAGGGGTTAGTGGAGGTTTTGGTACATGACCACACAGACAAGAGGGCGGAGCGGAAGATTAAGTATGTTCGTTCAACGCCGCCAGATAGACACTGCACGTCGAGAAGATCAGCAGTGATATGGTGCTACTAGCGAAGATCCAGCAGGTATTTTTTGCTGTGGGTACTATAGGAGAGCTAGAACAACTACAACTTCTAGGAGAGGTACTTCTACCAGAGGCCGCGCCGCTCCACCAGAGTCAGAGACCATGAACTACATGATGGCAGCACGACGCCCATTTATTTGCAGCGGTTCTCGGGAGAGCTGGCGGCGATGGTGGTCGGCTTTACTACAACTTGCTCTCCTGCTCGGTGGAGATGAAACAGAAACTGTACGAGGTTTCAAGGAAGTTGCCGAAACACCTACTTCCAGCACAGGAGGAAAGTTGTTGCGGAAGCACGAGCACGACGGTACCATTAACGACAAGATCGGTCCTCCGGTCCAAGAACCCCAAGACGAGGACCACCACGTCGATGGTGCACCCAAGAACACACGGCCCCGGCTGCACGTGAAGAACAAGAGCCTACCGACGGCGCTCCTTCGCGTCGCCAGGAACTCTGCCGCTACTGGCGGTGACGGTAGGAACGCGTCTGCCGAGGGGAAACAGCTGCTCTGTGCGCTGCGTGACTCAGTCGAGTTCGCGTCGCCGCCGTGGGGTGTGGCGAAAAGAGGAGGAGCTGCGTCGAGTGGAGGAGGTCCTCGTTTGAATGTGAATGTCCTCGCGCCGGCACGGAACACCGAGGAGGACCTCCAGGCTGACGAGGCAAGAACATCATCCTCAGAACAACTTCTTCTAAAGCCGGGAGTAGACGCTGGAGTACATCAGGAACAAGAAGACGCCTCTACTTTCTACCGCCCGCCTCTGCTGGGGAAGAGCTGCGCGATTGTCTCGAGCAGCGGCGCCATGCTTTTGCACGAGTATGGACATGAGATTGACGCGCACGACTTCGTACTGCGAATGAATCGAGCACCGACGCGACGGTTTGAGAAGCACGTCGGGAAGCGAGAAAGCATTCGCGTGGGGTGGGACAGCCCGCCTTTCGTACGGCAGTTTTGCAGAGAGCAAACGGCTGCATTTAATATTTTAGCAGCGACGGCGGGAAATAAGAGGAAGAGCCGCGCGGCCCACGGCCGCGTGCAGAATAAAAAAGATCAGCAAGAAGAAGCGGACGGCACTGCAGCCGCTGTAAACAACTCTTCACATGAGATGGACGACGAGACCGTGTACATCATGGCGGACGAAATCCCGCACCCTGAATGCACGCAAATGCAAAACAAGCAGGCCGAGCTAAAAGAAGCAGTCCTCTTCAACGCCGGGCACGCCGCTGCTGCTGTGGCGGCCGACGAGACGACACCACCACTCTTTGAGGACGAAATACAGAGCACGAAGGATCATGAAGATCTACCGCGTCGGAGGACAAGTAGAACAAGTGCGTCGATTGAAGGTGACGGAGCACTAAACAAGGTCGACGAGGGTCGTGAAGAAGATGACTTTCTCGCGCACGACAAGGACAATAATTTGTTCGGCAACTACAAGAATACGAGCAAATCTTCTACACCCATAATTCGAATTCCGTCCATCTTCATCAAGACCTTTCAGAACGTCGATGCAGACACTGGATCGCTCGGGCGCTTTCTTCTGGACGTTTACGGCCCCGGGGAAGCGCAGGCGCTGGATGCGCGCACAACAGACCCGTCATCGGGAGCGAAATACGGGGTACTACGAAAGCGAAATAAAAATAAAGCTCTAGTATCGAGGACGATCGATGTTGAAGATGTGCTGGATGTCGATAAGTACAGGTAGTTCTCGTTTTCATGCATTGATGAAGATTTGTCTTGCAGCAGCGGCACCAGCAGCTCCTCACCACTGACGCCCCCTCGGAAGTCTAAGTAAGTTGTAACAGCAAGTATGGCGCACAATTGCAATTGCTGCAGCAAGTTGCTGTAGCGCTATCAAATTTGGGATAAAACTTTCGACTTCGGGTGGGTTTTGTAACCATAGCTGCGCTTGTTCTTGTATCGCCCCCTCACGCAGCTGAAATAATGAACACTATCTCAGCTGCAACCTTTGCAGCCGATAGGGATATGGCTTCTTTTTATTTTTCGTTTCACAGGTGATGTTGCTCGGATACTGCGACCACGTCGATTTTTACGAAAAGGCACCGTCGAAGGCGGCGCTTGTATCCAATGAAAAATGATAGAAAGCCGGACTACTTATTGCAACAACCCCACCTCGTCAAATCATGGCGCAGACACCATGAAGATGCAGAGCGCGGTAAATAGTAGGTACCTACTTCTACTTAAGTACACAATCATAGAGGACGTAAGCTCTTGATGTTGATGTCATGCCAAATATATTCCATCTTCTCCTTGGATACCTTGGGGCGATAAACCATTACTTCTCCCGTCCCGACGCTTTGCTCGACCCCGAATCGGATGAGCAGGAGGACACTGCATCTAGTGCGGCTGCGGTTCTTTTCGCTGACACCGGTGTGGAACTTGTGCGGAGGACGACCGGAAGAAGATCTTCGAAGCAGGAGCGCAAGAAAACATCATACCTCGACCAGGAACAGGAACACCAGCCTCTTAGTCCTCCGCACGACGTCCAGCTCCCGAGTACGGAGAACGAGCCGTGGGGCCAGGGGGCTGAAATGAACTCCTGGCACGGGTTACTCCGCGCAGAGCACGATTTTTTCCGTCGCGTGGCCATGACACCAGCAGAAGAAAGCCTGCGAACCGGGAAACTGCGCATCCAGGGGCTTGCGACCCTCACGGACGAGGACTGTCGACCAGGCTGAGAATGATGTACCGAAGATTTGGGGCAGTCATCTCTTTCTTGCATTCTAGCGCTTCGTCTTCAACAATCAACGATACAAGTGCAGCGAACGGGACCGCCTGCGAAGCTGGACCGCCAGCACTCGCGAACGCCGCGGCTCGTGGGTGATCGTGTCTACGTCATGGACGCACGTGAAAAACAACATCAAATAAAAGTGATGTAGTTATGAAGTCAGGGATCAAGAACAGATTCTCGGCGAAAATAGACCGCTTGTCGCTCCATATCAATTGGTGGTCGGACGAGTATCCATCATCCAATCGGACGCATTCATCTTCATATAGTAGAGCTGTGCGCTACAAGAACATCAACTGCGCTGCGTTAGAAGCTGCAAAGCCTGCTGCTCTTGCAGATGCGAACAAAAGCTTTTGAGACCACGAAGGCGCTGACAATTTTACGAGCCTGCGTTCTACTTTGGAGAAGTAGTAAACCTGTTGTGGATAGCTTGGCAGCATCAAAGCCGAAAACTCATCCTCATGCTAAGCCTATGATTATGGCAGGAAAACCAGATAAAGGTCGTAACTATGTGTATGTCAATGTGCATCTGGTAGTGGTACATCTTCGAAACCAAGAATCGCCTTTTTTTATTTGTCACCTACTGGGCCCGTGCCGTCGTCATTGTGCGGAACCAAAAGTATTCGGCATCGGCTTTCCAGTACGATACAAGACGAGGCTCGAATTTTTCAGCACACTCCTCCCGGCTGGAACATCTATCTAAAAGTATTGCAACTGCAAGATTTATTCGGATGATGAAAGTAAGAACTACAACTACACGATGGCAGCGACACATGGCAGGCGTTTTCGCGTGTTGGCGCTCCGCTCAGGGAGTTCGTTTTTGTTTCTCGTAGTCTTGCACCGCCTTGTCATCTTCATGCTTCACGAAACGCTGCCCGCCGCTGCCACGGACAGAACAGCCAGGCTAGGGAACACTGAGGAAGATGATGCTGTGCGTCTGGTGGGTCAACAGGGAGGAGATGAAGTGCAGCCGCAAGAGGACTTTGATGCTGCCGATCCAAGACCAACGGAGAGACCACCCGATCCTGCAGATGCAACTCGTCTTCAAGCACATAGACAAGCTGCGCAGGAGAGGAACCGACGCGATGTGGAAAATAACATCAACACGGACGACGAGGTGTCAAGAGCCAGTACATCTCTATCAGTGCTCGCTGTAGCCGAGCATGCCGAGATGGATCAAGCAACTCCAGTGGGAGATCTGCCACAGCAGCTCGGCGCAGCGCGACTAGGTTCCGACCGGGCCGCTGCCCCTCCAACGCGGGGCGCTCCGCCGAGAAGAAAAAATCGCGTGAGCGGCACGAGAACCGAGCGTGATTCTTCTATTGTTCCTGGGGTACGAAACTACGCGGAGCCAATGTCTCCCGGAACAACAAACGCCGACCCGTCAGAGGACCACGGGGATAAAAATGCTCTAGCGACTGAGCGAGAGAAACAACATTATCGAGGAGGTGAGGCTGATAATCTCACTGGAGTAGATGCTGGAGGTACAGCAACTGTTCATCGCTCGGAGGATCTGCAAGAGGACGAGTTGTACAACGACCCTATGATATCCGAACTGCAGCTTTCGGCCGCCACCACCAAAAATCCGGACGAGAAAACGAAGCCTTCGGACCTGGACAGCTCTTTTCGAACCCGGATAAAGATCGTGGACGAGGAACTGAAAGAGGAGAATGTGGGTTCCTGTTTGACCTACGTGTGCAGCGTGTCTACTGGGGGTGGGGGCGGGTCCGCCGCGACCAACGGGTACGACTTTCAATACACACTAGATGTGGACAAGCCTTGCAAGCTCACCAGCCCGGACACCACGGGCGACAACGCGAGTTGCGAGGCCGTGTGCTGCAGCTACTTTTACTGCTTCGTGAACCTACGCGATCTCGGGGTCGACTACGAGATGGCGGGGCTGAACGACAAAACCCGCATATTGCGAGGAAGAATCCGCCCTCCCCATATGCATATCGAAAAGGTATGTTTCCGAAAATTTGTGTTGCTGATTTGAGACCACAAATCGCGTCTGTCTTGCAAGAAGACAAGCGCAGAGGCTTCCGCGCCGGTATGGAAGCGATTTGGCATGCTGTTGCGCCTAGGAAGCAGCCGCTTGTAATGCTAAGCAACTAGACGTAGACCCAACGAGCGCCCCTATCTAGGCCGAGGATCTGGCGGCCGCAATGCCCTCCTGCAATACAAAACTCAAATACAGCATCACAGATTTCGGCTTTGATATGGGGAGGGGGAATTTTTGCTTTCGATACCGCACAGGCGTAGCCTTCAACGCCTGTGCGGACTATCCCGTGTAAAAACGTCCGCACCCCAGAGTTGTCTTGCAGATTTGCAATGACAAGAACATTTGTGATGCGCAGCCCCATGACAGGAAGTTCCCATCGTGTTTTGAAATTTCTATAATGCTGTAAACAGAATGAGGAGCTGGGTTTGTAATGCGGCAGTCCTTGCTAACCTGCACTACACTACGAGCTGCAGCTTGTCATGCGTGACTCCCAAAGTTTCTGGGTTTGTGTTGCAAGGTCCCCATGATCTTGACTCTGGGGTGGGGACGTTTTTACTCAGGATACGGGCCAGCGAACCGTCAAGTTCCTCAAGGTGCCTGCCTTCGAGGACCAGGGCGGGGGCCCCGGGGAAACCGCGGGCGACAACCGCATCGAGGTGGACAAATTTCTCGAACTGGAGAACTTCGTGTATGGTGTTGTCAAACGTTACATTCTCGAACTATTTCGTGTATTTGTGATGCAAGAACAGCAACAGTTAAATCGGCAAGCTTGCCACTGTCGCATCACAGATTTTGCACAGATTTACATGCTGTTATAGCGCCTCGGAGATTTGTCATGCGAAGCAGCTTGATCATCTGGCCGCATAAGGTAGTTCTGCATGACAAATGTATGCAACAGCTGAGGGTGTAACGCTTGAACACGCCATATCGTGTCCGTGCCCGACTGCTACCACCGAATATGCAAGAAAAAAACTGTGTAAGTGTAACTCTGTAATGCAGAACACGCAACAGGAACAGAGTTACACCTGTGCCTGTCATGCCAGACAGCCATGAAGTCCCCTTTTGATGTGTGTTTTCCCTTACAAGCCACGGATGACAGGTTATCTCTGTCATGTACAGCAAATTTGTAATGCTGTCAGCGAAAGAAAGTTACACTAACACAGTTTTTTTCTTCGATACCGAACGGGCTTCTTTCACTACCCAGTTGTCGGGACCGAAACCAAGCACGCGCTGCAAGTGCTGAAGCGGCAGAAACAAGTGGACAGCAACGTAGACACCACGGCTTCCGGCCCGGTCGACTTCGACAACTTTTCCCTTCGCGAGCACCTCCCGGTGGCCTCGGCACTGACCACGCGAAATTTGCCGGACGACTCTCCCACCATCGACGAGATCCGAGACGCCGCGCGGACCAACGCGCAGGTGGCGAACAACGACGAGACCCTGGAAGTCCAACTTGGGCTACGCGGGTTTTACAACATCCATTCGCACGCCTTCGCGTGGGAGGACCCGATATTGAAGGTGCAAGGCGAGGGAAAGCTCGCGGGGGATATCCACCAGCAACTCGGCAAGAAGCGCGATGAGTACAAACCGATGGATTTGTCCGTTGCGAACCCCGTTCAGGGCCCGAAAGCCGTCCTCGGGAAGACGCTTCGTCTGGTGGTCGCGGATTCCCGGGCCCACTGGCACTTGCCAAAGTGGAGTAAACGGTACGAGGGGATGAAAACTGGTGCTACTGGGGGTGGAGAACGAAGCGGCGCCAGCACCTTTTCGGCAAGCGACTACCAGCTGCCCTACACGCGGGAGGCGGAGCTGGCTTTCGCGGAAACGGGCAAAAAAGACGGCATCCCGATCAAACAGTGTTGCTCTTTCATCGTCCAGGCCATGACCAGTCCGAACTTCCTCAGTAACGACTTGGAGCTGACCGAAAAGTTTGTCGTTCAGAACTGTGTGGTGTTTGCCAAAAACATGCATGAGCATCTGTTCGGCAAAGAACCCACTGCGGCTGAGCAGGCAGCTATTGATGCGGCAACAACTCCCGTGGGGCCGGAGGCTTTGCCGCCTGCAGGTGTAAGAAATAACGTCGGCGCCCCGGAGGTTCCGAACGCTGACTGTGAGGTGGGACCCTGGGCGGCGGTCGGGGCGTGCTCCAAGACTTGTGGGATCTACGACAATACCCAAGTGCGGATCCGGCAAGTGACCTACCCCCAAAGCGGCAACGGGAAAAAGTGTCCCGCGCTGCAAGAGACCGTGCCCTGCACGCTCGAGGCGTACACCGGGGAGTGCAGCGTAGATTGCGAGGCGACCGACTGGTCGCCTCCTGAGTACGGCTCCTGCAGCGTGGGACCGATAAAGGGTCCCGGGGGTGCGGTTCTGTTCGCGAAGCGGTGCCGGAAAACCCGCATATGCATTGCAAATGTATCGCACTAAAGTGTAAAGTGTATTACAAAGTGCCTTACTTCGTATGAATAAAATATGTTTTTTTAGCTTAGGATGGCGATTTGTAATGCGTTGTATCTGCAATTGCTGCGAGCGCGATACTTTTGCAATGCATACCGCACGCGGGAGATCAAAACCCCACCGACGGGGCCCGACGCAGCCCCCTGCCCAGGGAACAACGAAGAACTGGAGCAAGCAAAACTCTGCACCATCAACGACGATACCTGGAAAGAGTGCTGCGAGGATATGGCTTGCTCAGATGTTACAATCTCAAACGTTACAATAGAATCTGGAATTTGTCTTGCATGAACAGCATGAGTACCATACAGAGACTTGGGCTTTTTGCAATACAAATTTCGTCAGAATCTCATGGGGTTTGGGGCTCCGAAACTTGTCATGCGCGCCCCTTTGGGAGTAGGCCAGATGTTGCGGATTTTGCAACACAAGTTCCAAACTCTATTGCAACGTTTGAGATTGTAACACCTGAGCGGGTTATGGAGGACAACGCCGGTGCGGAGTGGACCGAGTGGACGGCATGCACCAAGACGTTATCAAATGTAAAAATGTCTGGGTCTGGACGGTTAGAACTTGTCATGCTAAATCTGAATGATGCAAAAATCTGTGTTGCGTGAGTGCCAAAAGCTGTCCGCTTTTGACCAAGTTGAGAGGGAGTATCTCATGCAGGAAAGGCATGACAGAGACCTCACAAAATCTGTCATGCTGGGTCTCACATTCCAGACCTCATGGGTCATGGAAAACCTGCATCACAAATCTTGCATTCTTCCAGACCCAGACATTTTTACATTTGATAGACGTGCGGTGGCGAGGACGAAATGAAATCGCGCACGAAGACCGAATACAAATACCTGATCCAGGACCCGGTGCAGTGCGTCAGCGAGGTGACACGGGACACAGCCCGTTGTCACGAGGGGCCGCAGCCGGACTGCCCACGGGACTGCAAACTGAGCCACTGGACCGAGTGGGGGGAGTGTTCCAGCACCTGCGGAAAAGGCCAACACACGCGGACAAGAACAGTTGTGCAGCAACCCATCGGGGACGGTGAGCAGTGCCCCGATAGTGCCACTGAAAAAAGCGCCTACGAAGAAACAGGGGAGTGCGAAAACACGATTGAATGCGTCCCGAAAGTGGACTGTGCACTCGAGGAAAAGTATGTCGCTCCTGTTGCCCAGGAAAATAATAACGGGAACGACAACACCGAAGAAGGCGGGTGGTCCCCCTGCAGTAAAACCTGCGGGGGCGGCGCGAAGTTCCGCATCAAGTTCGTAGACCAGCTGCCGCAGGGATCGGGGAAGAGCTGCCAGAAATTGTTTGGCAAGGGCGAAGGCATCACTGATGCCGCCGTGGTGGCCAAAGAAGACATCACTATCAGTTGGGGGTACATCGACGCCGGGGCCAACGAAATAAAGGGAGCACACTACACCGATGGAACGCCAGTTGAAATAATAAATGCGGAGCAGGAGCAGAGCCAGAGCAGCGGCAGTGTTAGTACAAGCAAGCTCAAAATGTACATGAAGGAGACAGCCGATTGCAATCGGGAGGTGAAATGCCCGGATCCTGTAGATTGCGTGATGAAAAACTGGGAAGCTTGGACGGAATGCTCCAAGAGCTGCGACGGCGGTACGCGGACGCGCGCACGGTACGTAAAAACTCCGCCGAAGGAGGGTCGCCCGAAATGCCAAGACGTGGACCTGTACAAAATCGAGAATCTCCAGAAGGGCTACGCCAACGGGACGGCGCCGCACTTTGAATGGCTCTCGACGGGCGGGGGCGGGCAAGAACAACACGACGGAAAGCTGCACCAGAAGGAAACCGCGCGCTGCAACGAGATACACTGCCCCTGCGCGATGGAAGAGTGGGCCGCGGATTGGACGACGTGCAGCGTCACGTGCGGCCCCCACGGGAAACAGACGAGGGAGAGAAAGGTGAGTACCCTGGGGGGCTACGCGGACCTGACCGGCTGCAAAAGTCTTTTCGGAGACGAGAGCAAAGCGGGTGTGCAACACGATAATGGGGTGTACATCATACGCGACGCAGACGGGATTACTCGGCAGTGGGAGGAAAAATCGCCGCTGGAAAATTCGATACAGAAGGAAACGCGCAAGTGCAACAACTTTCCGTGCGACGACCAGCCAACAGGGGACGCTGCAACTACGGTAGCCCCGCCCGAGGACGGTCCACCGGCTTGCGTCCTAGACGAGCACTGGTGGAAAGCGGACTCCTGCGGCTGTCAATGGAGGGGCGTGAGTAGTCCCGCTACGGGCACGTGTTTCAATGATATCCCACGAAGAAAGTGTTGCAGTTACACACTTGATGTTGCAATTGCAGCAACACAAATTTTCTCCGCATGGCAGAGAAAACTTGTAATGCAGAGTTCATAAGAGAAAACACGTATGAAACAAGGCTTGAAAGCATTTCGTGCATCACAGAGGTTGTCTGTCTTGCGTGTTCTGCAGCACAATGCGTAACACTTTTTTCGTTGCATAAATGGCGAAGACGGCGCAGTGTACGCGGTCTATAGCAACGCTGCCGCGAATTGTCCGGCCTGCAAAGGCCGACCTGCGTCTGTCAGCACGCCCTACATTTTGTCCGACAAATCCTGCGAAGACGACAAATGCAGGGTGGGTTCCGCCCGTGCCCCTGCGTTCGCGAGCGGGTGGGTTCCGCCCTTGCCTCCGAAGTCGGGGGAGACGGTGCCCGGTTACCGAACCCTGGTGAACACCGATATTAGAGACCTGTTTGCGTCGCAAGAGGCGTATTGGAACTACGTGAACGACATCGCAGCGCAGCAAGCGGTGCTGGAGGCTTCCCAAAAGAAGCAGCAGTCCAACTTCTTCGGGTTGCCCACATTTGGTCTTAGGTGAAGCTGAAGCCGTCGTCGAAGACTTCAAGAAAGCTTCGCGACGAAGTCGAAGTTAGACCAGAAGTGCTGCAACTGTTCTTGTTTACTCAACTACAAGAACTCTAGTACACCTACACTACCGACAGCACTCGCGCGCCCGCGGAGACGTACTTAGAGGGCCGCTCCAGTGAGTGGTGTTGCGGGCACAGATTCGCCCTGAAACTTCTACACATTAGATACAATGACGCGAATTGAATACGAATGATCTCCATTTTGGTATCATATGAGCTTTCTGAGCAATTATGCGAGCATCGCCCGAGCATGCCCGCTTGTTCCCTGGTCCTGAAAAATCGAGCAGGATCTGACGAAAGGTTTCAGTTTCCCATCATGATCATGAAAACGAGTTGGAGTGCGCAGACGGACCACGAGTAGAACGAATGAAGATAGAAAGAGCACCGGCGCGTCATAGCTTTCATAATGAACAGCATTCGACTCAGAAACATGACCTCATACTTGAAGATGGCACCATCGAGCTAGAACTTGAGCTACAGTGTGATCAAATACAACTACCAAAATCAATTCAATATGTCGTCCTCCGCTGGAGATGCTCCTGCACCTTCTGACCCTGCTCCGGCCGCCAGCACCTCTCCCTACGTTCCCCCAGAACAGTGGGAGCCGCGCGAACTGCCGGACGCATGGGGACGGGAGACACTGCAGGCCATGGCCATGAAGCCCTGGACGCAGGAAGCCTTGCCTAAAGGCCAGCACGGACTGCAACTGTACTCCCTCGGGACGCCCAACGGCATCAAAGTTACCATTTTTCTGGAAGAGCTGGTCGAGATTTTGGACGACTTTGAATACGACGCTTGGTGGATCGACATCATGAAGGGGCAGCAGTACTCCCGGGGCTTCCTGGAGGTGAACCCCAACGCGCACATCCCGTGTTTACTGGACACCAAGCCGGGTGGAGATACAACTGGAAGCGAAGAAGGTGCCAGCAATATGATCGACGACATTCGCATCTTCGAGTCCAACGCGATCCTGCTCTACCTGGCCGACAAGTTTGAAAAATTCGTACCAAGCAAAAATGAACCGTCACAACTGCATGACCGAACGGAGTGCCTCAATTGGCTGTTCTGGCAGAGCGGGGCATTTGGCCCCGCGTGCGGAAACTTCAACTCGGCGTTCGTCTACAGCAAGCCGGGGGAAAAAAACCGCGACGAGATCGACCGCACGACATTGGAGGTGAAACGTTTGCTGTCGGTCTTGGAAAATCAACTCAACCGCGACAGGTCCTCCGATGAACCACAACTACCGTGTTCTTGGCTCGCGTCCGCGGCTGAGACCGGCCCGAGCATTGCGGATTTTTGCGTCTTTCCCTGGCTCCGGACTCTGAGGCGGCGCGACATGGTGAAAAAGTGGCTTCGGCTGGAGGAAGATTACCCGGCCTTAATCCGCTGGTTCGACCTTCTTCTCGCCCGGCCGGCGGTGCAGCGGGGCATTCGGGTCAACAACGTCATGGAGCCGAATGGGGTGAAGAATCGACACGCACGGACGGATTTTGATGCTCTGTGAGAAGCGTTAGGACTGCACAACAAGGTTGTAGTTACATGTTCATTTTTTTCCGGGAAGAAACATGAAGGCAACTTTAGATGACTTGTGCCTGATCTGGCCCGGCGGCAGAAGACGAAATCGCAGAAGTAGGACGCGAGAGTGTAGTGCGCTTGAAAATAGTCTCCGCGTGACGTCGTCACACTTCCTGGTCAATAGGCTACGAATAGCGGCAACAGATGGTGTCTTTGACGGATGAAAGAAAGTTCGCAAACACTTGAGGTAGATTGTTCGTCTTAGTTGGAGGTGTGTACAGTTGCAGAGAGACCGTTCGTATGGGTAATAGTCCGTCACTTCTGCGCATTATACTTCACCTTAGTAGATCGCTTTGTGTGGCTCGCCTTGTGCTTCGTCGTCCTCGTCGCGGTCGAAAGTTCAGTAGAAAAGAAACTTGGACTTTTCTTTTCCTTGCAGAAATTAGTTTCTCTCCGCGGCTCGCAGCCCTCTTTTCGTGTTCGATGTCGGATCGATCTATCAAGGAGCAAACGCAAGCTTCCAGTGTGAATAAGCGCGAAGTTTTGTCGCTGAAAAGGTTCGATTTGTTTGAAGAAAAATTAGGCTCGTAAGAACGAATGCAGGTAAAGCCTGTCAGATAGTAGAAACAAGTCTGTACTTGCCTTTTTTTCGTTCGAATTCTGTTCAACGAACTACGTATGAACTACGCTCGTCGTGTAAGATATTAAACACAAACAAGCTAAGCGTTCCTTCCTTTTTGTGCTTCACGCTTCCACCAGAGGCATCAAGATGGGCAACGTTTACGGCTCCACGACAGGTTATGCTAGTTCCTATTTTGGGCAGCACCTCCCGGGCGGCCAGCGCGTGTCCAACAACTCCCGAACGGAGGGTTCCCTAGCGCAGGGTTCCTTCCTGCCCGACTGGCATTCGTTGTTCGCGCTCATTTTCCCGGGCAAAACGGACGTGGGCGTGTTCGGGGCGACGCACGTCAACCGCTACGCGTTGAGCCAGCGCCCGGTGAAAATCTGCGGGAACGAAGCGGTGCTGCACGCGGGGCGGCATGCGGCCGACGTGCTGGAGCTGATGCCGCGGGAGAGGAAGGAGCTGCTGGAGCAGGAGGTTTTGATACAGCAGTGGAAGCGAGAGGAACGAGAGCGAAGTCGGGCCGCTGCGAGCACCAGTGCTGCTGAAAAAGCGGTTGTCCACCCAGGGACGAATGTTACCGAAGTCAACCTCAACACCGGATCAAGCAACAAGGAAGGTGATACTCAATCCCAGCAGCCGTTTGTCCTTGACCTCGTTCCGCGGGCGGAAGACGGGGCAAACAGTCCCGGAGGCGAATCGCGCAGTGCAGCAACGTCCACCTCGGCTGGGGGTGCTAGCAGTTCGTCGAGTAGTTCCTCCTCGGCCTCTGCGTCTGCGACAGGCACAGGGGAAATAAGAAATGCGAACCGTGAGAGCAGGACCCTCGCGGAGAGAAATGGAGGCTCCGCTTCTTCGCTTCCCGAGGCCCGGGAACAAGAAGATGATGAGCAGGGCCAGCAAGGTGGTCACCCTCCAGCACCGCCGTCCCCCTCCCCGACATCCAGGCCCCGCGGCGCGTGTTTAGTGGTAGGTAGCCGGCGGAGAAAGGCCAGCACGACGAGCAACGCAAGTAGCGGCTCGGCCAGTACTGCGAGTAATGGCGCAGCGGGGGCCACAACGTCTTCTACTTCTGGTTCTTACCCGCCCGAAGACGGTGCTCCGGGGAGCAAAAGCTCCTCGTCCTTAGTAGAGCCGTCTACTGCGAAGTCATCTTCTAGCTCATCTACAACATCAGAAGTCGCACCAAAGACAACGATATCATCAAACCGCATCGTGCCGCTGGGGTTCGCCTGTCTGAAGGGACGCAAGCCAGACCCCAACCAGGACAACTTTTTTGGCGTCACGTACGACGAAGGGCGGCAGTTTCTGCTCGGGGTCTTCGACGGCCACGGGCCGCAGGGGCAGGTGTTCAGCGAAATCGGCACGTTGTGGGCACCTTTGGTGTTGCAGCGGGAGCAACACCATCAGGAGGCGTTGAGAAAAGCGACCTGTGGCGAAGGTTATTCTGGGACAGAAAGTGCATTTTTTGATGGTGGAGCCGCGTCTACTACAGATTCTAGTAGTGTCGCAGAACAAATAAATCAGGAATCTGCACCGTTGTCCCGTACTTCTTCTTCCTCCTCCGCTTCCAGCAGGTCCGAAGACCACTACTCGGAGATCATGCGGTCCGCGTTTCATAAACTGACCCGCGTGGCCACGCAACGACTGGAGGATAGCAAGGGAGAAAGTAACGCGCTCTGCATGAGCGGAACGACCTGCGTCATCGTGCATGGACAGATTCACCTTGGAAGTAGCACATGCAGAAGCACGACGTCGGGAATACTAAATCGACCGCTCGAGCAGGAAAATGCGGGTTTAGATCGTGGTATTGCGGGTGAACAAAACACGCGCGCCAGCACTTCCTCTTCGTCGTCAGGTACGACGCACGTTCAAGACACAGCTGACGGTGTTAAAAATACAGTTGGTGAGCCCGCCGCCTTGCCAGCGACCACTTCCGTCGTGGTTTCATCGTCTATTTGTGATCATGCTCCTGCTCTCGTCGATGAACAGGTGGAAATGGACGTTGACCGCCCAGGCACTACAGCAGTCACGTTGCCCGGTTATACGGTCTCACAAGATTCACATTCAGCGACGAGGGATTTTTCTGGCGACAGTGGCGCCGAGGCGTGCGATCGGGAACGGAGTAGCAGCCATGCGTCCTCGTCGTGTTCCCCGTCCGCTGCATCAGCGGGGAAAAAAGTAGTCGAGCTTGATGTTGACCAAGAGAAGCAAGTTCGCTCCCAGCTGCCGCATGGGTCTTCTACCTCTACGTCGTCTTCCTCTTCCACAGAAGGTGGTGCTTTTTCAAACGGTGCTGGAGCTGATTCCTCGCTGGAACTTGCGTTGAACTGTGGATGGCTCGGTATTCACGTGTTATTTGATGGCCGTGATGAACTTCAACTTTTTCTTTTGAGCGTTCTTTTATTTAGCCTCGTCATAATTTTGCCATTTTTTGTTCTGGCTATTCTCCTGACAGGCGACTCCCGTGCGCTGGTGATTGAAGGCAGGCAAACGCCCCCTACCCGGTCGATTGTGTTGGAGAAAGTTACCGCACTGACACGCGATCACAAGCCCGAAGACGAGGAGGCGGATCGTCTACAGTCGCAATGGGCGGCGGGCACAACAAAAAACACCGGGTTTATCAAAAAGCAGCGCGTTTGGTTCACCTGCGACAGCACCCAGCCAGGATTTATTTCGGGCCTGAACATGAGTCGGAGTCTGGGTAAGTACAACATCTAAGAAAGGCGAATACCATTCATAGATACGTAGTTTTTTGTTGTTCACTTCAGCTGCAGGTCGTGCTCGTGTAATGAGTGCATGAGTTGGTCTTTTTTTACGGGTCTACTTCATCCGATCTCTCTTCTCAGGTGATCGCTATGCCCATGATGTCGGGGTTTCCAGCGAGCCAGAGGTAACGAGCGAAACAATTTCGCTTCTGGAGCCCCGGCCTGCTGCAAACAGTTCCAGTTCTGGTTCCAGTGCAGCAGCAAAGGAGCAACTGCGATCGGGCACCAGTTCTGCGTCGAGCGCGGACGCAGCAGGAGTACAATCAGAGTCATTGTCCTGCGGCGCGGGCGGCGGAGAGGATGACGCGGGTCCAACGGGAGGTTATGGTGCTCCGATGTCTTCTTCTTTATCAGGTTCGTTTCGACGTGCTGCCCCTACGGGACAACTACATCAAGCAAGACCTCAAGAAGTTCTTGACAGTACTGCTTATTCATCCCCAAAGCACGTGTTCGTTCTGCTAGCGACCGATGGCGTATTCGAGGTGTTGACGAACGAGCAAGTGGCCGAGCTGCTGCTGACCAATTTGAACCTCGGCAAGTCGCTGCAGCAGACCGCGGAAAATATCGCACGGTCAGCAGCGGATCTCTGGAACCAGGGCACCTACATCGACGATATCACAGTTTTGTTGTATCTGGTGTAGAAGATGTAGTTGTAGTGGGACGAGAGATGGTGCACGTAGTCTCTGCTACTTGCAGCCGGCACCCCTGACATTCATCGTGCTGGTGTCCTTCTAGAAGTTAGTAGTTTGATCCACTCTTCCTTTAGCCGTACCCACAGGTAGGTGATGCTTCGTCTACTTCACTTCTGGATTTGGGCTGATGCTTCTGTAAAACTCTCCTCGACGAGCACGAAGAGTGACAGGTGCGACGGCGGTGGTGTCCTCGTGTACTTAAATAAACGTAGGTGTAACAAAAAAACAAAAAGAGGAACTCGAGCTACAACTAGCTGAGCTGAGGCTGCTTGGTACTACAAGAAAACCCGCTAGCTGAAGTCGTTGAAGTTGCATGTGATGTTGAAGCGACAGCGACTCAATGAAATCCAAACTTCTAACACAGCTGCATGGAAAAAATGAAATTAAAAAGTATCATCAAGAAAGAATACGATCGAGTTTTCAAAAAACACATTTGAAAAACTGCAACTCCTGCAGCTTTCTTCTAAAATTGGCTGCAGCGGGACCAACGATAGTAGTACAGCAGGGCTCTTTGCATGGCAATGGAATGAGGTGATAATTGTGTTCCTTGTTCCAACTACCGGGTTATTCAACTGCGTTTTTGCTCTTTTACTTAACTTTTCAATCAGTTCTTTCGCACGACGAGCAGATCGCGTCTTCATCGATCCATCTGCACAGCCACAGTGCTTATTTCGACGAAAAGAGCAGACTCCGCTTGTTGTTCGAAATAAACATTTCTTTTTGAAGATGACGTTCCGCCGGTGGGTCATCTTTCACTTCCTCTTTCGCACAAGCAAATCTTGTCTCCTGCAAGAAGTGTCGCTATCGCAGAAGCTGTTTCTGCTTACGGCGGGGGCTACCTATGAGGCGAATGCGTTGGATCCGGAGAAGAGTACTAGCCGGTCAGGATCGGGTCCGCCGGGCTCCTTGTCGGAACAAAGCAACATTTTATTTCCAGGGCAAGAAGATGGCCGCTTTCTTCACGATGATGTTGGAGATAACATCGAGAAAAATTCGAATTACGTCGACATTAGCCAGGACGCCGACTTTTTCTCTCCCCAGAGCGAAGAAGATGTCGAGCAGGCCGCAGACTTTCATGAACGATCATCCAGCGAGAACCCTCGGAAGATGGGGCGCGGTGAAGGTCGTACGCCGGCGGTAGCAAGGCCCTCATCTCCGGTAAGTGCGGAAGCTGCACCAGCCGAAGAGATCCCAAATGGTCAGGAAGCGACCTCTTCATCGTCGTTCGCTGCAGCGGGAACAACCGATGGTGCGGGTGACGACAATATTAAAGCCGTCAATTCACCATCATCTCCTGGAAAGGTGCAAGTTGAAATTGATGCAGAAGCGAACCTACGAACTGCAAAAGTATCGTAAGTTGTACTCGTAATGTAAATGCACCATTAAAAATGATTTCCTTAGCATGAGAAATGAAATTTGTATTTGTAAATGCGGATTTGACTTAACAAGAAAATTTTAAATGCACGATTGCAAATGCAATACGAGTACAGTACGATTTTGCACAGGATAGAACCAGTACGTCTCGAAGCAAGAAGTGCGGCAGATGGTGCGCGACTTGATGCTTCTTGAGCAGCACGCTGCAGGTAGAAGTAGCACTGACGCCCGGCTGCAGCGTCTGGAGGAGGAGAATCGGAGGCTGCAGCAGGAAGTGGAGAGGCTTTCCTCGAAAGCGGACTCGTTCCAGGAGGAAACCTGGCGGTCGTTCCAGCGGCTTCGCTTTGTCGGGGCCCAGGTGTATCACATGCTTTTCTTCAGCCTGTTATGCATTTCAAAAGTATCGCATTCGCACGGCACTGCCGCTAGCAACATAAATCGCATGTTCTTGACACATTTCCTCATGAAGCAGAGCCGAGCGCTGGATTCAGGTAGGAAAGCAAATTTTTGCATTGCTGCAATTTTTAGTTTTGACGAGAGCGATACTTTTGCAGGGGATACCTGTGGATTCTCATCGGCACGTGTGAGAGTGCACAATCGTCCCTCCTCCTCATTTGTCATGCAAGATCCACAATCCAAATCCAAATGCCGCCTCGATGTCGATGTGGCAGTGTTTGCATGACAGATCCCGGAAGCCAAAGCAGTACTGCAGGACTAGCACTAGGCGCGTGAATTTGTCATGCGCTTCAGGAGGCTGCAGCTGCACATGTGCATGTGCTGCTGCTGGTGTTTGTACTGCTATGGATGCCATACAAATCAGGGGGAGCAGAAGTTGTGCACTCCCATAGCACGGCACGGAGCAACCAGGACATTACCTTCGCGCTGATCGTTCTGGGGTTCCTGTATGGAGTTCTCACACTTTGCGCTGTCAGCTGTTACATGATTTGTCATGCAAAGGCGCCATCGCCGTCATGTCATCTTCAACCTCCACACGATGAAGCTGGCTCACGTGGCTGATTATTGAAGCGTGGCAAAAATTCGTTTCAAATTGTAATCAATTTATTATAGAAGTACTCTCTGGCAAATTTTGCTAGTTGTACAGGTCTGGCATTCATGAACTCACTGAAGAGTGCGTGAGGAGCACGGATGTAGCTAATGAGTAATGACAATGTCTGAGAATGCCATACTGTGTGCTGCGTTGTTGGTACCGCCGCACCTTGGTACTTGGCAATATTTGCTGGCGCTGATCGTCGTCGACGCTACTTCTCGAAAAAGCGGTCTACAACTGAGGATGAGCTCGCTCGTACTACTAGTGGTCGCGCCATAGCTGCAGAAAATGCGAGCTCGAGGGCCTCTCGTCTCCCCAGTAGTGGCGAGACAGTTACAACCAGGCGCGCAATGCAGTCGACGAGAATTCTTGCGTCGTCTAACCCTGGAGAGGACTTGCTGCCTGCTGTTGCCGAAGAAGTTCTTGCGAGTGGGGGCGAGATGGTGAAAGCGGCCGCAGCGGGACCGGAGACCACCGAATTTTCGCGACACAACATAAAGAACGATACAAGCGAGGGTGCGGGCGATCCTGATGTTCCGCACGTTGGCGTTGGCCGCGTGGCGCAGGAAGCTGCCGGCGGCGCAGCGGATGGCCGCGCAGCGGATGTTCATGTCGCGCCCTCCGAAGAGGAAGAGCCAGACGAGGACACCAAGAAGAACTACCAAGAGAAGATGAGTAAGGTTGAAGAGGACGAAGAGGATGACGCGGACCCGGTTCCGTATGATTTTATCCTTCAGGGCACCTTGTCGTGCGTGTGTCAGGACGGCGAGTCCGCGGAGGGACGCTTCTTTACGGTCTGCGTTGTGTTGTACATGATGAGCTCTCTGCTAGCAGCGCCTCCCTTCGAGGCCTACACATCTTGATGCAAGTTTCGAGACGTGACTGAGCTGCTGCAGGGCAACCCCGGGCTCCCGCGGCTGCAGAACTGGATTGAGGTAACCGCTCGGGCGTTGTGGCACGTGGTCCCATATGGCGTTCTCAAACGTTACATTCTCAACTGTTACATGATTTGTCATGCAAAACTCCAATCAGATTCGACGCGATCAAGCTGTTGCGCATGACAAATTCTGGAAGGCCCAAACAGGCTGAGAATCTGTGCCAAATCTGTCATGCAAAAGGCGCTATCTTTCCCCTTTCAGTTTTGCCATTCTTGCACCACAAACTCATGTAACAGTTGAGAATGTAACAGTTGAGAACGCCATATCCCAAACTTCTGCTTTGTGCTCGTGGCGGTCCTCCCCGCGGCCTCCGATCCCCGCGTGCGGGCGAAGATCCGACGTGCGCGACTTTTTCTGGTCGCGCATCTCCTTGGGGCAGTATTGGGCTCGGTCGTGCTCTTGGCCTTCGAGTCGGTGCAACTCTTTTGGGGCGAGAACGTGCCGCTTAGCTACCTGCTTGTGATTTTTGACCCCTGGGTTCCCACGAATTTCAACTTCTGGTCCCACCACCGAGATGCCTCCTCTTTCGGTGATTATGATTTTCTTGAACCGAACACTTGGCGCGGTGGCTGCATTGATTACGAAACGGAGCCCATTCCCTGGAACCGGTCGGTGTACGTGCGTCTCGTGGTGCTGGTCTCTGCGTACTTTTTCGGCACCGTCTTCTCCCTCCACAATCTGGCGATCCACGTTGTTGTGGCTTCACGAGGGGCACAGTTTCCCCCACATTACCCACTGGTCCAGAGCTGTTTAAGTGCCGTCATGGGTGATGTATCCAAGATTACGCTGGCCACAAGAAAGCAGATCGCCCGGTGCAGCTTCATCTCGGAGGTGCTTTTTATGTACTGCCTGTTTGGTCTTCCGGTCCTCTCGTCCTACTCTCGCCGTTATGACCACACTTCTAGCAGCTTTATGCGACTGGGCACCTCCCCTACGGAATCTGTCAGCCAATTGGCTGCAGTGACCTTTCATCGGCTCCTTGACGCTTTCCCCCCGGAAAAGTTGTACCTTCGCGGCAACACGAAGGCAGAGCGAGAAAGAATGGTCATGCTTTCACCTTTCGAGCAAGTGGCCTGGCCCGCCGTCTTTTTCGAAGGACTGAGCAGCAACACAAGCCAACCCATGCGCATTTTCTCCTACCAAGACCTCGGCCTCGCCGTCGAGATAAAGTTGAATCCGCACAATGCGAAAATGATAAAACAGACGCTTCGTCCCTCGTTGCGCCCCCCGCGTCAAGGGTCGATCACCATGGCCACGCTTGTCGACGGCGGAATGGTTCCCATCCCGCAAAGCGAATTTGCACGCAAGATGGCGCACTTCGCGAAGCTCCAGGAGATCCGCGCACGCCGACAGAACAACACCGGAACATATCGGGACGCAACCCTTGACGAGCTCCGGAGTCAAGCTATGGTTTAAACAACGAATGAACATCAACTTCTAAAATGTGGTCCGCGGGGCGGACGAAAAACACACGACTACCTGTTCGACGAGGCTCGGCTGAGCTCCTCCGCCCCCCACAGGAAAGGGCAGCCGTTCCGTTTTATGCATTGCCAGGACACCAGCCTGGTGTCACAGACAGTCACCCTCACCACGGGTGCAATTCCGTACGACCATCGCCGATATCTTGATCTTCATCTCCATCAACATCTGCTCCTGCATATAGTTTTGTGACTTCACCTTTAGATTGCCAGGACAACTTGCACTTGGTCGTGGTGGTGTCAACTACATGTGGCCCGAAATAAGAGGATGCTGCACGTTCATTTTTAGAAGTTAAGACGTATTGTGCTTATACATAGTCCATTGAATTACGACTGTTCTTTGGAAAAGAAATGTGTCCGAGCAACTTTCGGCTACAACTTCTGTGCAAGCAGGATGATTACCACAACTGGTCGTGCTGCTACAAGTACGAAATCATCTTTTTCTTGTGAGGTAAATGGTATGAAAAGCAGCGTGAGCGTCAGGCTTCTATTTGTATTTTAATTTTTGTCTAAAGACCCGCACCACCATGGGTGACGTTCCTAGGACAAGCGGCTGTGTGCGTCACTCGCGATTTATTTGTTCCTGTTTTCATTCGCAGTCCACGCTCTTCTTGTTGATTTTTTTGTTTTCTTTTAGCTTTCGCTTCTCACTTTTTCGTGTCGGTTCAAACACCGCAGGGATCAAACAATCGACTGCAGTAACCACTGGCCTGGCTTGTTCCGACATGTTATAATTGTCTTCACAAATTTATCTAGTTCATCGTGCGTTCTTGCACTTGCTGCACCCTGGCCGCCCTTCGTTCATTCAACTCAGTCACCTTGTCGCAACACCAGTTGGAACAGCAACAACGAAATTTTGCTTCAGTGAAGAGCAACCAGATCCAGACCTTTGCTTTTTTCTTTTCCATGTCCATCAGCGTAGTTGTCCGCATGAAAAACAGCGTTCAACGTAGTACCTGCAGAAATAGTAAATAGGAATAGCGACAACTTCACTACAAAAAGAAAAAGTTGCAGAAATAACTATAAAACGCATTCCCACGACGAGCACGAACAACTTGTCATTATCATACAACGAATAAGTAGATACCACTACTAGTAAATCGCAGCTGGTAGACAAAAATGAGCAAACTGTTGCAAGTTTCGGTTTGCTGGTGTGCCCTCTTCGGCGTTTCGCTTTCCCGTGGCCGATCGAATTCTGGTGCTCCTTCTCAACAGGTAGGAGAGCAAAATAATCCGGCGAGTGCACCAGCTGCCGGACCTGCTAGTACCAGCTCCGGACCTGAATCTGCCGTAGGCGCCGTCGAAACTTCTACCAGGGAGCCAGAAGGGGAGGACTTTGTCCTGGTAGACGAAAACATGCTGTCAGATTTGGAGGACGACGGAGAGCTGGTATAGTTGTTGTGGATACACGCTCATATCAACATTTCCATCCGTAGGTATGTGTATCATACAATTTTCATCTACAACCCCTGCATAATCTCCATTTATTCATCAGTGTGTGTCAATATCTTGAAGCGTTCTTCTCCAAAGATTCTTATACTAACTTTATCCGTCTTGATCGCTCATCCGTATTTCTTACAACACGACGCAGGTATCAGAACCGGAAGGGGAGCAGCAAATTGACGACCCTATGGAGGGCGTGGTTGAGGAAGGAACAATCGCAGGAGCAACGACTGACACCATCCTGCAAACCCCTGGGCCGCAAAACTACAACTTCGCGGCCTTTCACGACGATGAGTTTCCGCTCCTGCCTCCGACGTACCACCAAGATCAGGAAGAGCAAGCTGCTAGTGCAGCTACACCAGCGCAGGACGCAGTGTTGCACCGCATCCCGAGCGTGTTCAGTCGCGGAAGCTTATCACAGGAAAAACAAAGTGTTAACGTTAACGGTTTTCACAGATTGCAGTCATGCATCACAAATGTAGCCCAATATGCATGACATACATGACAAATTATGACACGTCTTGTGATGCATTTCTGCATCACAAATTCCGCCAACGTTAACACTTTTTCTTGTGATGAAGCTCCACGGACACCAGCGTGAGTCTGGACAACGGGCGCGCACAGGATACGAATGTCGGGACCATTACTGCCATTACTTCTACAGTCGGAGGACAAGAGCGAGCCGGGCTGGAACTACAGGATGCTGGTGAGCAGGGAGCTACTGTCGTGTCGGCATCTTCTTCAAATCAGGACACTACTACAACCTCTTCGGCTGCGTCCAGCGCGATGCAACAAACCACTAACACGGACGAGCAGGCTTCTTCTGCGCAAGAACTTTCTGTAAACACGGTGAATAATTATACCGGCAGCGCGGCTGCATCTTGTGCCGCACAGCCGTTGGAAACCCTGGCGCACTTTCTCGATGTGGAAGAAAACGACGCACGCCTGTTGACCACCGGCGCAGGTGGGGCAGCTACCGGTGCAACGGTATGGATTGTAAAAATGTCTGGGTCTGGAAGAGTGCAAACTTGTCATGCAGATTTTCCATGACCCTTGAGGTCTGGAATGCGGGACCTAGCATGACAGAGTCTGTGGGGTCGCTCTCATGCCTATCCTGCATGAGAAACTCCCTCTCAACTTGGTCGAAAGTGGACAGCTCTTGGCAGTCATGCAACACAGTTTTTTGCCTGGTTCAGATTTAGCATGACAAGTTGCATTCTTCCAGACCCAGACATTTTTCCATCTGATAAACGGAGGACAGTGACAATAGCGATCGTTTCATGAACGAGCGGGACTTTTTATCAAACAAAAAAGTGTTAACGTTAACGGTTTTCACAGACACAGATGGCAGTCATGCATTACAAGTTTTGCCCTTCATGCATGCTGCGCAATACAAATTTGCGCACCTTTTCTGATGCATTACTGCATCACAAATTCCGTTAACGTTAACACTTTTTCTTGGGATACTTTTGGTGGTGGCGGCAGCAGAGTGACGATGAAGATGACGGGGAGAATGGCGAGGAGACGACCAACGGAAGCGCCGAGGACCCCAGCTCCTACTATTACGGCCAGGCCTGGGAGGCGCAGAATGGCTTCGACGCACAGCAGCAGCAGCAACCCACCGCGTCCGCCTACAACCGTACATTTATACGGTTTTCACTGATTTAGACTTTCGCTTTCCGTCGCTTGCAGGCAGTCATGTAGACTACATGACTATGTAGCATCGTATGCACAAATATTAAGCTCAAGTCTGGATTTGGAAGGAAGAAACACTAGCGTCTTTTTCTCGTTTCGTATGTTACTTTCGTATATTTTTCGTGCAATTCATCATTCTCCTACTAGATCGAACATCAAAATTCAAAATAACAGATGACGAGCTGTCCACGCCGATCAGCTACCGCCGGCAAGGATTCCTGTCGCCGAGGCACGAAACGCACTTTGGAATGGTCTAGGGTGAACTCGGAAGCACGACCACACGCAAAAATGTCGAGAACTAACAAAACATACGGGTAGCACGCGCCAAGGACTCAACATTAGAATTCAACCGCACTTATCTTCTTCCGCACCGATATCAGAAAAACTTGCACTCCTGTTTATCTTCCTACACTTTTAGTTCTTAAAAATTTGTACGCCACACATGATATACGCAGCATCGTTTTCGTTTCATATTCGTCGTGTGTAATCGATTGATTTTTTGACTCTGTGAAACTGTAACTTTCTGAATGAAAAACAGCTTGAAACTTCTTTACACAAGATGAAAAATAGCTAGAGGAAAACCTCGATTTTCTCTTTAGTTCTTATCTGCGAAAGTCCTAATTTTATGCGATGATCATGATGGTTTTGAGTTTGAGTTTGACGATTATAGAATACAGAACATGTTGACAATTAAGAATCCACCGCGTGCTACTTTTCTTTCGTTTTACTGACCTGCAAATGCACACAGAACTCCAACGCATCGTAGTGTTGCCTAAACCTTTACCTTGAGAATCTAGCCGCATCGTATATGTAAATGTTCAGAGCAGCGCAAATAGCCGTCACTTCTGCGTCGCTCGACTCTGGGCATACTTTGCGCTCATGTTGTTCGCGTAGCTGTGATTGAATCTTAATCTCCTGAGACAGAAATAGGAATCTGTAGCAATCGGGCAGGTACCACGATGGGGTGAGAACAGCTTCTACTTTCTGATGTACGAACGACCAAAAAATACCAAGATCCACGAATTTGTTGAGATATGCAAGGTGACGACGTTCTTGCACCAGCGCCTTGACCTCCGGCCCTTTCTTTGCAATTATCCAAAACACACATTCGTCATTAATCGCTTGTCAGCTACAATAAATGTAAATCATGAGGTTTAATATTCAACATCCGGCACGGGCTCTACTTCAACCAGCGATGCTCGGGCCACGCCCGTTTGCCTGCGGGCAGAGAAGCCTATCAGGCTTGGCAGCGCGTTGCTCTAACGAAAAGCAGTACTGCTCAGGTTCTACTGGCACAGTACGACAACTATCGAGAATACCACGACGTGGGCATGCGAAGAGCACCAGTGGTCTTAGTGTTGGCCTGCGATGGCAACATTCCTCAGCACTCAGCGCTGAAGGTGGCGCGGCGGTGGTGGACCACACTACCGAAAGCAACTCGCTAGTCATTCAACTAGGAAGACCAACAGAAGGAGATGCAGATGAAAAAATCACGGAGATTCTCCTCGTCGTCCCTCGTTTCAAGGACGAGGAGCCGACCAAGCTGCTTCCCGAGCCGGTTGTCAATTTTCTTACGGAGAATGGGGTTCGCTTCGAGGCGAAGACCGTCGGTGCCACAACGTGGGTATACAACCCCAGCAACCCAAGTTCTTCAGGTGAAGCACCAGCTTCGGAGTCCGAGAGGACTGGATCTCGGATAAAAAGAACCCTTCTTGTAGGTCTTGGAGAGTCGTCCAAGCTCACCTGCCACAGACTTCTCACCGCGGTAAACGCTGCACGTGCGGCCCTCGACGCACAGAAGGTCTCGGAGGCGACACTCACCGTTCTGTCGCCGGCACGTGGTGCGGCTGATGGCCTGGAGCAGCAAAAAGATCATACTACGTGGTCAACATCTTCTTCGGTATTCCCGGTTGAGAGCACGCCCAATATTGTCGTTGCGGATCAGGAGGAAATCGTTGAGGCTGGGGCTGATTGCTCTTTCCATATCACTCCGCGCACCCTCACGGAAGCGTTTTTCGATGCGAGCTACAAATTTGACCAGCTGCGCAAGAAAAAAAGCGCTCACGAGAACGAGAAACCAAGTAAAAACTCGCGGCCTCCGACAAGGCATATTTGGCTCGCCGCACCATCTCCATCATCGTCGACTTCAGAATCATCCGCAGAGCTGCACGAGGACCAGCCTAGCTTTTACTCTAGTTGCGAATTCGGCAGTGCTGTCGCAGCCGGCAGTGCTTATGCACGGACCTTGAAGAACCTCCCCGCCAACATTTGCAACACGGATTACATGGTCTCCGAACTTGAGAAGCTCGCGCGGCAGGATCGCGAAAATGATCAAGGCGGGAACAAGATCATGATGAACAATTTCTCAAATCTGACCGTCTTCGCAACAAAGGAACTGGAAGCCATGGGTTTTGGGTGTCTGACCGCGGTAGGCCGCGGCAGCGCCACCGAGTCGTATTTGACGCGTTTAGAGTGGAGACATGCGGGTGGTGGGCCAAGCGGTGGACAGCACGGAAGAATAAATAGAGAAAAGACCATCGTTCTCGTCGGCAAGGGTGTCGTTCACGATTCCGGGGGGTTAAATTTGAAGCTCGGCTCTGGCATGTCCGCTATGAAGATGGACATGGGCGGCGCGGCCTGCGTGCTCGGTGTGTTGAAAGCGCTCAGCCAGCTTTTCCCGCCTGATGGTGAAGGTCGCGGCAGCACTGCTGGGCTACAAACACTAAACACGGAGAACAAGTCCACCGGCGAGACAATAAACCACGGCACTCAGCCTGTGCGCGTCGTCGGTATTCTTCCCCTGGTGGAAAACTCAATCAGCGGCTCCGCCTACCGCCCCGGCGACGTGCTGACAAGTTTGGATGGCTTGACGGTCGAGGTGAACAACACGGACGCGGAGGGGCGGTTGATTCTGTGCGACGCGTTAACCTGGGCCCAGCAACAGTACCCGGACGCGGATTGTTTCATCGACATCGCAACCTTGATATGCATTGCAAAAGTATCGTACTAGTATAAATTGCATCACACATTTTTTCAAGAAGAAAAATGAAATGCTGATTTACCTAGAAAGGGATGTTTGTCATGCATGATCGCAATTACTACGAGTACGATACTTTTGCGCAGGATACTTGACCGGCGCCATGGTGACCGCGGTCGGCCCGGATTTTTCCGGGCTGTTCACCAACTGCAGCCAGCTGAAAAACGAGCTTTTACGCGCCGGCTTGTCCAGCGGGGACCGGGCCTGGCCGTTTCCGCTGGTGGAGGCGGGGGAAAGGTACGAGGACATGCTCAAGTCCAAATATGCGGACCTGAGCAACTATCCAGTGTAAAAGCAGCGTACTTGTAGCTACTGCTGTTGGACTGCATGACAAACCTAGCTTCTATACCCTAGTAATCAGCATGACAAATTCCATTTTTCCTTCTGTAAAAGTTTGTCATGTAACTTTTCCAAAGACGAAGCACAAGCAACAGTACCATAGTACAACTTTTGCAATGCATAGTAACATCGGGAGCTCGGGGGCGGCGGGCAGCATCACCGCCGCGCTGTTTTTGAAACAATTTATTACGGGGAAAAATCGGTGGGCGCACCTTGACATCGCCGGGAGCGCGATGGGCGGGAGCTTCGACAAAGCCAGTGCGACGGGGAGGCCAGTGCCCCTGCTAGTGGAGTTCATCGCGAAGAAAATTTTGGGAATGGGGTAGGAAGTGACCGATTATATCGGCATTCGCGTCGGAACCACGACGCGCTCAGTCAATGAAGAACACGACGCGCTCAGTCACTTTGCTCCGCAGGAAATGCGAGGAACCACGACGCGCTCAGTCAATGAAGAACGAACACAGGAGTTACACCCCAGAGCTACTAGACCTAGAGAACAAAGAGAAAGACGCAGCTTGATACCATCTCTTTGGTATTCTTCTTCTTTCATCTACTGGAAAACTTTTTATTTTAGAAAAAAGTAACTCTTCGCTTGCAGCTTGCGACTACCTGGAAGATAAGCATCTGACTCCGCGCTGCTTTGAAGATTTGGACTATTACCATTGTCGGTACTTGCACGAACTTGGATGAAAGTTGTCGGTATGCGTTGCAGAAGCTGTCAGCCGAGCTGCAGTTCCCGCACAGTATCTACTTGCACGTCGGTCACTATCGTTCATGCCGAACCACAAAGAAATACCACGTACATCGGTAAGAAATAACCCGTCCATCACGTCGAACCTTCGTGCTCATACAGGAAGACGTCGAAATACATGCCGGTAATGAAGATACATATCAATCGGTATCCATAGGATTGTGCTCGTCCTCGTGCCACAGCTGATATAATTTTGTCGTCCTTCCCATCCATGAAGTAATCCAACATATTCCTCGTTCGTTTTCGTGCTAGCGTCGTTCTTGTTCTTTTCATCAATATTGATCATGGATTTCTTTTCCGTACCCCATGCCCGCTACAGCCAAGCAATCGCATCTCAACATGCCAAACCCCAAAATTTTTGTTCGTTGCCACAAAATTAAGAAAATGCTCTCTTCAAAATCAAAACTTCTAAGGCCTCCACATATTTCTACACCCAACTTTTGGTTTTGCAATGATGTTGACGTGGTCATATTAATTTGACGGACCAACTCCTCCATCACTCTAAAAAATTTAAGCCCGATCAATTTATGGCCACCTCGTCAACAGCCTTGACCCGGCGTCCCCCACGTTCTGTTGGTCCCCTCAACCTGAACAAACTATGAGCACCATCGATCCCCGGTACCTTCGTCTCTCCGGCGCGCAGCTGGCCCACCGCCACAGCACAGCCGAAGGGAAGAACGAGCAGATTGTCTATGCTCTCTGGAAGGACATCACGAGCTCCCTCGAACGATCGGAGAGCCACAAAACCGAGGCGGCGGCGCTGATGGCGGCGATTCGGTACCGGGTTCGCGGCTACCCGGAGAAATTACCCGCGATTTTGTCGAAGCTGGTGCGGTTTTTTTCCACAAACTTCGAGGACGTGAGCGACGAGCGGTTTGAGATGGCGGCGGATTTGGTGCGGGCGGAGCTGCCCGACGCCCGGGCGGGGGAAATTGTGTTCTGGGTCTTGCGCGGCATTCTCGTGGACGACGCGACATCGGTTTTGTGTCATATTGTGGCGCTCATGGAGGAGGAACTGCCGAATTTGCCGATTGTGGATAAGATCCAAAAAGCGCTCGTGTTGGTTCACCTCTACTACAACAGTTCGGAAGTGGAAGAACAGCAGGAACTGCAGCAAACGCAGTACATTTCCGCCCCAGTAGGAGAGAAACAATTGCAGGACATGACGTTCCAACAGGGCTACGACTTCGCTGACTACAGCAACACGCTGAACAGCGGCACAGCAATGCCCTCGAAAGGCATCAAGCGGCCGCGCGCGGAGGGCGAGGCCAAGCCCGATGAACCAGAAGGGGAGGTCCGGCCGCTGAAAAACCAGGGACGACGAGGCGGACCAGGGTATTACAACGAGTTCGACGCGTTGCGGCGCGATTCTTCCGCGTACTCCAGCATCAACAGCAGCATTTCCCGGTCCTCTGGCCAACCGAGTCGGCGGAGCGCGCAGTCCGTAGCGAGAGTGGAGCCGACCGAGGAATACGGTGTGGTGAATACGTTTCTGGGAAAAATGTCCAGCGAAGGCGAGGGGGCGGAACAGTCGCGCATGGAGGCGATGCGCGATAGTGCGGTGGAGCAACAGGCTGGTGGAGTTGAACCCCAAGCGAGTATGCGGGGCGCCACGGACTCCGCCATTTCGATTTCCTCGGCCGGGAGCAATTCTATCAGCATCCAGGGCAGTGTCCGAAAGTCCAGCCAGATGCAGAGCCAGGCTGGTGTAGTACCGTCTCGCGGAAGCAGCTCCGCCGTTAACTACAATACGTCAATTAGCTACGGCACCGGCGACTACCCGCGCCGGGAAGAGGACAATCCGACAGTGGTCATGCAGTCGAGGCAAGACAGCTCGCAAATACCCAGATCGACGCGGGAAAACGAGTCAACCGGGTTTTTCCTCGCGCCAATGACGTCGTCTGCCGGTGCCTCATCAGGAGGAGGCCGGGCAGCAGGAGCCTCCTCTACTTCTGCATCCAGAACGCACAGCACTTTTAACGAGAGTGTGAAAATACCGTCGAGGTTTGACCCGAAGTCCTCGACTTCCTCCAGTTCGACGTTCCGGTCCAGCTCGAGTTCTAACAACAGCAGCATGCGGGACCCGTCCAGCAGCTTCAGCACGGGGTTTGCCGTACCGTTGGCCACACAAACAATGTCAATGGCAGCTCGGGGCTTCAACAGCAGTACTTCCGGGCGTCCAACAGGACCGTCCAGCGCGTCCAGAGGTGGGAGCAGTGCTGTCCAGAGGACAAAATCATTTCCGATCGTCGACACCAACTACCGACCAAGAATCCCTTCGGAATCGCCGCGCGACCACGAACCGGTGGATTCCAACCCGATGACCGCGGTGCAGATGTCGATCAAGAATATCGAGAAAACGGTCACTAACGTTGTTGCTGCGAAAGCGGGCGAGCAGCAGCGCCCGAGCGAGATGTTTGACCAGCAGGGCAGTACGCGAGCGCTCATCGCCAACGCGGAGCGAACGGTGGTGAATGCACAGGTCACGGAACCAATAACGAGCAGTGATGTGGCCGCGCCACCACTTTCGGCGGCGCTTGCGGTGCCGCGGGCGAATCCCAGCACGGCGTCAAGTGTAGCTGATCCTGGGTCCGCTCGCGGTTCGAACAATCCTTCGAGGACGGAGGAAAATTCGCTCTTGAGAATGCTGAATCAACAGCAGCAGGCAAGCAAACAGTCGTCCGCGCAGCGGATCGCGATGGAACGTTACGGGCGTGAGGGGCCCAGTCTGGCCGCCCCGGCGGACGCGCCGGTGTATCCTGCGAGTGCCCAGAACAAGTTGCGACCTCTGACGCTGCGCGACATGCTGGATCCGACGGACGCCGGAAACTTAACCGCGGCGGAAAAAAGCCGCATTCGCGCATACAACCCCTCCCGGGACGCGATGGGGGACGTGATGCAACGCCCCCCACCACAAACGCCCGAGGACATTAGTGCGAAGAAGCGGGTGCCGCTGCTCGAGGTGTTAGCCAAGGTGTGTGACGCGGAGTGGAAGCGGACGAACCCCGCGGCGGAGGAGTCGTACCTCCCGCACGACTCCGCGGTGAAAGATTTGTCCAACCTGCGGAAACAGATCCTGCGCGCCATCACCTCCGGATCCTGGGAGAACTACGGCATTGTGAATGCGAAATTCGAATCCATTATGCACACCGACGCGATCGGCGCGTACAAGGCGACGCAGAGCCAGCCGGTGGGGCAGAAACTGGCGATGAAGTACGGGGAGACGCCGCAGACCCTGGAAATGATGGCGGTCCAGTGCGCGACCAACCCGTTTGTGCTGCAAAACGCTTCGCAGTACCGGGTCAACCGCGGGGAGTACTTGCAGGATATGGGCCGGGTATTATCTGAGATTGAGAACGAAGGGCGGGGCAGTCTGTTTCTCGCGATGGCGGGTGAGGAAGGGAACGAAACCCTGGTCCAGCAAGCTTTAAAGCCTTACGAAATGTTGCAACAAAACATGGCCACCGCACTCGGACACAACCCCTCAGCACCGGGTACTACGGGCAATGCGACTCCGAGAACTAGGGGCAATAATTCGACGGAGCAAGTGCAGGCTTCGGAATATAATTTCAACAATATGGATCAAAACATCAACAACTCAAGCCGCAGTTTGACAAATTCCCTGTCCCCAAGGGAGAAGGAGATCAACGTGTTCCTGATGTCCACGAACAAACACCACGCTGGCGCCGACGGGACAGACCCAGCAACCCTGTTGAGCACCCCACCAAACAGCCGGGAACTGAAAGACCCGAGCTTTGTGTTGCTATCCTGTGCAAAAGTATCGTACTCGTAGTAATCGCAATCATGCATTACAAATCTTTATCCCATGGCAAAACAGCATGACAAATTCCATTTGTCATGCTGAGCTAATTTGTATTGCAATTACTACTAGTACGATACTTTTGCAGTTCATAGTTGCAAATGGACGACAACGGGGTCACGAACTTCTTTGACCAAGTGATCGTGGGTATGAACGGACAAAATACAACTTGACCCCAGAAAGAGCATAGAGCGCCACGAGAATGAAACTAGCGACCTACGAGAATGAGGAAGCAAATGGGGCCCCACCCGCTTACAACTTTTCCCGCTCCGGACGGGGTAGAGGCTGCACTTTTCATAGGGCTTGTGCCCGTTTTTTCGCGCAAAGCTACTTGTTTTGCGCGCGGTTTTTCTCCGCTCGAGCGGTCGGGTGGAGAAAAACTGCATTACAAAATTGGAAAACCGGCCGGATGCAGATGCAGCTTTTCTCCCCGCAGGAGAAAAGCCGCATCACAAATTCGCAAACTCCGCTTCCTGCGGTTGGAGAAAGACCGCGCCTCCGGTTCTCCGCATTACAAATGCGGAAAGGTGACCTTTCCGCATTACAAGTGCGGAAAGGTGCCCATAGCCATTGCATTTGTAATGCGGAGAGCCCGACCTTTCAAAGGTCGGGCTCTCCGCATTACAAATGCAATGGGCGGAAAGGTCGGGCTCTCCGCGTTACAAATGCGGAGTGCGGGGCTTCCCAGAGCTCGGGGTTCGGGTTGTGGGTAAAATGGGGAAAGGGGAAAGCCCGGAGCCTCGGGTTCTCCGCAACCCGGGCTCTTCTCCGCATTACAAATCCCCCCACCCCTTTCGCCACAAGCGGCTGCTGCAGCCGCTGCACACCGTCGGGCGCAACCTTTTGCGCGATGCTATCCCCAAGCAGCAATATTCGCACTCCCGATAGCATCGAGCGTGAGGCTATGCTGCATGGTATCGCTGCGTGCGAATTTCCCTCGCAGCCATACCATGCTGCATTAGGTTACGCACGACCTGTGGCTGTCTTTCTCTGCCCCCCTTGGGCGTTGTGCAGCTTCTTTTTACCCTCAAACACGACCGGACCCCGGGAAAAGTTGTGGTTTAGGGAGGAAGCACAACTTTTCCGCGGACCACCCCAAGCCGGCCCCGCGGTGCCGCTTCTCCCGCATGAAGCCACGGGGTTGCGCGGGCCCTCGTGCAGTCAATGGTCCAAATTCCCGCGGCGCTCGGTGTTTCGCAAGCATACACCTCCGCAGAGAGACACGGCCGATTTTTGGCGTTTGCCGTTTTTGCGCCGGGCCCCGAGGGTCCGGTCGCTAGCAATGAGGGGCCAGCGCGCGCCTTCGTTGTGTAGCCGGCGCGCTTTTTGTGGCAGGCTGCGCGCCTTTTCGTTTTGTTTTTTTCGTTTCTGTTCCTGTTGGGGTCCAAAGACAGGGCGCGGAACTAGGGGCGCCGGTGCGCTGGCGGTGTTTCTGGGGCAGCGCCAGCAGCGATGCTTCAAGCGGAGGGGGGGGGGCATGCAAAAAGGGGTCGCGCTCTGCAAAAAGCAGCTCTGCAAAAAGGGGTCACGAACTTCTTTGACCAAGTGATCGTGGGCCCGCACGATCCCTAAATCGGAAACATCAATCCGCATGCCTATAGGGGAAAACCCTAAACCCTTTGCGACCGAACGCCCGCATGGAGTACTCCCACGAGCTAGCTGGCGGCCCCGGCTGCGCGACCGGGTCCGGAGGGGAGCGTGGGCAAGAGAGGCGTTGCTCCAGTGAAGTGCAACGCCCATGACCTTTTTTTCTTCGTTGCCCGGGTGCGCGCAGCCAGCGCCCTTCCCGGCGGCGATCACCTCCGACCGCCACGACCCTCTGACCCCCGGTCACGTGCCGTCCGGCTGGCCGGACGGACGTGACCCGCCCGGTCACGTCTAGGCTCCTTGTTATCTTGTAATAATTTTTAGGGCAGGGGACCTAAGGCCCACCCACCTGGGTGGGTCGAAGGTCCCCTGAGGACCTAAGCGGACATTTTGTGACCCTCTTCTAAGCTACTCAAAAAGTCGCGGCGCGCGCGGCGCTTTTATTTTGAGGGCCAGCGCACTGGCGTGCAGATTTGGCCCGGGGATGTCGTGCGAAAAAAACGCGGGAAACCAGGGCCAACACAAAGAAGGCCAGCAACCGCGCCCGCAAATCGGGGGGGAAGACTGACAGACACCCGGCGGGCCCGGCAACGCATTATACGGGGCGCGCCTCGCCTGTTTAGTTTCTTTCTTTGTTTGTTAGTACGGGGTCACGAACTTCTTTGACCAAGTGATCGTGGGCCCGCACGAAGTCATCACCGAGGGCGTGAATTTCAACGTGAAACAAACGGAAAACTTGCCGTTTCGCCAGACCGTCGACTACAACCCTCGAAATTTCTCGGTTGCGTATCAAGGCGCGGGCGCGCAAACAGCGACGAAAATTATAGGTGCAAACAATAGTCCGCGGCAGCCAACGCGCGCGAACAACAATAACATACCCGAGGCAATACCCGAACAGCAGGAGTACGAGTCGTCAAACGAGAATAACGACAAAAAGAATGAGGAATACATCCTTCCTCCCAAGAACGACAATAATCTACCGCCAGCAGGGAAGAAGAAAACGGTTTCCGCAAGTGTACAGAGCTACACGCAAAATCAGCGACAGGACCTGCTCTCGAAAATACCAGGCGGCACGACGAAAAACGCGCAGGAGGGGTACAGTGCCAATCAGCGCGACAACCTGCTTTCCAAAATGCCGTTTTGATGCGGAAGGGCCTTTTGGGTGCAGTGCTTCTGCGCCCTTGTTTTAATTATTCATTTGTTTTTTTCTTTTTTTATTTCGTAAGTGAGTCTATGATCATGCGCATCAAGCGCTGCAGTCCCTAAGTTGTAGACGTTTACTCACAGACATTCGACTTGAGTATATTAGAGATTGAGATACTACTTGTACTACAACTTCTAAGTACAATATCACACCGTGCTGCAACTGCAAGAAAATCGGCTGGGGACGACACTTGATTCAACTACAGTCCCATCAGATCTGGGAGTTTTCTGCCAATCGGAAAAGCTTGAGGACACAGAGACCCAGTGCCGCATGTTGCGAGTCTATTTCGGATATCAATATTCCTTCATCTTTTGCATTCAGGTTCAGACCGAAGATATTTGACAACATTATGAACTTGAAAACAACTACAGGTTGGTCGTCACCACCTGTGGTTTTTTTTGCCGCGCAGGCTTTTCCTTTTTGCTCTTGCGCGTTTTTGCTGTTCACATTCGAAGGTGGCACAAGCACACGGTTTGAGAGCAGTCCATGCTGATGTGCTGCGCGCGTCTCATTGGTGCAGCCGCACCAATCTTGTTGTGCCCCGCCCATGGTTAACTACTCACAGAGAGATTTATTTTATGACCGTACGTATCCCGGCGCGTAAGTACATACAATATCACGATCATCATGACCGTGACTGCGTAAATTGGTTGCCAGCACGCACAAGAACATTCCTACCGTTCAGAACGACGGCCTTGTGAGTGTGTGGAGTAACGTAAGTACATCAAGGTCAACATCAAGTACCAAAACGCAGAGGAGTGTTTTTACGTACCTGATCGATCCTTCAATGTTGTTGATCAACTAGCGCCAGAATCATGGTCGTCGGTGAAGACGTACTAGATTTCTTTGGAGATAACATTTCGCACAGCAGCACGTCCCAACCCGAAAACTCCACCCGTGTTGGTGGTTTGCCGCACCAGTCACCGGCCACCGGTACTGCTCCTACTACCACCTCTACGACCAACATGGCAATCGACGACTGGCTAGCAAGTTCTCCTCCGCGGAGCCATAAAATGCCTGCGACGACCGGAAATAACTACACAAAGCCGGTAGCAGCTGCGTCTAGCAATTTTGATGACGATTGGTTGTTCGGATCGCTGAGTTCTTCTAGCACGGAGAAGAAGAAAAATGAGGGGATCAGTTCCACAGCATCCATGTCGACGTCCACAGGGAACAGCAGCAGCACGGGAAGAACTTCTACGCCTACCAGTGGCGCAAGTTCTTCTATGCACCACCAGCTTCGTCCGGGCGGGGGCGGCAATGGCAACCTCAACCACAATCCGAGTAGTTCCTCTGCCAGTAGTTCGTCTAACTCCAGTGCTGGCCTGAGCGATGACTACCTCTACGTCGACTCCGAGACGCAGAGTGTGCAGCTGACAGGAGGGTCGACGTCAGGGACAAGTAGAACTACAGCTCGGACGTCGGCTCCTTCTGCGCAACAGATGGTTTCTACGCCGACCACTACTTCTGGTCGCCAACAGGAACTACAGCACGTGCACCCTCCGTCTCAATCCTCCCGAGCAGCACAACAGCTACATGAGGACTCATCTTCAAAAGTCGATCCTTTTTACAACAATCTTTCCACAACTACATCAAGTCGGGTGAGTTCGAAGGAAGGAAACAGCACGAATCAAAGCTTTTCCGTGGAGGACGACGTATGCACTGCAAAAGTACCGTACTCGTAGTACTAATTGCTATCATGCATGACAAACATCCCTTTTTAGGTAAATCAGCATCACAAATTCCATTTTTCTTCTTGAAAAAAATTGTGATGCAATTTATACTAGTACGATACTTTTGCAATGCATACGACGATGTGGGGTACGATGTGAACATCAAGTTGGAGCAAGGTGACGACGAGCACCCAGGAACAAACGCTCATGAGAATAGTAGCAGCTCCGGCAGTAACAATACTAATTCCGGCACGAAGATGAACAATAAGCCCTCCGGCGCGCCGGAGTATTTTTCCATGGTTTCGAACGACTCACCGCCACGAAATCAAGATATGGCGTTCTCAAACGTTACATTCTCAACTGTTGCATGGATTTGTGATGCAAAAACAGCAATAGGGAAAGGGGCGAGCTTGCAAGTCTCGCATCACAAATTTGGCACAGATTTAGACGCTGCCTAGCCCTTCGAGACTTTCTCATGCGAAGCAGCTTGATAGTCTGGAGGCTCATGATCATTTTGCATGACAAATCATGTAACAGTTGAGAATGTAACAGTTGAGAGCCCCATACAAGAGCAAGGAAATTTTGGAGATTCTCAAATGAGTCCAGAAGTAAACTCATCATCGATAGCGAACACAGGAGCTGACGATGATGGAGCTCCTACTTCTGCAGGTGGACCCGGTGCACCAGCTGCGTCCTCGAGTACCAGCAAGCCGTTTTGCTACCAGACCTTCGTCACTGAGGTGTTGAAGCACCCCAGTGCCACGCCCACGATACACAACGCCAAGCTGTTTGTGGACCAGGTAAGTATCTTCATATATTAATCGTTAGAGTGCAAACTAGCCTTTCTCGGCTGGATCCCCTTGTACAGCACGACCACGGAACATTCAGAATGAAGAAAATGAATTTTCTTTGAGGAGAAAACTTGATGCAAAAATGAGGCATGATGTACAACTACCTCGCGTTTGCAATCTATCGCGCCCAATAATAAATAATGCAGGTGAACAACCTCGCACCGGAAAAGCGCGGTGCAGCCATCGCATCCTTCCGAGCTTACATCCCAAAGCTGCATGCAAAACTGATGGAGGCTGAGATCTATGAGGAGTATAATTTTGAGGCAATCAATTTGTGGTGCTTCTTCTTTCTTGTAGATTGTTGGAATGAATATGAAACTGCGCAAATCTTATTTAAGCATATTTCTATGATCCACCAGACTCCTCGTGGTCCTCTTCTACATCTAGCAATTACATCCGCACCAGGGCCGACGACCAGTCTAAGCAATACGCGCTCGAAGGGCTGGAAAAGTTTGTCGCGACCAAAATTTACAATTCCGTTTTTCGCATCCATCCGGAGGACGATGGTCGACGGGATCGGAACGTCTCCACAAAACTCACCTCGCTCAAGTGGGTCAAGCTGCACCGCCATCTCGGTACTACTTATATGAATGCGGAATGCCCAACATGTAGTAACAATAATGTGGTCGAGCGCAAAAGCAGATGAACAAAAACTTCTACAAGCAAGTCAGGGTGTGAGTGTCAGCAGGCACGCCAGCATTATTACGTAGCAGAAAAAAAAAATGAATGTTCTTCGTACGTGTTTCAATTAATTTTTCTATCACACAGACGTGAGCGAAGCGGTTGCCGAGCACCCAAAACTGGAAGTGGCCAAGGATTTTTTTACGCGGCTGAACGAGTACAAAGCCCCCCGGGACAAGCTGATCTGCCTCCAGAACGTGTGCAAAGTTCTCCTGACCTGCCTCGAACAGTGCAGTAACGGCTCCTCGGCCGGGGCGGACGATCTCCTGCCAGTGCTGCTTTTCGTGCTGATCCAGGTCAACCCGCCGAACTTGCACAGCAATTTGGAGTTTATCTCCAATTTTCACCAGCAGCTGGTCGAGGAGGGCTTGTACTACCTGACTACAGTGAAGTCCGCGTTGGAATTCCTTCGTTCTATGGACCACACGGCCCTATCTAACGTGGACAAGGGCGAGTTTGAGTTTAACTGCGAAGACATTCTGCGCCCCTTGGGGCTCGCGTTGGAACCCGAGCCGGGGGAACCGGGGTTTCTTGACGGCGGGAATAATGGTGGACCGGGAGGCGGAGCGTCGTCGTCGTCTACCCATGGGAGCAAGGGCAGAAAGGCGGGTGGAAGAAATAACGCGAACAGGGACAACACTAGTGGTGCAACGAGTTCTAGCAACCAAGAGCAGCAGGGGTCCACACCTTTGAGCTTTCTCGGCGCTGCGAAAAGCATGTTCAATCTCGGTGGAGGCGGAGGTGGATCATCTTCGGCTTCGAATAGCAACAAGGACAGTAAGAATACCGGTAACATGGCGGAAAACAACACAGCCAACACGACCCCGTCCGGAACGGACCACGGCGATATTAGCACAGTCGACGGAACATTATCAACGAATGGCAAAACACCAAGGAGCTCGGCGTCTTCTTCTCAGAATAATGCTGGTGCATCGGAAAACTACAACAGAAGTTCGTCCGGTGGAGCAAATTATCAGGGCCGATCGTTATCGCACGAGGAAATCATGCAAAAGTGTCGGCAGGAGCTGGAGGCCACCCATCTCGTGGTCCCCTTAGATGACGACCGGCGCCTGATGCTGCGGGAGTTTGAGCACCACTTCAACGCGCACAAAATGGACTCACTGACCATCCGTGAGGTGCCCCAGCTACTCTCGGATTACAAGGCACTGTCCCGGTTTTTTCAGATCCTCCAGAAAACCTACCACGAACAGCTGAAAAGGAAAAAGAAGTGAGAGAAATGTACGGAGGACGTCAGCCCACGGCGAGGAAGGCATTTTCTGAATTCTGTCTTGGCTCTACATCTCCTTCTCCCAGCATAGCATGCGGCCGGACAGACTGTATGCTCGACAAATTTTGCAAATGTTACACGACCTGACTTCGAGGTCATCGTCATCATTCGTCATGGTAGAAGTACAGGCCAGTGGAAACCTAGCAGGGGAAGGCGAGCCACCATGGAAGATAGGGCGATAAAGCAGCTGATCATTTTCTGCTCGTCTTGCTTTTCCTTGCATTTTCTTTTCGAAGAAAGAGAAACAGCATGTGAATGATGTTGAAAGAGCATATTGTTTTTGATTTTGCGTCATCATGGCCTTTCTTCGCATGAAATTAGTAGATGAGAAGAACAGGTCCAGGTGCTGCGCATCACCTCCAGTTGTGGAGGCTTGAGCAGGGAGAAGTCCAAACTTCTTGTCTTCAGACCTTTCGCTGCATAATTCAATAAGGTTGAAGCGATTTTTGATTCAAACAAATCTTGTTCAATCTTCATGATCCCTGTGCTAGTACTTATTAATCCACCAACTGAAAAGTATTTTTTTTTGACACCAACTCCAACCAGAGCCCGTTGCCACCCAGCCCTGTGTAGTCGCGTCTGAGAGAAGACTCACGACGTTCTTGATGTTGAGAGATTTTTTGTCGGTTTTTCTTGTGCCCCGAGAATACAACAGGATGTCTTGCATGGATCACTCTCCACTGGCACCGCAGGCGCAGACACCCTTCTTTCTAGTATAGTCCCGCCCATCTTAAGTTTCCTACCCGATTGACAGTGATCTGATCGTGATCACCGGCTTTCTTCCCCCACCTGCCTCCTCAAGTATTCGGTTTTATGAATCAGACTCTCAGTTCTCTACGTCTGGACGACTTCGGGTGTTAGTTTTGTTTTTCAAAAGATGACTCTGCACGATCTGGACGGGGATGCGATCGATGTTGAAGAGGCCAGCACCTCGAAAGGAACTTCTTTCTGCCAAACTGGAACTTGCGGACGCAGGAGAAAAAAGCCTACCCAACCTGATTTAACCACCAACGACTACTCCTACGTCCTGTTTCCCGAAGACACTACAGTCGCACGACCACCAGTACAGGTACATGCAGCAATGTTGTTGGCCGGGGACGAGAACTATCGTATGGGAAACCCCCCGACAGCTGCCGGAATACACGAGGAACGTCGTTGGTACCACTTCCGGTGGCGATTTTTGTGTGAAGACACGGAAGCGGACGCGACCTGCTGTGAAGACGCTTGGTGATACATAAAGTACTTTCTCGGGGTCTGGTTCGGCTCCTTGAGTGCACTCGCTATCGGCTCCTATCTGGTCTTCCGGTGGGTGCACGCTGAATTTCCATCCTCCGGTGGAGACGACGTCGCAAACGATCTACAACAACTTTTGTCGACGACAATTTCCAATACCAATGCAAGCCCGGTAGGAACCACGACGGTCCTTGCTGCTTCGTCGTTTATCTCTGGCGCTACTCCTGTCGCTGCAACGACGGCCCCAGGAAATGTGGTGGCGGGGGCCTCGTTGAGCGGTTTTCTACCGATTAGAACAAATGGGTAAAAAGCTGCTAAACGGTGAAATCTGTATGTCGATTACCAATATAAGCGCCTCGGCTCACATAAAGCTTAATATGACAGCAAACTATGCTCTTGCCGTAATGTTGAGTTTCAACATCCTACCAATCTCACAATTCTTGTGATTTGCGATTTCACGCCGGTCGTCCAGTTTTGCCGGCTGCTAGCGCAATGATTTTTGACCTAAAAGAAAAGCTGCATGTTTCTTGCTGTAATTCGAAGATAAAGCTGGCGGTCGTGACGAAAGCGATTTCTTCTTCCTGCTGCAATTCTATCAGTACAACTCTTGATAAACCAGATTTATGTTTCGTGTAAGAAAGAAAGTAAATCAGGATGTTGATCCGTATCTGTTGTAAGATCTAGAGGTCAACCGAAAAAATCAAAAATCTATGGCGTTGCTCCTTGAAAAAACTACAATCCTTGAATTTGATTTTTTGAAGTTTTTCCTTCGGGCATCAAATTGGGGCCATCCTTACTTTGGGCCCGTTTGTGTTCCGATGCCTTTTTGTATGTGGTCATGTCCCGACGTTGATTCCTCTACGCAACGCGGGGTGTTTGGGCGAATCACTCACCAGTGAGAACAATCGATCACGAGACGAGACCACTCTGTGAGAAACAGTTTCGCAATTAAAGAAAGATGAAGAAACGCCACGGTCACGGACTCCAGTGTGCGTCGGCACTCTTACCTCCGTGATGCTTTCTCGGTTTGCCGCACCACTGGAATTTGGCTTTCAGCCTGGGCCCGTTTCTATCGTTTGCGTTTGCTCTACTAGAGGATTAGAGGGGCGGGGCTCCTCCAGAGTCCAAGTTATTGGAGGGCTTGGCTTTGGGAATCACGTCAACACGCCGCGGCACCGACCTCCTCGGGCCCGGTTTTTCTTCCCTATCTACACTTTCGGAGGCGCAATTATGTCGGTATTGCGGAAAGGCCTAGTTTGGTCGGGTTTCATTGGCATGGTGTGCTCTTCGTGGACCCCTTGTGGGGACGTTTTTCTCGTGGTATTACACGCGATGCCCCACGCCGGGGGTAGATAGGGGCGCGGCTGCTTACCCGCTAGCCCGGACCTGCGGTCTGGTTCGCCAGCTTGTTGTCGGGCATGTTTTGTTTTTTTGGCTGGGGATTTTGGATTGGCGCCAGGTGCGTGCTCCCCTTCGCTTTTGGTGGCTTTTAGAAGCAATATCGGTTGCTCCCGCAGGGACGGCGGGGTTCCCGCCTTAGCTAGCTTGTCAGCGCCGCTGCCCGGTACAACTGCTACTCCTATGAGGAGGGGTCTTTGCGACATTCCGAATAGGAGCGATGCCTCCACCCCGCTTGCGCGCGGGTCTTGTTTGTTAGTTTCTAGCCCGGGCGAGGCGTGGTCAGTTCACGCGCAGTTGCGGTCCTCCTTGGGTGTGGGAGGTTGCTGTGCCGTAGCTACTTGCTTTCTCGGCTGTGGCCGCGCGCGCGTTCCGTGCTAGCCATGTGGCGGGAAGTCGTTTATTTCACCAGGCCACGGGGGAGAGCGGGCCTTTCATTTCGTGCGGGTTGTTGGAGATTGCTTAAAGGACGCGCGCTGGTAGACTGGCTTCCTTCTGTAAGAGGGCTTGCCTTTTTCGGGTACTTGCATACACTGCTCCTGCTCGAGTTGCAGATGCTCGCGCTTCTAGCGTTGGTCAGCGAGGTAGGGGCTACGTGCGCTCGGCGCGGCGAGTCAGGGGCCCGGCGATAACGAGGGGGAGGCGCTTTTGGGAGCGAGGTTGTGCTGCCTGGGCATACAACTGTGCGACTTGAATAGATTCAGTCGGTTGCCTGTCTTCCCTTGGGGGCAAGTGGGGCTGGGGCTGGCGTTGTTCCCCCATTCAACCACCGGAGGTGGGGTTCTGGGGGGTCTTGCCCTGGGGGCCAGGTGGTGGCGGAGTGGGCCGTTCCCCGCTACGGAAGCTAGGTCCGGCCTGCTGCGCCCAGCCCCTACCTTCAGGCTCGCTCCAACGGGCCGCTTGGGCGGTGTCGGCTCTGTCTGGATAACACTCGGAAGGAACGCAGCGAAAATTAAAGAAAGATGAAGAAACGCCACGGTCACGGACTCCAGTGTGCGTGAAGATCGGTCGATCGCGCCAGGGGTGCCTACTATTGAAGATGTAGATGCTTTCCAAGTAAATAAAGTGTGGCAAATGTTGCGGGATAAGCACGCTTCACTATCCACCCTAGGACACGACTACGATCCACTTCGGTTTGTCATCCGAAATCGGTTTTGACAGTAGTGTTGTCGGTTCCGAGAAGAACTAAAACCAGAGCTGATGTTGACGCAGTATTGACACGCGCCCTGTAATGACGAAGAACTTGAGTCACGCTATGTCAATGAAGTAATGTATGATGGTGAGTTACAGTAACAGTTATTCTTGTGATGTACTTTTAGACAAGGAAAATCGAGGAAGTTCATCAAAAATCGAACACCCCCCTACCCGGGGCTCCCGGGGAAATAAGTTGATTGGTGTGGGCCCCAACCATTTCGCATTTCCCCCCCGCGGAGCCCGCCCCGCCATGCGCTGCCGCTGGCATGTGTGTCGTTTTTAGTTCTCACGCCTGCGCATGTACGGGCCGAAGCGATCCCGGCATTTGCTCTACAGTCTTGCTCCGGTTCAAAGGTAGGCGCTTATGAAAGAACAGCCCGAAGGCGTTCGAAGGTGGCGCGCGTTTAAAATCGGCGCCACTGTTCCGAAAACGTTCCGGGGTCCCATTTTTTGTCCTGTCGCAGCGCAGAACGCTTCCGCTTTGTCACCTGAATGCTTTGCGCAGCTCGGAGAATGTAGAGCAGCGACATTACATCCACCAGCAGAACCACCCAGAGCCACAGGAGCAAACGGGCAGCCGCCCAACCCATGTCCCCGCCCCGCCCCGGAGAAAACAAATCATCCAAAATTTAAATGTAATATGGCATTCAGAAACGGAAACCTTTTCAACACCCATACGAAAACGGCGAATGTTCTGTTGTAGTGGGAGAGTTGTACAGGTATGATCCTCGGCGAAATGCAATAGAATACATCTGCGCAGGACCTGCGCAGATGTATTCTATTGCATTTCGCCGAGGATCATACCTGTACAACTCTCCCACTACAACAGAACATTCGCCGTTTTCGTATGGGTGTTGAAAAGGTTTCCGTTTCTGAATGCCATATTACATTTAAATTTTGGATGATTTGTTTTCTCCAACGGGAGAACAAGCTCGTTGTAAGTACATATTACCTTGAATGACTTGGTCCTCCGACTATTCTCGTCTTGTATTGGTACTTGTTATTTTGAAAGCTTAAGCCGACCAACCTGATACTGATTCTGCACAAACAGTTTTTCTTTTATTCATTTCTATCCAATACACACCTACGACTTCTATATGACCCCTGATCTCTTCATCATGATGGCCCGTTCCTCAAGTGCAGCAACTATGTGCAGGACCTTGCTTGGCACGTCCGTCGTTCTGTTTACACGCGGACCGGATGTCTTTTTTTGCGGCGATAAAATTGCCCTCTCCAGTCGTGGAGGCACGACTCTGATGGGAGTTGAGGCCGCTAGTTTGCAAGCGAGGACTCCTGAACAAGTTCATGCAGAGGAAGAAATATCGCGTTTTTTTACGAACAGGCTTCCGCGCGATAAACACCCACGACCGGCTCTACTTACGACACAACCGCAAGACTCAAATAACGTACTTGAGCCGCAGCCACGGAGAGGGCAGCGCCTTGATGTGCTTTCGCTTGCGGATGAAGAGGAAGACGCATCTGGTGTTGAAAGAACATCCTTGCGGCCGCGCGGTCCGTGGGCAAGTGGAAGTGGCAGTTGTAGACGTTCTTCTCCCAGTACTGCTGGCCGGCGAAGGTCAAAGTCCCGTGCAGCGAGCAAGCATTCTTCCGGCAGTGGCCCTAGCCCAAGGCCGCTGTCTCCTCCCCTCAGCTCGCGCCCGACGTCTGCCGGAGGGCCCTCGCCACCGCCACTCTCCCGGCCTGCTACCCCTGCCCTGATGTCATCATCTTCAGACTCACCACCTACGCCTACGTACCCGGTCGGCGATTTAGAGGCGTACTGCAAAGACCAAATGTACGACGCTGCCGGTTTTGTGGAAGATGTGGTGCGAAAAATCGACCCCGTGAGGGATATGTGTCCCGCACCGCCCCCTCTAAGGACTACTTCGCCTTCCGTCTTCAAAGTGGAGAAGACCTTGCAAGATGCCCCAGGATACGCAAAAGTGTTTCTAGTGTGCAAAACATCTCCGGCTCGACGTCCAGCGGCTCACAACCATGAAGAGGGTGTGGGTGCTGGAGATTCTACCGTGGCAAACGGCCAAGGAGATGATGAAAAAATGGAGCGAGCGGTTATCAAGCACGCGCCTGCAGAAGAAATTGAAGCAGCGCAGCAGATGCGTAGGGAAATCGGTACGATGACCGCTTTGGGCCTGGTCGGTGAACAAGATGATGCGACTACTTTCACCTCCTCCTCCTCTTACTCTACTGCGTCTGATGCTGATCCTTACAAGAATTTCAAAGACCATCTGGTCAAAATGACCGGTTGTTTCTCCGGAACGCCCTGCACATTCGCGCTTGAGTTCTGCGACATGCGAGACCTCTACGAGAAGATACTGGCTGACTGGAAAGCGAAAAGGCGTTTGACCGCTGCGGATCGCAACAGGTATCTTGCCGAATTGCTCAAGGCCGTGCATTTTATGCATACAAAAGGCGTCGCACACCGCGACATTTCCCCGGACAACGTGCTTCTCACGTCAACAAACGTGGGAGAGTTGCCTGCTGGGTCGGCGACCGCGAAACTATCAGATTTCGGCATGGCGTGCTCTATTTACGAGAGAGTTGATGTTGACGATATCAAGGACGAACAAGGCAAGGACCACGACCAGCGCAGTGGTGCTGAACATCAAAGATCAGAAATGCTGCCCCTAAAGTCTTGCGGGAAAAAGAGTTCCGAAACGTCATGGGAAAGGGCAGTTTCATCGCGCCGGAATGTTGGGCCTACGCGCAGTCGGAGCAATTCAGAGAAGCCGCGTTCCGAGGTCTACAACCAAAAACAATGTCGGGGTTCCGGGCGAAACCTCTGGACATTTTTGCCACGGGTCTCGTTGCGGTGCTTATGCGCGTGGTCGGGGCACCCTGGGGGCATGACAAGTGCATTCGAGGGGTCCGACCCGCCGAATTTCTGTACCAAGACAGAGAGCGCAGAGAAAAATACACAGATGAGGACGGAAATCCGCAAACGCGACGGGTTCCTGCGAGCGCAAAAACGCGGCGCGAGGATTTCCAAGCACTTTTGCTGGAGTTGTGGGAGAAGGGGGTCTATCCGAAAAAGGGAAGCGAGTACTTGCGCCCCTGTAGTTTGCAGGAAGAGACCGAGGATAAGATGCTAGTGAAAGAAATTTCGCACATGCTATCAAAGAGACCCGCGGAACGAGCGACGGCGGAAGAAATGTTAAACATACACTGTGTGCAGAAATCGGGTCCTAGCAGTAGCCGTAGTTGTACTGCTGTTGCTCAAAAATGACCAAACATATTATTTGTGGTAATAGAAATACAGGAGGCCGAGAAAACGTGACACGTACGTAAAATGAGGAGAAGTTCTCCGACTGAACAACGCACGCTCGTCCTAAAGTAAAGAGAAAACTAGTGCTCCCCGTCGACCCCGCTCTACCTCTGTGCAGTTTTAGTTGGTAACCATGAAGTAAAGAAAGTGCGTTTTGAATCTGTATTGAATTTGAGTTTGCATCAGTTTTTGTTTGTTGAATTCATGGCGTACGGCTAGCACAACTACTACGCAGTGTAGTTGGACTCTATACGTCAAGTAGGACCTATTTAGTATAGTACACACATTACAGTGGTGACCTGAAATATCAAATATAGATAATTAAATTAAAAACCCATCTGCAAGTAGTTGCATCTTGCGAACATCTGCAATGGAAAAACAAGAAAAATGTAGTCGTGCATCTTGCGAACTACTGTGTACAAACAATTTGGTGCGAAAGTACAACCTCGTTCGAAAGAAGAAAGTCGCCTGATAGCAGCTCGGACATAACCTGAAGAACAGGCCGCAAAGAAAAAACGAAACAAAACGAAGCAGTCTATGGAATACATTCGGTTCGCGGATGATTCTTCATTGGTTTGTACGTGCAGTTGGACCAGACGGTGAAATGAAATCGCAAAAAAGAATCTGTGATCTACTTGCTCGAGGATGGGGACTAAAACGAAAAAAATGTGTTTTACCTAGAGGGTGGGTCAATCTGAAAATGTCAACAAGAACATCAGTTGAAGTTGTATGAACGAGCGACGTTCTTCTTGGTCGTGTGTCAGTGATGCCATACTCGCTAATATCGTTCGCTTCTCCATTTCCGTTGAAAATGGCTGCTAGTGTTTCACATTTTTCAAAATTTTTATGAATAAGAATATGAGTCTCTCGTCTTAAAGGCGATGTCGTCCTAGATCGTAGATCCCACCGGGTGTTCTCTGTTCATCAAGCTGTCCATGACAATAAAGAGGAAAGGTAAAAAACTATCAATACATGATAGAATGTTCGATGTCATGTCCTGTCGTGATGTGAAACGTTAACGTTGTATTCCACCCGCCAGTCGTCCACCAAGTGGTCCTTGACGTCCGTAAGCCTTTTGACTCCTAGCCCGTCTCCGTGTAGTTCATTCTGTTTTCGTCGATTGTGTCTCTGACTTCTCTGTGTCGATAATAGATTGATAAATATTTTCACTATTGTTGCAGGAACAGCACCAAAAATCTTCATCTCAACATCATGTCCCAGTTTCTGAAGCGGTTTTGCCAGGGCGCCCGGAAGGCGCTGCAACAGGCGAGCTTGAGCACAGAACAGACCGGGCCTGCTGCAGCACCTTCAAAGCAACCGATCATCTTCGTGATGGGCAACACTTCGTGCGATTTGGATAGTGTCTGTTGCGCTCTCGCCCTGGCCTATCTTTTCGAGTTGGACAAAACGTCGAAAACAGCAAACATTTCCTACATTCCGCTCCTGAACTACCGCCGGCAAGATTTCCCGAAGCTGCTGCAACAGGCCTACTGGCTGGAAAAGTACTTCCAAATTTCCGTCGACGATCTCTGTTTCTACGAAGACGCCGTGGCTACCATGTCTGCTAGTATTCCTGCGAAGGACGACGAGAAGGCTACCGCTCCTGGTGCAGCCGCGGGACCACCATCACCTGCGTGTTCCTTCCTCCTCGTCGACCACAACGAGGTCGACCCCACACAGAGGGAAACTCTGCGGGGGAAGGTCGTTGGCTGCGTCGACCACCACGAGGTCAACGCCGGAAATAAAGTGGATCAGTTCCTACGAGGAACTTCTTCTTCCCCAGACGACCCCGCGTTTGCTTCCTTTCCGCAAATTCTGGACATCCGCATTCCCTCCGTCTGCGGTCCGGAGGCCATCGTTGGCAGCTGCTCTAGCTTGATTTTGGAACGAACAGTGAAAGTGTACGAAAGTAGGATAGCGACGCCGGCGACGGGTACTACTGGTTTACAACAAACCGAGTTTTTTTCCGAGCTTTTCTCGCTTCTCTCCGGCGCGATTTTGTGCGACACGCGAAATTTCGCGGACGCGACCAAGGGCAAATGTGCCCAAGAGTTTTCCGAGCTTTATTTTTCGCTTCTCTCCGGAGCCATTTTGTGCGACACGCGAAATTTCGCGGACGCGACCAAGGGCGTCGGGGAGTGGCTTCGGGGGGCAACAGCGCAAGAGCTCCGCAAAAGCCCTCCAGCAAGGCATGCCACGACCCCAGCTGGATGCTGTCTGACACGCGGCGAGTGGCGCCGCCGCAGCCGTCTGGCCTTAGAGGCCCGGAGCCCGCTCGAAGGCGGGGCTCTGCTCCCTTTCTAGTAGACCCGGATCAGTTGGGTTCCTGCCTTGGCACGCGGGCAGGGCCTGGGTCGCAGCGGGATGGGAAGACACCCCGTCAGAGGCATTGCCAAATTAGCAGACGCGAAGCCGGCCATAAGACTGCCGTCACCCGCGCCGCGGACAGAGGAGTGCGTCGGAACACGGCGCATAAGCCTTGCTGCCCCACTGGCGGCGGAGGAGCTAGGATGGGGATCCACATGGCCAGCCCCGGCATGCCTGTTGCTCTGAGGCAATTCGACCTGCATTGCTTTGGGTTTGTGCTGCTTCGGGACCTCCCCGGGGGACCTCCCCGAGGGACCTCCTAAAACCGACCAAAAGTGGAATGGTTCGGAAAATCTTCGCCCGATGGTATGAGACCTCCTCGTAGAGGTCCCTTGAGGACCTCCCTTGAGGACCTCCGGGAACGCCTCGAAAGGCCAGACTTCGGCTCGCACCTTTCCGCAGGACAAGGTCAGCACCCCCCACTCCTGAAGCAAAGTGAACGGCCAACCCCGGAGCCCCGGCCGGAAGGCGGGCGCACGGGTTTCTGCCAACACTGTGGCGGACTTGTAGATCCGAAGCTGCGCATGGTGGAAACGCGACGCAGCCTGCCGCCCGAAAATAAAAGTTGCGAAATCTGAGCGAAGGGCGCTCAAGCTTCGCCCAAAAACGTCATCCCGCTGGCCAGCGCCTGTTCCTTCATTGCAACAATGGCCGCGCGCCATGAGCTTCATTAAGAAAGCCAACATGCTTTCCGCGATAGGCGAGCTTCAGAGGCCGTGGCAAATTGGTGGACAAGACAAGACGGGCGTCTAGCTAGTCTCCGATGTGCTAGCTTTCCTCGCCCGCTTCACCGTCATGCCTCCGGAGCTGCGCAAATTGCCCCAAAAGCTATGCGACTCCGTGCGGCGGCCTTTTTACCCGGAGCAGTGCGGCACAACTGTGCGACCGGTCGAGGGCTCACAGTCGGCGCCCGACTCGAGCATGAACCAGCTTGAATGCTCAAGATCTGTGCACTGTGTGCTGATTCTTTGCTCGCCGATTCTGATGGGCCTTTGCGCGCGCGCGTTCCGATACTTAAAGAAAAATTTGAAAATATTTCTTGATTCAACAGTTGATCGCGTTATAGCGGGTACTACTGGTTTACAACAAACCGAGTTGTTTTCCGAGCTTTTTTCGCTTCTTTCCGGCGCGATTACTAAGTGGAAATTTCCCGGAAACCGGAAAATTGAAAAAAATCCCTCTCTTTTGAAGACGACGCTGCGAGTACGACGTCGAGACGCGGTGGCTGCTCGGCGGGTTGCTGCGCGGATGTTCCTGCTTCTGCTCAAAGAAACCAGTCTAATTGATCCACTCAAAAATCCTCACTCACAGGTACTCACTATACGAAAATATCAAAGCACTCTACAGGTCGAAATCCTTACCCTGTCACGCCGATCCGCCGCCAGCAGGAGATAAACACACACACACGCCACAACTACTTCATTCGCAAATCATAGTAGACTCTCCTCATCATAAATCTCTACGCATCAGAAATTCAAATAAAAAACTCAGATCATACAGGCTACCGCTACTCTACATGTGTGGCCCTACAGAACCGAGGTGCTCAGGTTCGGAGTGGTCGTAGTCGAGCAAGGTGCCGAAGAGCAGGTGGATCACCAAGAGGACGTGTTGCACCGGGTGGCGCAACATGTCCTCAAGCTGGTGAGACAATACGGCGCCAGCAGTTCCTGGGATCTCGGTCCAGACGTGGCGGTGGTTCTGGTTGATTTTTTAAGCTGTAAACCTGATGGGAGAATTTCAATTTGATTTTTGATGTCGGAATGCGGAAGAACCTGTCTATTTGAGAACTTTTTGAAATGATCTGGATTTATGTGATGTTGTGGCGTGTGTGTGTGTGGGGATGGTCGATCTTTCCGTCGGCAACCGCGGGTACCTGGTAAGACATTGATGTTTCTGTTTATATCATGATGAGAATGTGACGCGAGCCTGGACGCTGATCTTCCCGGACCGGATAGCGAGACGTAGGCGGAGGACTTTTAGCACGTTTGGAGGCGGAGGACTTGGAGGACACCAACAGGGCTGCTTCCTCCACGGGACTTCTGCGAAAGGGAGGGAATTTTTTCAATTTTCCGGTTTCCGGGAAATTTCCGCTTAGTAGCGATTTTGTGCGACACGCGAAATTTCGCGGACGCGACCAAGGGCGCAAAGTGGTCTGTGAAGGGGGATAAGGATATCCAAAAAAAAATGTTAACATTAACATTTTCACTAGTCAAATTTTTGTCATGTTTTTGTGTGATTTTTTTTTGTATTTTTTCATGCCAAGTAATGAACTACTGTAGCTACTCGAAATAGAACCCATGGGCAGCTAGCTACAGCTAGACTTCTATGTTATTGTTGAGAGCTAGCTAGGCTAAGGTGTGCCGGCGCGGCGGACGTGAAGGAAAACAAGGCGGCCGAGGTGGCGGCCAGAGGTGCGGGGAGACTGGGAAACAAGGCGGCCGAGTTGGCGGCTGGAATGAGCCTGCTGAAGGCCTTGGGGCAGTGTGCTCGTTTTTCCTCCGTGCTATCATGCACCATCATAATCGTACTGCCTTCATCGCAGCCCAGTCTTCAGCTGCTCTTCTTGACTCTAGGGCAGACCGGGGCCAGAGGTGGCCCAGCTTTTGCCTTTCGCCGTTGACCCCAGCGACAGAGAAAAAAGGCAGTTTTTTTGAGCTTTGGGCCAAAAATTGGCGCTCAAGCAAAATCGCAAATTCCCGTGCGAAAATGCAGATTTTCAGGCAAATGTTAACATTTCGGGCTACGTCCAGATTCCCGCGCAGAAATGCAAGATTTTGGGCAAGTGTTAACATTGGTCTGCAAATTTGCTCAAAAAATGCTCAAAAGTTGCCATCTTTTTTGCGCAAATGTTAACATCCGGCTCCGGAACGTCCCCGAATGTTAACATTCCCAAAAATGAGCGCTTCCCTGCATTACAAATTGAACATTTTGAATTTATAAAAGGTGGCAACCCGATCTCCATGGTCGCGACCCGTTGGTGGGCCGACCACATCATCAACCAGACGAAGGCCCGGAACCAGCTGGATTGCTTTCGAGCATTAGTTGCAAACGAGCAGCGCCACTACCTACGCGCGCACGAAGGCCCACGCACGTCCTCGATGTAGCAGGACGGATCCCGAGACCTTAGCCTAGTTAGATCAAAACATAAGCTACAGCATTTAGCTTGTTGTCCGTGGGTTCATATGCATAGTATCGCGCATTCAGCGCAATTCCAATGCAAAAAATGATTTTTTTTTGTCAAAAAACGCATTGAAATTTTGACTAGTGAAAATGTTAATGTTAACATTTTTTTGTTGAATAAAGGAGACTTACGAGACGGCGAAGCAGCTCTTCGGAGCAGGAACGTCCGCCACAACCAGCACTAGCCTGCTTCCATCCGACGAGGCCGCCTTGTGCCAGGATCTTTTTGACATCAAATTCGACGTGGAGCGGAATTTGAACCTCGGTGTGTCGGCTTTGCTGGGCGGGGACTACAAGCAGTTTTCTACCCCGTGTAAAAACGTCCCCACCTTCCCAGAGTCAAATTCTTATGGACTTTGCGAACACAAACCTAGAAGTTTTGGGAGTCACGCATGATAACTTGCAGTTCGTAGCGTAGTTCAGGTTAACAAGGTCAAGGACAGCCGCGTCACAAATCCATCCGCTCGCCTCCCTGTTGATCACATTCACAGCATTACAAATTATGCCAAAACTCGTCTAGAGGACACGCCTCTCTTGTTGGGGATGCGCAATCCCCATGACGACTTTGGGCTGGGAACGTTTTTACTCAGGATATTTTCCTATCGCAGTGACACCCTCTCCGTCGGATACGCGACCTTCCCGATCCAGCTGGTTTCCGTTTTGCAAAAGTTCGATTTAGAAAAAACACTACTGCCTGAAATGAAGGATTTCTGCGAATCAAGAAAAGTGTCCCTGCTCGTGATCCTCAGTTCGGACCGAAACATGTTGAAACACTTCGGCGTAGGCGTTTTCTGCAACGAGGAAACAGCGGGAAGCGAGGCAAGAAACCTGGCGCTCTCGGCCTTCAACGCGATCGTCACGTCTTCCGCGACGGATGCGTCTGGGAGTTTGAAAGAGGAGATGGGACTTGTGCCCATCGAGCCGACGGGGGCTAGCGCAACGTCAATATTTCGGGTGTACGAGCAGCGGAGGGCGGAAAAGTCGCGGAAACAAGTCGAGCCCTTGATTCGCCAGCTGCTGAATTCCATATCGAGTAGTCCTGGGATGACAACCATTGACGGCAATTGAGAGACTTTTGACACGGTTTTGCTAAAAAACGTATAAAAATCGTGCAACTACAACGAAGAATTACATACTAGAAAATGAAAAAGATCCGTCGATCAACTGCAGAACGAATTCCACCAAGCCTATTTCTTCTATTCGCAAGAACAGTTGTATGTTCTTTGTTGATCATGGTCGGAGGAGTGTACAGTAGTAGACCCTGTAGCACGAAGATGAAAAAACTGCCTTTATTTCAGACGCTAGATGAAGATCCGAAAGGAGAAACATCACGCACATGATCTCTACTTCTTGAAGATGTTGCTCATCTTTTTTTGGCCTCCATGCCTCCTGATCCTGTCCTGCTGATCCCGATCAAACTTTTAGTTCGGATCTTCATCTTCGGTTTCTTGCTCGTAACCGTTCTTCAAAAGCACCACACCTCCGAAAGCATCACTTGTTTGAAAACAAGTCCCGGCTTATTATGTTGTGATGTGCCGGTGAGTATATTTTCCTTTTCGTCAGATGTTCGCTTTTTGCCGGTTTTTGCGGTTCATACGACCTGTGAGGGTGGATGAAGTAGAAGTTCACACAAAATAGGAATAAACGCATCACCAAATAAACAATGAGTTCGTCGTCATCTAAAAGTCTTGCCGCTGGTTCCAACGTGCGCTGCAAAAGTGGTAATGCAACGACGTGCAGGACCCTTTCGCAACAATTTCTGTGGCCGGCGCGAAATGGAGCCGCTTCTGGTGTTGCTTGCTCGAAAACTTGTGTGTCGTTCGGTCATAGGTCATCTCAAATCCGCCTTCTCGCGGGAGACAGTAGCACAGACACTACAGCTCACCAACTACACAGCGCAGGAGCGCAGCGCTGCTGGTACGCGACCACCTCGAACTCCTCGGCTTCGGCCGGTGCAAGAACGGCACGACGACCCCAGAACTACACAGAGGAAAACGAAAATGATGAACAGCAGGACGAAGCCAGTCTGGGCGCGACCATGTTCAACGAAGCCAAGCCCTCATCTACTAGGCGAAGTGACTCAGCAAGAAGCGGGACAGCACTCGATCCAGCGGCGCCTGGAGCACTACTTCTATCAAAGCACAACTTGGCGAAGCTCTTGCGGAACGCACTGAATCCCGAGCGGGATTTCCGCTTTTCCGACACGGAAACATTTCTCCAGCTGCTGCACTTCAGCCTGAGACTGCTGAACAAGGTAACATCTCCTACTCTTGGTCGTGGTGGGAGTTCTTCTTGTGCGCCAACTACATCATCGGCAGCTGCGGGAACATCATCAATTTTCGATTCCGAGGAACAGACAGAACTTGGTGGTGATGCTGAAGCTGGTTCGGCTTGTTCCAGTAGTTCTCCTGCTGCTGGCGACGTAGATATAGATGTACAACTTGTAGCCGCTCAAGAACAACTTCATGCAAATCTAGTACTCCACGAGCAGCGCACTAAACTTGACGAATTTCGTTTCTTCGCCGAACGCGTGTGCAGTCTGCTCACCAGCGCGGATCAGGTGACGTTTCTGCACGGCTCGCTCGAAGGCGACGCGGCCCTGGTGATCCTGGACTGGCTGGTCCGCGCCGCGGATTTGGGGTATGAGGTTTATTCCGACCAGACAGGGCTGGCCCAGGTACTCCTCGCACGGATTGAGGAGGATTTCTTTTCCTCGGAAGTCAAGCCGGTCAATGTGGTGTGTCGAAAGCTCTACGTGCATCGCAATAGTACTAGTGCCAGGCGAAGTAGTAGCTCATCATCGATAGGAGCTGCACCTTCAGAACTGCAGCAACCCGCTTCTCTTCTAACGGTGTCCGACATCGTCAACTATCACTTGCCGGTGGCGCACAAGGTAAAGCTGATTACTTTTGGTAGAAACACGACCGCACGTCGACCATATAAAAATCCCGGAGAAGATGTTGAGCAGGGCCTATCAGGCAATAATAAGTCCCTCGACGCTTTGAAGCAGGAGGTGGCGCAGCAGTGGCGAAATCTGGATCCCGTGGACATGGAACAGTGGGAAAAGGAACGCTTCGAAAAGTGCGAGGAGAAGGTCCCGCGCATGCGATTCGTCCAAGCCTTGGATCGGGCAAAAATGCCACCGGGGCGAAAGCTGCAGATGCATTTGAGTCTGCAACTGTTCGAGCTTGCGACGAGCAAAGCGGATCTCGGTCTGAAGGAAATTTTGCAGGTACACATTTATTGGATACGGACGTTTTTTTTTGTTGCGTTTCCGCAAACAGCAGTCTTACCGCCCTGGTGGTCTTGACTTTTCTTGATACTACTTTTCATTTTTGATCTAGATGGTGGAAGACCAGAAGCAAAAGCAGCACCAGCAGAGGCTGCTCAGGCACGATGAAAATGCGCATGTCCTCGACCTCTTCCGCCATGAAAATACGACAAAACGATCAGATATCCTATCCCTTTTCCCTGCTTGAGCGGGTCCAGCGTGGCGACGTCCAGCTGGATTTGAAAGAAGCGCTTTGCAGCCAGCTTCTGGACCGGAAAACCGAGTCGCTGCTTCCCTACACGCTTGGCTTCTCTACTACGTTTTCCGACGTCCGCTGCGGGTCCGCGTTTCGCTTGTGGCACCGGAAACTGCTACCCGCTGCGCTGAAAATTTTGCAACTGTCAAATCCCTGGGTCTTGCTGGCAACGCAGGAGGGGTTTGGGAAACATCAAATAACCCTCGAGTTGGTGGAACAGTATGAAAGAATGAGAACGAAGGTCGTAAGCAGGGAGATGTTGCCCTTGATGAAAAAAACAGGTCAACAAGGTACTGTCATCTCACCCGCCATAGCGCAGGAGTTGCAGGCCGATGAGCATTTCTTAACCAGAACATTGCCGTCCAAGATCGACGCTTGGCGGAGTGCTTCTACAGCAGGCAGTACAACTTCTACCGCCCTTTTGTACCGCGTTCCGGAGCTCACAAGCCTTCTGCACCTTTGCCGTACTAGTCGCGAAGTAGGCAACCTCTCAACGAAACTTGTCGCTCTTTTTCTGAGACAATTTCCCGATGGGGGCGAAGAACTCAGGGACTTCAAGCGGAATGGCGCCACACCGCTCCAGCTCGCGCAGCTTCTTGATGAGTTGGCACTCATGTTGTTTTCGGCTAAGGCGAACGGAAGTAGTGTGAAGACAAAAAATAGTTCTACCGAAAAGAACGTCGAAACAACCACAAAGCAACATCCGGGTCGTGAACAGCAACCATTGCAGGAGCAGCCTGGTTGTCTTGACATCGTCACGTCAGCTATGAAACTGGTTTGCGACGCCCTCTCGCCGCAGGACGGGAGAAATTTCAAAAAGACCGCCTCGACAACCACCACGTCGAGATCCGACACGAAAAGGACGCGAACCACAAGGCAAATACAGTCACTCTGGTCACTCGGCGCGCACGAGACTGACAGCTTTTCTGCCAAGGACTTTGCTGGGGTTGACTACTGGTGCTCCGATGTTGAACCCACCACCTCCGAACAAACTCGTCCTGTAGGGCGTCGCGGATCAAGCGAAGATCTTGATCACCACACGACTTCTACACCGCCAACAGTTGTTCCTTTCCCCTGGCAGTTTCGTTCCTTTGCCCGTCGCCACGCCAAACTGGTTTCCACGTTTTGCAGAACCCCGTTTGTCGAGCTGGACCCGGAAGTGTATTCCTGTCTCGCGCATCCGCTGTGGATTTTCGTTCAGGGGTTTCTGCTGGCAAGAACAGCTCCTCGGCGGTCATCTGCATCTGCACACCAGCAGACACCGAACCTTTACCACGAGAAGGAGCCCCCGCCCCTGCTCACCGTTCAAGAGGTTGCGGAGCTTTACGATGCCATGTCGGGGAACGTGGCGGACGTGGCACTATTTTCCGCGTTGGGAAAACTTTTTGTACGGGATTTTGTGCAACTTCTGAACGATCAAGAAGTTGTTCCAAATAGCTCGCCACAAAAACATCTTCCGCGACTTCGCCCCGTTTTGTTCACACCCGCGGAACTGTGTGTTGTCGCACACGGTTATCCAGGAGAGAACACCTATCCTCATCCATTTTCTGCATGACAAACGCTGGACTTTATGCAGGTTTTACATGACATACCAAACGAAAAAATGGGCCACAGCCAAAATTTCAAAATCTTTTTTTCCCGATTGAGGTGGCCGATGTGAGTTCTCAAGACGGAGCACTTCTGCCACTGCGTATTTTCCCTGGCCGGGGCGAGGATCACGGGTAGGTGGGCCTGCAGATGGCCTCCACCTTCGACGTCGCACCACGGGAATATCGGCGACCTATTGAAGGCAAGTGCCCTCCATCTGACCTGCCTGGTGGCAAGACTATTGATGGCTTCTCGGTCGGAACTCCAGGAGAGGCATCTGGGCACCACTGAAGGCACCCCCCTTAACGGGGTGCTTTCAGGGGGTGCCCTTCGTTGCTGTGGCCGATTTTTCGGAAACGGCCATACCATCGGTGGAAGGGGTTTCCGAAAAATCGGCCACAGCAGCGCAAGGCCGTCAATTTCGTGGCACCCCTCTGCCCTGTGGCCGATTTTTCGGAAGTGGGCGGCTTCTGCAGGACAAATGTCGAGAATCAGCTCGCATGGCCCCCCCGCCGGCGCGGCTTTTCCCAGCCCGGCAGCGCCATAGCCCAACGCCCCGTCTGGCCGAGGGTTGCAGAGGATAGCGCAGAGCCGCTTTGGCCGCGGCCTGCCAACGATTGCCGCCTACTGATATGCGCCATTTCCGCCGCGGGAATCCGTCGTCCCCGGGCCTGCGGGCCGGCCCGTCCGGGAAAAATTTTGAAAATTTGGCTGTGGCCCATTTTTTCGTTTGGTATGACAAATTGGATGGGGATGGATCTTTTTTCTGTGGATAAAGGTCTGGCTGACGGAATTCAGTTACTGGAAATCGAAATCGAAACTGCTCCACCAAGGACCACGGTGGGAACGGCCAAGAATGCTGAAGCGGCATATGAAAATGATCCACGTCATCAACTGCAACGTCAAAGAGCAGCCGACCAAGCTGAGCTTCGACAAGGTCTCCAGAGCGTCTGGCATGCGTTGAAAAATCACGTACCAGCGCTGGCGCCGTCTGACCGCTTGTTGTTGATCAATGCTATCGTGAAAACCGGTGAGTTGTCAGACGACTCGGAGTATCCTGTGCAAAAGTATCGTACTCGTAGTAATCGCAAACATGCATTACAAATCTTGCTCTTAAGCTAAATCCGCATTTACAAATTTATTTATTTCTCATGCTGAGGAAATTTGTATTTGTAATGCATTTATACGAGTAGGAGTACTTTTGCAATGCATACGGAGTTCAGGCACACGATTGAAACCCATGTTGTGAATGAAAAGGAACAGGATATCATTCAGGCAGTTGGGGCGCTTTGAGGAGTTCGTTGTGGGCTCTTTCATAGATTTGTCACGAGTAAGAAGGACGTCGAGAAACAAGAATGACATAAACTGAAATGCCACGACGTGAGAACAGAACTTAGACAACTAAAAGCTTGTACTTCTCAAGTATCCGACCGAGCTTTTTTATTGTGCACTGGATGTAAGCAGTTCACTATCACTCCTGATTGGCTCCGTTTTTTCCAATGAGGGTTCAACGCGTCGGGGACTGCTGAGAGACAGGCACTGTCAAACTCCTCTTATTAAAACTTACAAGTAAGTAGGAGTGCTGTCAATTGCAGCTCTGCTAGATCGAGGGTGTTGTATCAAAATGATGAGAGAAAGAAGGAGCTGCGCCATGTGCGTGCCTAGAAGTTGGCTTACTTCATGAGAGATGTTTATTCCGAGTGATATATAACGCAATACTAGCCTTATCCCGCTTCCCGTGTCCAGTAACCTGCAGACTTAATAGTATTCCGCTAGATGAATAGTAGCGCTCAGCGTGTCTCTGTAGAGAATCGTTGTCGGCGCTTCAGCACAGGCAGGCCCATCTGCCGGCGATTTTCAAAGCGTCAGAACGGCTTCGGCACGATCCGGCACCGGCCGGCGCGGCGGGCAGGTTGGCCTTTGCCGTCATCTTGCA